AAGCCGCCCACCCGGGGCCCCCGTTCGGAATCTTAGCAAATATGTCAAAAGTACCTTTCCCAGAGAACAGTTCGCGCAGATCTAGAACATAAACCAGAAACTCGGATTTATTACTAATTATAAATATGCATGTGTCATTGATATTTCAACCTTTGGAGGTCATGTTGTGATATCTATTACGAATTTATACAATTGGGTACTCTCAGTGCTTTATATCGGACTCTTTGAAGAGAGAGTTTACATAACTACTCCAAATCGACCTGATCGACTGGCGAGATCCCCCCCTCGGCGCCAGCTTCTTTATTCGGATTCGCACTGATCGCTGACACATGCAACGAGAAGCCATGACATCGTTTTATGCTAGAGCTCCCGCGGAACTCGGGAGGTGGTGGTGGGCTTGAAATCGACTCGACGAGATAAGTGCTCAGTCCGCTGTGGCTTTCTCGCCTTGCATGATTTGCAGGGCCAGCTCATCGGAGATCTCGGGGGTGAGTGGAATTATATGAGAGGGGATGATTGGGTTGGGCTCGCGCTGGGCTGGCAAGGTGAGTTCAATTGTTCTAGGCCCGTTGGTACTTTTATATTTGTATCTTCCTTGATCTTTGATTGAATCTGCGGGCTCTTTTGAATTTGAATTGTGTTGGGATTGTGCTACTGGTGAGTACTGCGGTGTACATAGTACCTACTCCCAAGGGATATAGGAAGGGAATCAAGTTCCGTTGATAGGCCTTATTATGACACCATGAGTAATTCTTGCATGGATCCCCGGTTATGCACGTTTTCATCATGATTTTGCCTTCGCTTACTCCGGACATTTTGCCATATCTTAAATAGCGGTAGTTGCCTGAAGGATGGGGATTTGGTGTGCAGATCTTAGCTGCAAAGGAATTTGATCACGCTGATGTCATTGCTGGCATAATTGCGTTTTTCATATGCTCGCTTGGAGTTATGCTTATTTCCATCAAGCGATGTGTCAGGGTCGCAATGCCAATAGAAGCTGTTGTATACAATTGTAGCCCTCCTGGGGTTTATCAGTTCGGGTGTCCACAGTAGTCATGTGCCAGCTGCACATGACCGGCGCACATGATCCGGGGGTGGAGCCGCTGGAATTTGATGCCCGAGATCGATTTCTATATTACACGTATTCTGCTATCTTGGATCCTTTCTCGCTTGTCATCCCATCTTTGAATGCTATACAACTACTCGAATGGCCCTGAACATGTGGATTTTGTACGGTTCAGGACAGGACACCGTCTCAGCCAATGACGTATGCACAACCTTCCTCTCTAACTTTGAATGGGTGTGGGGATGAAGACTTTTTCCTCCTAAAACGCCCGAGATTATCTCCATCGTACGAACATCTCCAGTCTTTCCGGTCGTTCCCGAGTCGTGGGGCTCCATTAAGGACCATACACTGTTAGAAACAAAGATCCGAGAACCAAACGAGGCTAATAACATGGGTTTAACAGACCTCATGTCAAATTGAGCAAATGTACCCCGTCCTCACCGAGGGAAAGCAACCTTGGCACACTATAACACAGATGGTATACTTTTATATCACAAGCCTCTTTCGTCAGTTCCGATCCAATAACAGCAAACAGCCAAGATGATACAGGAGCCTCTTCAAGAGCATCACCAAATTTCTATACAACATACTTTGTGTGCAGACCTAGTCCCCATCTTTAGAACCCACCTGCCTAGTTAGGGCTAACTCTCCTCTTTTCCGGCCAGATGAGTCTTCTTGATCTCAGCTTCCTCCAGGCCGAAAAGTGGACCTCACAGTGGGCCCTCGACAGCCAGGGACAGGCATGATTCGCCGCCCTTTTTTTCGCGCGGCTCACCGGTACTGAAAGGTTTTTAACTGACGCTACACTGTGTGACAGCTTTAGCTCCGCATTTCCTATTTAGGACTCCATTTTCCGTACGGAGCAACTTGTTATGTTATAGGTATCGCGTACAAAACCCCCACGGACGTCTCCACGATCAAGGCTGTTTGAGGCGCATTCAAGAAAAAGTGGATATCGCCTCCTTGATGCAAGATTGACGCCTAACTGGCTCCACGGGTTAGTGATGTGCGCCCGACGTGCAATCGGCAAGCCGATGCAATATACGGCGTGCAGCATGTTCAAGGAAAGCTACGATCGATATGCGAGAACATCGTCCCAATAGGCTCGTAATAAAGGGAGTTTTCTTTACAAGATTTAAGAACTTTTCATACAGCTTTGGCCGTTTTGTCTAGGCCTTTGATGATTGAGGCAAATCCAAGACACGCAAGAGTCTGCGTTGAATTCTTCTTGATCGTCCTCCACTACGAAGTGATCGGCCAACCATGACCCATACAATCCCTGCCTAGGCCTCTTGAGCTCTAGAACAGAGCTGATCTTTATTCTGATGCAGAGTTATTTAAAGCTGGCCACGATTTAATGACTTATTTTTTCATTTCTTCAATTCAAGGTGACATCTCGGCCATTTTAGTATTAGTTCTGCACCACAATAGATATCAACAATACTGTCTCAAATGACTTCACCAAATTCGCCATGCACGACATCCCGCGTTTCGTGGCTGTCAAAGTAAAGGACTGCATCACTTTGACTATTATATTCGGCGAAATCCCGAATGAGGCGCTCGGGATTGGGCCCCCGCTGACTGTATACATACGTTTTCGATGGGCTAAAACAGGAACCGGCCAGTGATACTGAAGCTGCAAAACCTCACCCAATTATAGTGCTTGTGATTGGACAAATCGTTATTCTAGGCCTTCCGGTGGAGAATAGTCACGTGTATTAGCACTCACAGGAGGAGCTCTGTACTCCGAAACCCCGCAAGCTGCTAATACTCTCATTTGCGGTCAGATGATGAGAATCAATATGATTAGTAGTAAAACATATGTACATATTAACTGCAGGGCAAATTGATATCGATACCGAGTTGAAGTGCCGAAATAATGCCCAAATACTCAAACTGCAAGCTATGCCCATGGTCAAACGCGCCAACACCCACGGAAGACCGTGCGAGATTCTGGAAGCCTTCTGGAAGGATGATCCGATTGGTCGGTGAGCTCCAGGTCCGATCTGCGCCTTTCCAATTTGGGCGTTTTAATTACTGTACTGTATTTTGCCATTACATTACGGTAGATACAGCGGAAAGCTCAGTACCACGGAGCGAAGCTCCCATACCTCCTCATTACAATACACAATTGGCCGAGGCTCTGATCTACTTGCAGTATGTTGTACTTAGTACTCCGTACCCTGATGCGGACTCCGGATTTGACTTCTTGAAAACAGCTCTTGAATTCGGCTGTTAGATCCCTAATCTAGGCAGCCATGTGCAATATATCTAAAACGCAAGTATATCTTGTAACTCCCCTTGTAACTCCCCGAGGGTTTGGGCTGGATACCGGTGTTCTACTAGCGGCATCCACAGACAGGGCTTATGCACAAAGTACAACATGAGTCCCACACTGTACATGTGGCTTCGAGATAGCCTCGCCAAAACTGTTTCCTTCAATCACGTTGTGCCCTTGGCAGCCACAACTGTGTGGGATATGAAGGTTTCCTCTTGAGTTCTGTATCTGTACAACATAGTTACATGTGCTTTTGTCGCGTTCAAATTTCAGACTTGGATCCACCCCTGGATTTTATGATGCCCTAAATGTCGGGGTAAACACGGAGAAACTCATCCGATATGGAGTGTCGTGTGGGTATGTAAGTTCCGTAGCGTTGGAAATATGTTCGAAACACGACTACACACCAAATCCGTCAGTCTTAAAAACAAACCGAGATAACCGTTATGTCTAGTGGATCGATGTTGCATCCCGGCTAACGCCTACCCTGGTGAAGGCGTATCGCGCAGGGATGCGGAAGTTCTAGAAATTCCCTAAAGCGAACCCCTCATCTTCTCCGCTCAACGCGGACCGTTGCCCGTGACTGGCTGTTTTAACATATTACGCTGAGCTTGTTGCGCCCCGTCGGGTCGTATTACTATCGGTGAAGGTTTATTCTCTTTTGTTATGGCGTCGGGGTTGGCCCCTTATTAATAGGAATACACCCCGGTCTGGGAGATAAGGCGGGTGTCGCGCTCCGTGTTGTATCTGCTCTGCTGGCAGGGTATTTCGGGGTCTTGTTTCCATTCTTATTTTGATGACTTTATTATGCTTTCTGAGTGCATTGGTGAATTGCAGATATATTATTATTGCCAAGTCATTCTAATATTGAGTGGTTTTGGTTTGATTCCTGTTGTGGCTTTGAGCAGATGGTGTGCTTCAAGACATGAACGCCACAGCGTTGGGATACAACTTAGACATGAAATGACGGCTATAGTTGGGATGAGATTAAACTGGAGGATTCTGCAGTGATTATCATTATTAATATAGCGAGCCTAAACTTGTACCGGTTGTTGTACAGCATGCAGTGTAGGAAATCATAAGTACAGAGTACTGGAGTTGGACTGATAAGGGCGATCCACACATGGATTGTGCTGCATAGTATAATTCCTAACATTCTAATTTCCAACTATACATCTCAAATCCAAGGTCCATTTATTGTGACTCGAATTAGAATGTTATGACTCGAAATGAAAGTAAATGAGTCAAAAGAAGGCGAATGAGGTCATCGGTTCCGCTTAAGTCTTGGCATTCGAATGGCAGTAAAACCGTAAATAACTATAACTTCTTGTATAGCTTCATATTTTCAGACGTAAACATGGATATACTGAGTATTATTAACAACCTCCTTTGACGTTTGTTATTTCGACATCACGTGGTACCTCTTTTTGCCGCTTTTGCTTCTCCCGTTTTATTTTTGCTTAGCGCTGTGACTTCGATCATAACAGGAGTTTAGACGGTCGCACATCTCGGCTTACTTACTGCGCAGATCTGGTCCTGTCGATCCCCTCAAGGTCACCCGATCTCTGCGTTGGCAGTGCGCGTCACCTCCAAACTCACTGAGAACCCGGTTCCATTCTGGACCATCTTTCAAAGAACGGCTCACTCTGTTTCAGTATGGAGAGGTCATTTGACAACAATGCGGGTCCAACACCCCAGATTCAAGGTAAGATCAAGCTCGATTCTATTATTGGCGCGTAAACCCCATCTAGCCGGAGGCTTTTGTCCCAATCAACTCTATGAGATCTACTTGATTATCTGGACCCTCTACGGAGTACGGGCTTTCGTATTTTCAGCCCCCCTGTTGCATGTCCATGCACCACATGTTGCATCAGCCACAAAGCCTATCAATTCCCATGTTATCTCCTCCGACTTGGATGGTGGGCAGGGTAGCCCCGGTCTGCCAATACGCCAATATGCCAGGATCGGACTCAGTGGCCAACCTTTTGTGATCACACGCTCATGCTTTTGTTAAACAGGTACAGAGGTGCCATCCTCTTTGATAAGTGATGAGTTGTCAGCGGCCCGGTCGCATGGTGTTGCATCCACTGAACCGGGTGCTGCTCGTCAGTCATCAACTCGGCGGCAGAAATGTCGCTTTTTCGAATCCAAAAAGGGTAAGTCTGCGTTCCGTGTTTCAGTCTGTAAGGGCTCTTTGCCTATTTTGTCACTGCAATAGTCGACGCGTCATTGAATACGGACCGGGTGCCACAAACAGGCCCCTTTGGGAATGCTTGTACACAGTATCGGCCATGTTCACCTAAAGGGTCAATGACACCGAGGCTATGACCAGCATTGCATGATTGTCCTGTGCCTTGATCTTTTGCGCATGTATTCTTGGTGCTTGGCCATTTGCTTGGAAGATGTGTCGTTTAGGTCATATGCTAACATCGTTCAAGGATGCCGACTTGGAGCATCATGTCCGTATCTACATGATGCCTCGGCCGTCGAGGCCAAGCAGCCTGTGTCAGAGCAGCAGACTCTAGCCAAATCATCGGGAGATGAAAGCCAGAGCTCGGCACAAGCCATTGTCACTGGGGCCGAGAGACTGAACATTGGTGAAAACCAGTCGAAGCAACGCTCTGCCGCAGCCCCTGTCCAGCCCCAAAGACCAGTTTCTAAATTGGAGCAATCAGACCCAAGAGAGTTCCAGATCAACCAATTGAGGCGGCGTTACCGTCCACAGGAAGTCAATGACGCACAGGGCTGTACTTTGACCTTTGGCTTGGTACCTTCCGATCCGGACTTCCCCTTTGAGCTTGAAAGACTTCAATGTGTCCTTCATGTTCCCAGCTCATACCCGAAAGGGCGGCCCACACTTGCGGTGACCAATTCTGAAATGGAAGCTGCGTATCAAGCAAATATCGCTAGAGGCTTCGATGAAATTGTCGATTTTTCGTACCGCAGCAATGGCAGAGGAACTCTTTTAGGCTGGTTGAATAGTCTGGACAAAAAGCTCGAATCATTGCTAACCACCCTGGAGCGTGGGCCAACGCTGAAGTTCTTTGCTAACCTTGGTGATGGATCTACAACCAAAGAACCTACCAAGGCCCCAGAGAAGGCTCCAAGCCAGCCGAGCTTGTCTCGAGGTCGTGATGAAACCCCGAGTGCTACTGCTAAGCCAGCACCGAAGGCACGAACTATAGCACCAAGGTACACAGCTGAAGCAAAAGCTGCAGCTGAGAAGAGACGAGCAACCGAGACAAAACAGCTCGAGGCGCGCCTTGGAAGATTGCCGATGTACCAAAAACTGCAAGATGGCAGGACATATGTTATTCCTATCCAGCCAACCAAAAAGGATCGCCTGCCGCGAACACTTCAGGCGCTCAAGACTGTAAAGTTGATTGTGCCACAGCTCTACCCGCTCGAGCACAGCTCGATCAAGTTGCAGGGAGTCGAAGGCCCCGAAGTGAAAGCCACAGAAGTAGGATTCACTCAGTGGGTAGAGCAGACTTCGCAGCTGAGCCTGGTATCTCAAGTCAACTACCTGGCGAGCAATATCCATAAATTTGCTGAAACGCCCTTACCAAAAGAGGAGGAGACCACTGAAGCTGTACCTCCCACCGTTGAAGAGGAAGAGGAAGAGGAAGATGATGTGGATGTGGAGGAGCCTACAAAAGCACCTGCTCAAGATAACGAAGACAGGCCACATCTTGTTGTCATTCCACGGCCACCCGAGTGGTCAGTTCCTAATCCCGAGAATGGTGTCGAGGGGACATCAGACGAGTCTAGTTATGAGGAAGACGAGTATTCAGACGAAGAGGATGAAGAAGGTGGTGCACCTGTCCCCGCATCAGTGGATAACAATGCTACCGGACGAGGCGTTGCACTTTCCTTCCCGTTCTTAGAGCTCTACGGAATCGAGTTACTGGAAATTTTGAACCTCAACATCACGGTCAAATGCGAGAGATGTAAGGTGTCAGTTGACATCAAGCACGTGCCCCAAATTACCGATGAGAAGGGCCAGATGCCGAAAATGGAGTCATGTCGGAAATGCGCTAATAACATGAGCGTCGGTGAGTACACGCCTGATGTCATTCTCCTTTTCATGATGGACTTCTGACTCTCGTGTGTAGCGTTCCGGAAGCAGTTGATGCATTCTCATGCTAATCGTGCCGGCTACCTTGACATGGGCGGCTGTACGATTGGGGACATGCTTCTCAGGTTGGTACTCTTATTCATATCAGTAAAGCGCTTTTTGCTGACTTATCTTGCTATAGCGACTTCATCCCAACCTGCTCTGAGTGTTCGACTCCCCATCCAGCACCGGGTATACCTGCAGTTCGTGGCGAGAGTGCCATGGGTATATGTCGCCAGTGCCATCGCAAAATGGGTAGGTTCTAATACCCAGTCTGTTGTTTGACCGCTAACATATCCAAATTTAGTTTTCAAGATCCCTGAAGTGAAATTCCTTCTAGTGGGAAGTGCAGCAAGTAAGTCCTGATATATCGGACCCACAAGATATCCTTTTATTGATGCATCAACTAGTCACTGCTCGAGGAGGCCTTCCCCCGAAAAGAAAGGTTCGTACAATATGCAGTCTTCTGCCACGATGAAACCTAACATTTATCCCAGCCCCAAGAAGTCCTCGGCATTGTCGCAGGACAAGAACTTCCGCGACGCGGTCGTTGCCAGCACTACTCCAAAAGTCAACGCTGGTTTAGGTATGTAGTTGGAGTACCTGAAAGACGGGTTATACTGACCTCCTACAGATTCAGCTGCTGCTCAAAAGTCTTCCCTTGTGACAAGTATGTTTCTCCCAAGGAATATCTCCCCATCCTTTCACATGTTTATTAATCTATCTAGATGTCACGATGCGGAAACAGATCACCCGAACGAACACGCAAATCGTATGATTTGTGGCTACTGCTCTCGCGAGCAAATCTACAGACCAGAGAACTGCGGTATCTGTAAAGCTGTCCTAATTGGAAAGGCAGGTAGTGGGTTCTGGGAGGGAGGAAAGGGAACGAGAAATCGGACTCTAATGAGTCGAAAAGGTATGCTTTTATCCTAAACTTCCTGATTGTGAGTGCGCTTGTCTAATACGCTCTAGATCCGAGGAAATTCAAGCGGATGGGAGCCAATGCTCCTGCTTCGAGTTCATCGAAGCGGAAGTAAATGAGGTCGGAATAAGGGCGAGATGAAAACTCTCATCCATTTCACTATGGCCATGAGAGAGTTTATTGTATATAGTTTATTTCAACCTTAAAAGCCTTTCCCAACCCAAGGAATGGACATAGCATCATCAGTATCTCATTCTCACGTCCATGAAAAAAGATCACATTCCCGCTTTCTGTCACCCAATTACTCGCACAACTAGACCCAACGACTATACAACAATACAGAAAATTTCCATGATATTGGAGACACTAGAAGTTGCCACCTCCTTTGTTATATGGGTAGTGGTATGTATATGCAGTGGCGCTGCTGTAGGTGTGTCTTCATCCACATTCACACCCCCTCTTCATCGCTAAGAAACTCTAGCCCATACGGTACAGCTATATTCAGAACCAGACTATACAGATATGAAGGACAAGTTGTCACAAACAAAGAAGAAATGGATCAATGATAAGAAGCGTCTGTTGGCTGAATCAAAAGCCATATTCAAGCGGGAGGCATACTTGATAGAACATCTCCAAGGTGATCAAGATCACAGGATCAACGGTGTTTTTGATGCGGATAATTTGAAGTTGATGAATGACTTGGAAAAAGATTTGGATGAGCATCGGTTTAAGATTCGACAGAATTGTCGTGAGCTTGCGGACTTACTGGATCGATACTGTGACTGAGGGTAGTATACTTGGGTGAACGGAGGATTATTAGATTGTAGGGGTTGCTTCCTTTGGCTCTTAACAATGAGGTTCGAGAAAGTGTAGAACCGGTGTGTTGCTTTGGATTGCTTGGTTTATTCAAAGTAGAGAACGTATTAGTTTATTTCCAAGTTCAAATTGCTTTATTTGAATGTTTTCTTTGATCTGTTGGTCGTATACAAATTGTCGTATGGAAGACACCCAACACACCTATGCGGTTGTATCAAGTGAACACTCTTTGCTAACTGGGGCTCAGATCTCACATCTGTTCTACATTCCTAATTTTAACACATCGCAGACATGCCATCTTCCATTTATAGCGGCTTGAGTTATAAAACTATGAAATAATTCGAAAAGTCGTTATTAAGGAAAAAGCCCTAATTCGCTAAATACAAAATGCAAACTCCCAAACTGCAAGGGATCCACAGAAAATGCCCGAGTAAATGAACTTTTCATCTTAAACCAAGTTACCACGAAGTTCCTGCTCTCGTTCGATAGCCTCGAATAGTGACTTGAAATTACCAGCTCCGAAGCCTTCGAAGTTATGGCGCTGGATAATCTCAATGAACACAGTAGGTCGGTCCATCATGTGCTATTTGTCAGGTTAGCATATATTCATAAATACGGAAGTTAATGGTTTTCACATACCTTGGTGAAAAGCTGTAGCAGATAGCCACCCTCATCGAAATCAATCAAAATATCCAGGCTGCGGATCGTCTCAAAGCTTTCCTCAAGCACCAAGCCAGACTGCTTCAAGCGGACCTGCATATCGGTGTAATATGTCTCGGGGACCTTGATGAACTCAACACCACGTGCCTTGAGATTGGTGATATCACGGATAATATCGTCAGTGTGGAGTGCAATATGCTGTACACCGGCACCATTGTAGAAGTCCACGTATTCCTCAATCTGGGATTGCTTCTTGCCCTTTGCTGGTTCGTTGATGGGCATCTTGACGATTTCGTTAGGTGAGGCCATAACGACACTGCTTAAAGCTGAGAATTCACTAGAATTGAGGGTCAGTCATGGTGCCTGAGTATCAGGAAAATATGTTGAAACACTTACGTGCAGATTTCGTTATCATCGACGGACCAGAAACGGTGGAAGCCAAGAGCTTTCTCGTAGCTACCCCATGGTATTAGTAAATGAAGCTCACTCAAACAATCTGGACTGAACTCACTATTCACAGATCTTGTCCATCTCATCCCAGTCCTGGTTTCCAACACAGTGATCGATACGCTTCAGATGAACACCAGGCAAGAACTGTGCGATTGGATCTTCATTACCAGTCTCAGAACGGTAGCCTGGCATAAAGACGCCACGGTACTCGCTGCGCTCAATAAGGGTATGGGTGGTTTGCCCATAAGTCTGAATAGTGGCAGTCTTGACATGGCCAAGCTTATCTTCAAGGGTCTTAGGGTTAAGGACAGCCTTAGCGCCATTCTTCACGGCAGCGAAGAAGACAGCATCAACGTTGTCAACTTCAAAGGCAACATCCTTGACTGCATCACCGTGCTTCTCGAGATGGTCATGGATCTCCTTTAGCTCGGCTTGCTCTTCAGGGTTGAAGCGGTCGAGTTGGTCAAGGGAGCGCAGAGGGGAGGTGAGGATGAAGGTGATATCGCCGTTGCGGATGACATGGGAGCAGATGTTGCGGCTGCCAGTCTCAAGTCCCTTGTAGGCAATACGCTTGAAGCCCATGCGAGTGATGTAGTAGCTTGCGGCTTGCTTGGCGTTACCAACGTACCAGTGGACATGGTCGTAGCCACGGTAGCTTGCTACTGAAGATTCCTCAACGGCATTTGAGGGAGGAGGACTATTGGAAATAGCTGAAGGTGCCATATTGTTATATCCCGTATGTGTGATGATATTGGATTGAAATGTAGATGGTAGTACACGAGAGGGGATATCTTATTTGGCAAGTCTACGCCACCCTTTTAAATAACTAATTCAGTAAGCAATTTCTCTCGGCGGATATCTATTCCAATCCACTTTCCTTCTCACTCTGTCAGAAATCCCGGCTGTTTCAGACATCCTGAGATATCCGGTGATACCCGGACCCACTGATATCATCATTAATATCCGAAGATCTACAATTTCTTGGCTTCTCGATTCCTGTCGAAACATTTTGCTTTGTTCTTCATATTCTTTATTTTTCAATTTAGTGATTACAGTGACTCTATTCTGAATTGACTCTGACAATATCCTCACCAATCTGTCATTTCAACATCAAATTGCAAGATGACATCTATCACAGCTGCTCGGCCATCATTGACATCTAATGATTCAGCTGTACTACAAGCTCTATTTGATGCAGAATCATCTCCGTCATCAGGGGTCATCGTTGATTCATCGCTTCCCTCATGGCCATCATCTCTGAACATCACCGAAACAGACTTGGTATCACTCAAGCAGCGCGAAACAGACATCATCCGCGAGCTACAATCAAATAAATCACCAAGCATAGAGACAGTCCAGTCTGCACTGGAGGACTTCGACACTCTCCTCACACGGAATCCAACATATCCCTCGGCATACACAAACCGAGCACAAACACTCCGCCTGTTGGTTGATCTGATCTACAACAAGGAGGCGGGTGATGACCGAGGCACTGATACCGAGCTAGCTGATGCTGCCCTCTTTGCCCCGTCAACCTCTCAGCTTTGCTCCCGCATCTTCTCCGACCTTGGCCAAGCCATAACCTTTGCCACGCCCGCTTCTCCCGCCGATGCAGTCTCAAGTACCCAGGCACGGTTATTGGCGGACGCGCACACGCACAGGGGTTACTTGCTTCTGAAGGCGGCGCGTGTAAAGAAGGCTGGTTCAGGCGATGAGACGGGTCCGGAGCGGCTGCGCGGACTTTCGGCTGATCAGCTTGAGGAGATGGCTAGTCGGGACTTTTTCTTTGGGGGCCGCTATGGGAATAAGGTTGCGCAGCAGCTTTCTGTACAGACGAATCCTTACGCGAAGATGTGTGGGGCTATTGTAAAGGAGGCGATGAGGAAGGAGCTTGAGAAGTGAAGATTATGTATGGGGATATAATTTAATGTGCCAAGTCGGTTGAAATAACGAAGCAATAATGAAAGACCATTTTGATAAATTTGATTGAATTTTTGTATTAATGCTATCTAGCTAGTTGAAAATGTGCTATTACCTCATCGCAATGGTAACTACCTATAGCTTAGGCCTTTTTGTTGGGGTTTACAAAGTGTCGCTTGAGAGGCTTCCAGCTATGCTCGTTGTACTCTGGCTGCACCTTCTGGCACGTCTTAAGACCCCATTCCGAGACACCGACCATGAGAGCACTAGAGCATTGTCAGCAAATAGAACAAGCATCTGAAATAAACAGAAACCGAACTAACCTTTCAAACATGAAAGCCATACTACCATCACCAACCTTTTGAGGCTTCAGCTCAGCGTTGCTAGCTCCCTCAAAAGCACCCGAGTCGGGACCATGGGCACTCATGACATTGTGCAAACTAGCACCGGCAGGCTTGAAACCACCACCAACCTTTGCATCGTAGTCACCAGAAATCAGACCCATGAACTCCGACATGGTGTTACGGTGGTACCACGGTGGGCGGAAAGTACCCTCTGCGACGAGCCAGCGAGGAGGGAAGATGACAAAGTCAGCAATGGCCGTACCAACATGGTCCGATGGACCTGTCAACACAGTGAATATAGAAGGGTCGGGGTGGTCGAATGAGATCGAACCGATAGTATTGAACCGGCCGAGATCGTATTTGAAAGGGTAGTAGTTGCCGTGCCAAGCAACAACATCGAAGGGGGTGTGGTTCTGTCTGGCGGCGAAGAGAGTGTTGTTGAATTTGCTGTAAAGCTTGTACTCGCTTTCCTCTTCGTCGTCGAAAGCGGCAACGGGGGCTTGGAAATCGCGTGGATTCGCCAGACAGTTGGATCCAATGGGACCTAGCTCTGGGAGCTGGTAGTGACCCTGGTATAGTTCACAGATGTATCCCCGCACAGGGCCGTCTGGAAGGGTCACTCGGTATCTGAGGGGAGTGGTTAGCTGCTGGTCCCATGTAGCATACGGCAGGAACCCACCTAACACCACGAGGAATAACACAGATCTCATTTGGTCGCAGAATAATCCGACCAAGCTCGGTCTGGATATCTAGCACACCGTGCTGAGGCACAATTAGGAAGTCTCCGTCAGCGGAGTAGAATGCTTCCTTGCCCATGTCCTTACCCGCAGCATACATCAAGATGCCCAATCCTTGCTTCAGGGTCGGATCTCCGGACCCGGCAATTAAGTGGAGTCCATGCACCCAGTCGACCTTCTCATCTAGATCGAAGGGGTTCCATCGGAGCTGGTTAGGGATGTGATGAAGTTTATGGGTCTCAGTTGTCATGCTTGTATGATACGAGCCGGCATCCTCTGCGATGAAGTTCTCATGAGCTGCTGCAGGTAGAATTCGATAGACCCATGTCTGTTTATTCTCGTGACGGGGTGCTGTGAATGCCGTTCCCGAGAGTTTCTCAGTGTAGAGCCCATATGGAGCTTTCTGTGGGGAATTTTGGCCTATTGGCAAAGCCCCTTCGATGGCTTCCGTCCTATTTACTCATTAATTGTGTTCCTTTGTGCTGTAACTATGCGAATACATACTCGTGATGCGAGTCGAAGCCCGTCTGGTACTTGTAGGGATCAGGGTGACTGAAATTAGTGACAGGCATATTGAAGATGTGGTTTGGATAAAGCAGACCCGCCTTGATTTAACAAATACCCCAGACCAACCGAGGAACTCAGCTGTCAAAAGCAATTATATGTGAGGTCACACCAGTCACACCATTCCGCGAATCTGATAATTCCCGCGATTAGCCTTTCATTCCGCATCGGCTGAATGCGGGGGGCGGACAAATTCCGCACTACTTTAGAGGTGTTAAGGCCCGTCAAGTCGCTTTCTCTTTCTCCCTAAACCATTCAACAATAATTCATCATGTCTTCGTGGCTTCAAATTCCTAAGAACTCGCCGTTCTCGCTGGCAAATATCCCGTTCGGCATCATCTCAACAAAATCCACATCAAAGGCAGCTGCGATTGCAATCGGTGATCATGCATTGGACTTGAGCGCATTCGCTTCATCTGGGGGCTTTTCACAGCTTCCAGTTATCGAAAAGCACCTAGCTGTTTTCAGCCAACCGACACTAAATGACTTCGCTGCACTTGGTCGCCCTGTGCACCGTCAAGTGCGCGAGTATCTACAAAATATCTTCCGCGCCGACACAAAGTTCCCACAGCTCCTTAAGGACAATGCCTCCCTGCAACAGGCAGCTCTGCTTCCCTTGTCCCAAGTCACCAATCATCTCCCCATGCAAATTGGCGACTACACTGATTTCTACGCTGGTCTGAACCACGCTTATAACATTGGCGTCCTCTTCCGTGGCCCAGACAATGCCCTCCAGCCTAACTATAAGCACCTGCCCGTTGCCTACCACGGCCGTGCCTCATCAGTCGTGCCTTCAGGCACACCGCTTCACCGTCCCCAGGGTCAGATCCTGCTGAACCCTGCCGCGGACCCTAAGGTGCCTACTTTCTCTCCTTGCAAGAAGCTTGACATCGAGCTAGAGCTTGCTTGCTTCATCGGTAAACCCAATGATCTCGGCAAGCCTGTCCCAATTGACCAGGCAGAGGACCACATTTTCGGTCTGGTTCTCATGAACGACTGGTCCGCCCGTGACATTCAGGCTTGGGAATACGTCCCTCTGGGCCCCTTCAATGCTAAGAACTTCGGTACCACCATCACCCCCTGGGTGGTTCTGATTGATGCTCTCGAACCTTTCCGCGCTCCCGGATTGGAGCCTGCAAACCGCGAGTCTCTGCTCCCCTACCTGCGCGAAAAGCGCGCCGAGAGTGCCTACGAGATCCCTCTCGATGTTGAGGTCACCAACTCCGGTGGTCAGCCCACTGTTATCGCTAGCAGCAACGCCCGCAATCTGCTTTACTCTTTCCCTCAGATGGTTGCTCATCACACTATCACAGGCTGCAATTTGCGCACCGGTGACTTGCTAGGATCGGGTACTATCTCTGGAAAGGAGGCTAAGACCCAGGGTAGTTTCTTGGAACAGACCAATGGTAAAGTTCCTCTTAAGCTGGCGGATGGCTCTGAGCGTATGTTCCTTGAGGACGGTGACACTGTTACTCTGCGTGGTATGGCTGGCACAGAAGGTAACTATGTCGGCTTCGGCGACTGTGTTGGCACTATCCTACCTGCTGTTTCGCTGCAGTAGATGACTTAAAAGAAATTAAATGATCAATGTGTGATGTTGCTGTTTCACTTTTTTCTACAATATAGAGGTTGGAATAAATGTCCCGGGCAGTTTTATTTAGCCAATACAACCGGCACAAATGATCACCTGCTTCATTTTCGTCAAGATGTCATGAACTTCCCCAGTATTACGAGCATGACAGGATATTCCACGAACAGGAATTAAAACTACTATGTAGTCAAGGCACTAATTTCTGACTTCTCAGCTATTCCTTAATACGAAACTCCTCAGGGGTATCTTCCTGTGACCTCCAATGCCCCTTCTTAACCGCCTCCTCCATCTCCAAGTTCTTCACAATCTCATTCGTAACCGGGAACTGACTCAAGTCAACTCCAAACCGCTGAGCACCCCAGGCAGCAGGAATCAGACACAAATCTGCAATGGTAATATCATCTCCAACGCTGAATTTCCCCGCCGATTCCTTAACAGTAGCCTCATAAGCCCTAAACCCATCCTCCATCAAATCCTTCGACCAGACAGCACGATCAACACCCAGCGGTCCAACCCGCTTCAAAATTCTAAGGTTCGTAACAGGCTGTATATCACAAGAGATAATGTCCGCCAGAGTGCGCACTACAGCGCGACCCTCCGGGTCCGAGGCCGGGGGGAGCAGCGCAGGCCCTTGATCTGGGAATGCTTCTGCGAGGTACTCAAGTGCAGCGAGAGATTGTGTAATGGTCACGGGTGCTTTGGAGTCGCGCTGGATTACTAGAGCTGGCACTGTTCCTGAGGGGTTGATGGCCAGATGGGCTGGGGAGGATTGCTCGCCCTTTAGAAGATTCACATAGACGGATTTGAAAGGGATTTGTTTTAAGTTCAGGGCTATCCGGAGTCTGGCGGAGCAGGATGAGCGGAAATAGGTGTAGAGAGTCACTGTGTCGGACATTGTGAACGGTTGTATTCGTGATATTCGATCTATGAGATATTGGGAGTATAGGAGTAGCGATGAAGGTACCAAAACGGATCTAGATAGAAGAGGGTTCTTGCTTATAAACCGGGCTATGCGACCTTGGAAGTTCAACTATGTTAAGTCACTTTCCCCCAGACGCGGATCGTTTACCTCTACCTTGTACATGTAGAGCATTTGCGGAATGGATTCCGTCGTCTTGAAGCCGAGTCCAACCGCTGTAGTTGTACACTTCGGCTATGACGGATGATATTTATATTATTTCTATATTTTCCTAGACTATTACACATTTTATTCAAAGAGTACATGCATTAGAGCCCCATAGACATGCATCTGCTTTATTCTACGTGACATGTGATCTACAGATTTTTTCGTTTATTGGCATTTTACACGCTACATCGCCAATCAAATTGAGGTTAAACTTGAATCAAATTTGAATCTTTATAAAATAAGTCAAACACACCTATTTTAATTAATTTATATCCTTTAGTTAAAGGTCCGATCCCTAAGACACTATGGAGCTGAGAAGCTTGGACCCGACGGATATCGCCGGGTAATAATCCTGGCTCCGCATTTCTTTGTCTCCTGCAATTATCCATAGCATCACCAAATATCCACAGAATCCACTTCAGCGCCGAGGTCCTGGTTGAATCCGCCCAGGAACGGTTGACGATGGATGGTGTCAGGTCATCCCGTCCGGATAAGCCGTATCAGCGCACCTACAAGGCATGTATCCCTTGCCGACAGAGAAAGGCCAAATGCGACCTAGGGACCGGTCCAGATGGCCTTCCGATCGGCCCACCATGTGCGCGCTGCCGAAGGGAACTAAGAGAATGTGTATTCCCCGAGAAACGGGCATGGGAAAGGTCCCGCAAACGAGGTACGCTAGAATCGAGTGCTTACCATACCTAATCGGCTGTTATCTAAATGGTCAATTTCTAGTGCGATCACCGGAGAGCTACGAAGCCGATGTATCACCCCGAGACGCCAGACAACTTACGATCACCTCGCCCGGTAGTTCTGTCGTTGCACAAGGATTAACCCACAAATCGCATGCAAGCGACGTGGCTAATTCATCTCCCGAGACCAATTTTCACCAGGAGCCCGCCTTCCAGCCGCGATGGCCATATCATCGGGATCAAACAGGGTCTCACCGTGGCTCCCTCGAGCACCCTTCCGTCGGGCCTTCACAAACTGATCAGTCTCCTTCTCATGCATATGAAAATAACAGACATCGAGCGAATTCCACCCTTGCGAGCTCTATGATGCGCACTGTCGTTGCGAGCGGTAATGATGCACTTAATATTCTCTTCGAGGCTGCAGCTGCTCAAGAAGATATTAACCCTGATACTAGCTCCGAGTCACTAGCTGGGCCTCCATCGGCAGGTCCGAGTACTCAAGATCGAACACCCAGAAACTATGATGCCACGTTTGAGTCGGTGCCACGGGTAATACATCCTGTTAAGCTGTCAGACGCCGCCCGAGACACTCTCAATGTCTGGGAGGCTTGTCGGTTTGTCAAGATGGGCTGGTTCACTGCTAGAGAGGCTGTTACCTTTATTGATCTGTATGTTCGCTCGCATGTCCCATGTCTTTGCCAAATGAATGCTAACCATAAGTAGGTTCTATCAGAATATGTCCTGTTTATCGCCGATTCTAACTGATTTCTACGCCGACCACCGATATCACTACTGGCTGATTACTCGGGAGCCAGTCCTGTGCTCCACCATTCTCATGATCTCTTCCCGCTACCATGTCCTTCCTGGAGCAGGGGGAGAGTCCAGGAATTTCTTTATTCATCATAGACTATGGTCACATTGCCAGAAATTGACGATGCGGCTGATATTTGGGCAAGAGAAATCGACAAAATCCAAGGTACGGAGTCTTGGTACTGTGGAGGCTCTTCTATTGATGTCAGAATGGCATCCTCGCGCCCTCCATTTTCCGCCCGAAACAGATGGCTGGGATGATGACTTGATTCCAGCAGCACCCGGGAATCACGACAATAATGACCCGAACGCGGAACCTGGCGGGCGCGGGGTAGAAGATATAATTGAGCCAGCACGCCGATCTGACCAAATGTCGTGGATGTTGCTTGGGTGTGCACTTTCCCTTGCACATGAGCTGGGTATATTTGAGAAAGAAGGAAGCAGCTCACCGGCTGACGAACCAGAATGGAGAGAACAGATTGTGATTCGCTGGCAACGTGTACAACGTCTGCTATACGTCTACATCAACCAATTGGCTTGGCGGATCGGATGCATGTCACCGATTCCTCAATCATTAAACCATGCTATCCTGGGTGGACGGAAGCCACAAGGACTAGATCCACCTGGCAGCACGTGGTTAACGTTCATGGATTCGTGGATTGAGCTTACCAAGCTAGCCAAGTCTGTCACTGATATGTTCTTCCCCTCTGCTGCGTTTGCTCGCCAGCAACTACACAGCGGTCGATATGTTGGCCTACTTGAGCATTTCCGACCTTTACTCAACCAATGGAAAGACAAGTACCTACAGCCCCAAGTACTTGATAAAGCATTCTACAACGATCTGTTCATCGAATACCACTTCGTCCGCGTATACACCCATTCAGTGGGAATGCAAGCAGTAGTGGAACGTGCTGTCGCAGAGAATGACCCTAATAACTTCGACGGAGTGCGACCCATGACCATCGACCCAACAGACTACGAATACATCCAAGAGGTCATCGATGGATGTGGCCAGATCTTACAGAAAGTCACCCATTTAGCCGAAGCAGGGGCGCTCCGATTCTCCCCAGTTCGAATCGTTCTTCGCATAACCAGTGCCTCGATCTTCTTGATGAAAGCACTCAGTCTGGGTACACGGCAAGCCAAGCTCCAGGAATCAATTGAAATATTAGAAAAGAGCATCAAAGCACTCAAGTCAAACGCCTTGGATGATGTACATCTGAGCACGCGATATGCCACGCTGTTAGACATGCATGTTTCGCGCTTGCGACGCAATCTTCTTGCGTCTTCAAAAGCAATGAAAAGTAGTCAAGACGTTACCCGAAGATCATCCATGGCGCCTCCTCCTTGGCCAGACAATGGTGACCGGTCAAATCCCATGAGAGCCCCTGTATCGCAAGATCCACCCCCGGATCTGGGATTCGTTCCATCGTTGAACGATATCGGCGCTGATAACTGGCTTTCGCTACCATTTGATCCATCAATGGCGCCTTTTGATATGAGCCATGGATGTCAATTTCCGATGTATGAAGGTGGCACCTTAGACTTTCTTTGGAATTTGCCATCATGAGCTATGTATTTGTCAATTGGATAGCTTTGTATGTAGCCAATTATGCAATGATAGTGTGATACCCCAAGATGTTACTCCGCCTTGCATTTCCCCGCACCAGAGCAACACAACCTTCGAATACCACCTGGGCAATTATAGCCAGTTACCAATATGACGAACCCAGCGTCATTCAAACCCACTCTAATTATCCACGGTGGCGCCGGTAACATCCAACGCTCCAAACTCCCCCCAGACCTCTACGCCGCCCACCACGCCTCCCTCAAATCTTATCTCCGCTCAACCCACACCCTCCTCAAAAATGGTAGTAGAGCCCTAGATGCAGCCGTCCATGCAGTCTCCCTCCTCGAAGATGACCCTCTATTCAACTGCGGCCGCGGTAGCGTCTTCACAAAAGCCGGCACAATCGAAATGGAAGCATCCGTAATGGTGACATCCGTGCACCACAACACAACCCAGCCCGGCACAATCAAGCGCGGCGCAGGCGTAATGGGCGTCCGTAACGTACGACACCCGATCCAACTCGCACGCGAGTCTATCCTCAGATCCGGTGTTGCCGCCGATGGATCACCCGTAGATGACGGAGGGAGTATGCATTCCCAGCTAGTCGGGCCGTATGTGGAGACACTAGCACGGGATTGGGGACTGGAGTTTTGTTCCGATGAGTGGTTTTTCACGCAGAAGAGGTGGGATGAACATATGAGGGGTTTGAAAGGGGAGGAAGAGCCGATTTCGTTGACACAGGGGACTGTCGGTTGTGTTTGTCTTGATCAGTGGGGGAATCTGGCTGTTGCTACTAGTACCGGTGGGCTGACGAATAAGTTGCCCGGTAGAATTGGTGATACGCCTACCTTGGGGGCTGGGTTCTGGGCTGAGGCTTGGGATGAGATTGTGTCGGGTGATGAGACAGTGCTGGATAATTCATCGGTGACTGGATTGCTACGTGATGCGAGGAACTGGCTGGGTGATTGTATACCGCAGTTTCTGCGGGATCAGGCACTACCTGTTTACTCCTCACTTCCGGGTGATGGTTCCTCTAGGCAACGGGACTTGGGGTCGGAGAAGACTTGTTATTCTTATACATCATCTGCTCAATGCTCTCGTCGGAGGGCTGTTGCGGTTTCCGGGACTGGGAATGGGGACTCGTTCCTTCGGGTTGCGGCTGCGCGAACTACTGCTGCAATGCTACGGTTTTCGTCGCCTGGTAGGTTCCCATCTGGTCTTGCAGACGCGGTGACGGCTATTTCTGGACCCGGTGGTGAGCTTCAACGTTCGGCTGGCTCTAGGTGGGGAAAGGCTGGTGAGGGTGAAGGGGGTATCATTGGTATAGAGGCAGAATTTGGCACTGTGAAGAGGACATCGGATGTTAAACTACATCGGGGTAAGGTTGTGTTTGACTTCAATTGTGGTGGTATGTGGCGTGCTTGGGTAGAGGAGGATAATGCTGGTAACGAAGTGGAAAGGATCATGGTCTTTCGAGAGCAATATTAATATAATATATTTCCTACGATTGAGTTCGTTGTGTCCCTTGTATCAATCATATAACTTCTTCAATTGTTCTCAATGATATTTACGAGTAACTTCAAAGCCCAATCCAAACTTCCAGCTGCACACTTCTGGTGTACCCATCCCACTTATTTATCTGCAGCTCATTTGACCTATTGCTCGTTCATTGTCTGATGCGACGACATAGAGACTAGGAGGGCAACGAAGGCGGCTAGTGAATTAGGCAACCCCAATGAAGAAGACCTATTGTTGGTTCTGTATTGGTATGAGAATATACCACTTAGCCTCATGCACCAGTACGAGTGATGCAAGTAAAAAGTAATAAAATCTATTTCAACATGGGTATATGCTCACCTGCTTCATGGGCGCCGGGGGGGCTTTTCCTGCTCTCACGTCGTCGCCAGATACCCACTCCCCAGCCTCGTTCGTATATCCGAGACCACATTTGCAGGTATCACTAGTTAGGCAACCTGCAGCGCACATCTAGGGGGGAAACAATGGGTAAGCATTAGACTTTGAAAAAAGAATGTATGTTAGATGAAAAACTCAGATATACCTCCTCTTCAGTGTCTGGAGTTGGGGCCGTGGAAGGCATTATAAGTATTGTATATCGGGAACTTTGTAAACGGAGTTCCAAGTTTGCAGTTATGAATTATCGGAACATGGGATGAATCGACCCCTTTTAAAATACTCTACTATTCAAATCCTTCAGCCTCATCTTGATCACCGTAAGCGGGGTATTCCACCACAACACCCGGGTGCTGCTTATGTACATGATACCTTTCCTAAAATGGTTTAGGTGTATATAGATAGCGTCGTGATTTAAATTAGTATGACACGTGGATGAATGAGGGTTTTCCTTATGCCCAGCATCAACCTCAAACATGTTCATACCTGTCCTCGTGGTCCAATCAATTAACGAGCTACCGTGTGATTGCTGCATTCGACAGGTAATATTCTGAGCCATGTAATCCTTTGGCACTAATTGCTATGTGCCTATGTTGTTATGAAGTTAGTGCTTTGGTGATTCGTGTACTAGTTTGTCACAGCCGAATATGTCAAGGATCCTTCCCTTGACATATTTTCATATTGCATTATCCCATGTCTGAAGATTATTAGGATCATGACCACCCCAGATATCTCTGTGTGGGCCCAAGCGGTAGATGTAAGTATATGGAGTTCCAGATTGTTCTTTGTGCATCGCCAATTGAAGAGATAAGATTTAACTAACAGCCCATACAGTTATACAACAAGACTCTAACAAAAGACCCCAATAAACGGATCGATGTGAATACAGGGTGGGGCCCTGGTATTCACTCACTTTCAAGTGTTGACCAGCTCATCGACTTTGCTTGTGAGACGAAAAAATGTGCTGAAGAGAAAAAGTGGAAATTCTCAAGCCGAGTAGATGAGATACTGCTCTGGTTCAATCGAAATGCGACCGGTAGTTTCACCCTCCTATTTTATATATACAACGATTACTAACTTCCACCTTTCAGTGGTGGATGTAATGATCCAACACCAGCCACACATAACAGCCCTAGTTTGGGGTGGCATCCGAAGCTTGCTTGCCGTGAGTCTCACTATATGTCTGAAAAGGTAATGGAAAGACTAACTCGGCCTTTTTGAACTTCCCAGGTTGCGATTAGAGAGATCGAGGTTTCAGATAAAATAGGATCAAGCCTCCTTGACCTACTGAAGCATATAGGACGCTGGGAAACCTATCTCCAGCTGTGGCCCGCTACACCGCGTCTTTCAGCGGCTTTAGTTGAGCTTTTGGCACAAATAATCAACTTTCTTGTTCGAGCAAGCACATACCATCAGACACCTCCACACAGTGAGTTGCAGCCATCTTTTCCTTGGGAATCCGAAAGGATAATCAGGCTAATCATGAACGGCATCATTAGAGCGATATGTGAAAGCTTCCTTTACATTTTTCAATGAAAAAGTTGAGAATATCTTAGCTAGCATTACACGCTTAGCTGACAACGCGGAAAAGGAAGCTCTGCTGGCTTCACAAGTTGGTATGTGTTAGAATTCCCCGGGAGATCTTGATCTGACCACGTATGGGATTAGAGCAGCGAAAGCAGTTCACTCGCGCTTCCGCAGACTCCAAAACGCAAGCGCTAATCAGTGAAGGTAAGACTTGGATATATAAATCATGGAATAAATTATCTCACTAACACCTTGGACCCTGCATTAAAGGCCAAATGCACATGCTACGGAACATCAATCTCAAGTGTGAAAGCCTCGCCGCAATGTCAAGGAAAAGCCAAAACAGTATGCCACCTCCAAATCTAGACGCAAGTGACAGGTTAACTGAGAATCCAAGACCAGGAATCCGCATTGGTGGCGTTGGCGTCATGCCTACGAGATGCTCAAGGTATATTACCGCGCAAAATCCCGAATCAATTGGCCTTGACTGAGTCTGAAATAGTCCACGAGATTCAGAATCGACAGCAAGCTGCAATAAGATGGATTCGACAGGGTCTCTCGGCAACTGTGAATATTCCTCATTGGGAAAAGGATACATGTGAATGGATCACTACTCACAAAGCTTTCCTGGCTTGGAAAGCCGATGGTTATCAAACTCCACTATGGATCCATGGCATACCTGGTAGGTTCTTATGTTGCCCTTTCTAAAATAGCATTCAACTTCTGAATACTGAACGAACCGTTTCGCGCCTAGGTTGTGGCAAAAGCGTGCTGGCCAGCTACCTGACGCATAATGGCTTCAACACTACCGACACGCCAGGGGGCGTCTTCGCCTACTTTTTCCAGAAGTCTCAGGATACTTCCACGCCATCCGCCATGGTCTGCTCTGTTGTTGCGGAAATCATGACTTCTTCTACTTTGAATCAATCGGAAGGGTTCTTTGACGCCATATCTAGCATCGAAGTCTTGATGGATCGACACAGTAAAGGAACTGATTGTCCCCTGGATATGACTTGGCGAATACTGGAGTCTTTGATGGCTAAAAGCCCGGGATTTGCTATAATTGTGGATGGAATTGACGAGTGCGCCGAGAAAGAGGATGTGAAGAAGCTGCTACAGCATCTTGGCAAGATGGCCCAAACAACCAATGCTCGGATAATCGTCTGTTCCCGATACTTCAAACACATTCATCAATCACTAGGCAATATTACGCGCCTATTGATTGAGGCTGATCAAATTGGTGCTGATATTCAAGCCTTCGTTAGAGCTGAAATCGACCGAACAACGCGGCTAGCTAAGATCAAAGAGAGATTGTTGACCAAGTGCAACAAACAATCCCACGGCATGTTTCTGTGGGCACGGCTTATGTTAGATGCCGTAAAGGCGGCACCAGATGTCAAGACCCAGCTGGAGATTATGGAAAGCTTTCCACCAGGACTAGACGCCGTTTATGCTCAATTCATCAACAAGACAGGTCGTGGGCTCGATAGTGCCCATCTTAGCATTCGCCGTCAATTTTTTACCCTGATTATAGGGAGCTTTCAATTCCTGACCATCAATGACATTGGTACAGCCATGAGTTTAGATGTTCGTCGTCTATGCAAAGATGAGAACCGTGAGCTTTTTGACGTTGAGACCAAACTGTGCGACCTTTGCAGCCCTCTTGTGGTCACCACAGACGGGACTGCTCGGTTAATTCACGCCTCAGTTAAGGATTACTTGACTGGGTTCGAAAATCCAACTTCTTTATCCATCAGTTTAGATGCTACCACCACGAATCAGTTCATGGTCACTCGCTGTTTGTGTATGCTCATGCTACCTGAATTTAACAGCCGTTCTCTCATTGCTGATTTACTCCGACGAAGTATGTATAAGTACAGCGAGGTTGAGGAATCTGCTGTTGCCATGGAAAGCCCATCTACATTGCCGAGCTTCTACAAGTATGCGGCTCTCAATTGGCATTCACATCTGGTTGCACTACCCCAGGCTCCCCTGCATACCCTGAAGCTTGTGGCCAAGTTTTTCAAGAGTCCCCAGCTCGTTACATGGGCCGAAAGCCTCTTCTTACTTCGTGGAGGACTTCACGGTGCTCCGGCTATGGAAGTCGGTAGCTACTTGAAGTCCTGGCTTACTCTCCAGCCACCTTCATCGCGAGAAATTGTCCCGATGAAAGATTATGTCGAATCAGCATACGGGCAGCTGCTCGAAGATAGCCAAATGACAAAAGGCTTCCCTTTAGCGAGTGCATTTATTCGGTCCAGGTTGGCGGAATATCATGCCTGGACAGCAAACATAACCGACAGCGCTTTCGATCTGTTAGTGACGGCGGCGAAAGGCCTTGAAGATCACCTGGGTCCACATCAGTTGACATTAATGGCCTTGGATGCGCTGGCAACAGGTAAGGTGTTGAATAACATTTTTGAATCACTGCACAGAACGGCATCGCTGATTTTGCTTCTTCAAGGTACCCTAGTTCGAGGACTCCACGAGCAAGCAGCCCAGTCACACGCAGAGGTCCGGCGACAAAGAATTCAGATTCTGGGTCCAACGCATCGAGAGGTTTACATGAGCATGAGCTACGAGTGTCTGAGCAACTTCCACACCCTGAATTTTCGTGAAGCGCAAAGGCTCGGGGAAGAAGCGTCTAGGGGCCTGCTAGCCACAGGCGTCCCAACAACAAGGCTCTTCCTACACAACCAACTATATCTTGGATACGCACTAGAGGGACAACACAAGATTAAAGAAGCGCAAAGTCTTTACGAGAATGCCTATGCAACATGGATGGATCTCAATGGCCCGGACGACCCTTCTACACTGATGACCCAGAGCGCCATGGCATCAACATACAGAAAGCTTGGCAAACTAACGGAGGCAGAGCGTCATTATATTATTTGTTTTGCGGGCCGTCAGCGCGCTATGAGCCTAGACAACTATCTATGTATTGATCTCGCAATCAGCCTGGCTTATGTATACTGTGAGCTCCATCGAAATGAAGAAGCGGCAGCATTACTGGAGATCTGTCTTCCACTCCCGACCCTCAAGAAGCCGGCTCACTTTGAGCGTGTATGTCAAATAAGACATCTTCAAGCCTTGATGCTCTACGACGAAGATCCGGCGGCGGCCGAAGATTTGCTGCATGACTTGATAAACGCCTCCAGGCATAACCGGCCGCCTGTGAATCGGGAGTTGGCCTGGGTTCGAGTTACACTAGCAAATTGGTTGAGAAATCGTGGCAAGCTCAAGGAGGCCCTTCTGCTTTTCCAAGATCTTGTTATGCCAATTTATCCTTCGCATAGTGCCCCTTTGACAGACGAGCAATGCAATATTGCAGAGGAGGGGGTTAGGCTTGTTAAGGCCGGACTTGCAATCGAAGCAAGGCGCTTGCTTGGGAGCCATAATCTGCAGTGGGCGAGGGACTACTACTTTGATATCATCCATGGGGCTCCGCTCACGGATACAGCCTGGGAAAGGGGGTACCTCTAAGGAGGCCGTGGCAAATTGGAAACATTGGACGATAGACTGAGAGATGCAGCGAATGAAATAGAGGGAGAAATGTGACTGCTGTAGTTATTTCCATCATATGCACTATATAAGATTCCAATGCCACAAAAAGGATTAAACAAATGGGTTCCTAAAATAAACTGACAACCAAAAGAAATACCCATGACTTACGTCCCTAAATCGGCTGCTCGGCCCCAGCTATCAAACACCAAAGGGCATCTTGTCTGCATCACACCGGGTTCCTTCACCGGGCAATATGCCAGTGTGGAAGTATCGGCGGATGTTTTCGGCTGTGCATTTCGAATCGGCGGAATAGGTGCAATGCTAAGATGTATGAGAAATGAAGAAGAGTAATTCAAGCCAGACTGTACTCACCCCTGCAGATTCTTGCTCAAGGACAGCAGAGCCTGAGAATCTTTCCGCCATTTTGTACGCGCTAAATTCAAGAAATAAGCCACTGTATTGACACTGAGGAGGGCAGGGTCCTGGAGCATACTTCCTAAGTGGTGTGGCTGGATCCATGGTGTTTCCAATCCACAGAATGGGGTGTGCCGGACTCCCAGAAATGGGTCCTAAAAATAGTCAGATAGATAGCAATGGAAATAATTGAAAATTGGTAATACCCTCATATCTCCATTTTGGTCTGGTTTTCCATCCCCAACAAGGCATAGTGAACGAAGCCCAGATGTCGGCCATCCATCTACTCTGGCCCTTTAAAACTTTGTAATAATCGAAGAAATCCTGTTTCGTTAGGCCGGAACGGTCCTCCCCATCTGTGCAGCCAATAGACGCCAAAGTTTCCAAAAAGGTCTCTTCATAAGCAGGGCAGGCCTTCAAGCCATTTTGGGTGTTATCACCTGAGCAGATTGGCACTTTGTGCTCACTTTTCAGATCTGCAAGGATGCTCCCATTTCCATGCGAGACATCCGCAAGAACATCCGCTAGTAGTGGGAATTTTGTTAGGGGCTCATATACTGAATCTTTGATGAATCGCATGAGATCGCTGTATGTGATAATATCAGGCCCCCTTGTATCAGAACCCGGTACAGCCAAAGGAGTTTCGTTGAGCGATGTTAGGGTCTTGTCCAGAGTATCCCTCATTCCTTCGACGTTATTGCCAATTGCAAATGAGCATTTCTCGGGCCCAGCCTGATGGCAGATTTCAAAGAACATGTCGATGATTTTATCGGTGTCCAAAACATTCGCAGTCCAGTAGCCAGAGTACATGGACTGCGAATCGCATACACCGTCGAGGACAACACGCTTAACGCGGTGAGGGTACATAGCTGCAAATGTCGCCCCCAAGACAGTACCGTAAGAAAAGCCCCAGTATTGAAGAAGCTCTGCGCCTTTTCTCCATCGGGTTGCATCACGGATCCTCTGCCTCTGAATTTCTGGAACGGTCGGCTTGCTGGCGATAATGGCTTCTGCAGCGTTCTCTCGCCATTCCCCTAGTCGCTCAATAATCTCAAGAATATCTGCCGCCGTTGGTGTAGTATTCATGAATTGTCCTATCTCCGGGCCATCTTTGCGCGTACACGTGGCGCTTAATGCCATGGCCCTTCCCCAGGCTTGCTCTGTCGCTACTGTCGAGCTGCCGAGCAGATCGAGGAACTCATTGGCTAAAGACCAGCGCTGACGAGAATGCGGATCTGTGAAGCACTGGTATCGCGGAGTAGTATTGTTAATCCCGCGGGGATCAAATCCTACAATGTCATAGTATTTGTCGTCCACTGTCTGGGGTCCCTTGAAATTTTGCTGTTAGGTTCATGTTTCTTGTATTGCAATGTACCTAGGGATTAGAACGGGTTTGTACTCACTTGAACAGATATAGGCATAGCTTGGGAGTCCACGATTTTCTGGAGGCGCCTCCCTTGTCCCAGGATCATGTTGACACCTGATGCACCAGGCCCTCCTAGTAATCAATTAGCTTGATCTTTGTGAAAACCTTTTAGTTGAGCACACCTGGATTGACCAGAATAGTTCCACCATATCTGGGGTCTGTTACCGGCACCACAGCAGGGAGCTTAATTATTGCAAGGGCGACCTTCGCTGCGTCCTTATCTGTGCTGTTCCAGTCCATTGGTACTTCAAGGCGGGCACATTCATAGCTATCGAAGCATGGGGTATATGACAGTTTTTCTGACGGGGTGATCTAGTGACGTGGAATAAGCAAGAATTCGTCACCCCAAAGATGAACAAGCCATACCAATGGCCAAGGAGACACCCATGGTCCATTATCTACCAGGTCCCTTGAACGTGGAGTGTCAGGCAATAAATGGTGATTCCCGGTCCGATTAAACCACGTGAGTATACCAAGAAACGAACAAGTCAGCAGGATCATGGGCCATATCCTCTGACCTCGAAGATAAATGAGATATTGCGGTCGGACATTGTTGGATGTTTGCTGGCCCATACTTGCAGTGTCAAACTACTGATACAAGTAGATTTATTCCTGTTTGTTCATGACCCCTTGTATGCAACCGCAACTGGTAGAGGTTGTTTGGATCCGTGGAACCCCGTGGGGCGATGGTGCGGCTCCACAAGTCTTGGCATTTACCCGGGTAGCACGTGATCATCTGACTGCTGCCTCAGGTATCAGGCCGCGCGAGATTCTAGTTGCACTCTACATAGTTAACTAGGTAACTATGCGTCATTATACTCTCAGTTGATATGTATATCTTTGATACAATGACTTAGAAAAAAGAAGTTTTGTGCTAATTATCTACAGCAACTCTGGTGGCTCACCTCGAACGATGTCAAGACGAAACCACCCAAAAGACTGGCAATATATATATGTAAAAACCGCCCAAGCCCAAATCCCATGTCTGATGTAAATCTACCACCCCTCCAACGGCGTAAGCAAGGCAAGTACCCCATCTTTGGGTGAAACGGTAGCTCCTTCCCGAATCTCCAACTTAGCATCAGGAAACTTAAGCTCCATGTGAAACCGACCGACAGTAGCAGCAAGCAAGCAAGCAAGCTCCGATTTAGCAAAGCCCTGCCCAATGCAACTACGTGGGCCATGCAAGAAAGTCAAAAAGGCATAATTACTAACCGCACCTCCGGTGTTAGCTTTCCCAGGGCCCATAAAGCGGTCTGGATTAAACTCGTCCGCATCTGGTCCCCACAGCTCTTCCATCCGGTTCAGGATTTGCGGGGCGATTATTAATGTCGTATCCTGGGGAATACGCGCCCCAGCAAGAGTTGTATCACGAACGGCCTTGCGTATGGTCATCGGCACAGAGGGATGGAACCGGAGAACCTCATTGCACACTGCGTTTAGGTAGGGTAGGTTATCAACTGTGGCTGCAGAGATTGGAGTCGGGTCATCGAGGGAGGGAAGATTGGCGCGGATCTCATCACGCAGACGAGTCTGGACGTTGGGATTCTTGCAGAGTGCATAAACGGCCCACTGCAACGCCGTGGCGGTTGTTTCATGCCCAGCGCCGAGGAAGGTCATAGACTGGTCGACGAGGTTTTCTTCGTCAAAGGTTCCGCTGCTTAGCGCGACGGAGATGATGTCAATGCCGGTTTCAGCTTTGGGATCTTCCATCTTTGCCTTTTTCTGTCGGATCATTTGTCGTGCGACGTTTCGGATGACCTCGCCGCTCTCCTTGATATCTTTGTTGCGTTTTGTCGGTAATGCGTGGGACCATGCTGGGTTACCGAGTAGCATACATATCAGGAAAAATATTTTCATGATGAGTGGTGGCGAGGACATGATTTTGCGGTAGGATTGATTGAGGGCGTTGTCAGGGTCACTGAGAGAGTCGAAGTCGTGATCCATACCGGCGACGCCGATGATGTCTAGGGTTGCTCGACTGGCCCAATTACTGATTTGGACTGTGTTGTCGCCATTCCCATTGGCCTTTCTGCTCTTTAGGTCTTCCTCAATCATCTTGACCATTTCCACACTCTTGGACCAAAAGACTGGATAGAGATTCTTGATGTGGCGATAGGCAAAGGCTGGCATGAGATTCTTGCGTTGCATCTAGTGGAGACATTGTAAGTTTGAATGTATGTAAAGTGGCATTTGGGACAAGTTTACCTTATGCTCTTCACCTTCGGCAAGTAGGATTCCATCACCTGTAATACGCCGCAAGCTCTGCCGAACCAATTGGGGCTTTTCAAAATCGTAGACTTTCGTCACAAGTAATTCACCCAATGTTTTCGGGCTTGTCAAGATCACTCTTTCGAGGTTTGCGACAAGATAGTAACGGAGGAGATCTTGATTGGGCCTATTCTTGACCCGCTCTCGTAACTGCGGATAGGGGGTCTCAAGCAAGAAATTTGGAGAATTGCCAGTGAGCCAGCTTCGATCCTAGATATTATTAGATACATTCTCAAATGCATAGAAGAATTGATGGCCTACCATAGGTGAATCAATGTGTTTCAACGGAGTGAAGTAGTCGGGGTACAACACAAGCTGATAAATAATCTTCCACATAGTGATGATCCCGAAAAGCACAGCGGCCGTCAGAACCCTGGAATTGAAAATAGCATACTCCGGTTTTAAGTATATCCCGGCGGCGAGGCCGAGATACAGAATGGTGAAGGTGTCGTTGATTCGTCCCATCATAAGATTTTCCCGGATGATCAGGGGAAAGCAAATATTGTAATTAAACACCCCAATTCCCACATAAAAGCAGAGAATATAAAAAAGGCTTCCTGATTATCAAACACCTTCTCCGTTTTGCTTTGTTCTCTTGTAACACTGGCGGAGAGCCTCGTGTGCTCAATTAGACTGTAGACGAGATGACGGAGTGCTTGGCTTTTGGTTCCTGTTAGGTCTGAAATCTATACTCCGTCCAATCTCATAGATAGAAATGCACGAGAGAATGTGACTTTTGCACAGCTGAGATGAGGGATAATATATGTTCTCTTTTTGAGATGGTTGCCTGGGAGTGAGATATAGGTGCGGAGATTACAAGACATAAACCTTGTGGCAATAATATAATACTCCATAAAAACTAGTCTAAAAAAGGATTTTAGGAGAGTTGAATATTTGTTTCTAATGATCAAGATCTTACTTGTCCTCGCAATCGTTACCGCATTAAGCCTGGATCCACAAGACTCTCTGCCGTGTCAATTATACATAGATGTACATAATAATCTGGGAAGCTTGTATCGACCTGCATATGAGATTTACATACAGAGTACTCCATACATTATTTAGCATCCTCCCCCTGGGGCTTCAGATGCCCAGCTGCAAGGCATCTGGCCGCCCGACGCGGCCCCTGGCCAGGGCTGTGATTATGTCAGCCAGGCTCGAATCCATGGATAGCAACCTCGGAACAGTTTCTCTCATTCTTTTCATTCTCCCATGCTATTGACAGAATGGACGACAGCGATTACGATTGCCTTTATTCTCAGGAGCCAGAACTTTTCACCCCTGAGTTTGATATTTCAGATCGATATCTATGGCTCTGTGATCTTTCCCACAAGTTCAGCTGTCTTCCATACACATCCGTAACCGAAGAAGTGAAAATCTTGATTGCAAGAAAACGTCTTTGTCGTGAATATTCCAAGATATGGGATAACCTCTCACAACAGGCGTCGCCGGAAGAACGTGAAAGGCTAAAGACATGGCAAGTCTTTGAGGATTGGACCTTGACCCTATTGGACATTAGAGGAGTTGTCGATTTGATGGCATTGTACGAACATGCCCGCCATAAGCCTTCTGATGAACCAACTTATTTTGCCGCGTACCTCGGTGCCATCTGGAAGGAGCTCGAGAAGCACTTCGAACCCCGTTCCGAAAAAGAACTATCCCTTACATTTTTCGTCAAACTTGACCCAGACCTGCAATGTGACATTCGCCGATGTTTTATTGGCAGTAAAGATCAAATGCCAGAAAATGTACCCGACATGGTTAGGTTCGCAAGTGAGAGATGGAGAGACAGAAAGGCGGCGTCAGAGATCATGCATCAGGCCAACCGTGGCAAAGGATCAGGTTCTTCTCGTGGGAATCACCGTGGGAGGGGTCGATCTTTGCAAAACAGTCGCGGTTGTGGGAAAAAACAGCAGAGAGCATAGAATGTCCCGAGAATCAGAAAGCCCCGTTGTGCAGACATTGTCGGGCTACGAATCATCTGGCATCTACTTGCAATGATAAACCAGTGGATGGACTGAGACGCCGAACAGATGGACGCGATGACCTTACCTGAGTACTTCAACATGTCGGTACCAACCGAGATCCGCAAACACTATCTGATAGCCTGCGTTTACTCCAAATACGATGACATCATGTAGCGCGCAACGGAGCCTACACAAAGCGATGTTATTACGGGACGAAAAATGGAAACCAATATAGCCATACCACATTTTTAACTGAACTCGAAAACATTGCCAAAAGCGCACTCTACCTCATACATCCGTCGGCCCCATAATTCTATCAAATTCACCAACCGTATGCTGCCAAACCTTCTCCTTCATACCCTGCTCGCGAAGTCCAGTCAGCAATTTCACAACCTTAGGACCAGCATGCTCTCCACTCCAGTGAATACTATACACCCCGCTCCCAACCTTCCCATCCGTCCCATTAGCAACCTCAACCCCTTCCGACAGAGGTACACCAGAGGAAGCTTCAATCGCATCCGAGCGGACACGGGGAGGATACTTAGCACTCGTCGCGAAGTAAAGATGCCTCTCTCCCGACTCCCGAGTGGGGATGTAAACCAAAGGACCGATAATCATCAGCACGAAACCAATAAACCATGCCAGAAGAGTATTCGCCTCACGATCAAGCCCCGACTTCACCGGACCAGGGTAATCTTGAATAAATGTCACTTCTGGGGCTTGATCAGCCAGCGATTCCAGGGCCATATCAGTCATGGAAACAAGATGTCCACGTAGCCTTAACATGAACATATTCTTTGCTTGGAAGTCTGTCACGTCAATAGGACCTTCATGGGTTCCAGCTAAGACGCTAACGACGCGCCGCAGCCCTGTTGCTTGTTTGAGATTCGGGAGGAGGTTGGTGATTAATCGTGTCCGTGCGTAGTACTGAATTGCAGGCATGTTATGGAGACCTTCGGATGTATCTATTCGCATATGAGTATAATCCTTTTCTTGTCATGAGAACATCCAACCTTCTCCAGAACGAATAGTTCCACAGCTAAGGAAGAGAATATTGATACTCGATTCTTTACTCTGAATCTCGCGACAGACGGCGTCGACATTCCGAATTAAACTGAGATCCGCTTTGATGAAGATGAATTCTCCCTCCGGGTTCAACTGTCGACATTCGGCCGTGATGCGCGCTGCGGCTTCTTGCGAGCGACCGATAAAGTATGCGCGAGGGGATTTGGCTGAGCGGGCGAATTCTTTTAGGGCTGCTTCGCCGATGCCATTTGTTGCGCCTATGAAGACGGCCACGAGGCCTGGGAGTGTGGTGGCAATTTGGGCATTTGAGGACTGGACGTCTGATAGAGAGACCATTCTGGATGTTACAGCGAACTAACAGGGATGGTAATCGGAATGAACGATGATATGTGTTACTTGGGGTTATGATTCCATTTATATTGCAGGGATGTTTCTAGTACTGTACTGTGTTCGTGTTCGGTGCATCTATGGGCCGTGTCTCGGACGGAAGACGGACTTAAGCTGACTATGTCGGAGGAATGGTATCCCCGGGAATTTAGGTATGAAAGGTTTGTGTCTCGCATTTAATTTGAACACGGAGATAAAATTGAGTAGAGATGTCTAAATATAACAGGTCGATCGCTCATCTGGGTGGTGGCAATACATGGAAGCCCTTCAATCTTGGTCGACCAAATGAGGGCGACTTGGGATTTGGGAATTTTCTTGACTTGGTAGTATGAGGGAAAGTAGTAGAAATATATGTACTCCGTCGTCCTCTTCTCTAGCGAGTTAAATCAAAGAGATCCGTGAGAGTGACAGAGCGTTTTACCCTCATGGTGTCCTTCAGGTACAGGCATCTACATATCCCGGAATACTCCCAGAAGTGGATGAAAATGATACATACAGCCCCATTTTACTATAACTCATGCACTACTTTGGATTTTGGCATATTCAGGCAAAGCCCATTTCACCATCCATTCCGACTCAAGAATTTGCTTGGTAGTAGGTCGATCCTCTAGTTTAAATGAGAGCATCTGCCGCAGTAAGTCGAACATAGCGTCCCTTTCCTTTGCATCAAAGGATGGGACCCCACTATCTCGCCTAGGCTTTTGCACGCTATCTTCAAACCGATCGTCCCAAGATCGGAAATAGGTACGGTTTATTGGCTTGCCATCTTCGTTAAATTTGTGTTGTCGAGCCTCCCACTTGCTCCACCATTCAGGTGGTAAAGCACCAAGAGCATCGACATTCTCACAGATCATATCATCCTCCGTTGCGAGAAACCCTTCAAATAGTGGCCTTTGAGCGACAATAGACCTTATGGTACAGGCGAGAGTCCAGATACCCGATGGAAAAGATAGAGGTTTATTTGGCTGGAACCGAGCCTCAGGGGGACGGATAATGAGGGGTGTGTGAGATTGATACTTCAATTCCTTTAAGGGTAAAAAGGCTTCACCAAAGTCTATAAGTAAGATCCTAGCTTCCGCAAGTGTGATTTTCTCACTTGCTTCCCCTAGCCATATAGGCGTAATGCCATGGGATGGGATACCAGGAGGAAGCGGGTTCGGAATCGTATCACCATCTAGATGAATAACTGGCTCTAGCTCCAGTGCTCCGTATTTTTCATATAATTGATCAATTGAGAGGTGGTCAAAATTGGGTAGGCCCTTGAGAAGAATGTTGCCGAAGTGAAGGTCTCTATAGACAATCCCCTAGGCACACATATAATCCACAACGAGAACTAGTTGCGCAGCCAATGACCGGGCTACATCAAGCTAGAATAAGCGGATCTACGAGCCATCCTTTAACCCGGAGAGGCTAGCCCTCGCTAGCGCTGTAACGTAGCAAGCATGATTGCCATTTAGACTGTGGATAGTGAATCTATCAATAACTGAGGGGACCATCGTCTTTCCTGCATGATTGTTTAGAGAACGACAAGGACGGGTAAGAGTGGATATAATGTCCACTTCCTTTAGGTCTAAGTTGCCTGTGCAAACTTTCACTGCGACGTATTTACTAGATTCCCCATCACGCGCTAGCCAGATAGTCGAATAAGACCCATATCCAAGCTTATGAACAACTCGATATCGATTGTGAAAATAGGCTCCGATTTATATGGGGTGATAGCCCCCTGGTCGATAGCCCTCGAGTCTTTCGACTCCCTCAAGAGGCTCGTAGAGGAAATGATGATTAGAATTGTCATCAGTCTCCACCGAGTTGGATGTGGTGGAAGTGAACGCGCAGCGGGGTCGGTTGTGACGAAGTAGTGTCGTGCGCCCCTTACGAAGAATGGGAGGATAATGAAGACATGAAGGATGTAGGCGCAACAACCGAATAGCCAATGGCGACAACTTACTCATCGCTGTATCATGTGTAGAAGTTGAACCGAGAGAAGTTTGAGAATGAAACTTTCTCCCTATTCTTTTAGGTACGTCGTCAGCACAAGATAAATGTTTGTGATATGTAAATGCACATCATAATGCGAGTCCACAGGCGAGTCCACAAGTGGACACCTCCAAGGCTGGGCAGGGCTGGGTTGGGCCCCGGGGCAAGGGGATGATTATGTAATGCTCCCCCTGGTGGGCAGGTTCACCCCCAGCAGTAAATTGACAACCTCAAGTTTTCTACGGAGTACTGATTGGAACTTGAGAAAGTTGTACTGTCAACAATATGCCAGCATAATCTAGCAAATTTTAAAAGAGAAAGGCAGGATGGTTGACAAGACAAAGTGCTGGATTAAGCCTGGAATCAATGCTTTCATCGGCGCAGTCCTCACAAAGCGGGTATAGGGCAAATCGGTGGTGAGATGCCACGTCCCGCACGTTGAAGAGCTGGAGCAGGCTCGGTGGTTGGTTACCAACCGTTTGTGGGATTGCTGTCGATCCGGGGGTTGGGGACTTAGGCTGGGGGGAAAGTATGAACGTGCACGGGCTTGTTCTCGATATGTGGGGTGGAATCAAGCATGCTGATGTCAAGTATTTCCAATGGAATGGGTAGTGACGAAGTGAACGAAGAGACAGAAGTAAATACTGGAAGAACTAGTCTGAGTGTATGTTGTACAGAGTATTCAAGATGGCCTGTGCAAAGGAGCTGGGCATTAGTGCTTATCGGGGCTTGATGGGGTCCAAGTCTTGGCGTCAAAGAAGTTCTTTGCAACCTTGGACATTAAGTCTTAAAATAGGTAAAATTCAGGTACGGAGTACATGTTTGTTTATTCGATGCAGTCAGAAAATATAAATAAAACCAGTTACATTGAAAATTGTAGTAGCGCCCCGAGTCAGCGCTTAGGTACATGGACCCCTGGCGCGTGCGAATGGCCAGTGAGAAGGCAGAATGGAGAGTGTCGACCCCATATTCCCCGTTTGTGTCTCAGTTCTTTGAATTGCTCTAGGAATAGATACATAAGTTTGTATTGAGGTAGGCTTGGATATCCCTAATTTAGAACATATCAAAAGACAAAAGAGAAAAGAAAAAGAACAAAAGAAATGAAAGAAATGAATCTCTAGAAAAAGAGTCAGCCCTAAAAACCCGCTGTAACTTCCCGCGTCCCCACACTTCCCGAACTCTCCTCGATGTTTCATCTCTTCCCCTTTCTCAACTTCTCATTTTCCCAGCCTTTGTACTCAGGGCCACACTCATTCGACCTTATTAACCACATTCTTTCTCCACATTCCCTTTCTTGGCAATCAGCTTCAATGAAACTCTGCCTATTGTCGCTTTGAATACGCTAATGCGCGCCTGAGATACCAGCGCTTCATATCGCATACACGTGTCTTGCCCTCGATACCTGCCACCATCTACCTCTCTCCTTGACTTCCGCAGGCATGCGCCATTTGCGCCATTAAGATACCATTCCCATCGCTCATTGCGCCTGAGCTTTGTCTCTCTCTATTCTTTACACATACTTCGAACTCTCAATCACGACTTTGCCCGGCTGGACCGAGGAAGTCGACCTTTGATCGTCTGCGATCCCATTCTCTTCAATCCTCCGTGATAATTTCCTGGCAGGACCAGATCAATTGACACAATGCTGTGCTGTGGAGACCGCGAGAAGGGCGATGTCGCCATGGAGGAGAAATGGGACTACGTGGTATGTTTACACAATGACAGTGCTATATAGATGGCTCATGATACTAACAATTACTTCCTTAGAACTTGGACGACTTTAAATCCGAGTCTTGCTGGACACCATTCTCATATTTTTTCTTATGGGTGTTCCTCTTTATCTCGATTGCAGTATACGGTGTTGATACATTCACCGCAGTCAACTTGCTGGCTTTCTCTCGATGGTCCGGCAGGGTTGAACCCGCCATTCCCTTCAACATCTCCCGCTGGATCTTCGCTGCTTGTATCATTGCTTCCTTCGTTCTTTTGGCCTACCGATGGATACATGCTGTCCGCGCTATCCGCTCGGGCAGTATTACTCGCAGCTTTCTCGACCCGCTGGCTGTGCGCATTCAGAGTATTCGTTTCGGCAAGAAGGGTCGTGGATACAGGCGATTCCTCGTCTTCGCTGAATTAACGAAAGACAGGAAAGCAGCAGAATATGTCGCCCTTTATGCATACTTCTCTTTCCAGTGTAAGTTCACTACTATCGCCTATCTAGTCTTTGAATATGGCTGATGATGCTTTTAGTCTGGATGAACACGATCTTCGCAGATGGCCCGCGTCAAGTTCTCAACGGCATCACCCTATATTCGGTCATGCAGATGGACCTCCTTCCTGGCGGTAAGAATACACACGATGACGGAACATCTGGAGCCAGTCAATTCTTCAACAACGTAAAGATTCTGGCCGAGGAAAACAACCTTCAAGCTGTAGTCTTGTTTGGTATGCTTTTCACTCTGGTCATTTGGGTTCTATCAGTCCTCAAGTTGATATCGGCGATCGTACTCTATTTGATCTTCCTCTTCCACCATATCCCAGCGGAAGATGGTACTCTTTCAAGGTACTGCCGTCGAAAGGTTGGCCAACGGCTGAAGCGCATTGTGCATCGCAAAAATACCAAGGCCCTGGCAAAAGGACTCAAATTACAGAATCGAGCACCCACCCAGCCAATGCTGGCAGCGGATTCAAACCCGACCCTACCGTCTATCGCCGGAGATAAAGCTCCCGCAGTGGCTACATTGTCGCGAAGTACCACCCAGACGACTTTGCCGCCTTACTCACGGTCGACTTCCTCGACAGCGCTGGGGCAAAACCCGACACTGCCGAATCTGGGCTATGATGCCAAACCAACCCTGGCTCGAGTTGGAACTTCGTCTTCAGGATTGTCCGAGTCCGCTTCACTGACAGGAAATGCGGCCGGAATGGGATACACCCCTCTTGATCGCCAGAACCCGACACTTCCACCGGTCCCTCCCTTGCCGGCTAACGTTCCATCAAGGATGGCCACTCCTCTCTCTCGACCGGCTCCTGAGCCATATGATCATGATATTAGCCATAGTCCCGGCCCTGGATATCGCAATTTGACCGATAGTTCTGATTCTCGGCCATACCAGAGCCACACCCCAGCGCCCGATTATGCTTCGGCTGATATAAACGGTTCCAATAATCACGATTATTTCAACCGTGAACATGCGCCTGCTCCCTACGACCCCTACGGTCCTCCGAGGGCTGCATACGGCAGGGAAGACGGATATGGACCAAGATACGGGACCCCCGGTAGCCAGAGAGGCGCACCTCGCGCACAGCGAGAATACTATCCACAGGATCCATATTCAACAGATCCATATTCAACAAGGTCTCATACGCCGGCCAGCACTGGTGCGACGCCCGCTCCCTATCGGTCCGAAACCCCGGCGAGCTACCGACCCACACCTCCCCCACAAGCTGCCGCATTGGCACAGCCTCCAACAAGGACATTCACTCCAGTGAGCTCGGCAACTCCACCTCCTCAAAATGGTGGCTATGCAGCTTTCAACCCATCAATGGGTCATCAAACACCGCAGTCCCGTTCCCAGGCGCCTCCTGGTCCGTCTAGCTATACCAGAGCAAACACCGCTTCGCCCTCAGCCATGCATCGGGCTCCCCCAGGGCACACATTCAATCGCTCAAATACCCACCAATATTGATAGGGCTCACCGCTGTAGCCTTAACTTGAAGGCCACGAGACTTTATTATGATGAAAATCAGGAGCTGGCTCTCCTGTGCTTGATGACCGGACCACTCGCTAATACTGATCACGACCAGCGAGTCTCTCGAGATCTTGTACATACCCTTATTCGCCTTAGTCTGATATCCTTCTTCGAATTCTTATTCCCCATGACACGAATTGATCACTCTTTATTCCACCCTTTACTACAGTGAATGTATCGATACAATACACGTAGTTTGAAAGTACTCTTGATATCCCATTTATTACTCGATTCCATAAACCATATAATGTAAATGAAAATAAAACGAATATTATACACCAATACTGTACTAGACACCATAGGTGCCAATAAGTTACAACACCTTCCAATCACCAAATCTTCTTCGCAATCATCTCATACCGCTGTACATGATCAACATTCAACTCCCCATCCTTACTCTTATCCTTCTCTTCCTTCTCCTTCACCCTCCGCAATCCATCCGGGTCATCCGCATAAATCAACCTCCTCTTCTCATCCCCAACTTCAACAACACCCCACCCGCCAACACGCTGACTACCCTCAACATCAAAATCACGAGAACGGGGTGCACCACTCTCCGTCCCGGAATGACTCGACTGTCGGCGCTCACTCTCCCGAGCCTTCATCTTCCTGTACCGGGAACGCGCAAACGCAAGCAAAACCATGCCCAACAGGAGTTTCAGAATGAGTAAAACGATGAATCCAGTCAATAGCAGGATACCGGTAAAGATATGGACGGACTGGGCTGGAGATGGGATTGCGTTTTCGAGGAGAGTGCGGAAGAGCGCGCTGACGTGGGCCGCTGAGGCGGGGAGGAGAGTTGCCAGTGTTAAGGGTGGGGCGGAGGGGACTGGGGAGGGAGCGTAGTGGTTGTGGATTGAGGTTAGGGATGTTGCGCCGTTTGCTGTTGAGGAGGGGTGTTGGGGGAGGAGGGCTGCTAGGAACATTTGGTAGGTTTGGACGGAGACTCGGAAGAAGAGACAGGAGAGGGGGATGACGGGTAGGCCGATGCGACGGGTTAGGTTTTGTTCGCCGAAGGCGTTGGTGTAGTAGTCCTTTGCTAGGACATCAAGGAAGCGGCTGTAGATTGCTGGGCGGTTGTTGTTAAATTTGTTGATGTAGGCGTGTTTCAGCCAGTCTACCAACATCTCGGAGCCTAGGACGACTAAGAATGGGCCTAGGACTTGGGCTAGAGTTGGGATGAAGGAGTTGACGCTGTTGAATGAGGCTAGGATTGAGGATGGGAATAGAGTGAATGCTTGGGGTAGGATGGACGATGCAGTACGTGGGGGCGTGGATAGTGGTGTGCTGTTCGTGATTGTGGAGGATTGGCCGGGGAAACTGGATCCTAGTCCTAGATTGCCGATGAAATTGAATGCCCCTGTTTCCACGATGTTACGCGAAGCGATGATAGTAAGCATCAGCCACAGCTGGAACCGTTCTACCACGTCCGCACAGGTAAGCTGGAAGAGGTTTTCTTTCTCGAACTTGCGGAAGACGGTGGACTTGATCTCCACGAATTGGTTTGATAAAAGTAGCGTGATCAGGGCGTTGGAGTATGAGTTCACTGCCACATTCAGAGTCATGACCTGGTAGAACAGAGATAACGCATGGGATACTGTGTAAACTAGTGCCACCAGGAACAACCAGAATGGACGAATGATCTTGCTGCGGCCGTCCGGGCGACGCTCAAGGGCCTCACGCGAGAAGAGGCACTCGAGAACATCTTGACCTATGGCAGCCAAGAGCCTGTCGCTAACCTCAAGCACATTGTAAATAACGTATAGCTTGATAGCAGCCTGTCCACGAATCCAGTGGTACATTCGACTGGCATCGAAATACATCAAAACACAGCATGTAGCTATCATCAGCAGGCCTGTCAAGATGTCTGCTTTGTCATCTGGAAGTAGTGCCGAGGGCATCGACTTCTTCCGCCGATGGTGGTGTTTGCGGGATTCGGAGGATCGATGTTTCCTTCTTGGCGCTGCGTCTTGCCCCACAGAGGAGCCCTGAGGCACATGTGGAGTGGCATCAGATTCGCTTTCGCGTCTCCCACGTTGATCCTCCTTCACATTATGATTCCTCCTGCGCCATACACGACCAATCCCATTCATCACAAACTTCCAAATAAACCGGATCTCAGCTCCTAGGTTCATCACCCAAGACTCCCCTAGGATATATACAGCCTTAATAAACCGCAATGGCATTATGGTGAAAGAGTAAAGCCATGCATCAAGGCAAGCAAGACTCCCAAAGCAAAGTACCTGCTCGAGCATAGGTGCAAGCATAATGAAGTTCATAAGCCTCTCGATCTTCACTCGCGATGATTCATAAGGGAAGTCACTAGCTGCGTCTCGGTGAATGTACAGTGGCGAAGGTCGACCAGAAGCAAGCTCAAGCTGAAGATAGGTTGGAAGTGAAACTGGCGGCAAGGGGATTGATGATGGCAAGGGTGAAGACTTAGGCGATTCTATGATCTGAGGTGATGCAGTAAGGTGGCCTTTCAAGTCGCGGTCCAGCGCCGGCCGATCATGTTTCGAGCGCGATGCCCATGTCTGGGCTAAGCGGTCAGTGCCTGGAGTAACGGGCAATTGACGCCGCGTGAACCCCGGGGTAGAAACAGTTCGAGCAGGCTGCGGCCGATTGCGAAGTGTGTAATTCAGAGCATTCCGTGGCAAAGCTGGACTCACCGGTGCAGAGGCATCTCCCGGCAACACCTCTGTACTGGGCCGCAATTTGGGCAAAACCTCCGCAAGCGATGACTTTTCGCTCAGTGACTGAAGCACAGACTCCGGCAAATCCAGTTGTGCGAGAGGAGCATTCCCATGGGCGGTGTCCGAGACTACCCGGCTTCCAGTGTTCGTTTCTGATCCCACGGGACGGTAAGGTATTGACTCTGGCGAGGATGTGAGCTCCTGGATCTTCACAGGAGACAGTTTCATGACCTTCTCTTTGTCTGTTGGTAGTTGGTGTGACAGATCAGTAGACATATCAGCCAAAGCAGCTTTGACCTCAGGGCCATTATACACATCCACTACCGACAATCGGCCAGGGTTATCTCCGTTGCTTGGTGAATGCTCGACTAGTATCCCAAGTCCCTTCTCGCGTTCCAAGCCGTCCATTTTATATCCACCATTGACAAAGTGGTGTGCTGAAGCTGTATCGTGGTTCCGTTGACCATTTGTGCCATCGTCTCCATTGGTTGGCCGTGGGTCAGGCTCGCTGTTTGACTGTGCCCTAGGAGTATCTACTCGGCTGTTGTTCCCCTCGACAGAATATGACAACGATTGTTTCTGGACCTTCAAACTCCCATTGGTCCCGTTTGCGATACCATGCTCGGCCATCTTCCGCTGTGACAGAGCTTCACTGGTATCTATGGCAGGGCTCATTCTAATACCCCAGCAACTCACAACAATACGATGTGTCCCTTGAAAATATCCAGAGGCTTGCAGTATCTCCACTCATATCATGAGAAAGCGCAGATATCCAGCATGCATTATTCGAATTTAGCTCGCGGCGGGTGATCAACTATGTTCGAAGATCAAGAGGCGTAAAGGAAAAGGTTAGGGAGGCAATAGTGGCGTGGTTCGTTGTATTAACAATAGCATTCGTCCAGCTGATACATCCTGAATAATAAAGGCACAATGTCTGGGCTGTTCAGAACAGTTTTTGACGCAGGAGTCTGGGGAAAGATAAGGATGGCAGATTATCTGGCCAGTCGGTGAGTCGGAGATTAGCGTCATTAAATGCCTCAGGCAGTGGGGCATTATCACGTGACTGTAATGGTAAATTACATAATCACCTGTTTAGCAGGGCTGCTGGAATGGAAGAACTACGAACTCAACTACAACAAATATGTCTCTCTGTTCACTACTCCTAAAACTTTAACCGTATACTGTGAAATTTGTAGTATGCATGTTCAAAGCAACACCACTTCACATAACCAGAGATTCTGCAAATGATGCCAGAATGCAATTGACATTCATGCTGACCCCTTGGTGATAGAGATGATCCAATCTGCGACTTCCTTAGGCCGGGATGCATTTGGCGCATGTCCAGATTCAATTTCTGTAACATCAACCTTGCCACCGATCTGCCTTTCCATCATCGCGATGCTTGCTCTCTGTAGCTCGGGGTCCTGCGCAAGGTCCTTGGTACACAGCAAATACGACACCGGCACATCTTTAAACCCAGCATGACTTAGACTAGCAGGAAATGTAGAGCCCGAATGACGAGTACTCATCTTTGCCCACTTTTCGCCCTCTTCCTTCGGCAAGTCATTGAAGACATTGGAAGCAGTAACCGAGATGTCCGTCTGATGCAACCATCCATCATCCTACATTTCACATTAGCCCCGGACAAACGGATTGCATGAAGCGAAACATACATCAAACCTAATCTCGAATGGAGAGGCTCGCGGAAGCATATTATCTGGCATAATAACGCTGGCATCTGATTCTCCGACTGGTAGAATGATACAAGAGATATAACCCAGTCTCACTAGACCGCCTGGGTTGCCTTGTCGCTGTCTTTCGGCTTTGCTGAGTCCTTTTATGCTTTCTGTAGCAGGTGTACCCCCGTAAGAGTGGGCGATGAGTACGACGTCCTTGCCTTCGTTTGCGTGCTTTGAGATTTCTGATGCAATGAAAGCGGCGTCGTCTTGCATAGTGCCTGGAACGTTGGTTTTATAGCCTACGCTGGGAAGGTGAAGAGCTTGAACGGGGTATCCTTCACTCGCAACATGGGTAATCACATCACTGTACAGTTCGGGCGTTGTGAAGCCTCCTGGCACGATCAAGATTGTCGGCTTATCCATTGATCGCAGGGAGAATTGATGAGGCAAAGCTGTATTTTGGCACGGACAACCTGTAGGTGTCTACGTGATTACACTAATGAAATCGAGGATGATGACGACGATAATGATGATGTTGATGAGGATGGAAGGGGAATGAACTGTTTTGACAATTGAGAGGCGGCGTAACCGTGCGCTGACCCCTGGCCCCCACCATGTGCTTAGTCTGTCGGCGATATCTTCTGTCCTGAACGCATAATAACAACACAAAAGGGAGTTATTATGGGCATCGTTTTGGAGATCTTACTTTACACTATATATATCATCTCATATCTTTCCTCGCTAGCTTGAGGGCTGAAAGAGCGTATATATTGTGTACTCGGGCTCTCAGCATCCTTTTTCTGAGCACGTCAGATAAAAGATATTTAGTTCAGATCCAGCACTTGGTAAATGATGTTGGACGCATGGCACGGTTACCACGAACTGTCGTAGCTAGATCTCCGCACCGGCCCATAAAGCCCAAAGCCCAAAGCCCAACCCTCCCAAGCCTGCAAATGAGTTAGGCTTTAAGCCCGGTTTTTGGGCCCATTGCGGAGGTCTAGCCGCAGCTCTTCTAGTATAAGTAGGTAGTCTTCTCCTAGTCCTCTGGAGAACGCACGAAATTTTATATAATGACACGATGATACCTGAATCTAAATTCAGTTAATTTAAGAGGTATTATGGCATTCCCATCGATATAGTATATCAATCGTAGAGTTGAAAACCTGTTCAAAAGGACTAGTATAATCATGATACATACGCCTAAAATATACCATACTTGGAGAATTTTCATGAAAACGTATGGACCCTTTCTGTTATCGGAGCTCGAATTAACTTGACGTTGGCTACCATGGCTCTAGAATCCATATTAGGCGGCGGCTAGCAAAAGCCATAGATATATGTTCTTCTACCATTCCAAACCCCAAATATCTTTCTCTTTTCTATTTCTGCCCTATACAAAAGATTTGCATCGTCTAATCATCCCTAAAAATGTCTGAACTATTTTTTGAAGACCAGGAATCGAAGACAGTCCCCTACTACCACGACCGCCCTCCACAATACGACTCATGCCAGTCAAGCCAAGATGTACTCACCACTGTCATTGAAAACGAGCGCACTTGCCGAATCTTAATCCAACGGCTTAATAGCCTTGGGACAGAGATGGCCGATGTGGCAGAGAATAGTGATAAACCCACCGATAGTGATCACCTTCTACGAGCGGAGTTACTTCTAGAGATGAGTCGGCTATTTGCCGAGGGGTCGCATATTTCTAGAGAGCTAGCAGACATTTACAAAGAACGGCCCGGTCCGAATAGCGAACTCTATGTCGCGATGTCAAGACTCACTTTTAGCGAGTTCGACCGGACGTATGCTTCTTTAAGGCGGAATGCCAATAGGCAGATACAAGACGAGCTGGGTCAGGACCATACGGACCGCACCGACTGCTCTGAGAGTGAGTTTGAATACAATTCTCAATGCACTTCAGAGATGAATGAAAGAGAGGGAACCGGGGATCTCACACACGACCCTCCGTGCTCATGTGATCGGTTCTTGGAGCTCTCGGCAAAGGTGGATGAAATTCATGATAAACTTGGCCAAAGCCTTCAATCCCATGAAACGGCCAATGTTTCAGAGACCATCCATGATACTCCCGCAAAGCGACCTAGGAGCTTTTGGAGGCGAATTATGAAACATCCACTTTAGCCTTAGTGGCAAAGTGGAATGAGGGTCTCTGGAGCGAACAGGCTAAGACTGCTGAATACTGGTGTTTTCTATCTTGTGTTATGCCAACTTTTTACCCTATAAGAGGATCTTATATCTGTTGGATGGTGATATGGCTCCCATCTCATCTTTATGTTCACTTGCTATGCTGTTTGTTGTGAGGTTTTGTGCTTGGAACGCATGTGCCCTACTTTATAATTCAATGGTCTTTCTTTATATCTCTCTCTTACTCAGTATCCCGAACAATAGCACGGTCTAAAGGTCCCAATACTCAATAGTCCTTCAAAACCTTTCCAATTCCTTTTCAAATCCATCACTATTGTAGAACAATGAGGATTTGCTACAAGACTTAACTCATATCCAAAAGCCGGAAAAGACCGAAAAACAAGAAAGTTGTCGACTGGACAGACGAAGTTGAAGTGACTCCAAGGATAATGAAGGTACGGGCGTAGTATATCCATGCATAGTCTATATGGCTATCTCGTTGCAATAGATTCCACATAATATTTTTACTAGTATTCCTAGAGATAGCTGAGGTATGCGCTAATAGATTAGAAATCATCTGGAAGTCTTATTGGGGAAGATCTTTACGAAGACCGCAGAACTAGCCCTAAATCACATCTGTTGTGATATCAACGCTGCCGTTTGCTATGCATGTTGTTTTACGTGGGTATAAATGTCTAGTGTGTCCATAGATTTCTCCAATACAACTCTCTTCCTTCTTCATCTCTCTCTCATAGCATGCTCAGCAAACATGCTCAACAACACCTAGTGATGAATTTATGAGAAGAAAACAAGGCTGTCTGGGATGAATGAGACAGCCAAGCTGGCCACCTACCGACACCCGATACATAGAAGACCCAGTCATGAGTCCCAAGACGCGATCAATGCTTGGTTTGCCACCACTAAGCTCACAGTTAGCAAGGTTACCGACACGAGCAATGTCAACAGTCACCGCGACTGCTACTCTACACCTAGAGGGATTGATTTACTAGGTCAGTGCGGACATCAAAGACCTGATGGGACATTTCATCGGCTTGAAATCATGTATCGATGCTAAACTAGTCATGAAGGAGTTCGAACCCTCGGGCGTAGAAGACCCTATTGAATGAGCTGAATAGGTTCCATTGCCCTTCATTCATGAGAAAGAGAAACTCGATACGTGCTGCGGCCCGCGGAACCAGTTATAGAGTCCTAAATATTCTCCCACTTGAATCAAATGAACACAATGTCATATCATTCCAGATTCGCATATCAATCATGCCTATCATGTACCTAAGGTATTCCATAACTATAATGCATATACGCTATCATCAGATATACGTCAAGTGACAAACCAAAACAGTATGTACCTCAACCCTAAAGCCACTAGATCTACCAGTAGCCAGGGAAAAGCCAGTCCAGCTTCTCCTTAGCCTCGGGCTTCCAGTTAGTCTGAGGGGTGCTAACACCGAACTTAATACCACCAGCCAAGTGCTTAGCCTGGACCAACTCGGTGTGCTTGTCGCTAGCCAGGGCGTCAAGGACAGCAGTCACGAAGCGGCGAGCGTTCTCAGCGTTAGACTTCATGTTGCCCATGACCATCTCCACGGTCACGTCGGCCGTGGCCTCGTGCCAGCAGTCGTAGTCCGTGGACATGCAGATCATCTGGTAGGCGATCTCGGCCTCACGGGCGAGCTTGGCCTCAGGGAGGGCGGACATGTTAATGACGCTGCCACCCCATGAGCGGTACATGTTGCTCTCAGCACGAGTAGAGAACTGAGGGCCCTCTGAATCGTGTAGGAGATAAGGTTAGCGATATTTTGCCATCTGAACTGGTCACAGTTTCACATACCCATGCAGATCAGAGTGCCACGGTCGTGCAGGACGACACCATCACCCTCGAGGCTGTGTCCGCACTCACGCACCACCTTGGCGATACCCTCATCGAAGGGGTCACCGAAGGGGACGTGAGCGACAATACCGCCCTCGAAGAAAGTCCACGGACGCACGCCCTTGGTGCGGTCAATGACCTGGTCGGGGATGACGAAGTCACGGGGCTTGATATCCTCCTGGAGACTGCCGACAGCGGAGAAAGCAATCACGCTGCGGACACCGATAGAGCGCAGGGCAGCGATGTTGGCGCGGGCGGGAACCTCATGAGGAGCGATCTGGTGGTGCAAGCCGTGGCGGCTCAAGAAGGCAACAGCAACAACCTTGTTGTTGTGCTTACACTCGTGGTGCAGAATAGTGATGGGCGAGGAAGGGGCGCCCCAAGGGGTTGTGATATTCAGCGAGGCCACCTGGGTGAAGCCGGGCAACTCGCGCAGACCGGTGCCGCCGATGACAGCGATTGGGACGGGCCCTATTTGATTCACTATCGTCAGCTTTTTATCGAAGTGGGGGTGTGAGGGGCAGTGATGTGAGAGTGGAAAAAAGTACACGTACCGTCGTATGTGGTAGGGAGAGAAGCCATTCTGCGAGCGAGTTGTTTTGCGGACTCAATTCGACGAAATGGTTTCGATATAGAAGAAATGGAACGTAAGCCTAAGATCCAGCGCATCTTGCGCCATCTTCAAATCTCTGAGGCTGCGGCCAGCCTGCATCCCTCCGATTGGTTGTTGATCGACCCACGTGTCGCGGGTACCTGAGGCCGCCACCTGCCTTTTTGGGCGATCTATAAAACTTCAAACATCTCAACCTCTACATGTCCATATTGTATCGTCGTAGTTGAGCATTCGCTACGAGCATCTTAAATATTTTCTTTGGTTCAACGTATACATATTTCAATTTTGGATCTTAAATACAATCTGAGGTGATACATGGTACAAAGTGTGGAGTAATGTACTCAGACCAGTCTAAGCCGGCAACCACTCATAATGATGAGGACCCTTGTGAACTGGTCCTGGATCTTCACCTGGAATACCAGGCCTGTTATAGTTGTGTGCACCGAAGTAGTCCATCTGAGCCTCCATGAACTTAGTCGGCAGTCCTAGTCCACCCTCATACTTGAGGTATTCTAGAGTAGCCGAGAGAGCCGGGATATATTGATCAAACTTGGTCCCTTCCATAACAACCTGCTTAAGACTGTGGAAGTTCTGGCGCAGCTCATGCGCAACTGCATCCACAAACTTGGTGTTCGTCAGCTCATTCTGCGTGGCAAGCGGCGGCTGCAGTAGATCCGCGATGTAATCGGACTTAATGATACATCCAGCTCGCCAGATTTGCAGACAGTCGCCCAAGTTGACATTCCAGCCTTCGTCTATCGACGCTCGGGAAATGAGCTCCAACCCCTGGCAGAAAGATGCCAGGAAGGCACAGTACACAGCTTTTCGTAGGTGCTCGATAATCTCTGTATGAGGCCGGGTTCCCTCGATGGGTTTTGGGATAGGCATCTCTAACTTCTTCGCAACACGCGCTCGCTCTATGCGGTTTCCACTGGTGATTCGCAAATAATGGGCAGCTGCTAATGTCGGACAAGACACATGTCGGGAAGCAGACTCCATGAGACACCACAGTGGGGTGCCTTCAGTGTTATCATCGTCCTGAACCACCTTGTCGAGGACATCGTCAAGCACATATCCATCATCACGACTAGCTCCCTCGCCCTTGTAATCACCTTTGGGGGTTCTTCGTGTGTGTAAAATGTGGGCGCCGATCTTAATCAGGTAATTACCTCGAAGCTCGCCAGACTCGTTCCATTTCTCGAACACATCTCCGATCTTGCCATGGTCCATACCGAGTCCCTCATGCATGTATTGCCATGTTTCAGCAAGAACAGAAAGCATTCCACCCTCAATTCCATTATGAACCATCTTGATGTAATGTCCCGATCCACCGGGACCCATGCGCTTCACGCACGGAGTGCCAGACTTGGGATCATGAGCCGCATACGACTCTAGGAATGGCATAACACATTCTATGGCTTTGGCATCTCCGCCAGGTGAGAGACTAGGTCCACGGCGCGCAGACTGATATCCACCTGAAACGCCCATTCCGATCCAGCTGACACCGATGGCAGCACACTCTTTCTGGCGTCGCTCGGTGTTGCGGTAATTTTCATTTCCGCCATCGAGGATGATATCACCTTCTTTCAGGTCGGGCTTTAGCATGCGGAGTACCTCGTCTGCGGGATGGCCATGCGTGATGGAGAACATGAATAGTTTCCGTTCGGATTTGCCCTCTAGGCTCTTGGAGAATTGGTTGATGTCATAAAAGCCTTGGACTTTGCCTGTAATGCTCTGGTCTGCTTTTGCGTACTTCACCACTTCATCGACACTCTCCTTTTTTACATCCCAGACCGAGACTAAGAGGCCGAGCTCAGCGAAGCGGAGGGTCATCATGGAGCCCATGTTTCCGGCTCCGACGACGCCGATGCTTTTGATGGCAGGAGGCATTGTGGATTGGCCTTGATTCTGTAAGACTAGCTCATGCAAGAGTCACAATTCAAAATTCAAGTGTAAAATATGCGGGAGTCTGGGATGACATTCGCTGTTCTTGAACGAGAAGCTTGTGGCGTTCGGGTCAATGATCCGGGAGATTGTCAATATGCAATCAGACACGCCACGGATAGTTAACGGAGTGTGTTTCCTTTTGACTAGATAGAATTATTGTTTAGATGGCAAGTGAGGCAAACTCATTATTGTGCAGTCTATATACTCACAATTTTGCCAAACTTGATCTGTGATGATATGATGCATTTCTGACGACATATGCCCTAACCAGGAGCACTTACATCACAATAAACAAAGAATGAAGAAGGAATGGGCAAAACAAGATAATATGAGGCAAACATGTACTTAATGATACCAAGCATGGCAATCTTTCATAGAAGCTCTCCATCCATGTCTAGTGCATTGTGCATTTCCACCGATATCAACAACTCCCAATAATATCACGAAACACAATAGACACTTTTCTTGGCCCTGAATTTCCAAAGCAGAAAAGAAAAACAGACAATGTCAATTCCCTACTCGAGCCTCCAAAATGTTCCCCTCTCATACGCTTCCTGCTCGATCGGCTGCGGTCCGAACAGCACACTCCCGCTCCGACTCCAAGCAATCAGCGAAGCAGGCTTTAGCGCAATCGAGCTCTCTTTCCCAGACATCCTAGAATATGGCGCGGAAATCACAGGCAATGAAATCGCACCGGACAACTATATGGCAATTTTACCCGTGGCTGTGGAGATCCGCAAACTATGCGATGAACGCAAGTTGAAAATCATGATGCTACAACCATTCTCAAACTTCGAAGGTTGGTCTAAGGGCTCTGTTGAGCGTGAGGAGGCATTTGCCCGAGCGACAGGCTGGATGGAAATTATGAATGTCGTGGGTACAGATTTGTTGCAGGTATGACAGCGATATATATATACGTCCAGCACCCAGATATTATCACGAACAATAAACTAATACCAAATCTAGGTCGGAGCAACAGACACACCGGGACACATAATCACCAGCGACCGCGATGCGATCATCTACGACTTGCAAGTTTTATCCGACCTTCTCGCAAAACGCAACTACCGCCTCGCCTATGAGAACTGGTGTTGGGCGACCCATGCACCGGGATGGAAGCATGTCTGGGAGATTGTGAAAGCCGTAGATCGCCCAAATTGTGGGTTATGTTTGGATACATTCCAAACTGCGGGCAGTGAATGGGGTGATCCGACTACTGAGTCTGGTCTAATTGAGTCAGTCCCGCAGCCTGAGCTACAGAAGCGGTTCGAGGCGAGTATGGATGAGCTTGCCAAATCTGTGCCAAGTGAGAAGATTTATTTGCTTCAGATCTCAGATGCATATAAGGTGTCGCCGCCGTTGGAGGACAAGGTTATTGGTGGATTGAGACCAAAGGGTCGCTGGAGTCATGATTATAGGCCTATGCCATATGACGGTGGCTATTTGCCTATTGAGGATGTTGCGAAGGCGGTGCTCAAAACGGGGTTCCGGGGTTGGTTCTCAATGGAGATCTTTGATAGTGGACCGCAGGGGACTGGGAAGCAGTACGAGCTGGGGTCTTTTGCGGCAAAGGCTATGGCTAATATGCAAAAGCTTTTGAAGAATTGTGCGACGGATTGAAGGAAATAAATTGCCTGCTAGATATTTATAATGATAGATGGTTTCTGAACAAGTCGTACTTGGTATATTTGGTATATTGTCTTTTAGACTTGAAATAAATACATATTTTGAGGATTCCTTGGAAATTCCTGGACACAATTTGAAAAAACGCCGGGGTGAGATGCAAGACTGACGCCAATGAGATCATAAAGCATGCGAGATCAACTTGAAGATCATGGATAGATAGTCATCTATTAGTTGGCGTTGCTGGGGTACGCAACGGTGTATGTGGGAACGAACTCCTCCTTCATGGAGCGCAAGCTGACGAAACGGGACATCAGGTTGGCACTTCCGGCCTTGTCGTTGGTACCGCTAGCACGGGCACCACCGAAGGGCTGCTGGCCGACAACGGCACCGGTGCTCTTGCAGTTGATGTAGAAGTTACCCGCGGCGTTGCGGAGAGCATCACCAGCGGTCTGGACAGCGGCACGGTCCTGGGCAAAGATAGAGCCGGTCAGAGCGTAAGTGCTGGTGCTATCGATCTTCTCACAAATCTTGGTGAATTCGGCGTCGGTGGCGTCGTTGTAAGAGTGGATGACCAGAATGGGACCGAAAAGCTCGCGCGAAAGGAGAGGGTGGTCCGGGTTGGTGGTGCGGTACACCGTAGGCTGGATGTACCATCCCTTGGAGGAATCATAGGTTCCACCGACGAGCAGCTCAAGCTCGGGGTCATTCTTGGCCTCATCGATGACACCGGAAAGCTTGTTGAAGGAAGCCTCGTGGATGACGGGACCGCAGAAGTTGGTGAACTCGGAGGGTTCGCCAACCTTGAGCTTCTGCACCTCAGCCACGACCTGCTGGGCGAAGTCCTCGGCAATAGAAGAGGCAATGTAGGCACGGGAGGTGGCGCTGCACTTCTGGCCCTGGAACTCGAAAGCACCACGGACGGTCTGGACTGCGGCGTTGCGGACATCTGCGGACTTGTGCACCAAGTGGAAGTTCTTGCCACCGGTCTCACCCACGATGCGAGGGTAGCTGCGGTATTTGCCATCTGCCACACCCTGCGAGATCTTGCCGTACAGCATGCGGAAAACATCAGTGCTTCCGGTGAAGTGAAGAGCAGCGAAGTCGCGGCTTTCAAGGACAGTGCTAGTCACCTCGGCGGCGTCACCAGGAACGAACTGGATGACGTCCTTGGGCAGACCGGCCTCAAGCAGGATCTGGTGAACGAGCCAGTTGGAGGCGATTGCAGAAGGAGAGGGCTTCCAGATCACGACATTACCCATCAGAGCGGGTGCACCAGCCAAGTTACCGCCGATTGCGGTGAAGTTGAAGGGGCTGATGGCGTACACGAAACCCTCAAGAGGGCGGTACTCAAGACGGTTCCACACTCCAGCAGCGTTGTGGGAAGGCTGCTGTGCGTAAAGCTCTTCGGCATACTTCACACCGAATCGGAAGAAGTCACAGAGCTCAGCAGCGGAATCAATCTCGGCTTGCCAGGCATTCTTGCCCTGTCCGTGCATAGTCAAGGCCATAATATCGTAGCGGTACTTAGTGGAAATCAGATCAGCGGCCTTGAGGAAAATGCTAGCACGTTCGGCGAAAGGAGTATCGGCCCAGGACTGGCGAGCGGCGAGAGCTGAATCAATGGCGGACTGAACATCGGCCTTGGATGCATTGGAGTAAGTTGCCACAGGACCATGGGTTGCAGGGTTAGACTGTGTGAAGGTTTCATATCCCTTGAGCTGTGCGTTTTAATGTCAGAAATTATTCGATAGATATAGACTTTTCTTAATCATTCTTACCTCCTTGCCCGCAACTACCAGCGGCACGTTCAAAGGGGCTTGCTGCTTGTAGTTTGCCAAAGCCTCCTCGAGACCCTTGCGATCTGGAGATCCAGGAGCATAGTGTTTCTTAATGTTCCAAATTAGCCCAAATGATCAAACAATGTAGATTTTAATGCGGAACTCACGTTAGGTTCATTGTTAATCGTGGGCACCTTGAAAGTGGCATAAGTGCCCATAGAGCGTGTGCTGGAGATCGGTACGCGGCATGCGCGGGAAATGGGCGCACGGGTGCGCAGAATCGAAGACATCATAATGGTAGTTTGAAAGATAATGAACCAACTTCCAAGCTTTGCAGAGTGAAGATTCGGAGAAAGAAGTAGACGCGGGGAAGAAAGTATGAATAAGGGCCGGCTACTACCGGTTAGAGGCTCATAGCTACCCTGGTAAGGCGGGCGGCACTGGGACTGGCTGAAATCTACAGCCAATCAGAAGTGGCCGGTAGGTATCCCGGGTGGATCCCACCGGGCCGGCGTCTATATCGGCTTTGTCAAGAGAAATCAAATCTCTTCACCGGGCCTCTATCCTTCATAGAAGTTACTTATTAGTCAAGAGATAATAAACAATTGACATTCCCCACAAATATAGATAAGCTTGATAGCGGCGATTAACATGCTTTAGATTGGGAAAAATGGAGAAAAGATCCAATGGATCGGCGCTAAATGTATACATTCAAAGTAGATCATTCTAGTGGTAAATCATAGGTATGTCTTAAACAGAACATCTATAATTTATTTGATATCTATATTCTAAGTCTATATCTCTAGCAGGTGGTATCATATACACGGTAAAAGCACCATCTAAAGTAACAGCAGACAACAAAGCGCCTATGCGATCCACCACCACACTCGCTCTAGCCAGTTGCGTGGCTGCGGTTCGATCTCTTCTTCTTCAAGTCGGTCGATTTCGTCCTTGCCGCTGAAGATATCAAGCTCCGACACCTTGATCATCCATGGAGTCTTGTAATACAACTTATGGCCAAAGTACAGCACGAAGAAGATCACAAAGACAATGTAGGAAACCAGGAAATCCGAGGCCGTAAATGAACCGGGGAAGAATACCGTATAGCCGTTGGTAATAGCCAGTAGTGAGACAAAGACAATAGCGTAGTACGCCCCATATGGCTGGAAGGGAGTAATGAACGGTCGCGACTTGAGCAGGCCGTGGAAGTCCAAAGCGCTGCGGAAACGCTAGAGATCTATTGTTAGCAAGGTTATCCATGGAATGAGTAGAGGAGAAGCAATTCAGCGTACCAAGTATGCCACACCCACAACAACCCAAGAGACGAAACCTCCAATTGTAGTGATGTTGGTAAACCAATAGAACACGGTTGAACCGGAGGCAGACAGGTTCAAGAAGGAGAGCAGACCAATCGCCCAAGTGATTAGTACAGCGTTGTACGGAACGCCGTTCTTGTTGCAGCGAAGGAAAATCTTGGGAGCTTGGCCCTCACCCGCGAGTGAGTAAAGTGTGCGAGACCCAGCAAAGACCCAAGAATTGCCCGAGGAAAAGGCAGATATAAGAATGGCAGCATTGATAACATGGTTCAATCCAGAAATACCAGCATTTTGAATGCCGACGACGAACGGACTAGCTCCAGCACCAGAACCACCCAAATTACGCAGAAGGCTCTTGTCGTTATATGCGACTATCACACCAATTACCAAGCTTCCCAAAATATAAAATGCAAACAAACGGTAGATAAAACGGTTCGCCGCCTTGGGGATGTTGCGGCGTGGCGAGGCGGCCTCACCGGCAGCAGTGGTGATCAGTTCTGGGGAAAAAATGAAGGAGAACCCGGACTTGATCATGGCGGTCCAGAATGCCAGAAAGCGGCCTGTGCTGATGCTCGGGACTAAGTAAGGCTCTACGAATGCGCCGGGTGTTTTCCAGTACCGGAAACCGAGACGGTCATGGTTAGGGCCACCGCCGAAGAAGAGTATAACACCCAGGATGATTAGACCGAGGATGGCGAGGATCTTGAGTGACGCGAACCAGAATTCGGCTTCACCGTACCAAGAGACCGCGACAATATTGAGAAAGAGAATGACTAGAGTAGGTTTGTTAGAGGATTTCATAAATGCTGGACAGCTGGGACACTATGTACTCACCAACAAGAATAATTGCGATCCATACTCCCACGTTAACTGGCGACTGCCAATACTCAATGACAAGGCCGGATGCAGTGACTTCTGACGCTAGCAACATTGAAAATGAATACCTACATAGTGGCATATATTAGTTTAACAGAGTTCCAACGTTGTACCTTGATGGAAGGAATAATCACCAATAGTTATATCCTATTATTTGAATCAGCATTGCGGTTGTTTAGTATTCAAAGAAGAGTGTGACGTACCAACAGCAAATCCAAGACTGGGCTCCGTAAACCGAGTGATCAAATAGGGCACAGAAACACCCTGGACGGGAAGATAGGTAGTCATTTCACCAAGCATGTTCATCACAAAGTATACAATACTTGACATGACAATATAGCCCATGAGCAAAGGAGCTATTGCACATTAGCCTCGTATCAAGTTTATAGACCGCACATTGATTCATACCAGGACCAACCGTCGACAGTGATTGGCCACTGCCGACAAAAAGTCCAGTGCCGATACAACCACCCAGAGCCAAGAATTGAACATGGCGTGAGCTCAAACCTCGCTGAGTCTTTGAGTTGTGAACGCCCGTGATTTCTCCCTGTATGGCTTTTGAGTCATCGTACGGGGATACCGAACGGACCTCAGCCTCGAGACTCTTAGACGAGTCTTTCATAATGCGCGAAGGGAGATAAAGAAAGTCAGGAAGACAATTGAAAGTTCTAGGTAGCGCAGAAGCCTAGAGTAACTTGAAATATCTAGCGAAAGCCACAACTCTTATCATGTTTATGACGAACCATTATAGCTCTAAAGTGTTATCTTTACAGATTAGACAAAGTTAACGCTATGATAGTGTGCTCCAATAAGAGAACACGGCCCTCTTGAACTATACGCCTTTGAGACTAAGGGGGTTTACTCCAGGCGTGGAAATGATTTTGCTCCGTCAATCGGCGATTAAAGCGCATATAGCTGTCAGCCACTATAAAATGGTATGCCCAATGCCCAAAAGAGATCTAGATAACAGCGCCATTGTGGGGGCGGCGGGAGAGTTTTTGGAGATGATTGGCACCCACATTGCCTTTTTGTTCTAGCCTGGTCTTGATGACCTGCCATTTCATTTCACACATAATATTTTTAGGATTCCCCCGAGGTCAATGTCACATGGTCTTATCTGTATTCCAAGTTGACACATTGCATTTCGATAAATATTCCTCCAAGCTTCTAGCGGGATTTAGTTTAACCTAAACCCTCTAGTTACCAGGTCTACAATTGGTCGATCAAATTGACTTTAAACATTTGACACTGAGATCACGTGGTATTAGTCTGGGGGAAGAAATCCGGGGTAAAAAAACTGATCCATGACTTTAAATATGAAATCAAAAGATCATGAACTGTTCCCATGAATTGGAGCAGCATACTAGAACATTCTAGGAACACTAAGCTAAAAGTACTAACCGGAAGGTCACGCGTACAACCTTCCATGCGAGACCGGCCCGGTCAGTTTTTGCTTATCGCTTATCAGTGGGCCATGTCCAATATCAAACCGGCCCGTAACCGTTCGGCATGAATCTGCGAACCTACTGTTGGCTGCAGATTACAAGGGAGAGGCGAATATCAAAGCGTCATTCTCGCTCGGACACTTTGTTCTTCCTAGCCTTGATCCGATCGTAGTTCTTCGTGGCGTTTATAATTTTGATATTTTGATGTCTTGTATAGTTGAAAAAAAGCATAGTAGATAGTCCCATCCACGGATACATAAAGAAAATTATCAGACAATGCCGGCCCGTTAAGTTGGGACTGCTGACCGTACCGGTGTACCTTGCGGTTGCCACCGGCTCTTACCCAATAAGTTCCACCAACAGATCCCCATATCTAAAAGGTAGCCTTCAACCGTGGCTCTTCTGCTTCTTTAACCATTTGTTCTATGTTCTAAAGACTTTCACTTTTTGACTTGACTTCAGAGATACTTCCTTGTCTTCCTTTCTCTGGTACATATCTCACAACACTACATCTAAACGCCACCCATGAAAGGTGCACCTTCCGTGCGTGCGCCCCTCAAGGCCGCCGCTCAAACCACTAGACTAGTGAGCGGCACTAGCAACTCTCGATCATCAGTCGCCTCAGTTTCAGCCGCCAACGTATGGCCACAAGCAAAAGCTTCGCCTGCGCAACCCCGCAAGGCACTGGCAGCACCCCTATCTAAGCTGCCGTTGTCATCTGTTCTCCGCTCGTTGCTGGTCTTGTCTGTTTCGTCATCGTCTCTTCTTCTCAAGCCATGCATCTACACCCTTTCTTTGCTGGCTCACCCTCGCAACGCATTCTGGGATGTCTCCAAAAACCCCTTGCTGAACATGCTTGTCAAGCACACCATCTATAAACAATTTAACGCCGGAGAGAATAAAGTCGAAGTGCAAAATTCGATCAACCAAATTAAACAGCTCGGATGCCGAGGTGTACTTCTCGGATATGCTCGAGAGGTCCTCGTTGGCGAGAACTCGGATGCCCCATATGACGAGAAGGCTGCTCTGGCTGAAATCCAAATGTGGATGGATGGCACCCTGCAGACAGTTGACATGGCTCAGCCCGGAGACTTTGTCGCTTTGAAGTATGTGTGATGATATTCCCATGTCCTTGATTTGTGGCTGTCACTAACTGATTTCTCAGATTCACTGGAATGGGCAACGACGCCCTTCGCTTGTTGCAGTCTCAGACTATGCCCACAGAGACCATGGACAACTCTATTCTTAAGGTCTGCGATCTCGCCATCTCTCGTGGAGTGCGCCTTCTAGTCGATGCCGAAGAGCAGGCCGTGCAGCCTGGCATTGAGGCCTGGATCATGAAGTATCAGAAATACTGCAACTCCCAGACCCCCGGCCGTGCGATCTTCTACGGAACTTACCAGGCCTATCTTCGCTCTACACCTGCTACTCTGGCCCGCCACCTTGAGACTGCTCGCGCTGAGGGATACACACTTGGCGTCAAGCTGGTTCGCGGCGCCTACATGAAGACTGAACCCCGTCACCTCATCTGGGCTGAGAAGGAGGAGACCGACAAGTGCTACGATGAAATCGTCGAGGCCCTTCTCACTCGCAAGTACAACTCCATGCTCAAGGCTCCCTCACAGGACACCCCAACCGAACTTCCTCCCCTGAATGTCATCATTGCTACTCACAGCCGCGAGTCTGTTCGCAAGGCTCATGCTTTGCGCATGGAGCAGGCTACCCGCGGCGAGGATTACGGTGTCGACGTCAGCTATGCCCAACTCCAGGGTATGGCTGATGAGGTTAGCTGTGAATTGCTTCAAGGATTCGAGAGCGCCGAGAACAGTGTTGGCGCTACCCCCATGGATGCCCCCAACGTCTTCAAGCTGTTGACCTGGGGCTCTGTCCAGGAATGCATGGGTTTCTTGCTTCGTCGCGCCGTTGAGAACACCGAGGCCGTTGGTCGTACTAAGGACTCTCAGATCGCCATGTTCGCCGAGTTGAAGCGTCGTTGCGGCAATGTCTTCCGCAGCAGCAAGTAGTTTTCGAGCCTTTCCTGATGTTCCGACTTTCGGAGGCTATCTAGATCGTTTTGTCTTTACTTGACAGCCCACGGGCTGTTTTGCCGTTTTTTTTTTTTTTGTTTTTGTTGCATTTTTATTTGCGTATAACTGGGTGCATCCTTCACGGCGTTGCTATTGCTTTGTGAGAACTTTTGAGGTCCATTCGGGATGATGATCAATGAAATGAATGTTCAAAATGAAGTGAAGCCCTTATCATAAGATGAATCAGATTAGGAATTGAATTAAGACATCAAGCTAGAGATTAATCTAATACCGTCCATAACCGGCATGTAGTCCCCACCAGGTTAACTTGCCCCTCAGTATGTGTCGGAGGGTCTATCCGACCCCTGGCCCCCATATATATTCTACCCATCGCCTCAAAAAGCAGCTCATTCGTTTATTTTGAAAAGAAACTTGAGAAAATAGGTCTTCAAACATTTCCCAAAAACAAAAACTTAACCAAAATGCATATCCTCTCCGAGCCAAACGTCTCCCAGATCTTCCGCGGTCTAACACAAGGCCAATGCCACAGCTTCATCTCAGCACTCGGCAATGCCTTAATCAGCATAACTCAAGAATCAAAACCCTCAACCCCAGCATCTGCCAAAAAAATCCATCAACCCCTCCGCACAGTCTTCACCACAAGCGATGACAACACCTGCATCTTCATGCCGGTATCGGACACCGCATCCACCGGCATAAAAGTGGTAACAGCCAGTACCAGCGGAATCCAAGGCGTAATCAACATCTTCAATCCAGAAGGCCGACTCCAAGGCCTCCTCGCCGCAGCAGAAGTAACAGCCTTCCGCACCGCCCTGGCAACAATGACCCTCTTCGTGCGCTGCACGACCTTCCGCAAGGACAACATTCTTGTTCTCGGCAGTGGTCGCCAGGCAGAGTGGCATGCGCGTCTTGCGCTTCTACTGTACCCGGATCAAGTTCGACGGGTGACGTTTGTGAATCGCGGCGCGAAGAGGCTAGCCGAAATGGAGAGAGATGTTGTTTCCGAGTTGCGCAAAACTTACCCCGGTGTTGTATTCAGCATGCTTGCCAAAGAGGGTGTCGATGACTACGAGCAGCGGCTAGGGGAGGAACTTGCTGCTGCGGATGTTATCTTTAGTTGTACGCCTGCCACCGTGCCGAATTTTGGATACGAGGCGCTGCAGACGAACCCTAAGCAGCGGTTCATCTCACTTATTGGCTCCTACAAGCCTAATATGCATGAGATTGATACTGAGACGCTGCTTTCTGGGGATGGGAAAGTTTATGTTGATTCTAAATCGGCTTGTTTGGAGGAGGCTGGGGAGTTGATCACTGCGGGTCTTGGGGAGGAGCAGTTGGTTGAGATGGGGGATCTTTTGGGAGCTGATGGCATGGATGGGACGCTTAATGTTCCTGCTGGTTGTAATGTTGTTTATAAATGTGTTGGTATGGGATTGATGGATCTTGTTGTTGGGAAGAAGGTTCTTGATGTTGGGGTTGAGATGGGGCTTGGGACTCATGTTGATGGTTTCTAGATATTTTTTTATTTCTAAATTTACAATCAGACTATTATTGATCGGAACTATGATTGAGTCCGACCAATGTCACATTGCACTCGCTAGTGGACCTTTTTGCTTCGTGCAAGATAAGTCACCAAGCTACTGGCAAGGCTTCGACCCACCATTGAGTCATAAAGATATGCTCTATAGAGAGGGGTAGTTGCATATTTAGCAAGTGATATTGAGTGACAGGCTGAGACACGTTCGATTATATCGTGATCCAATGTCCGGTTACTCCATATGGTGACATGCAGCTTGGTACGCTCCAACGAAGGATGGTAATGATATCGGCAGGATTCATGGATATCTTCTAGTTATGTACTTGCTAATAAAAGGAAGATAAGTAGGGCCAGCAAGAAATACGAAGAAATATGAACAGATGAAGGAAGTTGAAGGAACAGGCCAAGTATGCAAATCGAGCAGCCCTAAAGAGAATAATATATTTCAAGGTATAGCTCACTCAGCACTAGGAGCTATGTCCAGGTAGGGTTATGCCCTCCGATAACGTATATATAAGCCTAGATAGGGTATTCTCCTCCGTACCTATATATGTACTTATTAACCCTTAGATAGGGCTAACAAGGGTATGGAGGAACTAGTAGGGCGGGGGCTAGTGTTATTTTTTGAACTAAATCTGCAGGTTATGTCTCATATAAATGATCTATAGTAATTAAAGTCAAGAATTAAATTAAATATCGTAAGATAGATATAAAAAAAGGCGTTAAAAAGTCCCTAAAATAGACCGACAATTATCGACCCCAAAAAAAAAGGGACCGATGAGCGGAGCAAAATGAGTCCGGGATATGCGGGGGTGTCCTTTATCGATTAGCTTCCTTTTTCTCTCTCCTCACAAGCCCATTTACCAAGCTTGGATATTCCGGTCTGACACGTCTTTTCATTTTCTCTCCCATATTTTTCTCTTCTTTTTGTATATTCAGACAATGCCATCCACACTGTAATGGACGACTCGACACCGACGCCCGTCCAGCAAAAACGTCCTCGCGTGGCAGAAGAAAACCGCAAGCGAGCTGTCCGAGCGTATGCTACCCTGGTATATCAGTCAAATCGTATCTAACACATCAATTTGCGCAGATGCGATGGTTGCCGCCGGGTGAAAGAGAAATGCGAAGGAGGTGTACCGTGTCGAAGATGTTTGCGATACCGCCGCCAATGCAATTTTACTCACATCGACCCCAATGAAAAGACTCGGTCAACATCCGTCTCGTAGGTTGACCGCATGCCCATTTTCGCCATTAAATAGATCGCTAATAGCGCAACACCTGGTATCAGACTTTTGGATCGAGCAGCCGCCCAGAGCCGAAATGACATCGCAGAGGCAGAACGGGTGCGCTTGATGGAACGCCTCCTATCGCATTATGTACCCAATATCACTTTCGATATTCAGTCTCTGCGCCAGGCTGCAGAGGATCTAAAGAGCAAACACCGCGATTCTGAGTCAGCGATCTCTACCCGTGAAGACCCCAACGAGCTGGAGGATCTTGCTATTGATGAGGAGGATTTTACAATCAAGGCTATGCCCGATAACACAACCCGTAGGTTGCAATCTGGAGACCGTGCATGGGGATTTATTTTGACACTATTTACCAGAGTATTCCGGGGAATTTTCATATTTGAATTTCACAATGAAGATCCGGAAGAAAATCGACGAGTGGATGAAGACTGCAGCACCCGAGGTAGGTTCCCGTGAATTGTCAGTGAGCGAGGCGGCTGAGTGCATGCTAAAATCCACCCAGGCAACTTCTGAAGTTGAGCCTTTCGAAGAACGATGGCGAAGTACACAACTCCAGTCTGCATCACCTCAGGTGTCTTCCTCAATTACATGTCTGCCGCCGCGATATGTTGCCGATTTTCTGGTCCAGATCTTCTTCAAGTACGCGCAAACTAATAATTTCTACATTGAGGAAGACTGGCTAGTTGAGAAATTGGGAATCTGCTACACTGACCCTGGAAGTTTGTCGTTTGACGATGCAGGTGCCGTGTGCTGTATTCTTATGGTTCTGGCTGTCGGCACTCAATTCGCACATATGGAGTCATCCACACCCGTAAATTGCTTACCATCCGGCTCTACAGCAAATCAAGACCATCACTTTTCGGAGGACGAGGTCGGACTCACATTCTACCAATTTGCCTCGAGGCTGTTACCAGACATTATCGCCACCGCTTCGGTTCGAAGTGTGCAGGCCTGTCTACTTATCGGGACGTACTTGCTTCCATTGGATACTTCAGGCTTATGCTACACATATTTTGGCCTGGCACTGAAACTGGCTATTCAAAATGGAATGCATCGGAGGTATCACGGGGAAGGCCTGTCTCCGCCCATGATCGAAGTGCGGAATCGGGTTTTCTGGACCGCTTTTACTATCGAAAAGCGTATAAGCATTCTCCACGGCAGACCTTCTTCGTTGTCGGACGTGGACGTTGACTGTCCCCTGCCGGTTGATTTCCCCGGGTTGATGCCCGTTAATCAAATCTCAAACCATAAAAACATGGTAACACTCATTACATTGACTTTGAAGCTTGGGGAGGTTTCAAATGAAATCACCTCGTTGCGAAAATTCCGCAAAGAGCAGCAGCAGGACTGTCTCGAACGAATACTGAATCTCCGGAAACATCTCGTTGACTGGTGGTCAAGTCTACCAGAAGAGATTACCTGCCGTGATCTAAACCCCACGGGACCGCTATTCCGGTCCAACGTCCATCTCAAGCTAGACTACTGTCTGACTCGAGTCTTCATTGGGCGCCCTTTCCTTTTCAGTAACATCAAAGGTATCTACCAGACCCCCTCTCAAGGCCCACGGTCTTCCAATCTGTCCGGTGTTTCAAAGAATCGCGCGACTCTTGTTACAGATTGCGTGGAAGCCGCTCTAGAAATCATCGATTTGTGCCGCTTGCTCCGCGATGAGACAGGTCTTGCGCGAGCCTCATTCACCGAATTTAGTTCATGTCGTGCAGCTTTGCTGGTCATTTTGGCCCAGGGTCTGACAAAACGAACCGAAAGGCTTGGTGCTGCCCTCGAGCAGGGAATTTCCCTCATCAAGATCATGTCTATGGGTGTTGGCTCGGCCCGTTCAGCTGTCAGCGTCATAGAGGCGCTCGAACGTGCTATTCGCCGTCTCGAAGCATGGAGTGAGACACAACCGGATATGAGCAGCGGAGGTGCCGTCGAATCTGCCTATGATAGGTTCAAAAACTGGGAGATGCTTTGGAAAGCAGGACCTATCTCGCCTTCCACGCTCGCGTGGCAGCAGCAGGAGGCTTATGCTTCAAGTGACCATAATGTCCCACAAAGCGTACCATCCCAACCATCTACGATGACAGGTCCTGCTACTAATCTTCTTCATGGCATGGCTCTGACACCCCCCTCGGCGCCCATGATTGGTGTGGGTAGTGCTGTTCGAACACCCACTGCACCCGATCAGAGCATCCCAGAAGGCGAAGAAGTCCCACTATCCGACAATTTTTCAATTTCTCAGCAGTCCCTTTCACAGATGCCACACTTTGGCTTCGATCATTTTGTTTCCAATTTCCCGCAAGAGTTGGGCGAGTTTACTGCTATTCCTTGCTTTGAGCCGGATTCTCAGGCTCAATCTAATGGTTTGCCTGGTGCTGAAATGAAGGCTCCAGGTAGCAGGCCTGACCCCCCTCATTGGTTGCACTTCATGAATCCTTCATGATCGATTTTTATATAGTGCTTTGTTCTTGAGCATTAACTGATCTTTGCAACATACTTGGGTTGGATCTTATGACTTTTGTTTTTGTTTTCTTGTTATACCATCTTGCGACTGTTTATGTTTCACTGGTACTTATTGCGCCTGGGTGGTGGAAATCTCGGAAATTGCGCAGCTTATTCCCAATCAATTCATTGTTAATGCAATCTATATTTTACTTGTCTGAGTCCGGTGACTTTCGATCTGTATGCACGCAGGGAGATCCTTAATATCTGCTCATTTGCTTGTGATGATACTTCAAACATTGATTCGTAAATATACAAAACGTCCATAGCCCTAATCGAACGTAACCTTCTTTCCAGCGAAAGCAGCCGTGGTCTGCTCCTTGGCCTTCCGCTTCGCCTCCCACGAGGGATGCAATGGACCCTCATCCTTTGGCGGACCTTTAGGCTTGCCACCGGGACGTTGCCCAGAGGGAGCACCAGCAGGGCCATCTCTATTCTGAGGCCGTCCAACACCACCGCCGAAACCACCACGTCTGCCCCCTCTCCCTCCTCTGCCTCCTCTCGTTCCGTCAGTTGCACCGCGCTTCGTATCCCATCCATTATCTCTACCACCATACTTCGCAGCCATCTGCTCCTGCTTGACGTGGTTTGCAGTGGCTCCGTACTTCTTCTCCCACAAAGCCCGACGCGCCTGCTGACCCATACGGTTCTTACGGACAGGCTTAGCACCGGAATCTTCGTCATCAGTAGCTTCTTCTGAGCCAGACCAGTAACCACTCATTAAAGTCGGCAGGAATGTTGTGCTTTTAACTGCGGCAGCAGCGCCCTTGGCTGCCTTTACTTTCTTGGGTGGCGGGGAGTTCTCCGTCGAGAAGGATGGTGACGGGGAACGGGAGATAGAATCGGAGATATCGCCTGCGACGCGGTCGTCCTCGTCTCCGGAATCCGAGTCAGCTTCTGAGTCTGAGCCCGGTCCAAGTCGCGAATTGAATTGTGAGAGATCTTCATCTCCGGATTCATCTGAGCCGGAGATATCCATGTCGTTCGCAGAGCGGGAGACCTGCTCGCCGCGCCTGGGTTTTGACGTCGCTGTCTCCGATTCAGACTCGGATCCGTTGTTTTCCTTTGCCTTCTTTGCCGATGCATCCTTCTTGCTATCCTCTTTTGTCGCCTTGCTAGTTGGCAACTCGTCGATTCTCAATAGTTTCCGAATACCCGCCATAATGCCGGGTATTTCTTTCTGCACGGGAGTGGATTTGAACAGTCGCGCTAGGATATTCGCTTCCGCTGTACTCTTCGGTCCTTCCTGAGAGACCTTTTTGACTGCCTGGAACTCCCCGAACGTCCGCGTTTCTGCAATCCGCTTCGTCCTGACAAGCTGCTTGAACAGGTATCGTTCGGATGTGGCATGGTAATCGAGGCCCTGTTAAACCAAATATTAGCAATTGAGTCCACGAGCAAGGAGCATCCATAAAGCTACAATCCAATAGCGATAACCGCATACCTTCAAAGTCTCGATTTCTTCCTTTAGTCGCTCCAATGCCTTATCATCCTTCTGCGCCTTGGCTGTCTTCTCTCGCCGACTGAGCTTTTGTCGTTCAAAGCCGCGCGATGTCTTCAGACCTCGCATTATCATCAACACGCCGTTCTCGAACATTTGCGTCAATCGGGTGCCATGAATGGACATTTTGCGGGTGTCGCTAGACGGGCGCGGCGCGGGCGCGGGGCCGCTGACTTCGTCGAGCTTGCGTTTGGGCATTTTATTTCGGTAGTATGGATGTATAGAGTTGGTGAGGTATTAGAACTGGCGAGTTAAAGAATGTATGGGTTGTTGAGACAAAACCGAGGGCGTTTTAGAGGGTCGTGTTGATCGTCGGATGTTGGTGTAGCTTAATTTTTTTTTTCTTGGGCGGAGCCCAGCGCCAAGACAGACGCTTGCAATGGCCATAAACCAATTGGCTTGATATCTGGTTCAGGTTATATATTGCTTTGTGAATTGGGATTATCTAAATAAATGATAATTATGACCAGCGTACTGGTTTATAAGTGAACTCCCGGCAAATTTACTGCTACGTGTGCTACATTGGTTGATATATTGGTTGGACAAAAAAAGACCATCGATTAACACTGACGGATATGTACATACAAACATGGCAAAGAAAATGATACGCATACAGTCCCTTTCTATTTCTTTTCTTCAGTCTTCTCTTCCGGCTTGGGGGTAGGAAGCTTGAACTATAGTTGAACATGTCAGCACATTGTCTGTCAGCGGCGGGGAGAGTATGACTTACGGACTCGGGAGTGCGGTTTTCACCTGCACCCACGGGCTCCCAGGCAGTAGAACCGCTCTCAAAGTTACGGAAGGCCTGGGTAAGCTCAAGGGGCTCAATAACGATGCGCTTCTTCTCTTCGTCGTAGCGCAGCTCAGTATAACCGGTCAAGGGGAAGTCCTTGCGCAGTGGGTGACCGTCGAAGCCGTAATCGGTCATGATACGGCGGAGATCAGGGTGGCCGGAGAAGAACACACCGAACATGTCGTACACCTCACGCTCGTACCACAAAGCACCCTCGAAGAGACCAGTCACACTGGGCACGGGGGTAGCCTCATCCGCGTAGGTCTTGACACGGATACGGGAGTTGTGGCGAACACTGAGCAAGTTGTAGACGACCTCAAAGCGCTGGTCGCGGGTGGGGAAGTCAACACCCGTGATATCGGAGATCTGGGTGAACTCGGCGGCAGTGTGGTTCTTGAGGAAGCTCATCACAGGGATGATACCGGCGGGAGCGGTGTACACGGTGAGCTCATCCTTCCAGACTGTGAACTGTTGGATATATTTAGGCAGACAAGACATAACGTATTGTCCATAGGCGTGAAGGCTCTCGGCCATGGGTTGGTACTTGTCGGCAGGGTTAACCACGGGGGCGCGTAGAGGTCCCGGGGCTGGCAAAACACAGTTCGGTTAGCTCAATTGTGTACTATCTATTGACTAGTTCATTGCACATACGCGGGCGCTGCGCCTGGCGCATGTTCTCAGGTTCCGGACCCGGTGCTGTCGAGGCCTTGGGGGCACACTGAAGGGAGGCGGAGGAAAAGGTGCGGGCGGCCATGGACCTCGTGGCAGATGCCACAGAGCGTCCAGAACCCAGGCGCATCAAAGAGCGTGCGGAGGCCATTGTGTAGAGGGAGCAATGGCAGATGCAACGGGAGGAGGGGACGGAGGCACGTAAGTTGGATTGTGAAGGTTTAGAGTGGTCGAGCACTTTTGGTCACGTGTTGGTCATACGCTAAACTAGATCGGGCAATGCCAGCAAAATGAAGCCGCGCTTCACAATTTCCTTCCTTCTTCTCCCCGTTCACCCTCTTCTATCAATAATCTTCACCCTTTCTTTTGCCCTCTCTTCTTCTCGCTCCTCCTTTAAAATCTAATCGCCGTCTATCTTCCTACACTTCGCAGGGCAGCGTAGTTCTTTTATTTTCACAGTTTCTCATCCGATTTAATCGGTCGGCGTTCGAGATCTCGTGTCCCTCTCCGGTTGTCACCGTATTCCCTGCGATCATGTCCAGTCTTTCATTGATCGATTCCGTCATCGACGACGACGACGAGTTCTGGTAGGTCTTGAAGCTCATTCAACCTCCGCGATTTGAGTACTGATCACCCCACAGCCCCCTCTGCATTGAAGAGTTCGATCTCTCCGATAAGAATTTCAAACCGTGTCCTTGTGGATACCAGGTATGTCTAAACTTAGCTCTTAACGCGTCACTTCCAGTGCCTGCTTCCTTGTGACGGGGACAGGTGGCTCGTCTTTGTCTCCCTGTGCCAGACCTAACATGTGATGATCTCTTTCCAGATTTGCCAGTTCTGCTACAACAATATTAAGACGCAGAATGAAGAAGGACGATGCCCTAACTGTCGGCGCGGATACGATGAAAGTACCATCCAGTACAAGATTCCTGACGTCGAAGAGTGAGTCAGCCCATACTCTATGGCATCTTCGCCACATCCCAACTAACCTGCTGTGATTAGGTTCAAGGCAGATCTGGCGCTGAAACATCGCAAGGCGGCTGCTGCCAAAAAGAAGGAAGCCGAAAAGCGTGAAATCGAGGCTTCCAGTCGGAAGAACTTGGCCGGCGTCCGTGTCGTTCAGAAGAACTTGGTCTACGTTATCGGCCTCAACCCTACCATCCGAGACGAAAATCAACTCCTCCAAACGCTCCGTGGACGGGAATATTTCGGTCAATATGGCGAAATTGAGAAAATCGTGGTCAGCAAGGCTAAACCCGGCGGCAACCCTAACCAGGGTATTGGTGTTTATGTGACTTTCTCGCGCAAAGCCGATGCTGCGATGTGCATTAACGCTGTGGACGGTTCCGGAAATGGCGATCGAGTGCTCAGGGCGCAGTACGGAACAACGAAATATTGTTCGTCCTTCCTTCGCAATGAGCAGTGCAATAATCGGAACTGCACTTTCTTGCACGAGACTGGTGAAGATAGCGACAGTTACAGCCGCCAGGACCTCTCATCCATGAACTCGATTTCCACCCAACGCCCGAATCTCCCACCTACCCCCTCTCACGTGAGGTCCGCTCAACCCATCGCCCATCCTATGCGCCGGCAACCAAGCAAGGATGACTCGATCAGCAGTCGCACCGGCATACCAGATGGCCCGGCTCTCCCATCAACTGCCAGCTGGGCTAACAAAGATGTGGCAACTGCTATTCACCGAACCAGAAGAACTAGTCTCACTGGTAGCCAAGCCTCCAATAGCCCACGGCCCGCAAGTGTCAATGTTGCGACCCCGGTTGAAGAACCAAAGCGAGTGGAGAAGCCATCTCCTATTTCCCAAACAGCCCCACAATCAACCTCCCAAGTCGATCCCCAATCTCCTGCCCCACAACCACGTCCTCGTCGAGCGACTCCACCTCCCAAGCTGCCATCACCGTTTGACACTTTGCTCAAGGATATAAACTCTCCGGATTTCAAGTTTTCCTTTAGCACGGCCGAACTAACTGCCGAAGAGGTCAAATTAATCAAGGATTACCCATCTTTCATCGATCCGTATGGTGGTGTCAAACGCAGAGCAATGCGCGAGAAGGTCGAGCAGGAGCGTCTCAGTCGCGAGCACGAGTTGCTCCAATCTGTTGCGGCGGAGGAGGATAGCCGCGAAGCTGGTAGCCTCCAGCTAGGTGGTGAGCCAGAAGAAGCAAATCCCCCTCGCAGTCGCCAGACACGGGAGTCGCACGGTGCTATCCAACCCCCCTCGCAGCAAGACACTGCGGACAATTCAACGGTTGCATCTCCTGTCTCTGCAACTAGCCATCAATTTCAAGGCTTGAACCTCGCTGGACGAAGCTTAACACCCTTGCAACAACAGCAGTTGATGTTACTCAAGTCCGCCGGTAATCAACAAGCTGGTCTGACTGACCCTCTCAGCTCCGCTGCTCTAGAGCAAGCCGCCCAAGCCCGCCAAGGTCTTGGGCACAATCAGATGGCACAGTTCAATGCGCTGCAGGCAGCACAGAGCCGACAGTCTTCCCGATTTTCCTTCACCAATGAGGCTGGTTCTAAGAATATGCCTAATGCACGCATGTTAGGCCAGATGCAATCGTCGTCTCCTAACCCTCTTTCTGCACCAAGCCCTCAACATGGTCTTGCAGCAAGTGGTTTCTATGCCAGCGGTGTGCAGGGTCCCCCGCCGGGACTCAAGACAGCTGGCACCCCTCCCATCAGTGGTGGTGGCATGTTTGCCCAGGGGCATGGCTTCACCTCTGGGCTTGGTGGTAATGGAGGAAAGCAAGACCCAACCCCGGAGCTAATGCGTGAGCTACTGCGTGGACGAACTGGTACGAATGTTGGTGGTTTACAGGGCCAAGAGTCTTCTAAGCGTGAGTTTATGTTCCCCTTTCTTCAACAGCACAATACCCCTCCCCCCATGACTCCTGCCAATGGCCTTCTCAGCTCCTTCTATGGACCCCAAGCGGGTGTAATGCCTGATCTTGGAGGTCCACAGAAGCAGAAGAAGAAGGGGAAGAAGCACAGAAACGCTAACACTTCCTCCGGTGGAGGTGGTGTAGTAGATCTTGCGGACCCGAGCATTTTGCAGGCGAGAATGCATCAAGTCGGTGCGAATGCTACTGCTGGGCAAGCGTTGTACGGGAGTCAGGGTCAAGGTGGGTACAACCCTTCGATGGTCTATGGCGGTGGCATCAGTCGGTGGTGAATCCCATGTGGTTTCCCCTTAACCTCTCACTTGTTCCCGTGTTTCGATTTACTGCATTTTCCTGCATTCTCGCTATGACCTTGTTCCCTTGATGAGCCTGCTTTATCCTGATGACATGATATCAATTCCCTTTTTCCTTCCAAATGAAGGTCTTGCATATGTTTCTGTTTTATTCGCGGTCAACCAGCTCTGATTTATACGATGACCGGATGTTCACCTGGCATAGGGGCTATCCCCTGTCTTGTTCAATTGCTATTTATTTTGCATGTTTTTCTCTGCCTCTTTCCAGGTGTCTTTGCATTTCACGGACATACCGGTGTGTGTTCCGGGCTCTCTTTGTATTCGGCGGCTGTGTATTCCCTTTCTACTTTTTTTTGCATCCGGACTTCCATTATACGATCTGCTACGTCCTGAAGACCGCGGGTGTTTGTTATGGATTAATGTACGTTAAGATCTCCCTACCCTGATACCACAAGCCGAAAAGGGTCTTATTCGAAATCAGTTTCCTCACAGCCGCCGTTTACATAGACGCCCTGTCCTGCAATGCTCCTGGTCTGGGAAGTGCCCATCATGTAATTATGTCATGTCTTTTTTGTATCGCTTAGTCGTGCTTAGTCGTCGCCCTTGCCTGGAGGCCCCGGGGGATTCCGATCTGATCTTCACCACTCCTCACCTGCCCATTCACATCGCCCCATGCTTTCTTGCACATTCGCTGACCCAATGCTCTAGTAAACGATGACTTTCCGCCTCTTGGGGATCAATCCAAAGATCGACGGCCTGTCGACAGCTTTGGGTTTTTGAAGTCTCAATTACCTGGCGAGTCAGCCGCTCGTGCTGGTACGCCTACTTTGCCACCTGGACTACCTTTGCCCCATGCCCATCCCTCGTCTTCTGTCTTTCAAGAACACAGTTCCTCTAAACCTTCGTCTCCTGCTCCCATGCTCCCACCTGGCTTGACACCCAACGTTTCAAGACTTAACAGCCCATCGCAGAGCCGTTTTGACAGCCCCTCTCGTCTTTTGAGTCCTGAACTCACCGTGGGCGGACCTTTGACCTCAAGCCGCGTGAAAGACGCTTCTCAAATCTCCTTCGGATCGCCCGTGCAAAAGTCTGCAAGCAAGGCTCGTATCCAGCGCAAGAACGAGTTCAACATTGGGGCTGATTTTAAGGACTCCCCTGCCAAACCTACAACCCAGTCGCAGCCGGGCTCTACTATTACGAAAGGGAGCTCATTAGATTTTAGCACCTCCCTGCCTACATCCGTCAAGACTGAGCAGGCACCAGCTCCTAGCTCTATTTCCGCAATCGGGTCGCGGCCCGACACCCCCCAAACAATCGCGTCTCGCCTCTCTGACTCCCCTGCCCCTCGTCAACCTCGTATTCTTCGCGTGGTAGAAACACCAAAGACAGAAACTCCTCCCGTCGTCACCGCACCCTCTGTGACCACTTCAGTTGTTGGTACCAAGTCCCGCTCTAGGAGACAGAGTATTTCATCAATCAGTATCGCGGACACTCATGCTGATGCAGGATGGGAAGGTGATTATCCTTCTACGTCTGTTTCTCGTGCGAATTCCCCTCCTGCTTCTTCTCGTATCGGCTCCGCCCCAGTCCGCGCCATGACCAAGAGCCAGGTCAAAAAGGAACGGAAGCAGAAGGCGAAGGAGGCCGAGGCTAAGAAGGTTGAAACTGCGGCTGTGAATGAGGAACCTGTTCAAGCACCTATCATGGGGCGAAAGCGCAAGACCAAGAAGGCCCCCACAGCCACTGTGACCACAGCCGCTACACCCACTACCAGTGCCCCTGAGAAGATGAGCCCTGTGAAAACAACGAACGTTTCTCCAGTCAAGACTGAACCCAAGGTGGATGCCACAAAGAAAGTGAAAGCTAAGGAGACCAAGCCTGTCAGAGAGCCTACTCCTCCTCCCCCTGTCGAAGAGCCACCTGCTCAGAAGGAAACCATTGTAGAGCCATGGCGTTCAAATAATACAATTGGACAGCTGGTCAAGGATTCCGAGGCTCTTGGAAGGTCAATCAAGGATCTTTTCGTTGAACGAACTAAGCCTCTTCATGAATTGCTCGCTGAGATGCACAAGTCCGGTGAACTTGACCTCAACAAAAGTTCCCTCTTCAATCCTAGCAACCTCAGCCAGCGCACTGACATGAAGTGCACTGCTGAAGACTATGATTATCTCCAGTGTCCAAATGAGTTGACCGAGGAGGATCGGAAAACTCTGCTTCGCGGAGAGCCTGTTCGAATCGGTGATGATTTCCTCAAGACCCGATGCCTCATCACGCCCCGTGGCTGTGTCCTACGCCACCTCGAGCCAGAAGAGGAGGAGCGGTACCTAGAGCTGGAGAAGAACATGACCAATATCTCCGATCCTTTCATGATTGGAGATGACGCAAGCAATCCCAGTGGAGGTCTGGAAGCACTTTTCGCAAATCCGGAAAAGTTCAACATCTGCTGGGTCGACGACATGCCCACACGCCTTGGTGCCACATCCCCATCCTCTTCTCTCGAGGCGGCGGAATCCGTGATCCCGCCTAACGTCCTCTCGGCCATGGAGGCAGACAGCACTCGCAACCATGATTGGGCTGTCGCCAACTCGGCAGAATTTCTTAACACAACCCCTGCTGCCGTGCGTTCCTTTGCTGCAGTTACCGCGCAGCACATGCTGGGCAACCCGGGCATGGTCGGTACCAACCCAACTCTTGACGACGTTGCCAGCTTGACCAACGAGGAGCTGAAGGATCTTTCTGGTCGTTCTCAGAAGGACCTTGAGCTCACCCGGAAAGAAATGGATGCGCTGGACAAGAAGTTCGCAGCTCTTCTTCGACGCAACAAGAAGCTTCAGCAGCAGGCTTTGACCTTTGCTGCTGGATCGGAGGTGTAATCACCCATTGACTCTTATCTCGCATCGGAGCTCTCAGTCCCCTTCGCAATCTCCCGCAGATTCTTGAGCCGACTTAGCACATTCTGTTTATGCACATATGGATTTTCATGATACCCCGGATGGTGGTATTGCACCGCGTTCCAGTCCATTCTGTACGATTATCTACTTTAGCCTGAATGAATCACTGTACAATATTTGTTATATTCGCCTATGTAGGTCCTAGTAATTTAACCTCCAACACTTGACCATGCGGTGTTCGGAGTTAATTAATGCACCTTCTAGGCCTATCCTCAATGCTACACTTGGCACATAAAGAACTAAATTTTGATCCTTACACACCTCGATGCCAAGTGAGCATTGGATCATTGCCGAAATGTACTCCTACGAGTCTTGGATGTGATATGTGATATATATAATGCACTGACCATCTGCTAACTCAAGTGTCACATCCGAAACTTGTAGTCCAGGGATGCAGCAGTTTCAAGTAAGAAAGATATCTGAATCCCGATCATCATCGACCAAAAACGCTCAAGACATCAATATCTACCAGTTAATAAGGGGATGCGCGAAGGGAGAGATCACTGATTTCGCCAGGGCTGGACCTCTTAACATCCAGCATTCCTCTACTCCGTCCATTTTGATTAAGGCCAGACATTTAATTCAAGCCTCTTTTTGGGAAGGGGTGCGACATTAGCTCATACTGGTATCATACGATGCTTGGTTATTCAGGATGAACTCTTCGCCTAATGTTCAAGCCGATTACCGGCCTTTGAACCAGGCGGCTGATGTTATCGTGAGTCTCAAGGTTTCTACTTTCGGCCTGCATACAAAATAGGAATTGAGGCTGATCTATCCCTTTCTTCTCATAGGACATTATTTCCCCGAGTATTTTAGCTAGCATGTATAAAGCGTGCATTACTGACTGAATATCCTATTTCCCGTCAGTCTTGTTGGTCTTTTACTCTTCCAGCACTGATTCTAACATCATTGGCCCCTCGAGTGCTATATCCATTAGTTTATTGTTCACATAAAGCCCAGCATATGAAATGTTCCAATTACTTCCTCTAATAGCTACCATTCTTACCCTAACCTCGACTGTCGCATCCACCGGCCTACTAGTACCACTATACGCCTGGCCCGGCACAGACGCATGGAATACAATCTACGACACAATTGCAGCTCATCCATCAATCCCATTCTACCTGATCATCAACCCATCCACAGGTCCCGGTACCACAGAATATCCAGAAGATGTCTTCATCACCGCCATCGCCAAGCTAAACAGCTATTCCAACACGGAGGTCCTGGGCTACACATACACAAAACAAGGCACGCGAGCTAGCTCCGAAGTCGAGCATGACATCGCTACCTACGCCAATTGGGCCTCGTACACCATGCAGGATATCCGTCTCTCCGGTATTTTCTTCGACGAGGCACCGAACGGTGAAGATCAGAGCAAGCTAGCTTATTTCCAGAGTCTGTCTCGGAAATCTAAGAATAGCAGCTTGAATACCGTCGTCTTTAACCCTGGTGTCAAACTCAAGGCTGATGTTGCAGAGTGGTTTGAGGCGGCGGAGTTTATTGTCGAGTATGAGAATACTTATGCTAGTTGGGTCGCTCGGACTCCCGTTGAGCACTTCTTGACGCCTGAGCAGTATGGGAAGGATGCTGTTATCTTGAATAAGACGCCTGAGGATGCTGGAATCGATGATGTTGTTCGTTTGGCGAAGGATATGGGGCTCGGTGCTATTTATTTGGCTTCGGATGATAATTATATGAGTCTCGCTACTGTGCCTAAGGTTGCTGTTGCTGTTGCGCAAAGCCGGGGTGCTAGGCGCAGGGGTTTTAATGGATACTAGAGCCGAGTACATACATATAGTATATACTATGCTTCCAAGGGGTGCTTGTCCCTATATATGAGAGTATGTGGTTAAGAGTTGTTAGGAATTGTATATTTGGTCCCATGATAAAATACTAAGATACTTTGAGATAATTTCCACTTAATGATACTATAAAGTTAACTAGAATCCAGGATGATCCGAGACTAACTAGGTAGTCAAAGCCGACTGAGAAAGGATGGACTGCCTATTTGGCTAGCTGCTAGTTTTCGCATGCACTCATAGGTCTTACACTTCCCATACCATAGTCGCCATGTCGATCAGGTCCTGCTTCTCAAGTCGAATGTCGGTCTCTCTTGGAATATCCGGAGATCGTCGGAAAATGTATTTCAAGGGTATCGTAATTGGGTGGGAGACAGTGGTCTTATCACCAGACGTTTCGATCACGCAGGATTGCGTGACATGGGCACGTTGGATACCCGAGTCCCATTCCCAGGTATCAAATTTTAGCTGAGGCTCCCTCGGGTTGACTTTCACTGTGATAGCCATATCTACCTGCCCTCTGACGGGATCCACCCACATTCTTGCATCGTTAGGCAATTTCGTTTCAGGCTCGGAAACCCCAACCTCGACCACTACCCCAGGTCGTATAGGGACACCACGAGTGTGCCGAGCAGGGCCCCAGCCCCCATCTGGCTGCTTAAAGTTTCCATTGCCAACAGGAACGTTCACTCCTCCATATACTTGTATCTTTTGACTCAGCTCCATAGGCCGCAAAGCAAGTACGACCGCGGTGTGCAATTGACCGGCAACTTGAGAATGCTCGAGCGTTGACATCCTGAGGATCAGGGTATGTATGGCCGCGTTATAGAACAGACGAAGACCAGCGACAGGGTCTGGCAGTAAAAACTCTTGGTCGAAAGAGGAGGGATCAATGTCAATAACGAAGTATTCGGAAATCTCTTGGGTATCAGCAGAGTTTACAAGACGGTTGACTTCGGTTTGTAAAATTTGATGGAGTTGCTCCTTCCCTTCGTAGGTGTATCTGTTGGTGGAAGGAGGCAGGTCGTCCAGAAAGACTTCCACTTCACTTCTACAAGATTCAGTCATTGTGAATATGTTCTTTCCTATGAGATTGTTTATGGGTCAGAAGATGGTTATAGAAAAGCTGATTAGGATGCGAAAATGATCCATTAAGTTGAGTTACCTCATAATGAGCGTATATGACAAGAACAAGTGTAGCCTAACTGTGAGAGATTCGATAAACGTAGGCATATTCAATAAGCATCATGACGAAACATCCATTTTCTGGACATTCCAGGAATCTATATGAAGATAGCTCTCGTATTATAACGCTCTAACGGCCCAAGGGTCGCATGTATATTTTGTAGAGACAAGCCTCTCAATCCAAACCATTAATCCCATCTTTATACGGCCGCAGATCATACTCATCCGGATAGGTCTCCAAGATTCGCTTGAGCTCCGTCATCTGCTCCCTCTGCTCCTCCGTAATCTCCTCATAAACATCCGTAAAAGCGTCCCTGAGCGATGGCTTAGTCTCCCGCTCCGCCTCACTAAACTCCTTTAGCACCGCCTTCCGCATCTCATCCCGCGTCTGCTTCTCCTGCTCTTCACTCCAAATCCCCTGGTTCTCAAGCCACTTCCGCAGCCGAATAATAGGATTATCACGACGTTTCCAATCTTCAACCTCAACACGCGCCCGGTATGCAAAGCTGTCGTCACTGGTGCTGTGATGCGAGACACGGTAACTCATGGCTTCGATCAGCACAGGTCGTCCGCCCTCACTTAGGGCAAGTCGACGTGCCTCTCTCATTGCTTCATTTACGGCGAAGATGTCGTTGCCGTCGACGCGGATGGTGTCGATACCGTACCCCACGCCGCGACTGGCAATTCCATCACCCCGGTACTGCTCTAGGGTTGGCGTTGAGATTGCGTAGCCGTTGTTTCGGCATATAAACACAACAGGGCAGGAGCGTGTGGCGGCAATGTTTAGCGCGGCGTGGAAATCACCTTCACTGGCGGCTCCTTCGCCGAAGTAGCAGGCCACAATTCGTGGATCCCGGTTTGGGTTTTGGAGATCTTGGAGTTTCAGAGCGTAGGCTGCGCCGGCGGCTTGGGGAATTTGGGTAGCTAATGGGGATGAAATTGTGTGCTGTTGGGTTGGTTAGGTTATGGAAGGACTTTTATAGTTCAGGGCGGTGATGCTGACCATGCGAGGATAGTTTTGTCCGTAATGGACTGGCATATTTCGACCACGGCCTGTGTCATTGGAATTGGCGAAGAGCTGGCTCATAAAGTTCTTCAATGTGAATCCACGTTGTTGGAATACACCGGCTTCGCGGTATTGTGCAAAGACTACATCGTCTGGTGTCAATGCTGCGGCGGATCCGACTGTGATGCCTTCTTCGCCCGCGGAAACCTACAGGTAGCAGGTCAGATGAGCCATGTCCCTCTTATCTGACGAATTGAACATACCATGTAGAAACTTAGGCGACCCTGCCGTTGTGCCTCAAACATGACCACGTCCATAACGCTTACTGCAGCCAAAGGTCAGGTACTCGATATCGCATCAAGCGCAATATAACTAACCAGACAGCATATTTTTGTACCACGTCAAGGCCTCCTCATTTGTAACATCGGGTGGTGGTCTCGTCTTATCAACCTGGTGGCCGTCGGAGTCCATCACTCGGTAGGTAGGGATAGCGGGCAGATCGGAGGCTTTGAGGAAGGACATCTCTGAAGTGAACTTGCTGTTCACAGCACCAGGAAATCGAACACTAAACACATTAGCATCTTGTCAACATTTCTCCAAAACAAAACATTATCTTTGTAGTGCTCACCTATCTGATCCTGGTGGCTGCGAGATGGAGCTACTCCACCTCCGTGCGGGGACGATGCGGGCTGTGGTCACAGACTGGCCACGAAGGCCACTCCGAGTTAGAAGTTTTAGAGACATTTTGGTCTCTCTTGTTAACATTGTGATTTGATTCAATGGAAGATTGAGAGATTGTGTCTTTGTATGTTAAATCTGGGGGAATTGCGGAGAGCGGTTGGCATCGGCATTTTATTCATCCCGTTACTCCGCGGCCAACCGAATATCCGACGCGGGGAACTTTTTACTTGAGTGACAACATCTGTGATCTCAATTGAATTGTGTTCTTATTCCTCTAGAATGAGGCTTCAAATATGAATCAAATAGCTGCCGAGCGGTGGAAATCAAATCCTTCGTGTATAACGTCCTTCGTGTCCCATGGGATGGCGTATAACCCATAACGTTCCTCATCCTCCCATTGATCCTCAGAGAGCTTATTGGGGCGTACTGTGACCATGTCAGCAAATATATCATTGATTGCGAAGCTGAGCAGCAAGTTGACCTCGTTGCCAAATTTCCACGTTGTCGCTACATGCCGGATGGTGTAATGGCCTTGGATGCGAAGATCAGCCTTGGCGAAGACTATACGCCTCACTGCATCGCCAATGGTTGGATCGGTGTCTAGTACTGGGCCAGTTGGAATAATCCACTTTCCACGTACGACCGTGCCGGTTACATGCTTCATAATGAGGACGGTGTATTGCCCGTCCGCCTGGTACCGGAAGACTGCTGCGGCGATGCCACAGCGATAATTCGGGGATAAGTCTGCAATTCTGGTATTGATGCGTGGGACTACACTGGTATCAACGCTTGGGGATGGCATTGTTAGATGGAGTTGATTTAAGAGAAAGGTGATTGATGGAAGATTGAAGGTACACAAAGGTCAGTATGAATATCATTTACTATGTTTGCTACTTACTATTTACTATATTATGTTGTTAAAATGGTCCTACCTCAAATTCGACTCGTATGAGCTATTCAAAGCTGCTAAAAGTGTTCCTGGCATATCTGATATCGTCATCGGATATGATGACATTGGCTCCCCACTATTTTGACGATGACGTTGAACACAAAATGTTCTTGATTTATATCTCGCATTTTGTTTTCTTCTCAATCATCTCAATCATGTTCGAAAATAATCAAATTCGCCAGGTATTACATACCGATATCCGAGTTCCCATTCCGCCGGCACTCGTAGCAAAGATCACATCCCTACCGCCGTTTATTCCTATACAAGGCGTACCCAACTTTCGCGACTTGAGCCACGACGGCAACAAATTGCGCCCAGGATACGTGTATCGGTCGGGAAGCTTGTCAGAAATCTGGGGTGCCGGGAAATCCATCATCGCAACCGAATTGGGAATTACTACAATCTTCGATCTCCGGAATGAAAATGAGCGACAAAAATCTCCTTCACCTGCCATCACGGGAGTCAAAACGATATGGTGCCCATACGGAGCCCGACCAGCCACGATGGGTTTGCTCGATTTTGCTGGTGAAGACCAGGGCGCCACAGGGTTCGTGAAGATGTACAACGGGATCCTTGAAGCGGCTGCCCCATGTTTCACCAAGATATTCCAGCATATCAGAGATAACCCGGAAGACCCGTTTGTTGTCCATTGCTCAGGTATGTTTCACGTGTGTTACGCTGTTTATCTTCGTATGCTCGCTTCTCGCATACAAATCTCGCCGTTGAAACGATGTATGCTAACTATAAGTTCCCACAGCCGGTAAAGACCGCACTGGTGTTTTTGCCGCTCTCATTCTCCTCCTGATCAACCGACCTCACGATGATATTATCAACGATTACATCCTCTCCCGAGTCACATTGGAAAGCGCCCGGGAGAACCTCCTAGAGGCATTCGCGGTAAACTTAGGAGCTGGTGGAGTTGACATCAGTCAGTTGAGCCCCGAGGCAGTTGGTATGCTCGAACTGTGTGGTGTTCGAGCCACGTCAATGGAGGCTTTCTTGTTATCGTTTGAGAATACTTATAGAAACGGGATTGAGGGCTATCTCATTGATAAACTTGGGTTCTCACCAAGTGATTTATCAACGATGCGCAGGAACCTAACCTAGCAGTTAAAACCTTGATATATGTACGAATATATAGAAAGCGCATATAGAGTATATATCACTGCATTTGCTGTGTTTCAATTTGGATCAAATCCAAGAGGGAATGTTACGTTTTCATTGCTGGTTGAAATCTGGGGAACCCATTCCATTGTATGTTCTACTATGTAATAATATACAGCATTACTGAGAGAGACTACATATGTACACAGCGGTATAGTAGCCATGCGACAAAACTTCCATATCAGGCAATATGACTAGGAACCTGATTGAACACGGAATCTTGACCACTTTTCTTTTCCGCTCTGTACAATCAAAAGTTATAGAAAGGTCGATGGCACAAATTAGGTATGTTTTTCCGCCATCGTCCTATCTATCCATATCCCCGAGGATTCTCCATGCTCTCGCGAGTAATCATTCAATCCCAACCATAAAAGTACTTTTAGTATTATTGTTTAGTCCAAATTGTTGATAAAAACCCTATCTCAGATAGATAGAGGTTTGAATATAAAAATTCATTTAGACTTGTGTCATGATATCCAAGACCACTAGAGATACCACTGAAAAGACATCTAAAAAGACTACACAAGGCTGTTTACATTATTGTGTATTGTAAATGTACAATCAGGAATCTGGGCATCAATCTTGCCTGAAAAGGGGATTTTGTCCACTATAATCCCTCTAATTTTTGTCACATCACACGCTAATAAATTAAGCTCTTAGAACTCCCGTGTCAACTTATAACTCCACCAATACCGTCATTATATCTGGCATTAAGTCACTCGGAATCGGCAATTAAAGGGATGATCATCCTCAAAATCCTCTACTGCAGGGATTGTCGTACATTAGCACTACTACAGTTGCTTTTTTCCTGCAAGGGGGTCGCTTGCTGAGACACTTCAAGAGAACTACAATGCATGTATTGCGCCACTCCATTCACCGAAATGAACATTGTAAGTTAGTATCGTAACTCCATTCACCGAAATGAGCATTGCAAGTTAGTGTAGTACTTTGGTGTGTGCCGGTGGATTAACAAGCAAAACAGACATATTTAATTCACCAAGCCCCCCGATCTTGCAGAAGCATCTCGGCATATTTTGCTTCTGACGCCATGCATCTTTGGAATCAGCTTATGCTAGCGGTGCTTCCATCGGTACTGCCGATGGTTCATGCGCAGCATATTTTGAATCTGAGCGGGGATGGATGGACTGTGAAAAGCAATGCGCTGAATATCAGCGTCCCCGGCAGTGTCCCCTCACAGGTCCATTTAGATCTTCTTCGTGCGAATGTTATTGGTGAGTCCCTCCTAGTATAACGTGTTGACTGATCTAACGATAACAGATGAACCGTTAGTTGAACACTCGTTACTTTAGAGCGGGGATATACTGACTCGGCTCATATCAAAGCTATAATGGGTTGAATGATTTCGACTTGCGTTGGATCCCAGAGAACAATTGGACTTATACAAGTAAACCAATCGACGGCTTGTTTGTATTTTTTACTCCGTCGATCGAAATTCACACTGACTCTTCGCAGGCTAAGTGACTCCAAGTCCTCTTGGCTTGTGTTCAAGGGCCTTGACACTTTTGCAACAATCGAGTTCTGCGGTCAATTAATCGGAACTACCAATAACCAGTTCCGCCAGTACACCTTTGACATTTCCGACGTGTTGAAACATTGCAACGGAGCTCCAACTCTCTCCCTCGAGTTTGGGAGTGCCATTAAAATCGCAAATGCCATTGCTGATGATCCAAACTCACAAAGTAAGTGCTTAACAAAGCGATAAAACACTATATCTAACAACATCTCCAGAATGGCCGGACGGTCTTCAAGGAATCTATGAGTTCCCTAACGGCTGGTATATTCGCAAAGAACTGTCCGACTTTGGCTGGGATTGGGGCCCAGCGTTCTCGCCTGCTGGCCCATGGCAGAATATCTACCTAGTGCAGGCTGAGCGCGAAGAAGAGATATACGTTCTAAACACAGGCATTGACTTCAGTGCTTGGTGTCACGCAACCCAGCTGTTCCAGGCGGATATGTACAAATCTCAAATCCAGTTCTACCGTCGCGGAAGCGGAATGCCAGAACGTCAGCTCGGAGCTCTGTACTGGCAACTCGAGGATATCTGGCAAGCTCCGACATGGGCTGGCATCGAGTATGACGGTCGGTGGAAGGTGCTTCACTATGTCGCTCGCGATATCTTCCAACCCGTTATCGTCTCGCCATTCTGGAATTCTTCAACCGGTGATTTGTCTGTCTATGTCACATCGGATCTATGGGAGGTGGCTTCGGGAACAGTGAAGTTTACATGGATGGATTTGTCTGGTAAGCCGATTCCAGGGAATGCGGGCACGCCTCTGACGAAGGATTTCTCTGTTGGGGCACTTAATACTACCAGTGTCTATGGTACAAACGTGTCGAAGCTATCTCTGCCTAATGTGAAGGATGCTGTGCTGGTCATCGATCTCACTGCTAAGGGCCGTCTACCGAACGCCGGGGAAAAGAGTCTGACTACTTTCACACACCGGAATAAGTTCACGCCGGCCTATCCTAAAGATTTGGCACTGAAAGACCCAGAGCTCAAGCTGTCGCATGATGCCCAGACTGGCACGTTCACTGTCGAAGTTCGGAGTGCTGTCTCGCTGTATACATGGCTTGACTACCCCGCTGGTGTGGTGGGGTACTTTGAGGAGAACTCGTTCTCTTTGCTTCCTGGTGAGAAACGGACTCTTCGGTTTGTTGTGCAGAGGGATGAGACTGGGGGGAAGTGGGTGGATGGTGTTACCGTGCGCAGTCTGTGGGATCAAACTACCAAGGTTTGATGAGTGTATACATTGCTGTGGTTTCTTGTATTGGTATTTCATCATGCTCCTTATACTCAAACTAGGAGTTCAATATATTTGACTGCTCTCGTTCTTACGGCACTAAATACTTCTTTATATCAATATGCGGATTCCATGTATAACAGGTGTATTATGTCTGTCTAGCCGACTTATACTAGGTATTAAGTATGTATCAATCTATTTACCATTGTAGGCAGCGGTTGCATCTGTGAGGAACTTGTCGAACACCTTATCACCAACAATCGGGACGATCGATTTGGGAATGTCCTTGCCTTCACGGTTACGGTCATCAACAGTCTTAGCCTTCGTCTTCTCAACCCACTCCTTGGCAGCGTTGAACTCAGAATCCGCCTTGCTCTGATTCTTAGCATCGAGAGCCTCGAGCATGTAAACCAAGTGCCGACAGGCAGTCGCCCACTGCTTAGCAGCAACCGCCCAGGGTGCGACATCAGTGGCAAAGCCCTTGGTAGCCATGTTGGGGAGAACTTCGGGGATGGTGATGATGAGTGAGAGGCGATCCTTCAGCGCCTGAGTGCCGTCACTGGTGCCAGCTTTGCGAGCGGCCCAGAAAGCCGCAACGTCCTTGCTAAGCTGTGGGGCGTTGGATACGGGGCTTTGGTAAGGCCAGTTCTGGTTAAGGTCGGCGAATGCAACGAGTGCGTTGTGAACGGTGGTGTCAGTACCAGCCAACTCCCAAAGGCTTGCCTCCATTGACTTGGTGGCGTCGTACTTGGGACCGTTCCAGGTATAATCAGCATAGTTGGCGAGCGAGGCCATGGAGGCGTATGGCTGGATCATAGGGTTGGAGGTAAAGCCAAGGAGGTGCTTGTATAGATCTCCGTCACGCTTCGTGAGAGGGGTGAGGAACAGTTGGTCACGGTTGGCATCGTTGACTGGGAAGTTGTCCCATAGGAAGAGCTTGTCGGTCACGTAGCTCTTGTCGGCCTTTATGGCGCTGTCGACTGTGATCTCATCGCTGAAGATTCCTTCGCCGGTCCACTGAACGCGGATCTTCTTGTTGAGCTTGGTGCCGAATGTTGTCTTGTATGAAGATGCTCCGCTGCCGGCGTACAGGGTGGGTACGGTCTCGAGGTCTTTGAGATTGTTAGGCTCGATGTACTCGGTCTGAACACGGTTTAGATAGTAGGCCTGGGCGTCGGCGACCCATTCATCATTGGCTGTCTTGGGCCACTTCGCCTTGTCCTCGTCGCAATGGAACTCAAGGCCAATGTCATCGAGGGCGATATAGAATTGGCTGACACCAAAGTTGCGGAGCTGGTTGAACTTGGCGACGGTAGCATCGAAGTCCGCGTCGGATGAGTAGCACACGTCCAAGCCAGGCGAGAGAGTATAGGCAAAGTCGACATGGTTGGTATTGGCAGTTGAAACAAGCTCCTTGAGCTGGTTAAGCTCGTCACCACTGTAAAGAGTGCGCCATTTGGTGCGGAGGAGTGGGTCATCCTTAGGGGTGTACACATAGGTGTTCATCTTGTGCTTTCCGTAGTAGGCAAACTGGTCAAGACGTGCCTGGTGAGACCAGGGGATGCCGTAGAAACCCTCGATTGAGCCACGGATAGGCATAAGCGGCCAGTCACGCACCTTGACACCTGGAATGTCGGCGCCGTCGAGAAGTTGACGGAGTGTCTGTGCCGCGTAGAAGGTGCCTCGCTTGTCCATGCCATTCAGTACAATGGTTGGCAGATTCGAATACTGGCCGGATGCGAAAACGTAGCCATCGGCGTCAAGGCCAGCTGCAGACTTCTCGGCGAGAGCCTTAGCAGCAGCGACAGCAGCGCTAGCTTCCCCCTCGGTGCCAACAAAAATCTGCGTTCCCTTGCCGCTAGGCTTGGAGGCGACAACCACTTTACCGCCGGCGGCAGCTACGACCTCCCTGATTGCCTTTATCGTGGCATCATCCTTGAAATTGTCTGCCACGACGGTGACATCACCCGCGAGCGAGATGCTTCCGCTTGTGAGCGTGATCTGTTGAGGAATGGGCGACAAAGTAGGGTCTGCCTCGGCACGACCAGTGAGGTCACTGTTCGCAACAGGTACAGCGTTGGCCGACCCCAGTGCAAGGGCAACAAGCAAAGCCCGAAGGCAGGTGATTCGGTGTAGATTGAACATTGTGTGAAGAACTTACATGTTCGAGGGTGTGGTTTATATACAACTTGTTAGACGGAAGGTGGGGGTTTGTTGATCACCTTCTGATATTGGAAGTGACGGGTGTCACGATCGGTTACATCATGCAGTTCATTGCAGTATCCCTAGAAAGGGGGGTTTGAATTGATTAATTTCTTAGGTCGTATGCAGCTCTTTCATATATCCGATGTAGCTTCGGTAATTTAGAACATATATTACCCGAACAGGGTACTCCAGTCCAAAAGATAAGATCTAGAGGGGATAGTGTTTTTAGGTGTCAATGCTCTCAGGTAGTGTTCTCAGGTAGTAGTGCTTTGCGATGATAGAGAGAAAGGAGAGAGTGTAGGACGATCACTTTGAACTGCCAGTCATTTTGGCAAGTTGGGGTCTTGGCAGTTCATCAACCTCCCATAAATTGCTGTCTATCATAATATTAATAGATTATAGCGAGGTGGAGGTAGTTAATATTCTCCGATATAGGCCCAATTGATTGGCCGAACACTTAACTTATTGAGTACGACATTGTAGATCGTTAAGGCCAAGAACAAATCTATCAGATCTTAAGCCATTAAAAAGCCATTAAAAAGCCCGAAGCTTCTTTCCCGACGTCGGCTGTAACGTTACACTTATTATGCGGGGTAATAGATATTATATTGCTATTGTATATTATATATATTGCTTATATATCTTGACGCATGCCTAGGCAACTTCATAGCACTTAGGCTAAATTAATAATCTACTGTTTGGGTACTTCTGTACTGGGCAGAGATTGAGAATTAATAACAGTAGCACCTTTAGTAGTCTATCTATTCAAATGACTAGATGTAATACTTGCAATCAATTGCTGCTGCTTGTCCTTCTTATACTTCTACTAAATATTTCAATAAAACTTCACCAGGATGGAGGAATCCAGTAATCCTCCCAGGCATGATCTGCATCCTGGAAAAAGTCGATCCCTCCCTCAACGCCATTTTCACCCACTGTCCACATCTCACTTTCGATCGATTCAGTCCATCGATCAAAAGGCCTCTCCAATATCTGTGCCCGTTGCTCCCCACCAAACGGATGAAAAACACCATGCTGAAAAAGCTGCGTGAATAAGCTATATAATACTAGACTTCCCTCACTCCGCCTAGCTCCGTCCTCGTCGGCGGATCAAGGCGAGAGCGAATGGCGTCGATATTCTCATATTGGTTGAAGAACCATGACTTGCTGGCTAGGGCTTCGAGATCGGGCGTGTTTGTTCCCATGTAGGCATATGCGACCAGGTAGTAGTGCAATCTGACGCACCGTTGAAAGTCGAGTGTATTTTCACCGTGCTCTCGGTTCTCGTCTGAAGCGAGAGCATTACAGACGAGAGCATCTTCGATGTCAAGAATATGTTCTGGCGTGGTGTTCACCATTGTGACAGTGGAGTATGGACGGATGCCTGCCCAGGTGATTTTATAATAACGCATACACACAAGCATTTAGCCTGGTGTATTCAATTGCCCAAAACATGGTATTCTATTATAAGCTCAGTATATCAGCTCCTGTACTGCGGATCCATATGTTCTAGACCTTCTCTTTGTCTAATGGTAGGATCTCTAGGTCGAGGTTCACATATGAATCCATGTATCCAATGCAGTCATTGCTAATAAAATTAGGGTTTCTTCTTCATGCACGCATAATTTTCTTCTATCAACAGAAGGCCTCGACATCCCGTAAAAATTCCGGAATCATCTACCTATGCATTGAGACTGATCTTCTCAGAAAGAAGAGGTGAAAGATGGCTCTCACAAGGCTAGCCCCAAAGCCCGGGGTAAAGCTTTGCGCGTAGTCTAGATTTGTGTAGGCAATAAATATACGGAGTAAAACTATTTTTTTGCCATTATGGAGTAAAAGAAAATAATAAAAGGACCAGGATATAAACCCGGTATAATCTCGGTCCGAACCACCGCCGATGTACATACCCCAAACCTTTCTCCGCACGTTCCATTAATACAGGCAAAATGGCAGAAAGGATATTGACTGTCTCCAATTTGAGGTGGATCTAGATGATAAATCGGTGAGCTAGTGAGACTAGTGCAGTGGATCGCCTGATCTTCATGCATACATACTTGGAATGCACGAGGATGTACATTGACGTCAGTTTTGTTGTGAGTTTATTTTCATTTCAGACTCTCAGATATTTACAGACATTTTGAGAGAACCAGAAATAGCATTGCATTCGCCAGCCCATATAACTGTATGTTATCATTGTAAGGTTGCGCCATAAGCAAAGACCCAAAAAGTATGCAAATGCAAAACGGCTTCATAGAAAGAAAAAGTAAGCAGTAATTACCACTTGTTGTCAAAAGGCTTGCCGTCAATGTAGTTGATCATCTCCTTCACTGGAGGGAGATGATCACGCTCAGCACCAAACATCATGCCTTGACGCATGACGTTGCGGTAGTTCTTCCCCGGAGACACCTTACCGAGCACATATTCTTGGCGAGTCTCGACACGAGTGGGCACTGGGATAGAGCGGCCAACCACAGCCTCCATGCCCTGCCAAGCAAACGTAATGGCCTCCTTAGCGCCGCCAGGGATACCAGCTTCATCGAGCATCATAATGCGGGTGTTGGGATAATTTGACTGGATAAACGCGGTGATGTTAGGGTTGTATGCGCCACCACCGCACATGAATATCTCAGCAATCTCAAGGCCCTCAGGAGCGTAGCGACGGTAATGGTCCACGATAGCCTGGGCGGTAACACGTGTAATGCTAGCCACGACGTCGTCAGGCTTAAGGCCCTTTGCCTCAGCCTTGACGATAAACTCATGGGCAAGAGTGTCACGGAAAACCTCACGACCGGTTGTCTTGGGCGGCTCCAAGGCGAAGTAGGGATGTTTCAAGAAGTCGTCCACAAGTTCCTGATCGACGGTACCGCGGGCTCCCATCTCGCCATCCTGGTCATACTCGCGCTTGCCGTTAGTGTAGTGACGCACGACAGCATCGATGAACACGTTTCCTGGACCGGTGTCGAAATCGTAGCAGGCGTCAACGCCGCCATGGCTGTCCGGGAGGACAAAGCAGACATTCGCGATACCGCCGATGTTCTGGCATGCGCGTAGCTTTGTCGGGTGGTGCAGGACTAGCGCGTCGAAAAAGGCAATGAGGGGTGCTCCCTGACGTCCTGCGGCCTGGTCACTTACGCGGAAGTCGGTGACTGAGGTAATGCCCGTGCGCGAGGCTAGGAATGTGCCCTCAGCCATTGTCAGAGCGCTGCGGGTCTCGCCGGGTTCTGGCATGGAGAGTAGCCAGATGGTTTGGCCGTGGGATCCGAGGACATCAATCGATTTGATGTCCACGTTGTAATCCTTACAGAACTGGTGCACGGCTGAGGCGAAGGTCTCGCCCAGGATCACGTTTACTTCGGACAACTCGGAAGGAGAGGTCTTATTGAAATAGATCATGTCCATCACCCTCTTCTTTATCACTGGCTCCAATGGAATCTCACCATACTGCGTTATTTGTTAGTATTGTCATACCTTGTGGAGCATTCTCGTAGGTACAGTAGTAGGTACTTACCTTGAGTAGTTCGAAGTGCATAGGTGATTCGGGGGTCTCTTGGCGGAATCGGCAAAGAGCACAGTCAATGCCATCCTGTTGCTGGTGAGCCTGGTGTTTCTCAAGTGAACAGACAGTCACCCACCATAGACGTCCCGCTATTCAAGCCCAAGACTGTGATGTCTAAGCTATGGCTGGTAGTGCCATTGACAGAGTTGGACGCCATGTCTAATTGTAAATTGGAAATAATAAATTGCAAATGAATAAAACAACCCAGAAAGAAAAAACCAAAACGCCTGAGGATCTAAGCCCCTATTTAACATACTCAGTTCGATCAGCCGAGATCCATAATGATGCTGATGGTGGAGATTGGAAAACCCGGTTCGGCATTGGCATTCTCTTTGTGATGGATCTCATAGAACAAGGGAAAAAGGGATGATCGGCAAAACGCCTACAAAAAATGTTAAATGGCTACGCGCTTGAGAGGCCCCCGCGTGAATTCCATTGAGCCCCCAGTCCTACCAGGTTTGGCTTTCAAATTCTCCCACAAAAGCCGGGGGAGCGGGTCACTTAACAGGGGACCCTTGAAATTGCATCTTACACTTACCGGGGGGAGCATACTATCATCCCCATGGGCTATACCACACTATGGAAGCGGCTTTCGGCACGTCAGCTGAATGCTGCTATCCACATATTCTCGCTAGTCTCGATCTTCTTCGAGGGATACGACCAAGGTGTGATGGGTGGCGTTAACAGCGCACCGAAATATGTGACAGAGGTTGGCATCGGCAAACCCGATGGGACAGTTACCGACACCACACACCAGGGGGGCATCGTTAGCATATATTATCTGGGTGCGATCTTCGGTTGTTTTGCTGGAGGGTGGGTTGCAGATCGTGTTGGTCGGATCAATGGCCTACTCGCTGGATCACTATTTGCGCTAATTGGTGGTGCCCTGCAGGCGGGCGCCCAGGATTCGAACTTCATGCTGTGTGCTAGGGTAATCACAGGGATCGGGACTGGTGGTGAGAATCCTTACCAACCTTGCCTTAGCCTAAGGGCTAGAAGGAGCTATTAATCTAATTTGAGACCCTTGAACAGCGTTGACTGGCATTACCCCCGTGCTAGTGTCGGAAACATCTTCCGCGACCGGTCGAGGTGGCTTTCTAGGATATGTGTTCATTGCCAATTGTGAGTCGTCAATTTGTGATATCCACTTGCGGGGACCATTTTTTGACATTAATTTATCTCCAGATCTAGGGATCTCCGTCGCATATTGGATCTCCTTCGGACTCGCTTTCGTCGATAACGGTTACTCGGACGTACGATGGCGCTTCCTTCTCGCTTTCCAGTGTTTCCCGGCGCTTATCCTAGCTGCCTTCATAAAAATGTTACCGGATAGCCCCCGCTATCTGGCCTCTGTGGGGCGGAATGATGAAGCACGAGACCTTTTGAATCGTATTCGCAAGGACCGGGCCTCCCAGGACGATATCGACCAGGAATACCTTGAAATTATAACCATTGCTAAGGGAAGCAAGCTCAGCTCTCCCATTGAGTTTGTGAAAATACTATTTGGAAAGGGGGGAAAACCCGGGTTTAATCTCGGCCGACGAGCTTGGTTATGTGTTTGGCTTCAAATTATGGCGTCCTGGACGGGGATCACGGTGGGTTTTCTTTAACCAGTTTATTGGAAATTATTCGCTAATGGTAATAGGCTGTTACTGCATATTCCCCCATACTACTTGCTCAAGCAGGTTATGGTAGTATAAAGCAGAATGGTCTTGCTGGGGGAATAAATACAATTGGAATTATAGGAACTATTATCAGTGCACAAATTATTGATCGCTTGGGTCGACGGGTCTGTTTGATGGGCGGAGCAGCTGTTTTGTTCGCAGTCAATCTGATTGTGGGTTTTTTTTTTCCTTTTTGGTCCAAGCGCTCTCTACTAACAAATTTATAGGCTGGAGCGGTTTATGAAGGGTCTCTGCATCACCCTGAAAAGGCATCTCAATATGCGCCTGGGGCTGTGACTATGCTCTTCTTATTCAACTTGGGGTAAGCATGCAATTGACATACTCTCTCCACATATACTAAAATGAAAACTAGTTATGCTGCCACTTGGGGCACAGTTGCTTTCTTAGTCCCCACTGAGATCTTCCCTAGTGATCTACGAGCTCAAGGAAATGGATTCGGCATCACAGGGTGGGCCATTGGTGTGGGTATGACCACTTTAGTCAATCCCATCATGTTTGATGTCATGGCTGTAAGTTGCTCCGATCTTTTTCACTTGGATAGAGATACTGATATACTTCTAGAGCCGTACATACTTTTTGTTTGCTGGTCTTAACCTTATCTGGATCCCGATCGTCTACTTATGTATGTTTCCGATGTTTTAGTTCACCTCCAGTTCTAAGATCTAACATGATCTTCTTCACAGTCTATCCCGAAACCCGCAACCGCTCTCTTGAGTCAATTGATGCTCTTTTCTCGACTTCCAGTCCATTCTACTGGAAGATGGAACAGGCCTATAAGCTCCACGGTGATGTTCTCGCCGAACACAATGTGAACAGGAGCGAGGTTCTCAATGGCAAGCCCGAGTCGAGAACCGAGGTGACAACCTCAGCTGAAGTTGAAACTGTTTAAAGTACCGGCCATTTACGTCATGCCATATAGCGCGTTGGCTTTGGGATCATGTTACACCCTTACGCAGCTCATTTATACCATGTAGTTACTGCACATTAATGTATATATAATATATTGTTTGCACATTGTTGTTGCCTCTTGATCACTTTCTTCTCACTTGGCTATAGGAGTGCGCCTTATAGTTGGTCGTAAGGTATATAAAACTACATTTAGGTAGTTGAGGATATATATACATGATCTCAAGCATTGAATGCTATTGAATATGTATTCACTCTCAAATTTAGCGCATGTCTTAGAATATATCATATGTTTTATTCTTTTCTATAAGGATCGTCGAAATCTCCACTGCATTCGATCGTCCCGGTGTCAAATTAGAATGACACGTTGCTGACTCATCCCCTGTAGCTTGCAACTCTAATGCCAACTTTTATCCTCGGTCAACTCAGTTCCAGCAATTCAATTGCGCATCGATAGCAATCGGAAAAAAATTACCTGAGTTTGATCATTTTTTTTATTTTTTTTTGCGTGTCTTGTTCATATTCCGCATAGATATTACCCCAGGTTTTCCAAACCCCGACCCGTCTCTCTGTACAGACCCCCCAAACCCCGTTTTTCAACCGAAGCTCGGGGCCCACGAATTGGCTCTCGCTTCTCGCCTGAGACCACAATCTCCGAGGAATGAGCTAATGAATTGAATGTCGCAAAAACCGCGAAAACTTCAACGCGTCTCTAAAGCCTGTAAGATCCCCACGTTCAATTTCATGCTCCACTTCCGCTTGGCAATTCCCCGAATTACAGTAGAAAGCTCCCAGCTCATATTGCATCCACAGGCGACTTCTGCAACAGACGCAGCATTAAGTGCGGCAGAAGTGAGGACCCGCTAGGCAGATGTCAGAATTGTGCGGATTTTGATGTCCCGTGCACCTTTGATCGCCCCGCAAAGCGCCGGGGCGTCAAGGCTGGCACCAGGGCTCCTACGCGAGAGACGCCATTGGCAAAAACGCCTGTCACAGAGAGTGCTCTCCCTGTACCGCCTGCTTCCCAGGCTACAGGGAGAATGTCAAATTCCTCTGCGTCTAGGAGCTCGTATTACCCCGAGCCGGCCCACCGCCCGTCATTGACTGGGGATCCATGGTCTACCTTCAATGCTGGCGTGGCAACGGAAGGGTATGACGATGATGGCGCGTTGCGAAACTCATGGAATGCATTTGCCATTGCCAGTGATCGTCAAATCCGAAATCTTGTGCAAGTATACTTCGAGATTGTGTATCCAATGTACGAATCATCTTATAGTTGTCCTTGTCCTGTTCTATGACTGATAAATTTCCAGCTTCCCGCTTTTCCACAAGCAATCGTTCATTGAGAGAGTCCATAACCAAGAGCACCTCCGAAATCCAGGCTTGTTTGCCTCAACAATGGCAGTTTGCGCCTTGGTGTCTGGGCGTGCGCGAGACGGCGCGCTGTTCACTAATAGATGGCATCGCGACGAACTTGCCGAGCCTCCATCCGAGTCATTTTATGCCGCGGCTAAGGATTCCATTCCCAGAGACCTTGCAGCGGCAAGAGGCATTAACTATATGCGTGCATGTGCTATTCTCGCAATTGCCAGCATTCAAAACGGCCAGATCAAGAATATGCAAAAGTACTCTGGCATGTACCATACTCTCACCAGCATGGAGGGCCTTCATGATGAAAAGCTTTGGCCAAAAAACCTGAGTCCTATCGAGACCGAGGAGCGACGAAGACTAGTAGGCAGTCCTTTTTCTTATGATTACGCTTTCCACTAACTCGTAGATCTGAAGTTCTGGTCTATCTACACCTTGGATATTTATTCCACTATTGTATGGGGAGGTGTGATCCGATACCGCGAAGCACATTCCCTAGTACGATATCCGAGCGAAATTGACGATGAATTCATTACACCACATGGCTACGGAATGCCGCCCGTATCTCCACATTCGGGCGTCCTCAACCCAGATGATGTGACGGTCGTATCACGGCAGCCTGTAGCATGGCTTCGGGGCTGGAACTTCACCACTGATCTATATCGAATTCTAGAATACGTCGTTGATGGTAATCGGCGTCGTTTCTCGTCAGCCAATGGAACGTCACAGGTGTGGTCTCTATTCACCCCGGCATCCATGTCAGAACCAGCAGTGATGGAGCGGGTATTATCCATGTACGCTGCGCTGCCCTCACAATTTAAAGAGACCCCACCCACGACAGGCGACATGGCCAAGGATCTATTCGGGTTCCAGTCTGCCAACATCCAGGCAACACTCCAGCTCCTCCGGATGGTTCTCTTATCGGCAGAAGAGCTTGGAGTAGACCGCAAATGTGACGTGGCTGGAGAACTTCTCAGTGTCTTCAGCAAGGTTCCCGTGGAATATTTGAACGCCATCAGCTCGCCTTTAGTATGTCCACCATCGATACTTTTCTAACCCACGTTTTACTAACCGCACTCAGCTTCATCATCTTGGCGGAATCGGCTATATCCTCGGCTCTGTAATGGAAGGAAGTTTATCAGAAGCATCCTACCAACGCGTGCGCACGTTGCTGTAAGTCTTCAACCATCCCAAGCCAACCACCCAATCTAATATCCCTCAAGACTTGAAATGGCCGATCTCCTCAGCCGCCTCGAGACAGGTCTCCAGCGCGCCGCCGGCGCCAGCCAACGACTCCGCTCTCAAGTAGACAGAATTGATGGCTACATGCGCACTTCCCGGTTACTCAACCTCGCAGCGCCGCATATGCGTCAGCATAACACAATTCCCATCGATGCTAAACGCGAAGTCCCGATCCCACCCACAACATTCATTCCGCGTAGTGGTCCAGCTCCAGCAGTCGGCCCACCGACGGGAATGGGCGAGCAGATCATGCAGTTCCAGCTACCGCCGGAGTTGTTGTCTGATTGGCCGTGGCCATTGCCATTAGATGGGGCCCATACGGAGGGCTTCCTTCCACTGGCGTTTGAATAATTTGGTTGCTGGGTGGGTCGTGAGTCGGAGGCGTGTCGCATGATTCCATAGAGTAGAATTGTATTTAATCATCTGTTGTTTATATTTAAATCTGTGGACCGAGCTGAGGAATTGTGGTGTTTATTACTGCTCTTTGTCCTATGTTTGTGCATTTCTCTCTTCCATGTGTTTGTTTTCAGATTCGATTAATCAATGTTGGATTAGGGTCTTTGTATGTCTATGTGCCTTTTCAGCTAACAAATTTCATGGGAGCCTTAATTTCCAACTCTTGGACATTACTTTGTTCAAAAACGACTTGCGGGCCTCTTGAGATGGATCCTAAGATCTGGTAAAGCAGCATGATGGACAAATCATCCATACAGAGAGCAACCCCTCTATGGATCTTTCATGATGTCAACATAATCAATTTATATTGAGTGGAGTGGTGGGGACGGGCCTCGGGACTCGGGAGGCTGTTTATACTCATTGTTGTTCACTTTCATAGTAATCGAACACATTTCTGTAGGTTTTATATTTTCTAGAGCACAATTCTTATACCAAACCGACAAATTGAACCGGCTCATACAGACCTGATTTCAATATACAGAATAAGGAAAGTCCCATTGGGGTTAACCTTGGCTGTACGAAAGAGGCGGTCTCTAGCGGGCAAGCCCCGCTGGCTCACCCGCCAAAATGCGGGGGGCACTTCCCTTCGGCCGCCCATAGCTATGCTGCACATATGTGAAAAGATCACAATATGTACTTTATGGTCTAACTGTGAATAAAGAGAATTAAAAAGGTTAATTTTAAATAGTCATTGGAAGCCGATAGGACATTTTGATTTTAAGCTTGATTATTTATCTACATATGTAGGTATTATCATCGGCCAAGTTCCGATATCACCTGGGCAAGACCTTAATTTGACTAAGAGTTTCTACCCCGCAAATGGAGGGTCTTTCTGCGAGGCATTAACTGGTCTTATCAAAACTTATTGGTTTCAAAGTTTGGGGAATTATGAGCTGTGACTGGTCAATCCTCTAGTCAACTGGTTAAACCCGTGATAAGCTTATCACTTGGCAGATCTTCCCAAGGTTAGCATCGCCTTCTCCTCCCCTTTCGGGATAGTCCCGATAGACTCTCTCTGGTCCTAGACGATGTCTCCCTTATCAGTGGTCTACGCTTCTCGTGTACCATGTTCTTGGCAGTTGTGCCCCGTTGCATGATCAACATGGATGCTGTCTATCTATCAACATTCTTAGCGTTTCTCTCCGCATACTTGACCATGTCAGTGCGCATATAAAGAGCCATGCTCCCGTCTCTAGAATTAGTGTTATCCTAGGAGTAATATCTCAACATGGAGAAGAAGACAGATTCTAAAGAGGTTTCCATCCCTGAGGATACCAGCTCGGGTGATATTTTACCATTCCGACAGACGAAACGCGGTCTGACATCTCGCCATGTGCAATTAATGGCCATCGGTGGTTCAATTGGTACTGGACTTTTCGTAGGTATTGGATCCTACCTGCGGGATGCCGGGCCGTTGTCAGTCTTCCTTGGGTATCTTATTTGGGGATGTCTCTTCATCTTGCCTGTCAATTTATGTGTTGGAGAAATGGCTGCATATCTTCCTATTCGTGGATCAATCTTTGAACTCGCTGCCAGGTTTATTGACCCGGCATTTGGGTTTGCTATGTAAGTACTCCCATGCCCTATCCTACTTCGCTTTACGCAGACACTAACTCTCCTAGGGGCTGGGTATACTTTTATGGCGGTGTGATGCTAGTATGTACGGAGTACTCGGCAGTCGCGACAATCATGCAATACTGGAACACAAGCGTCAACCCAGCCGTTTGGGTCGCCATGGCACTGATAGTTTGCACAGCGCTTAACCTTATCTCCGTGAGATGGTACGGCGAGAGCGAGTTTATCCTAGCGTCGACCAAGGTCCTTCTCCTTATTGGACTCGTCCTCCTCACCTTCATCACCATGGTCGGAGGAAACCCCAAGCACGATGCTTATGGCTTCAGGAATTGGACCGAAGGCGTCATGTTCGAATACTATACCGAGGGCACCACCGGCCGATTTTTGGGCTTCTTCTCGGTCATGGTCTTTGCGGCCTTCTCCGTGGCTGGACCCGATCTCCCAGCCCTGGCCGCAGGAGAAATCCAGAACCCACGAGTCACCATCCCCCGAGTTGCAAAGATGACTTTCTGGCGCATTGTCGGATTTTACGTCGTCGGAGTCCTAGCTGTGGGCATCATCTGCAGCCCACGCGACCCACGTCTCATCTCGGCAATTAGTGACGGTGCTTCAGGCTCCGCTGCTTCACCTTGGGTCATCGGAATCGAAAACCTCGGTATCAAGGGTCTGCCCGATCTGATCAACTTCCTGATTTTGTTATCGGGCTGGTCATGTGGAAATGCATACCTTTACAGCTCCAGCCGAACGCTCTACTCTCTCGCCCGCGATGGCCAAGCGCCAAAGTTCCTTTTAAAATGCACTGCATCCGGCATCCCTATCAACTGTGTTGTCACAGTATCTGTTCTATCTTGCATCACCTTCCTCGTGGCTAGCACCTCTTCCGTCGAGGTGTTCTTCTGGTTCGTCGATCTGACGACCATCGCCTTCGTACTCACCTACACAGGCATGGTCTGCGTCTTCATCGCCTGGTACCGCGCCTTGAAAGCGCAAGGAATCGACCGCAAGTCCTTCGTCCCCTGGGCTGCGCCGTTCCAGCCGTACGGGGCTATTCTTGCTATTATTATCGGCTGCTTGACTGCTGTCTTCAATGGCTTCGCTGTCTTTAAGCCTTTCAGCGTGCAGGGGTTCATTACCTCGTATTTCGGCCTGGCGTTCTGGGTTATCATGTTTGGTTTCTGGAAGGTGTATCATAAAAGCTCCTTTGTCAAAGTCGCAGAGGCGGATTTGTACTCTGGAAAGGCGGAGATTGATGAAGAGTGCAAGATCTGGGAAGAGGGTGGTTGGGCTGAACGGCGGAAGGAAGAGCTGGCTAATATGCATTGGGTTAGGCGTGTATGGGAGAAAATGTGGTGATCTCCCTTGCTTCGTTTGTATATATACATCTGTCTTTTCTTCGTGAAATTATACTCCCATCGTTTAATATTTTATATTTTCAGGGCCTATTAAGGTAAAATCCTCCCTGAAATAATAGTACTGTTTTCTTCCCTCTTTTTATCTCTTCCGCAGCCTCTAAAGTCATCCTTTGAGGGCTATTTGAAAGACCAAACGTCGAAGAGTTGGCTGTCGTACGATGTAGGGGCTGTCCAGCGAAACCCTACTTGTTGATCTTCATCGGAATCGGCGAGCATAGTTGGAGATAAATGAAGCCCAATTCACTCAATTGAAAACTGTTAATGTCTTTTTTACATCCAAATAGGTATAAAAGTGATAGAACAAAAATGTTGTACCTGTCCTAACCAGACGGTTTGATTGGTCGGGATATGTTTAAGGGCACGCACCGGTGGAGACCGGGAGTGGAAAAGAAAAGTTGCCCGGATCAAGCTTCTCCAGACTTGCGAACAACATCAATTCCACCATGTCCACCATGTCCACTCGCTCCGCCTGGCGGGCATTGCACTACAGCGCCAAGCGTCGCGCTTTCCAACCCACCACTCCCTACCGTTGTTTCTCCTGTGCCAATCGCACCCAGGAGCAGAAGCCAAATGACCGCATGACACACTTCGGCTTCACCAATGTTCCCGAGTCAGAGAAGGAGTCGCGAGGTAAGAATCACTAGCAGATAATCCAATTGACCACATCAATCCGAACCAAACCAACTAACAACATCACAGTCGGCGCCGTCTTCAGCTCCGTCGCAGCCTCCTACGACCGCATGAACGACCTAATGTCCCTCGGCATCCACCGCCTATGGAAAGACCACTTCGTCCGATCCCTGAACCCAGGCTCTTGCCTCCCCGCCATGACCGCCGACCAACGCGGCTGGAACATCCTGGATATCGCCGGCGGGACCGGTGACATTGCCTTCCGCATGCTCGACCACGCCACGAACGTCAACCACGACATGGAGACCCGCGTGACGATCAGCGATATCAACGCCGACATGCTAGCCGAGGGCCGCAAGCGGTCTCTCGACACTCCCTACTACAACACGTCGCGACTGGACTTTGTCGAGGCGAACGCCGAGCACATGCCTCATATCCCCGACGCCTCGGTAGATCTGTACACTGTTGTTTTTGGAATCCGGAACTTCACGGATAAGCAGGCTGCGCTGAATGAGGCGTACCGTGTGCTTAAGCCCGGTGGTGTGTTTGCCTGCATGGAGTTCAGCAAGGTCGATAACCCCATTCTGGATGGGATTTATAAGCGCTGGAATTTTGGGGCTATCCCGCTTATTGGACAGATTGTTGCCGGGGATCGTGATAGTTATCAGTATCTTGTTGAGAGTATTGAGCGTTTCCCTAGCCAGGAGGAGTTTAGGGGGATGATTCAGAAGGCTGGGTTTATGATTCCTGGTCAGGGCTTTGAGAACCTTACTGGTGGTATTGCTGCTATTCATAAGGGTATTAAGCCGATTGTTAAGGCTTGAGTGTGGCTGTGGGTATTATGTACTATATAGACTTGGGACTTTGCATACTGATTGTATTACCATGAGAAATATTATGGCGTTGTTTTGCATGTACAGCCTTGGCTGTGAGGCCCGGGCTTCGATTGTAAATGTGCATCTAAATGAAGTATATGCAAAGAGAAACAAAGCTATGTGGGCGTAACATCGTCAACCGGATGCATAATGCAAACGATATGTAAAATCAAGTGAATATATCCAAGAAATAAATAGAAGACTGGGTCGCTTTTCAGCCATGTCATCCATCCAATAGATCCTCTGCCTCCATCACCCCTATGATACTGCTGGGAGAGGCCAGATCCTTCACGACGGCAATGACAGAGATTGGGTCAGATCTATTTCGAGATTCACACACAGAACGCCGAATTTCAGTGAGTGGGGTTGAGTCTGGCACCAGCAGCCATTTATCTTGAGGTATAACGAATGGAGTACCGGTGTTCTTGGCTATAACCTCCGACACACGCATGTCCATATCTCCACCAGGAGAGATGAGAGCACGAATGCGCCGCGGAGGGATTATTTCAGACGGAGACAACAGCACCCATGATTTGGCATTGGGATGCTGGATGGCTGTGAGAAGGATATCGAGAAGTCGGACATCGCCGGATGACTGCGATGAAGATGCAGAGGCAGTGGGGATTTGATCGAGCGGGACCAGCATATCTCCAGATATGATACGCTTTTCTGGTGGTGACTGTAGAGTGAAAGGAGGGATCAACGAATTATTCGCGATTTCCTCCCACGGAAGAGAGACAGACGACGTTGGAGAGTCAAATGTCCTCGTCGACATGCCACTCGACGGTGTAGTCAGCGGTGTCTCAGCCGCCGCCGCTCCAATGGCACCACCAGGATGAAACCCGCGAAAGACCTCCGCAGGGCTCTTCCCTGTCGCAGTATGCAGCTTCCGTGCGGTAGCAATAGCCAGCGCATCACCGAGCGACAAAGCCACCGTCGTAGACGAGGTAGGCGCCCTCACACCGAAAGAAGCCTCTTCATCCTCATGAATCGGAGCCGGCAAAAGAATACCCATCCCGGCAGGACCATGCAGCGCGAGAAGCGGACATGTCGCTGGATGTGTATGGGAAGTAAGCGCGATAACCAGGACGGTAGCAGGAATATGCGGAAGCAGAGATAGTAGTTCTGGCGAGCGCCCCGAGAAGGATATAAGAAGAATAGTATCATTCTGGATAGACCAGGTCAGTATGGAAGATTCCAATCCCAAGCCCGGGATGACAAAGGCGCAGACGCAGGCGCAGGTGGGCTTACCGGCCGAACCAATCCCAGATCACCATGCAAGGCTTCAGTCGGATGCAGGAACGCGCTGTATACACCCAGACTATTCATCGTAGCCTCTATTTTGCGTCCGACCTTCCCACTTTTCCCGACCCCGCAAACAACCAGTTTCCCACCCTCGCGCACGCTCCGCGCAATCTGATCCACGGCCCGGGCGAGATCATGTTGCGCTCGCGCGTCTGTCTGGTAGATGTGCTCTAGGTGGGCGAGGGCTGCTCGCTCTGTTGAGATCACATGGATTGCTGTTACCACTGACGAGACGTCTTTTGGTGCTGGTGGATCGGATGAAACAGGAGGGGTGAGTGGCCATGAGGGGGGGCCGTGGGGTTCGAAAATTGTCATCGCGGGTTGTTCTCTCAATGTCTATAGCATAGTGATCAGAAGTGAGAGGATTTTAGGGGCGAATTGGTTTTTGCGCCTGGGCGCCGGTTTATTCGCGGAGGCCGAGATCAAGATCAGTCGATAACGGAAGATGATAAGTGGTCGATCCGGATCGGGGTTTTCCCAGATGTGAGACGGGGAATTAACTACTTCGGGGTCTTTTCAAGGTTTGGGAAAATTTGATTTATAACATTTAGAACACTCCCTTTTAATTGATTTTATGCCAAAATACATAACATCTAATAATATGGTGTCATCCTATGCTATAATGGTGAATGTGGAGGCGATCTACTTGCCTATTCGAGTATTTCCGATGCCGATGCATAGAAAAGAGATTTTAATATTAGTTTAAACAGATTCTGAGCAATTGACGTCTAACCCAAGAGGTCTATTGAATCCTCAAATGTACAGTGGGTATAGCAAAAAAGGAAAAGAAAGCAAGCCCGAGGTAATAGTATGTACATGCGGTTGGCCGCGGAGAAAAATGCAAGATTCTCCCGCTGGCCGTCTTGAGCAAGGACAAAGGCCGACGTGTTTAGAATTCAAAAGTACTCCATAGACTCCAGAAAAATCATCATCTGTCGCGCAGGAAGGGACAGAAGGCAGGGGTATCGCATCAGGATGTCGCGTCGCTAGTCATTATGAGTATGCCTCAACAGGCAGTAGTAGGTCATCGTATCATCCTTATCGTCCCTCCTGTCTTTCTTTGCCCTTTTCTGCTGTGCCATCATCCTCGTATAGATGATGCTGCTCAATGTAATGAATGACTGGAACTGGGATGAGGTAGCGAACACTCATCTCACGCCGCAAGAAGAGTCGAATCTTTGTGCTGCTAACGTCGTTCTGAATGAGCTGTTGAATAACATGGATATTGTCCTTCCAAGGCTGCAAGCTGGCTAGGGCTTCATCAATATCTGTGCCACTGCGTTCCACAATGAAAGACTGAAAAGTGTGTTAGCGGCCTGGTTCTCGGGCGCGGGATGAAGCCAATGTTCTAGATAACTTACGCCATATTTGCCGAGAATGTGATCCAGATCCTTCTCACTCCAGACACCTGGTGTGGACATAGTATGGATCAGATCCGCACCAGCTAACAAAGCAATGCGAACGGGCTTCCGGGTCCCGTTTCCAGTGTCCACTCCTCCGCGGACTACATTGATTTCATGATCAAAGTGATCCAGCACCACAGCAGTTGGCTGGTAGGCCTTTTGAGTTGGCTCCCATGTGTCCACCATCAACCAGTCGGAGGTTTGATCGACTGCAAGTTGGCACATCGCAACCCTGTAGATCAATCCTTGTTAACATTTGGATACGACTAGACCAAATAGAATTGATATAGGATCCCTTACCGATGCTCCGCACTGGCCAAACCAGCCTTGCGATAGGCATCCGACACCGGCGACAGATATCCTCCAATGAGTTCGAAGTCGGTGCTAAATCTGACGTGATCGGCAGCCATTTCGAACATTCGCAAGTGTAGATAGGTAATTGGTGAGAAGGAACCACAGGCGACCAGCAAGAGAGGAGTCTTTTCTGGGTCACTCATGGTGCGCTTGAGGCGCAACTCCGGGAAGGTGTAGTCCTCCATCCGAGCGGGGGTGATATCGGCGGGTACCTGGTGGACATCATCGCTCTGCCCACCGACCATTTCGATTGCCATGATCAAATAGAATATATCCCGATCTTGAATTCCGGGGAAAAGCGAAAGGGTTCGGGGAAAGGCGGGGTGGTGAGAAATGCAGATATCAATGCGAATGGAATGGCGGGGGGGCGAACCGAAGGCGGCAAGAGAATGCACCGGAAAGGCGAACAGGGTGAAAAGGTGATTTGGTGAAAAGTGACAGGTGAATGGTGAATGGTGAAATCTATGTTTCCTTTTTTTTCTCCTTTTCTTTTTTTCTCTCTCAATATTAGGTAGATCAGGTTTGTTTAAATGTGATTAATAAGATCGCTACCTCGGTGAGTCAATCGAGTTCTATTCGGCGTGTCTCCGTCCGGATGGAATGCCGTTTTATATTTCCATTCCGAGGTAGTGAAATAGGAGTTTTAACAGTTAAAGTTCTCTTAGCTCTCACGGTTATTTTTTTTATATATACATACTTCTAGGGTCCTCATGGTAGATCTGATCTCGGCGTTTTCATGGATATTATCAACGAACAGTATTGTGTTTGGTATTCATATAATCAGTCATATATTACAATATCATAAAACATACAAAAAGATATAAAGGGATCCCATAAGATATGTATTGCCACCTCCATGTCGGATAGGTCTCGGGCCTTCTGTGCCCAATGTCAGGCTAGATGTAAATGTCGGGAAATAAAGAAAGTGAAGTAGAATGTAATTAAGGATCATAAGTATAGTCACATAGGCATAGATAATAGTATATACAATAGTCACGTTCAATGGGTACCTCCAGGGCTGGATAAGTATCTGGTTAGATCATCGAAATATTGCACTTCCGCCGCCTGACGCTCCCCGAATCTCATCACAACCACCACGTCAAACCCTCCTTCTTTCCAATTTACCCTTTTCTTCCTTCTTTTCTATCCACCATCGGAAAAAAAAAATCATCTGTGTGACTGGCATTGGTATCTCGTTCTTTTCTTGTGATCTCATCGCCCCAACGGCAACGATAACAGCTACCCGAATATCATTCCCCTCGCCAGCCCTTTCGGCTAGCCTTTGACAGGTTTGCGGATGGCGGGTTAAAACAGGCGAATACTCAATCGAGCTTCCCATACCCGATAACTTATGGCCAGGCAAAGGCCTTCCGCCAACCGCCAGGACCCTCTCGAGGATTATCCCGTCTCCCCCGCAGGCACTTTGGCCTCTTCCCTGAGGTAGTTTCCCACCCGTTTTCTCCGCCTTTACACTGGTCGCCTGGAAGTTCAGACTCCTCTTTCGTGAACACTGAATCGTGTGATCACTGAGCTCTACCCCCGTGTATCCCCTGCGTTGTGAAGTGGATTCCACAGTTCACCATCGTTACATCTCTAGATTCGTCATCTGTCTACCCAACTATCTGTCTATCGCTTTGACCATCCCGGTCTTCTTTTTCTGTCTTTCTCTTTCTGCAGACCCTAATCTCATCACACATAATCAAAAACAAAAGACCACTTTCTCATGTCGTCCAGAATAACTCGCTCCTCGGCGAGAATCGCCACAGACCCTCCACCTGCTGAGTCCGGTACACCGCTACAAACAACCGGCTCAACCTCCTCCCGGAAACGCAAGGCATCTTCCCGTCAAGACCGTCAGACAGACGCCCTGGTACAACCGACATCGCCGTCGCCCCAAAGGAAGACCAAGCGACCACGGACTGCAGCATCCCAAACAGCTGCATCTACTGGCCCTGTTACTTCTGCACCCCGTCGCGGCGCCCGCACCCGTCCAGCTATGTCACAACCGGGGTAAGTGATGGATCATTGTGAAGAATAGGGGTCGGGGCTAACTTGTTCTTCTTATCTAGACCTTCATCTCGACCGTCGGAGGAATCATCCAAATCGACGACCTCCCCACAACCATCAAGGCGAAAATCCAGTCGGAACGGTGAGTTTTATGGATCGAGAGTCGGCGATGTGACAATGGTATCTAAATGGGATGGTGCTGATTCTTTCTGTGTATCTATAGATCGACCCGCAACAACACAGTCCCCACCACCCCGACGATCGAAGAAGCGCTCTGCCAAGCCAAATCCTGATGTTGTGATGAAAGATGCAGAGGAGGAAATCGATCAAGAAGAAGAGCAGGAAGAACACCAAGGATCCCAAACGGCAGAGAGCAACGATGGTACCAACCCCTCAGCGTTTGGAGAAGATGATATGGATCCATTCCACAGCAGCTTATTCGGTGGCTCTGGCGCCATGGGGCTCCAGAGCACTCTACGTGCGCTTACTGGCATGATGAGCGGCATGTCCTCGAGGCTTCGAGATATCCTCTGCAATCTGAGAGCAAAGGATGATCCATCACTTCAACTGATCGCGCTGCAAGAGCTGTCGGATCTCCTGCTTGTTTCAAACGAGGATAACCTGTCTGGTCAATTTTCGCCCGACCCGTATGTGAAGGAGCTCGTGGCTCTGATGCAGCCCAACCAGTTCGGCGAAGAGAATCCCGAGATTATGCTTCTCGCATGTCGCTCTCTCGCAAACCTAATGGAGGCCCTGCGGGGCTCCGTAGCGAATGTTGTATATGGTGGTGCTGTGCCGATCCTCTGTCAAAAGCTTCTGGATATTCAGTTTATCGATCTCGCTGAGCAGGCTTTGAGTACTTTGGCTAAGATTTCAGTTGACTTCCCAGCCTCAATTGTGCGAGAAGGTGGACTAACCGCTTGCCTCACGTATCTGGATTTCTTCCCAACCAGCACTCAACGCACAGCAGTCAGTACGGCCGCAAACTGCTGTCGCAACCTTCCCCATGACTCGTTCCCTGTGGTGCGGGATGTGATGCCCACCCTACTGAACGTCCTATCTAGCAATGACCCCAAGGTTGTGGAGCAAGGGTGTCTATGCGTATCACGGATTGTCGAGAGCTTCAAGCACAGACCGGAGAACCTCGAGGAGCTGATTGAGCCTGCAATGCTCAAGGCCGTTCTTCGGCTCCTGCTGCCAGGAACGACAAATCTGATCGGGCCTCATATCCACACGCAATTCCTTAGGGTATTGGCAATCGTATCGAAAACAAGCCCACGATTGTCAAACGAACTTCTCAAGATGGACGTAGTGGATACGCTTTACCAAATTTTGACTGGCGTGTCACCACCGCAGGATGTGGACAACACCGCTGTCAAGATGGATAGCGTGCTAGTTATGCAAGCATTGATTCACCGACCCCGCGAACAAGTATTTGAAACCCTCAATGTCATCTGCGAATTACTGCCAGGCGTTCCAAGCCGCGATGCCTCAAAGACGGATAACCTGCTCAGCTCATACTTTGATAGCCAAATGTCCATTGGACTGAGGTCTCCCAAGACTAAAGAGGCAGTGGAGGAGAGACGGGCCTTGCTGGTCAACTGCAAGACTGAGCTGAAGCGGTTTGCGATGATCCTGTTCCCAACTTTGACCGATGCATACTCGAGCACGGTCAATCTTCATGTCCGCCAGAAAGTCTTGATTGCACAGCTGAAGATGCTGCACATTCTCGAGCCTTCTTTGATTGAAGACGCCCTGCGCACAGTTCCTTACGCCTCATTCTTGGCTGCTATTCTGTCCCAGAAAGACCACCCTTCTCTCGTATCCCTGGCTCTACGCTGCGCTGAGCTATTATTCCAACGGCTTGAACATGTGTATCAGCATCAATTCCATCGAGAAGGGGTAATCTCCGAGATCATCAAACTATCCGAAGGCTCTCTGTCAGGAGACCAGGAGAACACAGATCCATCCGATTCCACAAATATAAACACAACTTCAGATCCAACGCATGGCGCCAACCGAATTGGCGGGGAGACTGGAGCTGGCGGAGAGGATGAGGATGAGGACGGTGAAGCCGATGACTATGATGATGATGACGGCGAGGATGATGACCATGATGACATGTCTGATTCCGAGGATGATTTCATGGCAGGCCCACGCAGTCTACAAAAGATGGACAACGCGCTCAACGACGTAGTTATCCGGGATGCTCAAGCTTTCCTCGAGGTATATGAAGCAAGCCATGGCGAAACCGTTCGAGCAGAGGCTCTCAGGATATTGACAGCACTGAAATCTCTCGCCTTGGAAATCAAGTCACGCTATTCCCGTGGCGGCGAGGGCGGTCTCCCCTTATTCAAACAGCTCGCATCGTATTTTGATGGAGAAGCAGTGGAGAGCATTACCAGCTCTGAATTGCTCAATTCCGGCATCATACAGGTTCTTCTCTGTGTTCTGGGTAACTTCCAAGCGCCTTCTATTCGCGATGCTAGAGCCGACTTCTTGCGGGCGTTTATGGGCGTTTCAATCTCGGACAAGGCCCAAAGCCAGAGCACCGCCACCACGCCTTTCAGCGTACTTATCCGGAAGTTGCAAGACCTGCTTAGCAGGACTGAACATTTCGAAGTCCTCACCGTCAGCCACAATTCATTGGAGAACACCCGCAGCAACGCAGCTTACATGCTGAGCAAACAGCTCCGACTCAAGCTAGTTGCCGAGGAAGGGTCCGAAGTTCCTCGCCCTTATCGTAATATCATGGTGTCAATCCATGCCATTGCTACATTCAAGGCCTTGGATGACTTCCTTCATCCACGAATCTCCGTGGCCGAAAAGCCTCGCGCCCCACGAAGTAGGGACTCGATTCTCTCCCACCTTGCCAATGCCTCCCGGTTCCGTGACCAGCTGGCTTCGGGGTCTGGGATGAACCTCCCAGGTCACACAGTGGGCTCAAATGACACTATGGCCGATTCCACGGATGGTACCTATGATCCTGCAACTGGCCACTCGCGTCACCAATCCAATCGAATTGAAGAGGATGACGACGAAGACCACGATGACGAGCCCCTTGAGTGCGCAGACGAAAGGCAGCTGACTGATGATGAAGAAGAAGACGGCGGCGAAGAAGTCGAGGACGAAGAACTCAACGCTATCGTTAACGATCTCGATGAGGATATGGAAAATGACAATATCTCTGACCCCTCGGCAGTCAACATGGAGGTAGCATCCTCAGGCAAGGTCACGGCTCGCAAGGAGGACGGTACACGAATTGGGACTCCTGCATCCAAACCTTCATCCTCAGCTCCTAGCGCTCTCCCCAACCGTATGCGCAACAACTCGCTCGCCACTGCCGGCCGGCCGTTCTCATCCTATGCCGCTGCGATGGCCTCGGTGCCCCAGGACTGGCACCTTGAGTTCTTCGTAGATGGCAAGCCCGTCACCAACGAGACCACTATCTACCGTGGCGTCCACCACGACCGTGAGGACTTAGACGAGACCAGTGCCAAGAACGTCTGGTCGGCAGTCCACACCATCACGTTTAAGCGCGTCCCTGGTCCTCCACCACCCGAGCCCTCAACCCTGGCATCGAGCATCCAGTCTTTCTCATCAGAGGGTGATGCCCTTGAAATCCCAGCCTCTCTCGATAAAGACCCCGTGACCTCATCCATCATCCGTCTGCTTCGTGTTTTGCACGACATGAACGCAACGATAGATGATATCTTGACCGATATCAAAGACTCTGCCACCATCACCTCGGAACCCTTGGCTCAATTCATCAACACGAAGCTGACTGCCAAGATCAACCGTCAACTCGAGGAGCCATTGATTGTGGCAAGCGATTGCCTTCCAAGTTGGAGCGAAGACCTAGCCAGACTTTTCTCCTTCTTGTTCCCATTCGAGACAAGACATCTATTTTTACAGTCAACTGCATTTGGTTACTCGCGGGCGATGATGCGATGGCAAAATTCTCAAAGTGGCGAGGACAGCCGACGGGACCTGCGCCGAGATGATCGCCCATTCCTTGGTCGGCTGCAGCGCCAGAAAGTACGGATCTCTCGCTCTCGCATCCTTGATTCTGCAATAAAAGTCATGGAGCTCTATGGGTCTTCACCCAGCATTCTTGAGGTTGAATACTTCGAAGAAGTTGGTACTGGATTAGGGCCGACTCTTGAATTCTACTCTACTGTTTCCAGGGAGTTCTCGAAGAAAAAGCTCAAGATTTGGAGAGACACAGACGGGAGCTCCGCTGTAGAGTACGCATTTGGCAAGCGTGGCCTCTTCCCAGCCCCGATGAGTGATGAGCAAGCAGCTCAAGACATCGGTAAGAAGCAATTGAACATCTTCAAGGTGCTAGGAAAGTTTGTGGCCCGGTCGATGCTTGACTCTCGGATTATCGATATTTCGTTCAATCCAGCCTTCTTCCGTATCGCGGATACTCTGTCCTCGGTGGCACCATCTCTAGGCACTGTCAAGCTGGTTGATCACGACCTCGGGAAGTCCTTGCTCATGCTCAAGGAATTTGTCAATGCCAAAAACGCCATTGAGGCAGACAAGTCGCTTTCGCCCGCCCGCAAATTGGAGGCCGTGCAAAACATCATGGTCCAGGGTGCCAAGGTCGATGACCTAGGTTTGGATTTCACTCTACCTGGATACCCTACTATTGAGTTGATTCCTGGCGGCGCGGAGGTGCAGTTGACAATCGAGAATGTTGACACTTACATCGAACGGGTGATCGACATGACCTTGGGTAGCGGTGTCCGTCGTCAGGTGGATGCCTTCCGGGCTGGGTTCTCGCAAGTCTTCCCCTTCTCCTCCCTTCGTGCTTTCACTCCAAGTGAACTTGTTATGCTTTTCGGACAAGCGAAGGAGGATTGGTCTATCGAGACTTTAATGGACTCCATCAAGGCTGATCACGGGTTCAACATGGACAGCCGGAGTGTGCGAAACCTGCTGCAGACCATGAGCGAGATGGACAGCCAGCAACGCCGAGATTTCCTTCAGTTTGTCACTGGTAGCCCCAAGCTCCCCATTGGAGGTATGTTAAATTCCATTTTCCACCCCATAAAATCCCACTGACTAACACATTTAATATAGGGTTCAAGAGTCTCACACCGATCTTCACTGTCGTGTGTCGCCCAAGCGAACATCCATATACCCCAGACGACTATCTCCCCAGTGTAATGACCTGCGTCAACTACCTGAAGTTGCCCGACTATAGCGACTTGGATGTTCTCAAAAAACGCCTCTCAGTTGCCATCAAGGAAGGCCAAGGAGCTTTCCATCTTTCCTAGACCCGTGGACAGGTGTTCACACTCAAAATGTTCACTATTTCCTTTCTCGCCTTCTTTTAGCTTCCGTCTTTCTCAACCAGGACGGGAAACTCTTCACGATGCAACGACGTGCGACCTGTTTCTGCTTTGTTCGCCAATTCCACCAATTCCCAAGTTTTCAGACGGGCTGTTTCGCTGTTGATGTCCTCTTCCTCTTCTTCCTTTTCATATGCCATCTGGGTCGAAAGGCGTCATGGCGGGTGTTCGTTACGATAGTGTTATTAGATAGCAATGATTCACTTTCTACTGAAATTTCGTTTGTTTAGTGATGTAGGATTTATAGTCCGTATGGCTACATCGAGTGTTGGGGTATCATTTTGTATGAAAGTCCTGTTACACAAAGACTATTGATGTAGAGCTCAATTGCCCCATTAAATAGAGTAGCTTTCTCTCATTCCTCCGACCTCAAGGCGCAGCATATATTCATCGCATTCCCTTTTGGATGGAATGGACCCCTTATGCTATGGCTGCTCCTCAAGAGATCACCATCGAATCTCTAAGCGGCCACTGGGTCCTGGTAAACACGCTATCCTCCTTGGAAGATATATTCCAATCATCTCACTATCTACAGAACAAAGATCTGTCCAGCGAAACAGACCCTATTCTAAAACTGGTCCGCTCTCTACTATTTATATTTCTATTCTTATCCCAAATTCCAATCTAATAACCACCCACAGCAAAAAGTACCATGGTTACTCCGCAAAGCATTCGGCTTCGCAACAATACACATCCAAATCACTCAATACCCAACACCATCCACAACAAGTCTATCAACAAACATCGATTTCCTCCAAACATCAACAGCAAGTCTAGCCCCAACTAAAGAAGAGCGCATTTTGGATTGGAAAATATTACACCACGAGGATTACTTCTTCGGCCAGATCCAAGGACAGAGTGAATTCGTTCGCGGTGTTACTGATGCAGATGGAAGTATAAGACCTGAGTTCAAAATCCAGACGGAGAATGCAACTTCGAAGATTAAGTTATTCCTACGAGGTGAGATCGAGGCCGATGGCAGTAAATTTGCGGGTTTTATAGTTGAGGATTGCAGTAATCCTGGTCTTGGACTTTGGGTGCATACCTTTGAGAGGAATGTTAAGGCTGAATGGACGGCTGAGCAGGTGAGTGTAATATATTTTTGGTTTGGTGTAGAAACTAATTCTTACAGATTTGGGGGTTTGAGATGTTTGGTGGTGAGCGATACTTCTCTCGTCGAATTGTGGTTATGACGAAGGGGGAATATATATGTGGGAGGATTGTGTTTGATTTTGTGAACCTGTGACTTCGCTCTGCATTATATATCTTTATACGCTTACTTTCCCCTGAGTGAAAGTGGCCCTTCATCCTGTACCATTACAGCGGGTATTTTCTTCAATTTATCTGCCAGTCCATTCATGCTGCGCACAGATGCAAACTCATTCTCTGTGTGGAGATGGATTGCTGTGAGGTTTGGACAAATACAGTGGCATTTAATACAACGGTTCGTGAAGGGAAGGCCATAATTTGCTATGCAAATGGATCAACTACAAGAGCTAGGATCATAAGGACTGCCCCAACATAAGTCAGGCTTCCTGCTTTTGACCTAAATATTCCCCTCAGTAGGACTGGACTGGTATTCAACGAACTCTATATCAGATTGGCTTTGGACATGTAAAGCCGAATATGGTGGATAAGTTGTCATGATCTCAGGTCCGAAGTAGTCTCCAGTACTCCGTATATGGGCTGAGGAGTGTCAGTAGACTGCGGCATAATCTGCAATATCCGTGGATATCCATAATCCATATCCGCAAAGTGCGGGTTTAGATATGGACCTGATATCCATTGGAGCGGATATGCCGCAGTCTACTCCATACTACGTATAGTAAAGTATCAAGTCATCTTAAGTTCTTTTCGTTCAACATAATATAATTACATACGGAGACTTAGACTAGCCGGGCTTATAACTATTGAACAAGGACTGAAAATAACTCAACACCAAGAGCTTACTATACGTAGTATGGAGCAAAAGAGTAGGACGAGTGTGTATTGCAAAGAGCTAGAAGCGCTCGCTATTTTAAGACGCCAACTACAAAAATGAGTGGACGTCTGAAAATTAAAGCGAGTGGCTGTGGGCCCAACTTTTATGTTCCCATATAAATATGCAAAGCCCTAATCCGAGTCACCGTGACTCCTCCCTCCCCCTTCCCCATGGGATAGGCCTAAGCAATCTGACCGAGATGATGTTAAATAGATCCCAAGGCAGAAAACATCTTCCTCTGCTACCGCGGACCGCCTTTCCTCCATATAGTGTTGAATCCCGTTGTTTCCGGCCCTAACGCACACCTTATGCTGTGTGTTTTATATTGAGAAAAGATAAATAAAATCAGAAAAATCCTGTCACGCGTCAATCCAAGAACTTCCAGTTGGAAAAGGGAGCATCCATACCCTGCAAGTTCCATACTAGTGCTCCGCGCGGAGCTCACGGGGCTGTGGCCCAAAATGCTGCTGCTGAGTGTCTCTTCTTACATCTGCATCGGATACTTCCAGCGCTTGTTTCCGGTTAGTTTAATCAAAGTCCCGGCCACTGTCCAGTTCGTGATGTATTTCCAAGTTCTCCTATCGTTCAAATCGTCTCGACGCTGGAGGTCGGCAAAGGTGCCACTAGGTCCCAACAGGAACAACGGGGCCAGAGGCTGCTTGGTACTTAGGGCGGATGCCTTGGTCGGTACCTTGCGCCACGCTCCAAAATCGTCGGGGTTGAGCACTGTCTGATTCTTCCATGCTTGATAGACTTCTTGCGCGGAAGTCTGTACAGCATCCAGACATTTGATGAGGTTCTCGTTGTTGACCTTGTCTAACAGACGTCTATCCCCGTAAACAGTCCACGAATGGTTGTCCTCGTTGGTGACCTGTAGCCCGAGAGCACAGTCTTCATCATGCATGTACTAAGCTGGTTAGTATTGTTTTCCCGTAGCATTGTTGAAAGTTTGGAAAAGTTATTACCTGGGCACATTTATCGGTTACTGTAAAGTGACCGTGGAGCTGACGGCGCGGGGTCCGAAGATGACCTGCGGAAAACAGATCTTGCAGAAAATGGTCCGCAAATGCATTCATTGAATAAGCTTGGAACAGAGCATCTTTGGAGGTGCTACTAGCGGCGTGCTTGATGGCCGCTAGATGGCCAGTCTTGTACACAACCCGAGCATCATCTCCGAAATGGTCCCAGTTGATGACGGCGAGACCGGCGTAACTTATAAATTTCGGGTACTTTCGACCCAAGGTCAGGTATTGCAACCATCCGTTGTCAACGACTTCACCCCCCTTGTATACCGTGGACGGATCCAATCCTTTGGCTACGGCATTTTTGACGGCGTCTATCTCCTTCTGTAGGTACTCGAGCAAGTTTCGTGCATCCTTTGGCTGGTCTTGAGGGTTGTTGATCAGGGTATTCAATGCACTCATGAAACGGCGGCGGCGTTCCTCGTCGTTAGACCCATCACTGATTGGGTCTGAAGTGCCGTAGAAGTCTCCTGCCAAAGATGAGATTTGGCCATATGTCAGAGATAGAGTGTTGTCTCCAGGACCAGAACCAAGAGTGGTGATTGGCAGGTTCGAGGCCTGGATTTCCACTCCTTTATCGTCAATCAGCTTAATTTGGTCACCCAGATATGAGTGTTCCGCGAATTCAAAACCTTAGTTTGCCCAATTGCAATTAGCATGTTTTTCTTTCCCAGTTTGGAAGACTCGGAGGTTAAAAGATATACTTACCAGGTGGAGGCTGGTTGCCTTCGGCCCCTAAGGTGACGCTGCTTGGTCTGCCTTCCACTTGGTTGACTTGAAAGGGAGCAAACCATGTGTTGCGACAGATGGTAGGAGTATGAGATATCTCTTTCAGAACATCTTTTGTCAAGTTGTCGGAAGGATTCTGGCTATTGGGCACGTAAGCAAAGGTGTGGGATTGTCCTAAAGAAACACTTTTGCGTACTGTTCTTTATTCTCAGTAGACATACTGGCAGATTGCCGATCACGTAATGTTTCCAGATGACAAGGTAAATGTAACCTGAGACTTGTCTCAATGATGGAAGCAGCTTAGGTGATGATAAGAGTAAATTTCGCGGAGTTCGAAACCAATATTCGATTGGGGTGGTATGTCTATAGGCTTTTATAAGAAAGAGATGCGGATATGGCTCTCTACCTATGCGCCAAGGTGGTTGGAGAAAGGCGCGCTCCCTGTGCTTGCCTTTGTGCGTACCATCACGGATCTTCAGATGGCCTGACGTGTGTTCTTTCAGCTGCAGCTGCTCTTGTGACTGGATCTGCATTTTCCCTCATTGTACAGCTCCATGCGGACTGCGTTTCGGTGAGACCAGCAGATGTGGCAAAAGGCAACTGGACTAATTCCTAAACTTTGACCTGCCCTAGGTCCCGCTGTAGCTGCAGGACTGTAGGTCCTTGAGACTGGTATAACGTATTATATCATTTTACAGCTCGTCTATGTATTAGTTTAGCAAAAGCAGATAATTTTATACCATGCCGTAATCTAGCAACTATGGCGTTGAACAACCTAATGAGAAATGCATCTAATAATATAACCCTTCTTTATTAGACAACTAAATACTGCATCAATGCACTGAGAATGCTCTTCGAATTGAATTAGGTATCACCGACACAGGTATATAGGTCCTGATTAGTTCTAACATAGAGTTTACTTGTAATAGCGCCAGACTATAATGTATCATCATAATGTATCTATTACATAACCGCTTACGACTAGGTAAGCACGAAGTGTTGTGGTAAAGTGTCTTGGAGGATTATTATGCATAAGATATGTTAGAAGCGATGCAATACATATCTGCAGTTTGGGGATCTACACAAAATTAACCAGTCAGATCCACGTAGTCAGGCAGTTCAGCTAGCCATTTCCTAACCCCTCAAATGATATGTTCGATTGCGCTCTATAATGTACATAATTTGGAACCAGTTTACATGAGTGAAACAATTTCTGAAGGAACTATCATAACCAAAGATACCGAATAGGTTAGGAATGAACACATCACAAAGATATGCATGGAAATATTTCGTGCAATTTTATGACACTGACAAGCTGACGAGAGGACCCCTTTCTTTCTTGTGTGTAGACGTTTTGGAGAAAATTTTTACGGATGACGCAAATGGCTCAGATTTGTGAACGCGTGCGTCTGAATTCTGGGATTACCCCGTCAAGGATCGCAATACCCAATGGCGACGGCGTTGCTAGGAAGCTATCCGTATTATGGAAAGCATGGAGATAGCGTGCTTCTGGTGTTTGATTTAGGAGATATTATAAAGCTCTATCTTGGTTTACTGGCTAGTTACCACATTTCTAAAATATCCTGGTTGAGATGCCATCTTTGTTTCCCTTCACTATCAAGCTATCTCTGCGTAAATAGACATAGGATTGTTTTACAAATAAAACAGTCAATGAGATGAACTGTAGTTGAAGTACATAAACGCCTTCTCTCCTTTCTCTTCGTCCTGTGCTATGACGACGGCTCAACTGCTTGTATTGGTAGAGGTTAGCCTCAAGGGCCCAAGAGTGCTCCACATCATGAAGAAGTACCCACGCGTACCTGTGCATGGCGTAAACATGGCAGATATGTTCCAATAGGGGTGCAAACAACGTTTCCAATTGCTGACCACGTAATTGTGAAGACCAAAGCGGAGTCCATATGTCGTTACGTATAGATATCGACGCATATATATGATGCGTAAAATGATAGAAAAGCATGACATGGTATTTTATTGACCGCCTCTTTATGGGTATGCTATGCTTCTTCAACATACGAACAAATGCATCAATGTACACAGGGATTCAAGAAGAAAGATGCAGTTAATTTGCACCACCATTTTGTGTTGCTCATACCTAACCGGCTCTACTCTTTGTCAGCGCAATACGCAAAGATGGATTATACCACTAGACCATAACAAAAACCATGGTTCCTTATTATAGCCTAGGGCGGCTTGTATTATTCTATCACTGTTAGCTTCGCGATTTCAGTACCTAGCCACGACGGCCCGGCCGAGAACGGAAGCTAATGCATGCATGCCACCAATATTATATGGTATTATTTCAAAGGAATACAGTTAATTAAATATATGAAAAGCTGCGAGATGCATAACTACTAAAAATTGACTATTATTAATGACTGGTATTACATAGTATTACTGCTAAGGTTATTGGTGGCGTGCATGCATTAGCTTCCGTTCTCGGCTGGGCTGTCGTGGGAGGTTAATAGCACCACGCTAGTGGTTAGTCACTCCTTCCTGGCAGTTAGTTTTCAATATCATTTTCTATGGGTTACAGCTCGGGAATACTCGAAAGAAAGATACTGTGGATGGCTAATAACGCAAATCACAATCTAGAACAAAGACGGACTACTTGACAAAGACCCCATGGGCCTGCAGTTGGCACGCAGGCACGTAACTAAACCTCAATCCTCCAATAACTAAAGGAATGGAAAAGAGGGGGAGCCGGGGATAATTTATATCCTTCCCCATTCTGCCCCCTAGGACCCCCCAAAGCCAGACAAACAGTAAACCCGGACATTGACCCATACAATTCGCGGCGATCTCGATTATATAACCGGGTATCCAGGGCTAACTACCTAGGTAACTAACTACATATGTAACTACTAGGCAAGCTTTAGTTACTAAAATGCGACATTTGCCCGTCCACAGTAGGCGGTGGGCAACTTTGATTTCGAGGTATCTAGAATAACATAGATCATGGTGTGAATCTTGGGAAATCACCATATTCTAGTAAATCCTCAACCATTTAAATAGATCGGTCAAAAAAAATATAAGAAATATATTCTAACAATCAAAAGTCAAAGATTATACTTAAAAAAGTCCATATCACAAAGCCTTCTTTTTTGCAAGTTTTTCCAGGCGATCTATAAAACTACCAAAACACCTAAACAGAATGATATCTGAGAAGACCTTTGAAAGGACCTCTGAAAAGACCACTGGAAAGACATCACAAGGCTGCATAAGCAGCCGATTAATTTGTAATCTATAACTCTACCTGTAACTCCATAACTCCATAACTCTATAACTCTATAACTCTATAAATCTATATAAATTGGGGATATATCAACTTTTGACAACACACTCTAGTTCGAATAAATCGACACCATAGACTGTGAAATTTGTTAGCCACATTTCATGTAGATAGAACAAAAGGATAACTCACATCCGCAAATTTAGGCTCAATAAACAAAGCCTTAGCCTCAGCAACCATTACTGCACCTTCACTGTCCTCCCGCAGCAGGCTAGCATCAGAAACGATGCTATGCGAGTCCGCAGACAGTGGCAAGGTCAAAGGAAGATAAGTCATTTGACCTTCAACCCAAGCCTTCCTGCCCTCAACCTTGGTCGTCTTTGTACGCAGCACATACATCCGGTCAGGGAGAGCTGGCTTTCGGAAATCCACATTGAGATTAGCCGTCATACCCAGCCCGCTGGGGAAGGCTGCAGAGACACAGCGAGCAAACACCTCATCAAAGAGAACAGTGAGAAGACCACCGTGGACAAAGCCAGGGTGACCACAGAGATTCTGGCCGATATGGAAGACTGAGACGACGTTGCTGGTTTGCTCATCACTTTCGGCTTGTCCAGATTTGCCAGTCGATAGCCACATGTATGGTGCGAATGCAAGCTTGCCTGGTCCAGCCAAGCTTCCACCCACAAAGTGGTGCTGTCGGATGGGTGCTGGGATTGCGAGATGGGGACGGGTTTCCTTGTAGGTGCTGTGGGTTTCGCGGAGTGTTTGGACGAGTGGGATTTGGGAAACGAGAGTGTCGAGGGCTGTTGATTCATGGTGTGGTTGTGTTTGTGCCTGAGAAAGGAATGGGTGTGTTTCTGTTTGACTAGGAAGTGCTTGGTCATGAACCACTGCCGACCGTGTTGCGCCTTGTTGGTGAAGACGCGCAATTGGCGCTGCGGGCGAGTATGTCCTAAATGCTGAAAGAGTTTGCGGTCGGAAGAGCCGACGTGCTGTTTGTGAAATGTTTGACATTCTGGGAAGTATATATGAAACCGATATTGACACTGTTCATGCATGTTAGAGGGGCTTGTTTAAGTGCCGACCGGGGTACATACTGCAAGATAGGCTCAAATTACTCGGTCGGCTCTTTTGAGTTTGACGATCTGCCTAGTACTTGACTTTGTACTAGGGTTAGGTGATATCGGAGTATATCACCACTTGGAAATCTGCAATGACGATGAAAGGAGGATTGACCTGCAATTTAAGCAGAGACCCGCCACCCACCTGAATTGGCCCTGTTTTTCTTAAAGCCGATTTTTCTCCTGGACCCAAACAGTGGGGCTCAAAGCCTTGGAACAGCCGATGATCGGACCGAATGCCAAGAGATATAGTTCGGTATGCCGAGAATGCCAAGACGATGTAGATCTATATAAATATAAGATCATACTTCAGCATATTTGAACGGAGGAAGGTTGTAGATCGTAGTATGCTGTAGTGTATCATTGTAGTATGATATTGGGTGGTTGCCGCGGCGCGGTCCTTCCTCGTTGGGGGTGTGCGCGGAAGGAGTGTTGGTTTTCGTTCAATGCCACTCTCTTGTTCTCTCCTCTTCTCCCAAACCCATCATCATTATCCATCCAATTTCGTCTGACATTCTTCTCTTTATTCTTTCAGATTCTTATCAATTGCCTCTCCACTGATCAAGATGGATGAGGCTTACCTCTCTTTCGGCTGGGACACCACCAGCAACTCCAGCAACTCCTCTGGTGAGGGCGTAGACAACGCCCCCACCATCCTCTACCAATCTGGCGGGGTCAATGCCTCCCAGATCATCATCAACCTTTTCGCCCCCCGAGCCGGGAGCAACTGGCGGCAGGCCCAAATTGACAATTGGGACCCCGAGCAACCCGAACCCGATGAGAACGAGGTTACCGCCCCCGAGATCCCCACCCACGACGAGCACTTCCTCTCTGAGGAAGAGGACTCTGATGAGGATGGGGCCCTCGGGGAGCTCTCGGGTGATGAGTGGGCGGAGGGGGAGGACCAGCCCCGGCGCCGGTTCCCTCCAGGCTACCTGGAGGCCCTGGAGGCGGCCTTGGATGACATCCTCGCGATGGCCACTCCTGATGAGGACGCCCACGGGGAGGGCGAAGGTTATGATTCCGACACCCCATGGGTGGAGGAGATAGAGGACATCGCTGATGAGTCTAGGGACGGCGACGAGGACGCTTCCCTGGATGAGGCGTAGGGGAGTAAATACTTACTTACTCAATTGCAAGGTATATACATCTCACCTATGCTTTTCTCCTATACAGCAGTCAGCTTCAGTTCACTCTCACTTCAGTCTCGCTTCAGTCTCAGCTTCAGTCTCAGCTTCATTTTGGACTCACTTCACCTTCATTGCTAACTCATCTTTTCATCATCCAGGTGCTGATGAGGAGAGTGGTGCTTCCTCCCTCATTGGCGTTCCTCGGCCTTGCTCCGCCCCACCACGGCTGACCTTAAGCGTGGTGGGGCACAGATGCTATGATAAAGGGGGAGGGGGAGTGGGGGCCTTTTGTTTGAGTATCCCTGGGTGGTGGCGATATATGTTGTATGATTTGGACCGGCGGTGGCATGGACTGTTTGCTGTTTCAGTCCGGCCAGGGGCAGCTCGTGTGAGTTGTTCTGCCGTGTTGATCATATATATTTGTTCTGAGTTGAGATGATCACCGATGAACATAATTCTCATTCGCCTCCGCCATTTGACCCTACGATACCAGCGATCTCGAAAGGCAGGAGTGGCCGACAAATCATCTGATGTCGGAAGAAGCACAAAGCCACCGGAGCACAGAGTTATACGTCCGCAATACGACAATACGGTACAATACGATACGACGGCTTCAAACGTCAATGCCGAGCCAATCTTGGGAGAATGTTTCATAAACCGAGCTTCATTCATCCCACGACTGGTTGAGTACGCAGATGATGACCTCCGCGCTCGCCGCTGTTATACCTGCCTTTGTGCCTGCCTCGATGCCTGTCTCTGCGGCGGACACGCTTGCCTTCCTCACTCGAGTCAAAGATGTCTCGCTGGAGGTGGTAGAGGTCGTTATGACCGTGAAGACCCCCCTCAAGGAATTACAAAACGACTTCTGTGACCTCAGTGGCTCTGGCTTTCATCCCGGCAAGGAAGCGGTACGAGCAGATGGCAATTATGGCTTTGGTAGTACCAACAATGTTTTGGTGTGACCCTCGGGCAGGACGCCGATGTCAACGAAGCCCATTTTCAGCTCCCAGAGCGAAGTTGCAGTGGTTGTCCGTGGCCTAATTACCAGCTTTGACAACTTGGTCGACAACCATTGTCACCTGCATTATCTATCTGGCACGCGCATTGTAACGGTGAGTCCCTATCGATTTATTCTCGTATGTAACTGGGTTGCTGACGTTATGCGCCGTTTATAGAACATATATACCAATTATAACAACTGGGTGCTCATCGGTGTTCCTTGTATTGTACGTGGCACCCGCGATACCCGCAAGGACTAGGGCCGCTTGGCGATGGAAGCCTCTCTGCGAATGCGCCTTATGAACGATGAAGAGTTAGTTGCCGCTTGGCACGGGGCTGTTTCGGCCTTCCGCACACTCTACAACATGGCTTCTGCTACTCAAGTCGCTGATATGCCTGATGTGCACAAGGATATGTCTTCAAAGTTCCCATATGCCCCATTCCCCTTTCTCTCGGAAGCTGTGAGGATTTAGCCCAAGGAAGACAAGACACTACAGTGGCAAGTTATCGGAAAGGACACAACGGCGAACTTCGACGCGGGATAGACTGGATGGGACTCCGGCACAGGCCAAGAAGCTAAGGCGGAAGGCCAAGGAGATATCTTTCTTCCGATTATGAAACCAGACGGATCCCGCTATGAATTGATGGTCCATGCCGAGTACAAACCAGGAAACAGGTTCAATCTTTTGGGACTGATGAAGGGGAAACAAGAGCTGGGTATCACGTGGAGCCCTGATGATATGCTTATCAAGCGGGACGACCAGCAGACGGGTTACACGTTCACTGCTAAATATACCTTTAATTGAGCCCACCGACGAGCCAAACCCAGTACGATACGAAGGGCAATGACTCAGTTACGTCACTACCTCCGCCGAGCTCGGGCATCGCCAACTCGGGCAAGCAGGAAGCTACAAAGGCCGCGTCAAGAAGGACGAACTACGCCGTGTCTCCTTTTCCTTTTGTGATGATAGTGGGAGGCTGTCGCGGACAGGGCATTCCTCATTGGGGGTGAACTCCGCGGAAGGAGTGTTGTGTTTTCATACGATAGCATTTATTCTTGTCGTCTCCTCTTCTGTCAAAATCATTATCATCATCCACTCAATTCTATCTGATATTCTCCTCCTTATCTCATCAGATTTTCCATCAATTGACTCTCCTCTGATCCCAAGATGGATGGGGCCTGCTTCCCTCCTTCTGGCTGGGACACCACCACCTGCAGCCCCTCTGGTGCATTGAGGCCGTTTCCCCTTTTCAGCAAACCCAGATGATCCTAACTACTACACAATTCACCACGCATTATCTGGATCCGGAAAGGGCAGCGGTACCTATCTGGACATCTCCCTGGATTTGCTTATGTGCACAGCGGTGCCCGAAGCGCCCATTCATTATGAATTTACATTCGCAATTTTATGTATTTCCTTTGATGTTTTTTGGGGCACCCCAATCTTAATCCTGTATTCTAGTCCACAATTACACTTCATTATGACAATTGTCAAGACCCAGTAAGCCTTGTCTAAGCCCTTACCTATCCTAGTCATCACTGGCATTCATCCAGTCATTCTCATCAATTACTTGCTTATTGGTAGGGGTATGAGTCTTGTCTTTTACAGTGATTCGAGGGCCATTTGCCATTGCTTCTTCGGAGATCCGATGCTTGTATTCCGAGGGCCACCATGTCCACTTCACCAAGTAGTGTAGCTTGCCTGCGAATTTCTGGTCTTTGATCTCTTCAACGTCCCATAAACTCACAGCAAGCATATCAGGCTAGAAATACTGGACTGCTCTATCACCCATACGTCGTTCTACTCTAGGAGAGTGAGTGACCGAGTATCTGGAACCAGACGACATCGAATAAAGTAGAGATTAATGCTGTGGCCTACAGTAAGTATTGAAATTCAATCCATATTACATCTAATCTACATACTGGTTGTAGAAAGCCCGAATACATCTAAAGACTCCATTCGAAAAGGCTATTCATGCATTAGGTACTGAATACTAACAACACGTCTTCTAGAACAAGGTGCCATCGCCGAAGTTCAAGATAGGGCTACACTTCGTCTCCGGACGTTTAGCCGCTGCGAGCTCACGACCCGCTTTCCAAGAACCCGCCTCCAGCACCTGAGGTAGACTTAATTCGATACCATCCAAGCGAGCGAGGATCTTCTTATGCAGGACGTCGAGAAGGGCAACGGTCATCGCTCGCCATTCCACAATCTCATCATCCCCGGCACCAAACGAAGGCAGGCTACCACCCGAAAGGCTCAATCCCCGCTGTAGTGCCTCGGGCTTCAACTCTAGAACTCCCATATCGACAAGCATTCCTCCGTTGCGGTACTCTGGCAGACCAGTTCCTAGCTCGGTATTTGACCATGAGACCGAGAGCAGACGAGAGAATGGCACCATCAATGAGTACGCTAGCCATTGTGTCAGCTTATGGAACGGTTGGATGTTGGAGTAAGGTTTCGACTCCGATCCAGCCTGCTGCTCAAGTGCCCGCAAGGGCCATGCATCGCCGATAGGCTGTCCGTTCACGTGAGTGCGGTCAGACGGCCAGATGGGGATTAGGAGGCGCTGCAGCACGGTCCAGAGATCCTTGTAATCGAGCTTTCCATCATTCGACTTGGCAATGAGGTAATCTGCATGTGTGAAGTAGTTAGTTATTTGATGAAACGATGTCGAGTTAACTAGACTTCATGGTTGGTATGAACTTACCAACAAGGTTACCGGGACGGCCAGAGGGACCAAAGATATCTTTCAAGTTCACCAAAGACTCGCCGAGTTTACGGAGGATGTCCGCACGTGCAGGTACTCCGATCATGGGATTGCCATCGTCGACCTGGAGTCCACGGGATAGGATGTCTACATTTATATTTCGCAATGCATCGCCTAGTACGAGTGTTAGAAAATACCGCTACCGCATTCAATAAGAGCAAATGCTTACCATTTGCGGTGTGTTTCACCGACGATTCTGGGCCAGCAAAGTCGCCGTTTAGGAACATGTGTAGGGCCGCAACCGCGATACCTTCGCTCCGATTGAGCGTCAGACCGCTTTGTGCCTCCTTGAATTTCCAAAAGTCTCCGGCGCCAGCATCCAAGAGGACAGAGACGAAGAAAAGATCTATCAGTCTGCGTGTCTTTTCGGTGGTGTCACATTTCTCCTCATCCCATTCCGCCAGTAGAGTGGCTATGCGGGGAACCCCGCCGACTTCGAAATGCTGCCAGCGGCCATGGGGCGGAATTAGGTGATACTTGTCAGGGCCGAAGTCGCGCTGAGATAGATAATGTGAGCTTTTTTAATGCTTGGAATTGGAATTGTTGTAATGGGCTAGCGCCTACCTGAATCAGTTTAAGTACGTAGTCGGTGGCATCTTCCATGCGTTCAGGGTGGTAGTTGAAATGATTCAAACGACCTTCTTCGGCTAGTTTGAGGACCACATGGGCTCTTGTACGGACAGCTTCTAAGCCTAATAGTTCTTCAATTTGGGGATCCATGTTTGAGAGAATTGGGGAGTCTGGAGATCAAGAAAAGTGCGGTTTAATACTCCGGGGCCAGGAAGGCGGGGGAATATATGCACTTATGTAAATAGTTGCATATGGAGTTGAATTAGTTACATTTAGGGCCAATATTGTCTTGGATATGGTAAGTCCAAGGGCTGAGGGGGGTATTCTTTGTCACTTATCGGCTGGTCTGATACTTCTTATCTGATATCGGAGAAGTCCGATTATGAAGGATTTGGGGGTCAAAGTAGTAGATTTGGTATAGACTAAATATGCTTTTTACAAATGCTTCAGTAGATTCTTAGAATGTGAGAGGGTCAAGGTGACCAAGGAAAGCATCGTTACCCTCACCACGAAGAAGAGCATCAATGTCAATGCGACCGGCCGTAAGATACTTCTCGCTGACACCGATGTTCACTCGTTGGGAAAGGAGTTGTTTGAGCTCGGCACGAAGCCCGGCCATTTCGCTCTTGCTCGTTTCACTAGCCTCCTTTTCACGTCTCTCGCGGCCACCGCCACGACCGCGGCCTCTACCCTTAGACTGATCGAACTCGTCACTGTCATATTCAACGCCGAGATCTTCGGCCGCAGAACGGAGCCAGTTATCCTCGGTGTTGACCTTCTCCTTGGCGATGGTGGAGTCAGTGATTTTCTTGGCGAGACCCATGCGGGGGCGAAGACGAGCAACTACTCGGCGATCAATGTCGAGAGACTCGAGAGGAATCTTCTTGCTAGGCCCCTCGGGGTCATCGGCCTTCCTCGCCTTCTTGGCATGGATCTTGCCGGCGAGACGGGCAACACCGACCACCTCATCAGGAGCACAGATAAGGATACTCTTTCCGGACTCACCGGCACGAGCAGTACGACCCGATCGGTGAACGTAGGCATCCGCTGTGCGGGGAACGTGGTAGTGGATGACGCAGTTAACACCCTTGATATCCAAACCACGGGCAGCGACGTCGGTAGCGACAAGAATCGAGCTGGGGTTGGCAGTAGGAGATGAGAAACGTTCTATGGAACGGAGTCGGGCTTTCTGGGCCATGTTTGAGTGGAGTGCGAACACAGGAAGTTGAAGAGCTTGCAAAAGCTGAGTGATGCGGCGGACGGCGGAGATGGAGTTTGTGAACACAAGGGTGCGGTTCTTGGGATAGTATAGAAGGACTGAGTAGAGATAGAGGTCCTGATAATATGGATTAGCATCGGTAATAGAGCGGTTCGAAAATATAATGTCTTACCTTTTCCATAGCAGGGCATTCGACAATTCCTTCCTTAAGTCCGATGGCCATCTGTGACTCTGGATTCACATCGATGAACCTGGGCTTCTCTTCATGGAAATTCAGCTTCTTGAGAAGGTACTCCATAGACGCTTTGTTGTCCAACATATCATCACCCGACCAGCGGCTTTTACCTGCTAGCTTTTGTTGAAGATCCTTGTGGAATGTGGCCGAGAAGACAAGAGTCTGCCTTGGAGATCGCTCTTCCTCCTCCTCTTCCTGATCCATATCTGCAATATCTCCGGCCTGCTTCTTGTCTAGTGCATTAAGAATATCTTCCATCTCCTTGAAATGACCTTCACTGAGAAGTCTATCCGCCTCGTCAACGACCAGGAACTGGATTTTCTGCATTTTGCGGATCAATCCCGTTCCAGTGCTTAGAATCTCCCACACTCGACCGGGGGTTCCAATGACAATATCGGCTGTGGCAAGTTGTCTTTGCTGCTTCTGGATAGACATACCACCGGTAATCAGAGCGACGCGTGCGTTGGTATCCGGGGAATTGGCAATGAGCTCTCCAATATGCTTTCCGAGCTGATGCGCCAGCTCTCGGGTGGGAGATAGAATCAATGCAATTGGGGTTTTGTTCTTTTCAGCCTGGTCGGATTGATCCTCCTGTTTCCCTCTCTTGTCCAAGTAATGCTCGATAATCGGAATACCGAAGGCCAATGTTTTACCGGAACCTGTAGAGGCCTTTCCAACAACATCGTGCCCGTCAAGAATGGCAGGAATACTGGCCTTTTGAATGGCCGATGGGGAGCTAAACTTCATTTTAGAAAGAGCCGTAAAGATCTCGGGCGAAAGATTAAGACCGTCCCAGGCGGACACATCCACACTGTCGTCCTCTTCGATATCATCGAGAGCCGCGAATCCGAGTCCGGCCTTGATGCTTTGGCCCTGAGTAGGTTTGGACGCCTTAGGCTTCTGCTCCTTAGGCTTTTGCTGCTTGGACTTTTGCTCTTCTTTCTTGGCTTTGTTTTGCTCCTTCTTCTTGTCCTTCTTTGACTTCTTATCTTCCTTCACTTCGGTTTGAGCTGGAGCCTTCTCGGTGGCAGTAGACTTTTCGGACGAGTCTTCGTCACTAAAACCATCCCATTCGTCCCCATCATCTTCAGACCGGGGCTTGAGAATTGATTGTGTTGGCTTGCCAGACTTGGCCTATACCAAACATATATATTAGCTTTTGATCAACACGATCGATCACAGCACGCAGACTCCTACCTTGAATTGAACACCTCCATCGCCCTGTTTTATGATCTCCACGCCTTCAATCTCTTCCAGACCAAAGAAACCCTCTGCATCGTCCATTCGATCTGGCATAGCAACTTCCTTCCAGTTCAGGTCGTCGACTGCGATAGAGCCATGATCCTCCTTTGACCCTGCGTCAGACTTGACTGCCTTCTTGCGTTTGTTTGCCTCAGCCGCCTGGGCTTTGGGGTCGCGCGCTCTCTTTTGACCCATTATGAACTTAGTAATCCTTCAGTATTATAGTCTGTTCAGGTTGACAAGTGATCGAAGTACGCTGTCGGGGAAAAGAAAAAAAGCGGCAGAAATTTTAGTCCGCCTTTGGAATCTTATCTTTTCGTTCCCCACGTTCGTCGCAAAATTAACCCACTTTGACAGACTACGAAGGACAATTGCGTCTGGGCAGCCTGTTTTTCAAGATGGGTAAATCATCCAAGGACAAGCGCGATGCTTATTACCGTCTTGCCAAGGAGCAAAATTGGCGCGCCCGTTCCGCCTTCAAGCTTATCCAGATCGACGAGCGATTTGACTTATTCGAGCACGAGAACCCGGACAATGTGACGAGAGTGGTGGACTTGTGCGCTGCACCTGGAAGCTGGAGTCAAGTGCTCAGTCGTGTCTTGATCAAAGGCGAAAGCTTCGGGCGGCGGGCATGGCTCGAGAAGAAGCGAAAAGAACAACAGGGATTGGAGGGTGCAGAGACAACGGCCGATGATAAAATGGACTGCGATGAGCCTTCTTCAAGCTCTGAATTAAAGCCTCGGAAAAATGTCAAGATTGTATCCATCGATCTGCAGCCCATGGCGCCGCTTGAAGGCATCACAACTCTCAAAGCTGATATTACACACCCTTCTACAATTCCTCTGCTTTTGCGCGCCCTGGACCCAGAAGCATACGAACAACCATCCACCCCCTCCGACTCTCCATCACAAGTCACAGAGGCTATCAGACAACCTCACCCCGTCGACCTAGTCATTTCCGACGGTGCCCCCGATGTAACAGGTCTACACGACCTAGACATTTATATTCAATCACAACTCCTCTACGCGGCGCTAAACCTTGCTATGGGCGTTCTCCGACCGGGCGGCAAATTCGTCGCCAAGATCTTCCGCGGCCGCGATGTCGACCTTCTCTACGCCCAGCTGCGGACCGTCTTTGAGCGCGTCAGTGTCGCAAAGCCACGCAGTAGCCGCGCTAGTAGTTTGGAAGCATTCGTGGTCTGTGAAGGCTTTATTCCACCTGTTAGTAATAGCGGGGTGGTCGGTATGGCCGCATTGAAAAATCCACTCTTCGGCGGAGCCGCAGCTCCAGTACCCGTCTCAGAAGATGGCAATGTGGGCGTGGAAGTCCGCGAGCAGATCGACCAGAACACACAAGCCCGAGATACCCTGACGCAACCCGCGGCGATTAGTAGCCCTGCGCCCAATCACTCCACTGAAGTCCGTCATCTTCAAACTACAACATCACAAGACCAGCCCCAACCCCAGAAACTGTCTAACAAGTTCTCGGTTGAGAACCGGTGGATTCCGTCGTTCATTGCTTGTGGTGATCTATCTGCTTGGGATTCTGATGCATCATACACTCTACCCCCGGATTATGTCAATCTGGATCCTGTTCAGCCACCCACTGCACCGCCATACCGTCGGGCATTGGAGTTGAGGAAGGAAAGGGGTGGTGCGTATGGAAAGACCAAGTATGGACCCATTGGGCATAATTCATAGTTACGTTGCATGAGTTTCAAGAAAAAAAAGTTGTATGTATAGACGACCTAGACACGACATAGCATTTTCGGGTCATGCTAGGAAGGCATTGTCTTCGAAGCAGATACCCAAATACATTCCATTAAATTAGATTTCAAAAGGAAGGATTTTGTTCAAGATCATGAAATTCTAAATGCATCTTTGAAGTGTCTCAAGGCCAGTGGGCTAGCCGAAATGAGGATCTAAATACAGGGGGGAATAAAAAGCAAAAACATGCCAATCGTACAATCATGCCATGCAAAAACGAAACAGAGTCTAATAGACTTCCAAAACATAGCGCTCCTCGTCCTTGAGCTTCTCAATCTCCTTGCGAGTCTCAACCTTCTTGCCGTTGTTCCGGGCTTCGGTGGCAATAGCCTCCTCCAGAACAGCGGTGACATCGGGCACGGGCCAAGTGGGACCGCACAGGTAGAATGCACCCTCCTCACGAATGTAGGCTTGGATGATCTCGGGCAGGGTCTGGCGCATACGGTCCTGGATATAGATCTTTTCAGGCTGATCACGAGAGAAAGCAGCACCAAGGAGAGTGATCACACCAGCCTCCTGGTAGGCCTCCCATTCCTCGCCGTAGCAGTACTCCTCGCGCTGGTGACGAGAGCCCATGTACAGCAAGACAGCGCCGATCTCCTTGCCCTGAGCCTTCTCGAGGGCGCGGTGCTGGACGAAGGCACGGAAAGGTGCCAAACCAGTACCAAGACCGGCCATGATAATAGGCTGGGTGGACTTGGGGGGCAGCTTCATGACGCTGGACTTGACGCTGACGGTGATCGGGGAACCGGGTTGCAGGCGGCTCAAGTAGCGGGTGGCCAGACCGAAACGGTCGCGACCGTTGGGGTCGACCCAGTTCACGGCGACGATCATCAGGGCAACTGAGGTGGGGGTCACCTTCTGGCACGAGGCGATCGAGTACTCACGGCGCTTCAGGGGACCGATGATGCGGACGATGTCATGGAATTCGGGGTGAGCGGAGGGGTACTCGAGCAGGATGTCGGCGAATGTGACGGTGTCAACCTCGGCGCGGCGCTTGAACTCGGTGGCACCGTCGGGACCACCCAGGGTGAGCAAGTTGGTCTTTTCCTTCTCATCAGAGGCGAACTCGGCAAGAGCCTCGTAGAAGCGCTTGGGTGGGCGACCAAAGATGTCAACATTCTGGACCAGAGCCTGGTAGACAGTGCGGTTCTCCAAAACGGCAGGGTCCTCGCGGCTGGGAACCTCGACGATCGCGTCGGGGTCCAGGCCGTAGAACTCGATGAACTTCATAATGTCTTCGGGGTCGTTCTCCGCGTGGATGCCGAGGGCCTCACCAATGTCGTACTTCAGACCAGTATCACCGAGGTCGAACTCGATGTGGAAGATGTTACGATCATAGGTGGTAGGGGTGAGACGGCGGTTCTCCTTGACATGGACAGTGAAAGTCTTGTGAGCAAGGTCGGGGCGAAGGGCATCCTTGGTGCCATAGGCTTCCTTGAACGCAAGGCCTCGAGCAGCAGTCTCCCAGTCCTTGAGAAGAGTGGGGGGTTCGGACTCGTCCTTGTCGAACGAAACAAAGCTGTTGGCGATGATGTCCTTGGGGAGCTGAACTGCCTCGGTGATGCCCTCAGGCTCCTTCCAGGTCTCGGGAACCTCGATCTGGCGGAGTAACTTCTCGAGATCCTTGGTAACGTTGTCCAAGGCCTCGGCATTTCCGGTGATCGAGGATAGCTTCTTGGTTGCCAGAGCCTCCTGAGCAGGCAGAGCGACGCGCACGAACGAAGCCTGGAGGATAAGAGCGTCCAGAGAGGAGTCATCAACAGAAGAGGAGTCGACAACGAAGACAGAGATGCCACGCTGGGCAACAGCTTGCTTAAAGCTAGCGGGAAGCTTCTTCTCCAAGTCCTCATCCTTGATACCTGGGGCATTCACAATGACCTTGGCGTTGTCCTTGACAGAAGCCAGGACATCAACATCGTTCAGCAGCGAAATGTTGCCAACGTAAGAGACCTCAGCAGCAGTGACTGCGTAAGGCGCGTCAACAATCTTAGCGCTCTTGCGAATGTCAACACGGATGGCACCACCCTGGACGAGGTTGTCATGGGTTTGGCTGATGGTGACGTTGCTGGCGGAGTCGGCGCCAAGGGCCTGGCTCAAAGTCTGAGCAGCCGCCTCGGTAACAGAAGTGTCGACATCCCAGAAAGTGTATTCCTGCACCGTGGCAGGGTCCAATAGCTGCAGCGAAGCATTGGTTTCACCGTTGACGGTGAGAATGGGCTGGTCATACACGCGCTGGAATGCAGCCGCGGTGGAGATGAGATCCCAACGCTGGGAGCGAGGGTATTTGATTTCAACACATCCCGGGTTGTGTTCACGGCCAGTGGCGAAGGTCAGAGAAGCAAGCACATCTTCATAGAGGGCGGAGTGGACGCCATCTTCCTGAACAGCCTGCTCAGAGGCGACCTGGCCAAGGACTGCGACAGTCTTTGTGGACTGGGGAAGAACACGCAGGAACTCCTCCTCGATGAAGGGGCGGTAGACGCGGACATTCACAACACCGACACGGACACCATCCTTTGCGAGAGAGCGGGCGATTTGGGCAGTGAGAGTAGCCTCGACAGTGCCGAAGGCGATTAGGACCGAAGTCGGCTCGGAGTGACCGTGGTACTCGAAAGCACCGTAGTCGGTTCCGAGTTCGCCGTTCAGGCTCTTCAGCAGATCCAAAACCTTCCCTTGGGCGTCGAGATGACGATTGCGGGATTCATCCAGAGTCTTGCGGACGTTCTCATAGGTGCGAGTCAGGCCATCCTTGTCAAGAACATCAATGATGCGGGTAGTATCACGGCCAACACGAACGCCATCATAGATGTGAATCGAGGGGAGGACAGAGGAGAGCAACGTCGTGAAGAGAGCCATGTGCTGGGACTCGTGTGCGGAACCGCTAGAGACCAGACCCAGACCGAGGTCTTCGGCCAGAGAAAGAGCGGAGGCATAGTCAGAGACGAGGCCATCCTCGCCGGCGTAGTCTACGGCGGCGACGTGTGCAGCGACTGGGCTAGCGACGGAGTAGAGCAGAGAGAGCTGCTCCAATGCAGCGCGCATATAAGGAAGAGTTGCCGAAGAAGCAACAATACCCTGGGGGATGTGGCGCTTCTTCAGATCAAAGTCCTGAGAGAAGAGGTAGCCAAGGGCCATGTTGCCGGCACCTTGACGGGTTTCCAGAGTCTTGATAGAGGGAGACTCGCCATTGGCATTAGTCTCACCCTTGGAGGTCCATTCCTTGAGGGCAGCATCAAGATCGAAAGTCTCCGGCGAGTATGAGAAGATCTTATCACTCAACAAGTACGCAACTTGCTGGATGAGCGTCTGGGCTGTAACATAGGTCGGGCCATTCAAGGCCGACAGAGCTGGAACTGATGAGCCCATGACTTCTTCTTGATACCGGATAAAAGACCGATATCTATGAAATATAGAAACAAAGAAGAAGGTGGGGGAGAAAGAGAATCTCCCCTCTTCATAGCTTGGTTATAGAGAAAACCCCCAGGTAACTTGCCCAAAGCGGTTAGTGGCAATTGCGTGCTTGTTATCGGGCGATAAGAGTTTTCAAGTCGTGGCGGCCCCACTGGCCCCAGGGCCGCTTTCGGAGCATTACTCAGCTGTGCCTGAACCTCGAGATTATGTCATGAAATAATAACGCCTTAGGCACTAATGCTTATCACGTGATGTATGCACATGATCGCACTTGTGCACTGCACAAATCACCGAGCCTCGGTGTCACCCCTTACCCCAGAATGCGGAGAACCCCATTCCCTCCCCTCATAGACTATTGATCCTGATATGTACATAAATACCCATATAAACCATTATTTTACGTCTTCTGATAACATATCTCTTGATCGACTCTTCCACCATGGCGTACAACTCGCCAAATCCTATCCCGTTCTCAGAGCCGCCTTACCTTCGTGGCCTCCCTTCCCCCTACATTACGCCTGCCCATCACCGCTTCCAGCAAGCTTGCCGTAAATTTGCAACAGAAAACTTGATTCAACATGCGTTGGAGTGGGAACGTGAGGGAACAGTCCCAGAGCATGTTTTCCACACATTCTGCAAGCATAATATGTTGTTGCCCAACCTGCCGGCCCCATTACCTGTGGATTGGCTGAAGCGCCTGGGAATCAACGATATCATGGGAGTCAAGGTTGAAGACTGGGACTATATTTACACTGGCATTTACAGTGATGAGGTACGTCTTGAATATCCGACTGTGCTTTATAATTCCAGCGTAATTGACCGATGGTTCGCCCATAGATGGCGCGTTCTGGTCTCAGTGGCCCCGCTGGCTCTCTAAATGCCGGGTTCGCTTTCGGAATTGCGCCAATCTACAAATTTGGTAGTACCGAGTTGCAAGAGCGGTTCCTCCCCGAGCTGCTGACAGGTAAGAAGCGAGGCTGCATTGCCATTACAGAGCCCGAGGCCGGGAGCGATGTTGCGAATATCACCACAACTGCTATCAAGAGTGCTGATGGCCAGCATTATATACTGAACGGATCTAAGAAATGGTAAGGCGTAATTTTGTAGTACTGACAAAGCTGTGAGCTGACACCAATAACCAGGATCACGAATGGTATTTGGTCGGACTATGCCACCATGGCCGTGCGAACAGGTGGCCCAGGAGCCGCGGGCCTTTCTGTTTTGGTTGTGCCTTTAAAGGGCCACCCCGGTGTTTCCATGCGCCGACTCAAAGTCTCGGGTCAGATCACAGGTGGGACCACATTCATTGAGCTTGACGACGTGAAGGTTCCTGTATCAAACATCGTTGGCAAAGAAGGCGATGGAATGCGTATTATTATGACCAACTTCAACCATGAACGACTTCTCATTGCCATTGGGGTCACGCGTCAGGCTCGGGTGGCCCTTTCTGCCGCTTTCTCGTACTGTCTAAAGCGCGAGGCTTTTGGGAAGACGCTCATGGACCAACCAGTCGTCCGTCACCGTCTAGCCAAGGCAGGCGCTGAACTTGAATCTATGTGGGCGTGGGTTGAGCAAATCTTGTACCAACTGGCACATCTCAGCAAGGAGGAAGGTGATCGCCAACTTGGTGGCTTGACGGCATTGGCTAAAGCAAAGTCCGCTATGGTCTTGAACGAGTGCGCTCAAACAGCGGTGTTACTGTTCGGAGGAAGCGGATTTACTAAAGCTGGTCAGGGGGAATTAGTCGAAGGTATGTTCCTCGATATTTAGTCTGTGCTTTAAACAAGCTAATCAATTTTCTAGCCATTCTTCGCGATGTTCCTGGTGCTCGTATTCCGGGTGGCTCGGAAGACGTGCTCCTCGATCTGTCTGTGCGTCAATTGGTCAAGCTCTATCAAGCTGAAGAGAAGAAGCTCTCGAAAAGCGCCAAGATCTAATTTCATTATACACAAAAATGCTTCGTGATCGACCCATGGACATTGCTTGCCCGGGCCATTTAGGTAAATGGGTCAATAGACAGTACAATGTCATCGGTTCAAACTAAAAGTTACGAAGGGCTAGGCTTATACTCTTTTAGTTCCCCTCGTTTTAACTGCTGAAGAAGGTGATACAAGAGGCATCATATGATATCCCCATTCGTCTAATAACGTAAATATTTCACTATTATGGTCTTTGCATTTGAAAGCTAGATTGTGTTCTTCACCGACACTTTGAGCAATGATGCTATATCCTGATAGCAACCAGCAATTAACGATTTCCTTGCTTTCCATCCAGGCAAGATTGGGATTTTCTCGAAGTCTATAATCGGCCGTCCATACCCGTGCCCAATCCCTCAAGGGTAGTGCCCACTTGAGCTAGCCTCGGTTCAAGCCCTGATGATAATCCTTGAGCGTAGTTTTCTCGAGGGCTCCATGACCTGGTTGTCTTTTCTAGCTTTTCTTGGGGGCAGTTGTCTCGTGGGTTTCAAGAGTATCTTGTGCTTTTTGGCTTTTTTCTTGCGTCCGCTGTGTTTCGGGGCCTGGGATAACTCCTTTTGGGGAGGTTTCTGTACGGCCATTTTTCTCTTTCTCACCGAATCTTTCAGTACTTGGTATAGCCCTGCCGCGTACAAGTCTAGTGGACACGTTCCATCGATTATTAGATCTGCACGAGCGCCGTGTTCCAATAGTAGCTCTATCAAGATAGTATTGATTCGATGTTGTGTCGTGATTTCGGTTTGCTTTCGCACAGGAACTCTCAAAATGTTCAAAATGAGTTTACCTCCGGTTCTACCACGGCAGCGAGCACTCGCCCCTGGTGTTAACATGAGATGGAAGCCACCCGGATTCTCGAATCTGATACCTAGTGGTGGCTCTCCACGGCAGTCCTCTAGGTTAACATCGGCACCAGCCCTCAAGAGGACTTTCACAAACTCCTTTTGGATATGTATGTTTCCTAAGAATGGCTGACTGGACAGCACATAGTGAAGGGGAGTCTTTCCTTCACCATCCTGGAAGTTAACATCGGCACCGTACCTTAAGAGGACTTCCACAAACTCCTTTTGGACTCTGGTATCTGCGAATGCGTAATGGGACAAGGCTTCGTGAAGGGGAGTGTGTCCTTCGTGATCTTGTGCGTCTACATCAGCTCCATAATCGAGAAACAGACGGACCAATTTTTCCGTCGAGCTCCATCGGGCCATGGGAATCCGATGTAGGCAAGTATACCGCCGTGCTTGATCGGACTGGAAAGATGGATCTGCCCCGTGAGCCAGCAGCAACTGTATCACGGCGATGAACTCATCCTCTCCCTTGCATTCGACATTATCATTCCAGTGACAAAAGTACTGCGATACTATATAGTACGATCCGAGTTGTACTGAATTGGACCCAAGTTCCAGAGCACATCCCAGAGAAGTTTTACCGCTTGTTTCGTTCACTAGGTCTGCATGGGCACCATGTTGGAGCAGTATGCTGGTCATATTGTAGTCCCCCAGAGTTGCAGCGCATTCCAAGGGGGAAATATCCGTTGCAAAATTTACCAGGGCTCCATTGCGAAGAATGAGCTCCACGATATTCGTACGACCCCATCGAACGGCAAGCAGTAAAGGTGTGTTGACACGGTAGGACCAAGATTCCACCTTCTGGTTCATATCTAGGTTGCTGCGTGATATTATGTGTTGGATTCCTTGCTCAAATCCATTTTCTATGAGCCATCGGAGTGCGAATTCTTGGGTACATTTGTCTTGCTTGTAAAGGAGATGAAACACGGCATCGTAAAGCGTATGATTGCATCGCACAAGGGACAATATATCTCTATACCGTGGCAGTTTGGACGCAATGAAACAGATGACTTCGAGGGGCAAGGACTCAAGAGACATCTTGAAATGAATTTGGAACTATGTTCACACACTATGAAAATGGCAATCAACAGTACATATATACGTCGAGGAGTGCAATGTAATGATCATCGTTCAGTTAATCCTTGTTTAGCTCAAAAGTTTCTATGTAGAGATGACGAGCTTACTATGATTCTATGAGGTACTCATGTACACTTCACCATTTATTGGCCATTTGTTGATATCTGTTCAGCGCTTATAACCCCGGCGCATTTTTGAGTAGTAATTTCTGCTTGTTCAGTAGGCGTCTTAAAGCATCGCTATGTTCGATCATGTTCAGGTACTGACGTGACTATCAATCATACATAGTGTAAGTCTAAGCTTCACACTCGACCTTGGGATGAACAACGAGAGGAACCATGTATCTGCCTGGAACATCCCACTTCGAAATATCCATTCTCTACACGCCTTTAGGCCAATTGTATATCGAGAACTTCGTATCTTCAATAGTATCATCAGCACAGGGAATTGTACTTATTCATATTAGTGTGGGAGCTATAAAGACATAACTACTTGTGTGAAGTTGATGCCAAGGGTTTAGACGCTTGGCCTAGGCTTTGACCAACTTCAACATCAGTCATGATCTGCTGACAACTGAGGCTTTCCAAGTCATCGTCGAATTGAATGCGCCCTTTCTCGAATGCGACCAGTATGCTAGAGCCGCCGAACTGAAATAGGCCAATTTCCTCGCCCTTTTTGACATGGTGGCCGTTCGTTTGTAGTTCATCGTGGATCCTATTATCAATTAGATTCCTGAAAGGGCATCACATAGACATGTTATGGATAGGTTAAACTTACTTCACCGTTCCGACATCTGTAGCCCCAATTGCTACAAAGAGAACATTGCCGAAGGCCTCACTTTCAATGCAGACGCAAGACCTCGCATTTTCGGTCAAAATGTTCACGGAGCTATGCAGAGCCACCGGGTCGACTTGAAAATAATCTCCTGGAATTTGTTTGTACCACTTCACTTTCCCCTCAACTGGCGAATGGTACCGGTGGTAGTCTTGCGGGCTAAGGCGGAAACTTGCAACGGCACCATTCTCCCATACATCTGCGAGGTGGTCGTCCTTAATCAAGTTTGCAATCGTGAAGTCGCTGCCTTTGATCCACAATGCCCTGGCTTTCTCAACAGTCGGATATACTACCACTCGGGAGTCGGCTGCCACGACAGCTTTGGATGGATCCGTTTCGGCGTATATGGGTCTCGTGCCCTTGCGATGCTTGCGAATGAAGAAATCCTCGAATGTAGGGTAGCTTTCAGGATCAGAGGGCTCGAATTGAGACATGTCAATTCCATAAAATTCAATGAAACCCTTAATCTGCCGATGCGACTTCGGTTCACCCTCTCGACGTCCTAGCGTAAGTCGCGTAAGCACTGTACCAAAACACTCTAGATATGTATAGAAAGTCAGATACTCACCTGCAGTCAGATTTTTCTCGTGTGTCCAAAGGCGCAGAAGATGGGTTCGGTCAATCCATTCCGTAACCGGGTTAAACAACAGCAGGAGCTTGAGCTTCTTCCATATTGTCTGTTGTTCGCGTATGTATGTTCCAGTCTTCCGGTCCACTGTTTGCCAGCCCACTTCACGATTTTGGACTAGCTTCAAGAAATGGAGAGCGGCATTTAGAGCCCGGTGGATAAAGCTTGCTATACCCAGCATTTTGGGTTGTTGGTAGATGCCCACGTTTTTGTGTTGGGGAAAGTCTTCAGATCTAGATCGGTTAGCCGAAAATGTGGAGATTATATGCTTGACAAACGACCACGGGTGCTTGCATCATTATGAGCTCATTCGCGCAACGAAATCAAACATATACAACATAAGCAGGCATTCCCAACGCCTGTTTTACCATAGACCTGCATCACTCAAAATTCAGTAGGTTTGCTTCTACCAGCTAAGAAAATTTCTCGATAGGCAGTTCGGTGATTTGGGCCTACAGTACCGTGCTGTGAGGAAGTGCTCATGCCAAATTGTGACAGATGACAATCTTAGACAATTTGCAACGCAATTTGAACAAGAAGTCATTATAAAGGTTCCCTATTACATACATATACATCCGTAACCATCTCGAGTAATACTGCATCGCTAAAATCAAATCCCCCCAATAGTTACCCAATTAGGAAGGTGTAACTTAATTTCCGAGGAGAGGGACGTTAGTAACTACATACATTATGAATGTACAGAGTATGTATGTAGCAGTACAAGAATTGTCGGCTGCGTTTTCTGAATATATACGTTCATATGGTTCTTTCTTTAGGTCGTCGAGACTGCAGGGGTCAAGAGTTGGTCTACATAATTACCTGTATACTTCAATTCCACGGATCATTCAGTTCGGCACCCGAGAAACACTGTTGGCCGAACGATTGATAATCTGGATAGTTTGGGGGTTGATTCTTATTATTCTCATCGGCTTTCATTGGGCCTTGGTGGTCAAGACAAACCACGAACTATGCAACCCGTCTAGACTTCGGGATGCTGATTGGTCTTGGCCATCAATACAAACAGCACAAACTACGATGCAAACAAAACCAACTTTCTTGGAGCAGGAGGAGTACTAGACAACCTTTAAATTCGTTTCGACTGACAAATTGCTGAGCTGACAAATATGATTAGGATCCAGTAGACGAATTGCTCCGGACCAGTATGTGATGCCCAGCGCAATACGATACGTCTTGATACCGCGTCTGAGTCGGCCTGGTACGCCATGGCCTCGCTACAGTCGACGTACGGGGCCTATGTCACTAAAATAAGGAAACGTGCTATAAGTACGACCAACTCCAAGCATCCGGTGACTGGCAGCAGACAGAAATTTCCAATTTCTAAAAGGCTTGTGCTGAATTCTCCCACTGAGGAGCGACTACATACAATATATCCACAATTGACACTTTATCGACCCAGTAGCAAACCATGGCCGCCAAATCCCCTATTATACTCATCCTCGGCGCCGGCCCTAACATCGGCCAATCCGTCGCTCAGAAGTTTGCATCTAAGGGCTATAAGGTCGCCCTCGCCGCTCGTTCCCTAGAGGAGAGCAACAGCACCGAGGAGCAGCTTATTATCCCGAGCGACCTCTCTAAAACCGACGATATAGTTGGTGCTTTCGCTAAAGTAAAGAAGGTGTTTGGCATCCCCAGTGTCGTCGTCTACAATGGTTAAATATCATCTCCTCGCACTCCCATGACTGTCAGTCGACTAACGTATTGCAGCTAGCGCTGTGACCTTCACACTCCCGATGACCCATTCGCCATCACTCTCGCCGACCTGAGTCGTGACACGACCATCAATGTGCACAGCGCCTTTGTGGCTGCGCAACAAGCCGTCTTAGGCTTTTCACTGCTTTCAACGTCAGCCGCGAAGACTTTCATCTACACTAGAAATTTCCTGAACGTCGGTATCATCCCAAAATTTCTCAGCCAAGGCATTGGCAAGTCTGGCGCCGCTCACATGGTCTGGGCTGCTTCGGATGCGTACAAAGACCGCGGTTATAAGTAAGTCCTTAATTTATTTGGGGCATTGGGGCGAGATGAACTAATGGCATAAAGATTCTACTATGCCGATGAACGGAAGGCAGATGGATCGCCCAAGTACCGTATCAATGGCGGCGCACATGCGGATCTCTACTGGGAGCTGGCACACGCCGAAGCTCAGGGTCCTTGGATGCAGACGTTCGTTCATGGGGAAGGGTACAAGAAGTTTGACGACCTATATACGCCTCTAGCGTAAGATGTCACTAGATACCGACGGCCGATGTGGCTTGTGTTCGAGCAGGCCGACGTCGCCAACAGTCACAGTCACTATGTCTATCAATAGTCTCAACTGAGTGCAGAAGCAAGAATTTCTAAAGTCCTAGCCATTCTATAGTTAGAAACAATAGGAGATTTGCCATACTGATCTTAACAATGCTATATTGTTGTAGATGGCTTAAACGCGCTATTTGTGTGATGTAAATCTCAAAACAGAATGTCAAAGGCGTTTTACCTGAGTCGACAATGTTCCAAGGTATATCCATCATGTTGCCAATGATTTGTCAGGCCGAGCTCACGCCCGGGCGCCTGGCCGGGCGCTAACAACGGCCCCAGGTGGGGCGAGCCACCCCAGTCTCCTTCCGCCTAACCACCAAAATTTGCGCTTCAAGCATTCATCGCCATATAAACTCTGTTATTTGACAGGATTGTTTGCTATTTCATTACATAGAAAAAGCTTGTCTATCTTTCTCCATCTCTATACATGCATAAAATGTTAGTGAAGAGATCAGCTGAACTTGAGATTAGGACATCAGTTTCAGGACCCGCCCCTTGAATGATGGAATTGGGAGCGTCTGGCGTACTAGCTAGAACATACTGGATCGACGCTATTACTAACCTTGGGGAGATCTTCTAGACCCTTTGAGCCACCCAATTTACTATTTGCCTCTGGAAACATCGATTCCAACCTAGAAACTAGAACAAGCCCCCTAACGTATCTGCCCAACGTGCCTGCTTAATGCCCGCATGGTGGTCCACATTGCCTCAGGGGTGATGCGATCATATCCTCATAGGCATGTCATAAGGGGGCACAACTTCTAGCGGGATGCAATGACGGAGCAATGATGTGTGGCAATTTTGTGATGATTGTAATGCATATAAGTATCAGCACAAAATTATCCATCGAAGGCAGATCATATTCAATCTGATATCTCATTACTACTTCGTCAGAATCGTGTGATTTAGATCAAAATGGAGACCGAAGAGAGAGTCAACAAGATGCGTGGCTACAAGGCGTAAGTATCTAAATTCCACGGCTAGAAATACACGAGCAGATTTAACCAGGGCTATATTTTGTAGCGCGATGAGCAACCCCAGAGTTTCAGACGAGGCAAAGGAACATTCACAGAACGTGCTGAATGAGTTGGGTGGTGACCGTCCTCGCCAGGAATTATATCAGTCGAGGGGCGATCAAGGAAAGGATCCAGTGAGAGTCTCGGCTGGGCTTAAGGCGTGAGTATCACCTTCAAGGAGACTTGTCAATTGCGTATGCTGATTGGCCGGTATATAGTGCGCAGCGCAATCCTAGAGTAACGGAGGGCGGAAAGCAGAGAGCTTCGGAGAAGATGCAGGAAGTTAGTTCTCCTGAGGAGTAGACGGTTTATGTTTGGCCATCTGTTGTATATGTGCACCCGTTGTATATATGTGGACAGTTGAAAATTGGACAAACTAAAACTGTCAAGTGAAATTTCCCCAGTCCTCAATGAAGAATATACAATTCCTTTATAGAGAAGGTAAAATCAGTGTATGGTTTCGGAGTGCAAACTGCAGGTGCTATCAAAGTAATCGAGGTTTATAAAACTATGAGCAGATATGACAGTATAAGATATCTTAGCAGGGCCCTTCGGCCTCGGGCTTTCCAAGTAACTATAGCTATTTAGTTAACTGCTTATATTGTACGTTCGTGGACCTCCCAATGTTGTAGATGTATATAGCCAAAGTCGAGTTACCCAATGTAGTTTAGCTCGATCTCGGGATGACGAAAGACGTTGCGGCAGTTCCTCCAAGGCTACTGCGCTCCTCTCTTGGTATTTTATACAAATACAGCGTCTACTCAAATTACAACTTGATATACACAAACATGGTGAATGTCGCATTGATCGGTGGTACGGGTATGGTGGTAAGTACACAGCCTACAGGGAAAGCTCCTCAATCCACTTGTCCGGAAACTTTCCAAACAAAGATAAACCCAGTCTAGAACTTGAACTAAGTCGCATAACCGATAGGGCTCCCATATCCTCACCAGCCTTATTTCCAATCCCACTGTAACCCGCGTCGACACTATCTCCCGCCGCTCCCCGCCAGTCGCCAGTGGCACGCCCCCAGCCAAACTCACCAACTTCGTCTCCGGCGATACCGCCACCTGGGCAGGCAAGCTCTCCACCCTCTCCCCGACTCCCAGCATCTTTATTTCGGCCTTCGGGACCACAAAGGCAGCTGCAGGCGGGTTTGATAACCAATACAAAATTGAGCATGGGCTAAACGTCGAGTTGGCCAAGGCCGCGCACGAAGCTGGCACTAAGGTCTACGTGCTGATCTCATCTGCCAATGCCAATAAGGATTCCAACATTGCCTATTCCCGCATGAAGGGCGAGATTGAGGAGGATATCAAGAAGCTTGGCTTTGAGCACATGGTCATCCTGCGCCCTGGGCTGATTGCCGGTACCCGTGAGGAAAGCCGGCCGCTCGAGGCTGGGATTCGGTTTATTGCGAACTGGGCTGGCAAGCTGCACTCGGGTTTGAAGGATAGCTGGGCTCAGGAGGCGGAAGTTATTGGCAAAGCTGCTGTCAATGCTGGTCTCAAGGCGCTGGAGGGCGATATTCCTGAGGGCAGCGAAAAGGTTTGGACTTTGTTTGGTAGTGATATTATCAAATACGGCAAGGAAAGTTCGTCTTGAACGCCTCGGGCATTGGAATAAGATATCTTTGAACACCGTTTCTGTTTTGGATTCATGATGTTACGCGTTTATGGACAAATTACTTACTTGATGACATTAATTGAAACTTGATATGACATGAATTTTAAGAATTCTTGACTCCGTAGAATTTACCACCCGCGACACTATGCACAAAGAAAGATATTCAATCCCGGTACGAAACATGAGTCCCATCCTCCTTCACATGAATACTGCGACCCTTCTGTGTTGCCCCACGAGAGCTGGAAGCTGCGCGATCCTGGTTCCGATCAGGCCCGTCCTCAGCTGGGCGTCTCCAAGCGCTAGCGCCCGTATTGGCAGGGCTCATGTTCAGAGGGCTTTCCTTCTTGCCTTCTTGTCTACTTTCCTCTTCGGTGGCTGCAAGTTCGCTCTCTGGTGCTGTGTTCTTTGGGTCGAATGCAGCAGGGTGCTTAGCAACTTCGGCATCGGTACCAGATTTGGCAGTCTCTGAGCGCTCTGGATTCAAGGTTTCACGGTCGAGCGAGGTCTGGCCCTTTTCGACCTGGGATCGTGGTGTTGTGCTAAAGGGCGTTCGTGTTGCGGTTGGAGCGGCGAGGGATTGAGCAGTTATTGTTGAGACATGGCTCCGAGTAGCTCGGGTGGCTTGCTGGCCGACTGAGACGATGGTTTTCCACATTTTGTGAGATGTGAAGATGATGTGTGGAGATGATTCTAGGTGCGGATTGAAGTGGTTCGTAGAGATATATCCTTGTGGATAGACTTGAGTATCGAGATTGGAAGATGCAATGAATTGGAGAAAAGCAATTTGTTTAGATAGAAGAATTGCTTGTTACATCAGGGAAAATCTATTATAAGGGTTCTATCATTTTTCTCTATGTTCCAAGTTTCTCTACACCCTGGGATCATGTTGACGTCACTTCCTCAGAAACAGCCAGGCTAACCTAATCAGGTAATTAGCTTGCCCTAAGAGACTGGCTTCATTGACATAAAAATGGAATCAAAGGGTTTGGGAGTTCTAACTCCTAATTTGCGCTGATATATTATTTCACTCGAAGTTACATCGAGATCAGCAGAAATGCGGCACGTCCGTAATAATCCTATCATTCAATGTTGTTATTCAGCTACAGACAGTGGCTTGATGGGATCCAATATGAGCCTTGCAGTAGTGGGAGGGGTTACCAACACCGCACAAAATATGAACTCACAATCGGAACCTCCACCATGAACGTGCTTCTGGTATCCTAGTCCGTCCCACCATGCAGACCCATGTCTTACCCTGACGGCTGGCGGGCCGCCAGCCCGCTAGAAGCTGCCGCCAAATGATGCATGCCAAGTTGACGTTGCTCGTTTCCACCGCCACGGTAATATACAGAGACGCCGCTGGAGAGGGGGTTTGAATTTCCTCAGCAGGTGGCCTGACTAGGAAGTGAAGTATATCCAGACTCGCCAGGATATTTGGCCAACCCTGCAGGGCTAGTCCCCGGGAAAGGTCATTGTTGATTCATCAGTCTAGTATACATCTGTCTACTTCACTGTAAGATTTTTTTAATCTATTCTTAATCGTGGTGTCGTCAACAGACACCGAGACGGCGAGGAAATTAAAAGTAAAGTGTGGGCCAAAATTTGAATAGATGATTTGAGATAGAAAATGTGAGTATCTATGCGCTTCCCTATATTACTATCCCACCAACGCCCTCAAAGGTGTTGGGTCGGCCTACAAGCTCAAATACAGCGGTAACCCAGATACAAACCGGAATAGACACCCAGGGCTCCCCTTGGCGAATTGTCACTTATTTACGAGGTAGGCTTCTTAAACATCACATCCAACATAGGTAGTGTTAAAACAAAGCCGGAAGAAAAGCAAAACAGAAGAGACTCCCTAGACCGTAGTTTAGTACTGTGTTCACAATGTGTGCGCGAGGAATGACAACTGGGACCACGCGAAGGCGGGGCAGCACGGAGAGAGAGAACGATCTACCAATGAGAGATAGGCCTAGGCCTCATCCAATGCAAGTGCTGATGAGATGTACAGGTCTCTTTAGTACAGGACGGGTGGGGAAAGGACTCGTTAGTTGCATCCGACTAACATCCCGGTTGATGGTTTCCATTGGATGATTGGGCCGACTGCAGGTGAGGATAAGTTGGCCGCTTGACCAATCCCCGTAACGCTCGAGAAAATGTAGGCAGTTGGCTTTTTCCTGTCCAACACCGAAGGTAGCGTTGCCCTCAACGATTTGTCGCCGGTCAAAGGCAGGCGTGTGTAAGGTGCGGGAGCCTCCGTTCACTTTCAGATCACGGGATCAGAAGAGCCCGGCGCTGTGGGAGCCTGTATGCGGGTCCCGGAATTCAATTTCAACGTTAAGGCACGGGTTTCCCCGGTTGATAGCACTCAAAACTGGCCTGCGGTAGCTCTAACCAGATCGAAAATGCTCTAGTATTTCACCCGGCAACTTCGCTTGTTGGGCAGAAACAATAACCATGCTTTTCCCACGCTCGGGCTGATCCTTGCCAGGTGAAAGATTGGTACACTAAGGATGGGCGACTGAATTTCGGTGGTAAGACGGAGCGAGAGGCAAGAGCAGGGGGCTTCACAAGTTGATTCGAGAGTTTTTTTGGGACTGGATGCAACCAGTTCGCCGCAGTAAACGATAGATCCACTGAGAGCGACGGCCATTTCGAGATTATGAGCCATAATCAGGGATGCCAGTTGCCAACACAACATCTTCATGGATCATCTTCCTGGGTCCAATTCTGGGCGTGATTGAGCGGCATTCCCCGACGATCACTTGGCGGATTGGTTAATTGTCCAGAACAATCAGGCAAAACGGCAAGCACAGAAGTCTGCAGGATTCTCCATTCCATATTGGCAATCAGTCATATTTCGTCATTCTCATTAATGTAAATGGCATCTGGGTCCACGGTGGAGCTTGCATAGGATCCCTAAACGGCGACCCACGGCTCTCGACCCAGCCCTGGCTACCCGGAATTGACGCAGAAAGCCAGAAGCAACGTGCCACGTCAGAGTCTCTGAGCTTTGGTACAGCTGCATATGGTTCAGCAATATGTGGACAGTGTCACGGTTCGTGTCTGCGGCGAGCGCCGTACATCAATCCGGTCCTATCATTTCCGCCAAAAGAAGCAAGTGGATGATGATGAACACACACATGGGCGGGGGCAAATGCAGGATCCCTCTTTGCAGGAGTGAGAGATCAGCTGAACGAAAATGGATCTATCTGGCCTGCATCCCTAATTTTTGGGCCTGGCACAAGAAATTTCAATTGCGTGGGCCGTGTCCTTGAGCCAGGGTGCCAATGACAGAGCCTCAGAGGCCCTACCATTGTCACTAAAGGGAGGGTTATTGGCTGAAAGCAACGGACCGGAAAGGTGCGGCAGAGATGGAACGACGGTCGAGTCTAAATTTTGATAGACTGGCGAGTAAGACTCGGCAAGAATAACACAAGACGACAGGGGCTGGTTGCAACCACATGCTGAGACCCAATATGGATTTCCATTATTACCCAAATGCAGGGGACGTAAGGGCGATGAAGAGGAGTTAAGGTAATAAATCGGGATGTGCATGCGTACGCAATCACACAGACAGCAATATCGGATAGATACTTCTGTGATTAAAGCATGGCGTTCGGTCAAAATCCCGTGTCAGTGCTCATGATAGATGAGGCATTGAGCCAATCAATAATTGCAGCTGCCGAAAAATCGTATCAAGATAGAACAACCCATTGTGGTGGAGTCACAAGTGGCGTGCAGAGTCCCATCACATTCGTGAAGGCAGTAGCTTTTCTCTTGCATAGAGCCAGGGTTATCCCTGGGCATGAGAGCCTGATTATTGCATCAATACGACAGCTAGCAAGTGCCGAGACCGACTCGACCCATGCAGGATCAGGCATGCAAAACGCAAGAGAATCACAGGAGTGCGAGTCCATGCGAACAGCATCCACATGAAAGCGGGGAGAGGCAGATGGCGACGGCATAATTGCAGTAGTCGAATCTGGAAAGTAGAGCATTGCAGGCAAGAGTTGAGGGATTTTCGACCCATCGTACATCACCATGAGGAGTGAATCGCCACGGCTGAGGGTTGCATGCATCCATGAAGCAACCGGTTGTTCATAGTGGCTCCATTCGAGATACCATAGCCATCATACCGTCTCCACTGCTTGGAGAACTGCTCACAGCCAACCGGATCAACCGTCAGGCAGGTGCGATGCGAAATCCACGGACTGGAACCACGGATGATAAGCCATCGGGCACTGACAAACGTCGATCAACAGTGGGACGAGGCAAACATGGGAGAATAAAACCGTGGCATAGCAACTTCGTCCGAAACATAAATAAGCCTGTTAATGCCCCCAGGATACCGTGAAGTTCTCAATCATCCACTCCGGTTTCATAATTCAAGTTGCAATCTTCAAGCCAGGCCAATAGATCTTCTTCACAAAACAGATTCATTCGAAATTTGTTTCAAATTTGTTGAGCTCTTCCGCGTCCTTTGAAAACGCAGAGAAAAGCCGGCCTATCAAACCCGACAAGCGCGGGTGTACTGTCAGGTGCAACCAATAGAACCTCAGCATTCAATCTGAAACAAAGACGGAGAGCCGTGAGCAAGTGGGTTATGTCGTACTTGCAGATTGAGCAGCACTGACAGATCTGATAGGCATGTGCTTTTACAACCAAAAGAGATTTGCGTGTGGAGACTGGAGCTGGACTAGCTTTGCTCACCGATGCAACTATGAATATCGCACCGGCGAGACATGCGGTATGAGGCTCGTCAATATGACAGAGAACGAGAAGACCAACTGTCGTCTCTGCGAGAAAATCGAAACCAAATATCGCCGGCGTAGTGCTGAAGTCGACCGTTTGGACCGGTGGAAGCGAGAGGGTGCCAACCTTGTTGCCTCAATGGATCGGTCTCACAAACTCATTATGGACTTGGAGAAAGAGATCCGCTCCCTGCAACGGGAGCGGGACGACCGAAGGAGCACTCTCCTGAGATAGGATTGGCTTGGATTTACAAAACCGGTGTTTTCTTTGGTTCTTTTTTTTCTTTTTTTTCTTTTTTGTTGGACAGGCGAACAGGAATTGTGTTTGAGTTGTTTCGGGTCCTTCATGGCCAATCGCCCTGTGGTTTTTTTGCTTGTCTGCCACTGTTTCTTTTAGGGGTATTTGCAGCGAGTTTCATGTTTCACCATTTGTCCGTGACATCAAGTCCGAATCGAGTTTCTGCAAGGTGATGGAAGAACCATATCACCTTTGAAAAGATTGATGAGAAATTTAATTGGTTCAGACTCCATATTTCTTTCTGTTGATAGGCTGTTAGGTTCCGAAAAAAAATGTCAATGGGGACTAGCCATGTTATAAGCGCCCTGGTTCCTGGGTGAGCGGTTCGCTGAGACAGATTGAGTCCCACAGGACAAGGAGTGGCACCTGCTGCAACCAGACAAAAAAAAAGCTATTGAGGCCTGACGAATATCAATGGCCATTCAGAATTAAGACAATCCTTGAAACGGGAGCAGTGGTGTCTGGTTCTCTGTTGTCAGAGTGAGGGCACATAGTGTGGAACAAAATGCCCCTCATCACATCCCCGCACGTGATTCTTCTCTGCTTAGATAACCTAATGAGATGAGACCTGTCACAAAGAAGAAACGTCCTGAGTAAGCTAGGAAATAGGTGAAGGAAAGTGGAAGCTGTTCTGTTGGTTATTGTTGTGAGAAGAATCCAGGGCTAAGTGGGCTTAGGTTCCACTTCCCTTGCTCTATATGTTGTACCTGTGGGCAACTCCAACATTGCAAATATTCAATCCGGCTCTGAAACAATGATTTCATGCAATCTAGGTAAAGTGATGACAGTTTTAGTAAGTGTTGATGACATTGACAGAGAAAGAAAGCGAAAAGAGGGTTTGAACTAAAGGCCACAGAACGGCGAGCTAGGCACTATATATCATGGTGCTATAATCGGAGAATTTACTTCTGCTGGCTAGCTTGCATGTCCCTAAGCAACGCCCACGTCTCTTCAGCCTACGTGTACCTGTCTGCTTCAACATCTTCAAAACAAACAGCGTCAAATTGGAATGCAGAACTGAAGGAGAGCGCTGAGACTGGGCCGATGTGCATGCCACGTCACAAGAGAACAACACCAGATGCAGCCATAAACAAAAGCACGCGCGAGAGATTACAGATAAAAGATCAATGTCCAAATTGGACCTGGACTGATGCTAGTATATTGCAAGCAGCTGATTATGGTCAAAGTATTGGATTCGAGTATCTGAAACGGAAAAAGAACAAGAGAGGTTTTAATCTATTTAATGTCACCAGCCTCGGGCTCGTCATCAACCTTGGCCAGCCCTTGTTCCCGCAGAAGGGCATCAATTTCATCCGCAGTCCATAGGTGGTGGTAGATCTTGCCATCCTTGGTCTTGCCCACTGTTGCGAACTCGACTACATAAGGTAGAAACGTTAGTATGATGAAACACAATGCAAAAATGATACCCGAAAAACTCACTCTTCTCACTGCTGAGCTTTGTGGAGTCCATAGTCTTGCTCAGCACCTTGACAGCCATAGCACAAGCCTCCTTCAAATCGCAATCCTCCTTGTAATCTTGCTTGAGGAGACTCTGCGCGCTTGCGTTGTTTGCACCAACGCTCGTCGCTTTCCAACCTCCGTAATTTCCACTGGGATTGCTCTGGTACAACTGGAACTGACGGAGGTGATCGTACCCAGCATAGATGAAGGAGACACCGAAGGGACGTAGACCGCCGTGTTGGGTATATCCTTGCTTCAGATCACACAGTCTACGGACAAGCTGTTCACATGGGATGTCTTCGTTGTACGTGAGGAGGTAGCGTTGGGCGTTCTGGCGAGCATAGTTGATCAGAATGTTGGCATCGGCGTTCATACCCGCAACGGCGCAAATCATGTTACTGAAAGATATTAGCAACTTATCACAATACTAAACACAGTAAATCTAACTATTTGATTCAAAACAATAGGGGGGTGGCGTACTCGTTGATTGTGTAGAGCTTCTCAGCGGAGGTATCCTGCTCCAGCAGCTTGCTGGTCACCTTCCTCTCGGCAGCGAGGACAATTCCATCCTTGGCTAAGATACCAAGGGCTGTGCCGGCATGGGAAATAGCCTCAAGCGCATATTCAACCTGGTAGAGTCGACCCTCTGGGGAGAAGATGGTGGTCTGTCCAACAGCGTCATAGGTTAGCTGGAGCTGCACAAAAGGAATGACGGTGTGCACAAACCCTCGAATCGTATCTCCGAGACATCGTGTATGAATAAAATAAAACAACAAAAACTCGGAAATTGGCTATAGGTGAGGGTTGATTGTTTGAGAAAGGCGGTTCGAGATGGGGAAGGTCAGTGATGAAGACGTAGAAGCTCCAGGCAACTCGCCCTGGCGCGTCCTCTGTCATCCGCCAAGCTCGGACCACTTCACCACACCAAAGCTTCGTTGCGACGATTTCACCACTTCGACCCGCAAGGACGGACTACAAAGCCGATCTACCCATTGCTTTGCATTTCAATCGATTCATCTCGATCACCATGCTCAGATCAACATACACCCCTCCTCCCCCTTTGCCTTCGGGGTGGACACAGCATCGAGCGCCCACAGGTAGGTCTTGCGCAGGGTTTGAGTGAAAAGTTCTGGCTGTTCTAACTATCAAACCAGGTCATTTATACTATTATAATTCTTCAACAAAACAGTCGACATACACTCGCCCTCAAGAAACAGCTCCTCAGCCCATTCAGGCCGCTGCCGACACCCCAGCAGCAACGTACAACCCCGAGACGTTACCTGCGTTTTCTTCAACACCCTATGGACCGGCAGGCTTTGGCCCTGGGCCAGCGCAATTTGGCCCGCCACAAAACTCTCGCGGCCGCGGAGGATTTCGCGGTGGGAGAGGTTATCATGATCGTGGACGAAGAGAACCCGAAGATCGCCCAAAAGCGAAGCATCATATTCCTGACTGCGCCCCGTGGCTACTAGTAAAGACCAAGCTTGGCAGGAGATTCGTGCACAATCCAGAAACAAACGAAAGTTTTTGGAAATTTCCCGAGCAAGTTTTGAAGGGCGTGGTGGAATTTGACCGTCTCGAGCGTGAAAAGAAGGAAAGAAAAGAACGAGGTGAACTCGAAGTGCCAGCCAAAAAGGTATCCCCTGCGCCAGAGGATGGCCGTCTGGAGCCCCAGGCGACACTACAGGAAGAGGAACATCCAGACTACGACGACGAATACGAAGAGGTCGAGGTTACAGACAGCGAGGGAGAAGAGGGTCAACCATCAAAGCGTGCACGAGCCGAAAGTGAGGGTGCTAAGGATCAACCGCTGGAATTCAACGAAGAAGATATGGCATATCAACTAGCGGCCATGGGCGAAGACTATGGACTGGATCCCGGGGAATATGGTGTGGGGGAAGAAGACTGGGAAGAGGGTGCAGAGGGCCTGCCGCTGACGGAGGCCGACGCTGAGGCACTCTTCCGCGACTTACTGGATGACTTCCAAATAAACCCATTCACGACCTGGGAAAACGTCATTGAAGAAGGCCGCATCATTGAAGATACCCGGTATACCGCGCCCTCGAACATGAAGACACGACGAGAGATCTTTTCCAATTGGAGCCGGGACCGGATCCAATATGTGAAAGAGCAGAAAGCAAAGCAGGAGAAGACCGACCCGCGCATCAGGTATCTAGCATTTTTGCAAGAACATGCCACCCCGAAGCTCTACTGGCCGGAATTCAAGCGCAAGTATAGGAAAGAGCCGGAAATGAAGGACTCCCAGCTTGGAGACAAAGATCGCGAGAAGTTCTACCGGGACCATATCTCGCGTCTCAAGCAACCCGAAAGCACTCGCAAGTCAGACCTGTCTGCCCTGCTCAAATCTGTTCCTCTAGACCTGTTGCATCGATCGTCGAATTTGGAAGCTTTGCCCAATATGATCATCACCGATGTTCGATATATCGGACTCGCGCCCGAGGTTCGAAATCCGTTGATAGAGGCATACATATCTACTCTGCCTCCGGCGCCAGAGGTACAGATGACCGCGGAAGAGCTAGAAGAAGCCGACCGAAAACGTGTTGAACGAGAGAAACGCGAGAGGGCCCTTGCAGACCGAGAGAAGCGGGTGGAAGAAGAGAAGCGGAGACAGCGAGGAGATCTTCTGCGTGGCAAGCATCTCCTCCGAGAAGGCGAGGCAGAGATTGAACAGGCAATGCGTGTGAACAAGGACGGACTACTGAGCCACATGGATGTTGATCAGGCATCAAATGAGGAACAGAAGTTGAGTCAATAATAGTTAGTCACTAAGTATTACACGTCACTTTTGTCGAATAAGGACAGCCGAGTTCATATTGTACATCAAAAGGCAATTTGCTTATGCCAATGCCATTCGGTTCCTGAGGGTATCACTGTAGATGAGGGAAATCATTTCCGTTCACACGTAGACGATTCGTCAATCATTTAAATCTCCAATCATCCCAATCCTCATCATCATCATCTTCACTCTCACTCTCATCCTGCTCCAATGCGCCAGAATCCATCGGCTCATCCTGTGTTTGATCTTCCGCGCGGGCTTTCCGCAGCTCTTCGCGTTTTTGTTTGAGCCTTCGCACCCGCTCTTCCAACTGATCCATCTCATCAAACTCTTCCTCCAAAAGCCGTGCTGCATCCTCTCGCTCCCCTTCCAACTCTGACTCACGAGTGCGGACTGACGACGCCTTAGCTCTCTCTTGCTGGGCAGCGATTTCTGCAGCTGTCATTGGTGCTGCAGAAATCGTAGCCTCGGCTGTAACAGCGGCTGGTGCATGTGGCTCCTCATCCTGCGCGGCGACTTCGCGTTCAAATGCTGCCCATGCCTCTTCGTCAATAGGCGTGGATGGGTCTTGGGGCGGCTGCGTATTGGGTTCTTCTGCGAGGTCTGCGGCTGGCTCAACAACCTCTTGTTCGTCCTCAAGTGGAGGCTCTGGGGCAGCGACATCATCCCCGACTCGCCCCAAACCTTGTTGCTCTGGGGTTTGATCGGTGCTTATTGCACCGGAGGTAGACTGTAATGCATCTAGTTCAGCGGCGCGGATTTTCTTTCGCATTACTCCATCTCCACTGTCAACCTTGCGCTTTTTGGTGACGCGATTTCCTGTCGCATTTGGTTGAGATGTGCCCTTGCGGGAAGCTAATTCGTTGCGGAGGAGCGATCGGACGTCGGCCATATTCTCTAAGTTGCTAGGCGTTTGTATGGTAGGAGATGTAATACTTGAAATGAGTTCAGAATAAAACTGGTGGAAATAAAAGAGACTGTGATGTAGAGTGGGGAACCTGGAGAAGCTCAATCTTAAGATTCGCTCAAGAGCATTTCGCCGCGAACATGTGGCTGGTGACAAATATCACGTGCTTTTAGGTGAATGACAAAGACGGAAGCCAAGCCACTTATTCATCTCTCTTCTCCTCACACCGCGCGCATCGCATCTCTTCTCTATCTTTTACCATCCATCTTTGGCGTTATTGCTTTCGCCACTTGATCGTCGAGCAAATACTGCTCCAATCTCAACCCAAAACATTTAGTGCCATTTCTGACTCCAAAGTGCGTGATTTGAGCTCAACTCATCTCACGCGACCCCGCTTAGCGCCAAGTGTCGATTTAACGCGCAGCAAGGGATTGCACAGTCCACCATAACACCCGCTTGAGCGCGTTCCTCGCCACCGCGTGCCAGTCCAAGAAATATTGCGCAGAGTCTGGATCGGTTCTTTTATTCGATCAAGCAAAACTGTGGGCTAGACAGTGACGCTGTTGTGCCGTCTTCTTGTGTATTACATTAGCGCCTTGAGCTTGTAGAGACTTTTGTCAACCTGGGGTAACACCCGAATTTCGAGCAAGTGAAGAGACCTATTATCCTGTCACGCGCTGTAGTACGCGCCAAATCACCATTATCATGGCCGGTAAGCTTTCGTACACCACCGCACATTGCTATCCGATCACTTGAGAGTGGCAGGCCACCCCCCAAGTCCGGGGTTGCAGACCATCTATCAGAATACATGCTAACAGTGAGAATAGACGAACCCCGACGCTCCGGCCGAGCCACCAAAGGCCAACACAAGAACCTCGAGCTCCCAGATGATCCTGCGAAAAAAGGAAAGAGCAAAAGCCCAAAGGAAAAGAGCGCGAAGTTGTCTGCCGAACCCACACCCGGTCCCAGTGAAGGCGAGGGAGGCGAAGAAGAGATAATCCGATGCATCTGCGGTGAATACGAAGAGGAGGAGGACGTGGAGCGCGACATGATCTGCTGTGATCAATGCTCTGCGTGGCAACACAACGACTGTATGGGCCTCACATTTACGAAAGGCCAAGAACCAGATCAATACTATTGCGAACAATGTCGCCCGGAAAATCACACAAAGCTCTTGGCAAAGATCAACGCAGGCGAGAAACCCTGGGAAGAGCTTGCTGAGAAGCGTCGCCAGGAGGCCGAGGAGAAGAAGTCCAAGCGGAAAAAGGGTAAGAAGGGGGGCCGCAAAGGAAGACCAAGTGAGAGCCGGACCGATGCTAGCACACCAGCTCGTACTGCGCCATCCACTACACCCGGTCCTGGCGGTTCCCCTACACCCGCCGTGTCCGTTTCAGTCGAACCGGAGAAGAATGGCCATGTTGATTCTCGGCGGTCCAGCACCCACAAGCGCAAACTTGAAGAGACAGTGGAGGCAGAAAATGTAAATACTGTCATCCCACTCAATCATGACCTTCAAAATGCTAACTCGTTGATCTATTAGGGACCACAGGTCAAGCAACAACGGGTATCCCCACAGGCTACCCCAGCAGCTGTTACGGAGGCAACTGGACCCAAAATCAAGGCAGATCCTACCCCCGAGACACCTGCCACTGGTGCCTTGGATGAGCTGATTCCTGCCCGCAAGACTGTGGCCACACATCTCATCAAGTTGTTCGTAGACCAGGTTTCTGCAGCCCTAAAAGCAGGCTCCTTTACTTTGCGTGAGAACCAGTCAGCGGAGGACATGGCACAGCAACTTGCTCTATCCATTGAGGATGCCATGTATGAGATTATCTGCGGACGGTCAGGCGAGCCTAATGAATCATATAAGGCGCAATTACGGTCGATCATGTTCAATGTAAAGAAGAATGCTTCTCTGCGAGATCGTCTGCTCATAGGTAGTCTGCCCCCTAAGTCGCTGGCGCAGATGACATCTGCGGAGATGGCCAGCAAAGAACTGCAGCAGAAAGACGCGGAGATCAAGCGAGAAGCAGACAGGCACCACACCATTGTCCAGGAACAAGGTCCTCGCATCCGACGCACTCATAAAGGAGAGGAGTTGATTGAAGATGAACACCATGGCGCGAACGAGTCTGTCTTCTCCCGTGGACCTCGCCGCGTGGTGGGCGATGACGGCAGTCCAATGCACAAAAGCCCGACCAGCCCGATGGGACAGCAGCAATCAAAGACAGAGACAGATGGATATGTTCGGGGTCTATCACCTGAGGGTGCACACCATGACCACGTCTTCCCCGAAGTGGCTCCCACCATCTATGAGCCACTGCCTAGTGGTAGGGTCCAAGCAGATGCTGAGATTGATCAGTTATTGCGCGACGAGGAACCCTATTCACCTCCCTATTCGCCCAAAGACTTCGACGACGACGGCACCATCTGGCGTGGCAATGTAACAATGCCCCCAATTGGAGAATTCTCTTCGTCCGCGAAACATGTGGGAGGTGCCGACTTGAGTGGCCGAATCCCATGGAGCCAACTGGCACCTTCCACGTTGGTTGTTGATGGTCGTATCGACATCCGACGGGCAACTGATTATCTCTGCGGCCTTCAGTTCAGCAAGTCCACCGATGTGTCTGTGATAGCAGTCAGCAGCCCTGACCAACCTACGGATCGAGCAGGCTTCGACAAAATGTTTGACTACTTCCATAGTCGCGGTCGTTATGGCGTCATTGGAAAGCACCCGCTGTCCGCGGTCAAAGACACCTACATTGTCCCGATGGAGATCGGCACCACGACAATGCCTGAGTTCATTGAGCTGCTGGAGAACATCTCACTGGAGGGACCCATTACTCAACGCTTGCTCCTTATCATTTTCGTCGTCAAGACTGGCGAATCCAACCCTTCATCTGTCCAACCGCCATCTCACCAGGCTAGCCAGGAGCCACCTGTCTCTGCAAGCCCCGCAGTCGCTGCGACCCCCCAGCAACCTCAGTTCAGCGCTGGAGTTGCGCCGACTCCTCCATCCCACTTCGGTGGATTCAACCCCAACCCCGCACCATACGGCCAACAGGCCCCTGTGCAGGCCACCCCTCAACACCAGCCTGCTCTGACTGGTCTCCCTGCTGCGGTGCAAGTCCTCGGCCCACAAGTTGATGCCCCAGCCATTCAGCAACTTCTGAAGATTGCACCTAACGTGGACATGGCGCAGCTGAGTGTCGTTCGTGACATTCTTGTCCGTCAACCTGCCGCAGCTGCTCATTACGATACTTTGATGCAGGCCTTATTTGAGACCCAAGCAAACGGCCACGTGCCCCAGCATGGTGTGTGATAGGGCCCATGATAGCCAGTTTTCTTTTTGTACAGTTTATCCCATTTGTATTTCCTTTTACAAGGCTGCGCAATGCTCTGGTGTTCGGGATTGAAATCCCCAAGGACGGGAAAAGGTTTTTTGTTTTTAAGGAAAGTGGAATACCCACCAAATGTTTTTCGAATTTATGTCTCTAGTTCTCTACTCAAAATGAAACCTGTAGGGTTCTTATTTCATTCCTTGTTTATTCCATGCTGTGTCTACGTAGCTAGTCCCATTCAAGCAAACGGCCATTCCGCATTTATCACATATTATCAGCCTTGTATCTCATCCAGTGGATTTCCATAAATTCCACCTGTCACCCCTAACAAAGAGATATTCCTGATCCGGCGATAATGCACAAAATCCTTCTTCGGGTCGGGCCACTCTCGAAGTCTTGCCTTCCGCTTAGGGCTGAATTGAAATCCTCGAGCTTTCTCACAACAAGAACATTCAGCAGTACAATGACCAGCAGCAAGCTTTCGTCCCATATTCTCGCGGTTTGAACAACATCCACAAGTTCTTCCGCAGCATCTTCCCATCCGAGCACAGTCTTCAACAAGCACACGATGCATATACCATTTTGGCTGAGAACGCCAAAAGTCGATGCCTCTCGTGAACGGACTTTCACTGAATGATGCCCTAACCACCCACCAAAATCGTTCTTTCCACCAATATCGCTCCGACGATGTTTGAATCTTGTCTCGTAACTCCTTGATCTCAGCCGCTTTATCGATAGGATCTTCCTCAAGCTTTTGCAATTTCTCCCTTAACATCATCTCCCGCTGGGTGTTCTCCCGCAGCCGAATTTCTGTTATGAAAAGTACCCTCAGAAAGTCGAGCTTCCAGTCCTTATTGTCGTAGTTGAACCATAGCGACAATCGATGTTTTTGGAGAGCACATATATCTCCTGACTTTTCCAACTCGATTTCTTCCTGCTGTGGATCATTGGAATCAGTATAATTGGACCTCATCTCAAGGGTGTTTTCGAGCAAAGGGTTGTTGTGTGGTATTCTAATATATATCTGCATAAGTATAGAATGGGTTTGAATGTTAAGTTCGAAGAAACGTATCAGTGAATCCTCTAGAAAATCACTTAAGTGATATTTTTAAAGATCCCGAGGTCTACATGCTGGGCTTAGTGATCGAGATGGTTGTCACCATTACGTCCATTCCGAGTTAAATCGTCCATCTCTTTGTAGACTTTGTACCTTTGCGGGTGTACGCTTCTCATTAATTAATAAGTAGATCAGAAATTGAAAGAACAGGATTGCACCTGCTAGAAGTAATTTCCCAATGTAGAACCTACCAACACCAAGACTCAACACCATCGCTACATAAAATCCTACACATTTGATATCAAACCGCAATGAATCCATTTGCGAACCATACAACAAAATTTCTAACCGCATGCGGCATTCTTGATAACGAAGCCGCGCAGGGCTTCATCTCCTCCTGGAGGAGCTTTTGTTCAAAGGTTAGCAGAGAAGACTATTTCACACATCCATTTCCACCTTCTTTTACTGTCGAACGATAAAACTGACAAGAGATCCAAACAGAATGGTATCCAAGAAGACCACGCAAAAACCCACTCAAAAGACCACTCGAAAGACCACTTAAAAGGCCACCGAATCTTTCAGCCACCAAAAGGACATCACGACGCCGCTTATACGGCCGACTATTCTTGTTGTTCAATGTTTGGCTTTTCACCTTTGAATGCGCCATTCTGGGCCAATATTTTTTTTTCATAAGATATTACTTCATAAATACACAGCACCACCGAGGTAAGGTACCTGCAGATATCCTTCCCAGTTGCACATTCTGATGTATATCTTCCAACTGGTCCCGCTCTATCAACTAGCACAATACTGATAATTAATTCTAGCAGCTCTATTGATTCTAGCAATTCCAGCAATGACGATGAAGAAAATGATCGTGATCTTCAAAACTCTCAACAGAGTATCGATACCAAAAAAAATCGATGAGACAGAGCGAGGATACGGCGAAAAGTGACTGGCAGGCAGGTAAGTGGTGCACTAGTTGTGCCACTGACATACTAACAACTTGATAGGAACCCTCTGCAAAGTTGTGACTGTATATAATTATTCACGCGAGGCACACGCGAGGCATTGTATATTTAAGCATCCTCCCAGATCCCGATGAATCCAGACTTTGACACTCAATCGGTATCAGGGCTTCTTGCCTTCCATCTGAAGAACAGAGAGCTGACGAATTCTACCTCTTAGGTTGACCATGGGGAATCAGAACACTACGTCCGAGGGATGTGCGTCGTTAGCTTGCTGACTCTGTGAATTGCAAACACAACGAATTTTCTGTCACCCTTCCCGTGCAGACCACCTGGAGGTCTGCTCTCCAAGCTGTAGAAGGAGCTCTCGGCGATGTTGATGAGAACTTTCTTTTAATGCCCCCGGAGCTGGCAACCGTCGAGCAATGCGGAGGAAAAAACCCCGAGATATGCCATCGTATGAGGGGAATGATAACGTATAACTACTATACACGATTATTGCACTTTAAGGGGGTTTCAGGAATACATCGACAAGAAGCACGAAAAATGAAATGGATATTGAGCACTTATCCTATGACCTCCCTAACCGTCCTCTTAGGATCATACATGAGATAATAAGTAAAAAACGCCTGCGCTATGCAACGGGCCTAGAGCCCGAGTCGTCAAGAATGAAGCGAAGACAAGGGAATCACCATCTACCACCTCCACGGCGTCGATAACCGCCGCCACCACCACCGCCATAGCGACCTCGACCAGCACCGGGGCGACCACCAGAAGTGTAAGGGTTATCATCTTCTTCATGGTGACGAACTGGGGGAGCCCGGCCCTTCAGCTCACTGCTCAGCTTCTTGCAGTTCTTGCGCATGTCAGAGTATCCCATGTGCATCTTTCCGAAGAAGTGATCCGCCAAACGGCGATCGTTGTCAAGACGAGACAAGTAAGCACCGCAAACGTCACAGACCTGCAGCTTCTGGTGGCCAGATGGACCAGAGGTATCTTGAAGGCTCTTGAGATCGCGCTCAAGACTTTCCTTCTGGTACTTGGAAGTATTGACTTTTTGCATTTCATTGAGTGCTAGTGCGACAGAGCCTGTCTCGGCGAGGATCGAGACTTCTTGTAGACCGGAGTTGATTGTGTTGGACAGATCGGCGATTTGTTTGAGCTATAAAATTAGTAAAGCTCATGTGACTTCCCTTCACTGGGAACTGAATATAGAAGTAAAGCTAGGCATACCAAGTCGTTTGTCTGCCGAATCTCATCTGGGGTCTTTTCCAATCGGCGTTGCGCAGTGTCGATTCGGCGGTCACAGTCGTCAATGTACTTCTGCATGTCGCGCTGGTAATCAAATTCGAACCCCCATTTCGCTTTCTCGGAGGCAGGTGCAGCATCGTATTCTGCCTTCAAGCCCTCATTGTGCACCTTGGGGCAAGGTCCGAGGTCTTGCTTGGTGTTGGTGAACAGGTCGTGCGGGCAGGTGCCAACAAGGTAGGATCGGCAAACTTTGCTGTCTGTGATTGGGAGTTGGGAATTGCGACCCTGTGCGCCAGTGCCAATGAGCTGATCAGCTATATACAGAAGCAATGTTAGCTATATTTGCAGACTAGTCGGGATGGGCTGGAGCTTGGATATTTTGAGAGCTGCAGAAAGCGTGACATACCTCCCATGAGCTGCTCAAGCAGCTTTCTCTGTTCAGCTGCCATGGTGATAGTGATGCACTAGGCTGTAAAGGAAAGAAAAGAGAAATTGTGTCAACGGGCAGATTGGCGGCAAACGACGAAGTCTTTCCATTTTGATGCTTTTACCGCCAAGGAAGGCGGTGAGTCTCCGCAGTCAACAGACCAGATGGACATCTCGGGGGTTTTGGAGTTTGGCTTTTATCTTTCTTTTAATGCGGAGCTTTTCTGTTGACTTGGTGATTAATTAGGTCTTAATTTCTGGGGCCACTGCTAGTATATGACCCTCACTTCGTCAGAGCGCTCCCTGCCAATTGACCCGTGATAATCGCATGGACGAAGACCGAGCTCCGGCAAGCATGAAGTCATGACGGTCCTTTCACTATTATCACTCCCTTTCGTCGCACTCATTCTCACATTATGGAGCTCATCTGCCTTTGCGTCGCCGGACTATCACGAGCACCTCCTCTTACAACCACTCCCGCAGTCCTCCCTACTAGCTTCTTTTAACTTCCGAAGCAATACATCACAACAATCATTCGACCAACAGCATTTTAGATATTTGCCCCGCGCGCTTGGTCAGATTCTTCAGCACGCTCATACGAAAGAATTACACCTCCGCTTTACCACGGGAAGATGGGACGCTGAAAGCTGGGGTCCACGACCATGGAACGGCAGTAAAGAAGGAGGCACTGGTGTCGAGCTTTGGGCGTGGATCGATGCGCCAGGTGACGAAGAGTATGCTCCACACCTGAAATATATCATGAAAGCCACACAATTCTGACTTTATTAGGGCTTTTGCCAAATGGATTACCCTGACGCAGTCCCTCTCTGGCCTGTTCTGCGCCTCGCTGAACTTCGTGGACTCGACCCGGACCACTCGACCTGTGGTTTCTTTTGAACCAGCTGGGGACCACTCGGCTGCCGATCAACTACACCTTTTGCATGGAACACTTCCTGGAGAGGTAGTTTGCACAGAGAATTTGACCCCTTTCTTGAAGCTGCTTCCTTGCAAAGGCAAGGCTGGAATCTCCTCACTATTTGACGGCCACAAATTGTTCGATGCCGCATGGCAGAGTATGTCAGTGGATATCCAGCCGGTCTGCTCTGCGGATGGAGAATGCGTGGTTCAGATCGAGCAAACCGTGGACATGGTGTTAGATATTGACCGGTCCAAGCGCTATCGTTGTGCGTATTTTTCACCGGTATATTCTGGCTCAAGATTGCTAATATCCATCTAGCAAACCCAATTCCTCGACCTGTGCCCAATGAGCAGCTGGTCTGTGATACTTCCAAACCTTATACTTCGGATGATACCTGCTACCCGCTGGAAAAGACGAACGACAAGGCGTGGAGTCTCACAGAAGTCTTCGGGCGAAGCCTAAATGGTGTTTGTCCTCTCGCAGATATCGATGGATCTAGCGACCCAAGTGTCTGCCTTCGGGTGCCCCACGAACGGGGTGTCTTCATACCCGAGGAGGCTGTTGAAATCAAGAAAGATGATGGCTTTACGCGGTGTTTCAAGTTGGCACCATCAGCTCCCTTTGATCTTTCGATTCCACAGCAGCCAGTGAACACCGAAGTTCCTTTGGACGAGCCTGTTTTGCACGCAGAGCGAACTATCGTTGGTCACGGCCAGGAGCGCGGTGGAATGCGCATTATCTTTGGCAATCCGTCCAACACCAGCGCAGTTGATTTCATCTACTTCGAGTCTCTTCCGTGGTTCTTGCGGCCATATATACATACTTTGCGCGCAACAATCACAGGGCTCGACGGAGTCCTGCGCGAGGTCCCAACCTCTGAAATTGTCAAAGAGACGTACTACCGCCCCGCTATTGATCGTGAGCGTGGAACACAATTAGAACTGGCTTTGTCTGTCCCCGCGGCATCAACAGTCACGTTGACTTACGATTTCGAGAAAGCCATTCTTCGGTATACCGAGTATCCACCGGATGCTAATCGAGGGTTCAACGTTGCACCTGCGGTAATTCGGATCGTGGATCGGGCACACAATGCGCCAATCTACATTCGGTCTACGAGTCTGCTGCTTCAACTCCCAACCCCGGATTTCAGCATGCCATACAATGTGATCATTCTCACTAGTACCGTGATTGCACTTGCTTTCGGAACTATCTTCAACATCCTGGTTCGACGAGTTGTCTCTCTGGATGAAGCTGCCGCTCTTGGAGCCCAGACTATCAAAGCCCGGATACTGGGGAAATTAGTGACTATTCGTGATCGACTCCGTGGCAAGGGTACCAAAGTGGAGTAGTTCTCATCTGAATATATTAATTACAATTACAATATTTATCGATTCATGGCCACACAAGAGCCTTGTAAAATGCGTAACCTTGTCTACTGCCATATTTCACGTAGAACGTTAGGCCCTGTGTGGCTCTGAGGTCAAATTGGACTAGTTAATATCGCAGACTTTACAATCGATGCACCTAAGAGGCTGTTCATAAAACTGCCTCAACTTTCATTATATATTCGGAATATAATAGTACATATCGATCCACGCATGATCACTTAGCTGGACCTGCTATACCAAGAGGCCGACCAATACTTGAACTCGACACAAATGCTTGTCGAACATGCTCTTCTAAATGCAACACATTATTAATTCCCTTCCAGAATATGGAGTCAATCCGCAGAAGGCCAAGATGAAGACAAGGCAGAATATCAGCCTTCAGGCGCATATCCCGGCGCACTTTGAGCAGACAACTGACCCATTTATCTGCCTCGCTCCTATCAACAGAGCTGACAGCCATGTGCAAAATCTGGAAACAGATGGATGAGAATGCAGTAGCACTCCAGGCCGGCCACAGAGCCTCAAGGTCCTCTGGCCGCAGCTCGTGAATAAACTCTGCTGCTGCTGAAATGCACGTTTCTGCTCGGATCCGAGCCTGCTCACGGGCTAGTATATATTCGGCCTCGTTCAAGTTTTCGACAGTTGGCTGTAGGAATGGCTTCAATATAGCTCTGCAAATACTCAGATGAATATAATGGTAGTTCATTTCGAGTGTTCTTTCTAGTCCGAGTGGTCTGTCTTGATTTGACCTGAAATCGGTCGATGATGTAGATGCCGGTCTGTGCCATGAGAAGAGTTCTTCAAGGAGTGAACTAGTCAATGCGATGGTCTTCTTGTAATCGGTACAAATGGTATTATTGGCACGAGGAGAGCTAATAGTGGTAAGTTGCGGATAACGGTGAGATAATAGACATACGGATTGACTTACTATAATAGAGTTAGAACACGATCAAGCAGGGAGTCGAGTTCCGCTCGCTTCATGATGTTCGTCCAGACCAAAGGGTCAAATCCACTGACAGGACGATCTTCTTGACTAGGACTTGTCACGAGCCAGTTGTCATAATGCAGTAGAGGTGGCCGACCAAGGCTCAATGCAAGCCACTTGTCTGTCGAATAAATGAAATAAGACAGACAACGTCGCTGGGCAATTTGCCATGGAGGTATTCGCCATGACTTTGGATCCAAATGTAGTCCAAGTGTGTGAGCGCAAGCAATAAGAGTAGCAAGTTGGGACCATTTGAAGCCACTATCCAATACAATTGGATTTGGATAGGGTCGGATGGCCAAAAGAAGCATTGTCTGTACAACACAAAGTTTCGGTGCATGTATCTCGTACCGAAGTGCTTTGTTGATAATCTCGTATAGTGCCACGCCTGATGGCTTATCATATGCGAGATCAATGCATAGTCTTTCGTCAAATTTAGTGAAGGGTTCGACTATTAGGTATACGCTCGCAAGGAGGTATGGTGGGCTGGTGCTCGGATTTAATTGGCCTGGTGGACCAAGTATTGGGTAATCCGGTGCGACAATCCTCTCAAACAGGTTGATCAGTCTGAAACCAATATCTCCCGGTACCAAGGATTCGAGTTCCTGTCTCAATTCAAACGTAGACACGTCATTGCATCCGTTTTCCTCCCTGTTGGCAGCAAATATTGATGGCTTTGACAGTAAAAACTGCGTTGGATCAGTCCCAGACGATACAGATTGGATATTGAGATTTTTGAAATGAAAAGCCCCAGATGTGTCATATTGATAACGGCTCATCAGCAAAGGGTCCATATCACCACTACTGCCGAGCAATTGTGGTGTCATTACACCTTGAGTATCAAGGCACACCGATGAGCCAGTCTCCTGCATAAGCAGAGGCAGACATGCAGCCTGTGATGAGCCTCCATCCTCCGAATGACCAGTCCCGGGCAGCCCAGGGGATGGATAGATAAAGCTGCCTGGACTAAATCCAGTTGGCCATGTGCCATCTCCAAAGCCAGCGGATAATGATACTCCGGATCCATCGAAGAAATCATGAAACCCTCCAGGTGCCGTGGGAACTGAATGATCTACCCCATCACCATCAATCGACATCAAGATATTGTAGTGGACAGGGTCACTAACTGGTGAGACCCCATGTGGGTCCGGGCGTAAGTTTATTTGAGCTTGCTGGGGACTCTGCGAGCTGACCACCTCGGGTAAAGTCTGCCGTGGCCTTGATGTGGGCTGTTGGAATGTGCATTCTTTCCCGTGAAGTGTGCAAAGATAACAAGGAGGTGCTCGATCAATGCGACAAGCTGCCTTCCTAATGCGACAAGAATCACATGCGCGGTCTCGCTTACTCATGTACCTGCGAGCTCTGCCTGACATCCTTGTATTGAAGATGCTGTCATGAATACATGTCTTAGCCGGTAAACCCTAAGGTGCGAAAGGCAGGATGTCCACTAAGGATGTAGGACGCGGCCAAACGACCCGATGCCGGTAGCCCCACATGCCACGTGAATGCCACGTGATTATGTCTGGGGCTGTATTTAATACGGTTTGTTACTGTTAGCTTGAAATATTACATACCGTACACATCCCTTGAACCTCCCCCAGGCCCTTCCCCCAGAATTTGCTACATATGTAGTACCTGTTGCTATTTTTGTTACTCGAATGCATCCAAATCATTACCTTCGTGTATCGTTTTACTCATTGATGATCGGAATTCATAAGTACCGAAATCCCTAGGTATCTTCTATTCGAACTCGGCTGTCAAGTACTCCGCTGGATTCCTAGCAGCAGTGCCTTAGACTCAACTACATAGTCTGAGTCTGATATGGATGATGCCATTCGTCCAAGCAAAGAAAGATTTGACCGTCTTTTTTCCGAAAGCTATGATAAATGGTCGTCCCACCTAACGAATGCTCATAAAAACCCTCGTCTCCCACCTTCTTCCATGGATCTGAAATCGCTTCTCGAGAGAACACCGTCTTTCCTTGGATATGGATTGATTTCCGAAGATGCTGAACTTCCATTTACTTATGTAGAAAGAGATTCACACAAGGGACAATCTGGTCTCTTGATTTCTGGACAATCGACTTGGACTACTTCATATGGGCAATGCTGCCTTGATCCAAAAACAATCTCTTTAGATATTCTGCTCGCCGTCCCAAGCCCGCTGACAGTGGATATATCAGAATCCGCCCCCCTGCAAGAATGGCCTGGTGTTGATGGCATCTTAAATCATGACGAGGGAAATTATATTAGCATTTTGTTCCTTGCGTGGGCTTATATCCTTTCTGCACGATGGGCAGAATCTCTGAAGCACGCCTCGGGACACCAATGCAATAGCAACTTTATGGACCAGGCCAGTCAGTTTGAACCTCGCTTCAGTCACTGTGATACAATCAAAATTGATATAGGACACGATGTTGAAGCTGCCGAAGCAGCTTGGTGGGGTGCTATATTGTGCCCTGGCGGAGGCTGGGAAATAACAACAGATTACAAAAAGAAAACATACCGCTCACCTTGGTCTGTTATTCTCTCCGATAAAGCCGACGTAGTGATAAAAGGAGGGTATCCAAGTTCTAAGGAAGGACCGCCGACGTCTGGTGTTGCTTTGGAATATCTGGCCAGGTTTTGCTCTCATCACCGACTCTACGGGCAGTGTTCGGTGGCCCTAGTTGCTGCGCTTTGCATTCCGTTGGTTAGCGGAGGTTCCATTTCGCTCCCTGTCCCGAAATCAGCCTCGCACTATGGACCGTCGTCTCTGTCACAAAAGTCATTGAATCTAGTGAAGGAATACTCGGGATCTCTTTCCCGTTATATGACGCTGAGTTGTAATGTCCGGGGTATGCGACCTTTACTTTCCAGTACCTTCTTCAACGGAGAGGTTGAATGCAATCTTGTCAGCGCTTGGCTCGATCCTATATTTGCGATAACAAACCCTTTGATCGAGGGCAAACAGTCTCTTACGCTCGCCAAAGTCCTTGGATATCGACAGCCCAGATTAGCTAGCCTTTGGCTCGGTGCGACTGTGGTGGGACTAGCAATCCCTATATTACGCGGTATCCGGATCGGGCTTACAGTGGAATTGAATGCAGCGGCTTGGACAGGAACGCACCAATCTTTCATAACAGTGGAACCTGGTAATAATGATGGTCAAACGATCCGCAGGGAAGACGAGTGTCGGTTGCTATTTATCACGGCCTGTGATGGATATACTAGACCCCCCCTTTATCCGTGGAAACCGTTTGGAGAAACTCGGCTTCTTGATACTGAACTTGAAGTACAGCAACATGCCGCTTGCTGTTGTCACTATTTGAAGTACAAAACTTGGAACTGGAATCTAGCGAATGGAGAAACGCTTGAAGACCCCGGCATATCTCTGACGGAATTCGGTGGAGAATCCCTAACACATGATCATAAGGAAAACTACTACCCGATACAAAATGGCTCAAACTCGATTTCCCAGGTAGCTTCGGAGGCTGCAACTCGCGGAATTTTCGGTTGGCTTAGATCCACAGGGTACCCAGCCAACGAAAAACCTTTGTATCAACATTCCTGGATTGATATTGAAAGCTCTGACGATGAAGGTGACGATGGTATCAATTCAGATAGCGGTCAAGAAGATGGTTGTCAATCTCTTGTTAGTCAATGGCTTAGCGGTGTGAGCTAAAGTGTCTAGATCGTCAGATCAATCCAGTCTTGAAAGCCGCCAGTGGGTGAGTCTCGCATTTCGAGCAAATGACCTAGCTGAGAGTGCCACTACACTTTACCAAATTAAGTAGTACAGAAATAGTTGTCCGCAGAAGCGGCCTTGTGATGTCTTTTCGGTGATCCTTTGAGCGGCCTTTTGAGTAATTTCTTTGATAGCTTTTTGTATCTCCTATTTTGTGTCTATATTTCCCCTTTACTCTTCACTCTTGCCGAAGTGCACCTGTCGTAGGAGTCGACTGGTATCTTCGATATACACAAAGCTCTGCGACAGTCCCCTTTCGGGGTGGTTGAAGTGCCCAAATGCATGTGGCACGCCTGGGTATCTCTTCATTGTGACATCGTTTCCAGCCTCTTGCATAAGCTGACCATAATGCTCTCCCTCATCTCGCTCAAGGTCGAACTCTGCTGTAATGATGTGTGCCTTCGCAAGGTTTTTGAATGAAGGAGCTAGTACAGGTGTGCAGATCCACTCTTTTGTCAAAATCCTTTCTTGCGTAGCTAGAAAGGTATTAGTACATCCAATGGCATTGTAAAGGGAAATAGAGAAAGCAAAAACTTACCGTCATCATCACCGAGCCAATACTTCAGGAACCATTGCTCTCTGCCTAGTGGTCCCCAAGGGGCATCGTGGTATAATAACACACTTTCGTAGGGACATGTGGTCTCATTCAGCTCTCGGGTTCTTAGACAGTAGCGCATATCTGTCGCCGGAACGATGATCAACTGAAGCTTCAGATCAATTCCCTCGTCGCGGGCGAAATGCGCCATCACTGCAGTCATCTGACCTCCAGCCGAGAGACCTCCGATAGACACACTTGATGGATCAACATTGATTCTAGAGGCATTGGCAATTGTCTACCGAAATTATATGTTAGCGAAGGAAAGTCAAATGACATTGGGCCTTGTGCTTACCCATTTCACAGCATCCCATGAATCGTAAATGCTGGTAGGATAGGGGAACTCTGGGGCCAATCGGTAGTCGACATCAATTACTTTAATTTGGGCCTTGTTGCACATGTGCCGGCACCAAGCAGCTTCAGAATTCAGATTTCCAAGGACCCAACCACCTAGAATGTATGAATTAGAATCACAAATTTACATTGGAGAGCGTATGTGCGGTGCTATAGTATGCGTACCTCCATGGAAGTTCAAATGAACAGGGAATGGTCCTGGTCCTTCTGGCGTATAGACCCTGATAATGATCTTCCCAGCTGGTTGGGTGACCGGGATTTCTATGTCCTCAACATGGAAAACGGATGGACCTTGGTCGTAGTCAGTACTTAGTTCGCAGATATTTCAATTCAATGAGCAAAGATCATAACTTACCAGGGCATGTTGGGTAGGTGAAGCTGTATGTAGCGGGACTTTTGCGATATTCTTCAAGAGAGAGCTCGTCGGCTCTCACCATGGAGCTGCCATGCTTTTCCCATAGCTCTACCCATTCAGGATCCAATCCTTTCAAGAGTTTGTCTGGTATAGACAAGCGCCCCTTCTTCTCTTCTACCACTGCGGTTTGTGTACTGGCCATCGTTATCTCTCACAGGAGCGATTAGGTTTGCGATAAAGAGGAATTGTCGAAGCAAAAGATGGTAAATAGTCAATCTTAAGCGAACGCTTAAATTCAATCAAGGCAAAAGAACGCGACAGTGTTAATAAATTTAGTCACTTGCCCTTCGATACGCCTCGGATCTAACGGAGGACTCCGGTTGGCGGCATCGGCCACATTATCGGCTCCGATCTCAGCGATAGGCGTTGGAGTGGGGGTCTTCCTATCTGCGGGTCCCATGTGGGCCATGCACCCCGGATTTGTTCCGGCTATCGAACCCTCGACTGAATTGGTTAAATTAAAACGCCCTTCCTCGCATTTGACATGCCGTAGAGAAAAGTTATTTTTCTCACACATTGCTTTACATCTTACTTCATATATCCGCCGAGATGGATTCTGTCTCAGTCGATAACCGCAGAGATTCAGAACAGGAACTAGGGAAAGTTGACCAATCTCCTACTGGTCTCCATGCTGGACTCCGACGCATTCCTGACAAGTTTCCACGTATTGCACTATTAATTCTTGTTGTCGAGGTATGTTACCCCACCTCCACGTGGTGGCCCTCGAGCTTGTCCACTAACGTTTATATATTAGCTTGGCGAACGGTTCACTTATTTCGGCCTCAGCGGTCCTATGCAAAATTATATCAAGTATGTTGAGTATCCGAAACGAGGTGAACACTTTACAATAGATGTCTAACTATTTCCTTTTACCCAGTAACCCCTATGATCCTAGCTCAGATCTGCCTGGTGCACTAGGCAGAGGACAATCAACCGCATCCGCGCTTGGAAACTTCTTTAAATTTTGGGCATATGCCTCCACTATTCTCGGCGCGATTGTTGCAGGTAAGATACACATTACAACTGGATCTAGCATCGTCTTTGCTGACACTCTATTAGATCAATATGTCGGGAAATTCAAAGCTATCACAATCTCTCTGGGAATTTATATTGTTGGGTTGACCGTCCTGGTTGCCACCGCGACACCAGCTGGTCTCAAGAGTGATGCTGGCTTTGGAGGATTGGTTGCTGCGATGGTCATCATTGGCCTAGGAACAGGTGGAATCAAGGCCAACGTGACTCCCATGTGCGCCGAGCAATACCAAAATGCACAGCCGGTCCTGAAGACACTCAAATCAGGCGAGCGGGTAGTTGTTGATCCAGAACTGACAGTGCAACGACTTTTCATGTGGTTCTACTGGGTCGTCAATGTCGGCGCCCTCTCTCCCTTGATTACCGTCAATGTTGAGGCACATCACTCTTTCTGGCTTGCATATTTGATTCCATTGATGTACGTTGGGCTAAGGCACTTATTTGTTCCATATTACACCTGCTAATACCTTCCAGTGCAATTATTCTATCGGGTGTTGTCTTCTTGTCCGGCCAGAAGCGATACGTCAAGATTCCTCCGCAGGGATCTGCCATTATAGATGCGTGCAAAGTCATGAACATTGCTCGACAGGAAAAGAATTTTGATAATGCAAAGCCATCAGCTCTACAGGCTTCCGGTCGGTTAAGCAAGTACGCATTTGCGTCTTCACCGCGCTACACGGACCAGTACGTCTCGGACGTCCGCCGAGGCTTTAGAAGTTGCAGAGTAAGTCGAAGTCCAATATCTCTGCACTGAGTTATACTTACACCGATTATAGATGTTTGTATTCTTCCCATTCTATTTTGTTTGCTGGGTCCAGATTTGGAACAATCTTATCTCCCAAGCTGGACAAATGGCGTTGCATGGAACGCCCAACGATCTGCTGCAAAATCTTGATCCGATCGCCTTGTGTATCTTTATTCCACTTCTTGACTGTGAGTATTGACCTGGTGATACCAAAAGGAACTGACGCTAATCAATCTATCAATAGTGGGCCTTTATCCACTCCTTCGCAAGTTCAACATCAACTTCAGCCCAGTCCGTCGAATCTTCGCCGGTTTCCTTCTAGTCTCGATCTCCATGGTCTACGCCAGTGTGCTACAGCATTACATTTATATTTCCCCAGAAAAGAGCATCCATGTGTGGATTCAAGCTCCTGCATATATCTTTGTCGCATTTTCCGAAGCCTTTGTTATTGTAACTGGCTTAGAACTTGCCTTCACGCATGCTCCAAAAAAGTGAGTCAACCGCCCCCTGTAATACAGTCCACCCCAAACTAACCATAAATTATTTCAGCCTGCGATCATTTATCTCCGCACTCTTCTGGCTTATGATCGGCATTGCGGCAGCGATCTGCATCGGTCTCAGCCCAGTGTCGGAAGATCCAAAACTCGTTTGGATGTATGGATCTCTCGCAATTGTGGGATTCGTGGCGGGATGTTTGTTCTACATTTGCTTCAGAAAGAGTGACTTAGATGAACCGATTATCCCAGGACTTGATGGAGTTCCTGTTGAAGGAAGCGGGCAAAATGTTACACACGTTGCTGATTATGGCAAGCATAGTGAAGCATAGAAGCCGTCTGTTTAATTAGCCTACGTAATCAATTTATTTCCATATAACGTTCTTACGTCTATTTTCCTTCGATCACACGTTCAATCCAAGTAGATAGTTTCCTGGGATATATAGCTCCCCTAGCTCTTATCTATACATTGTCGCGTCTACTACGTACTTTTACGTATTATTTACTAGCAATTTCGTGACGCTTCATACAGCTGACGATATTAGCAAGCTAAAATGGCTATACACTACCTGGGGGTTTTTCAACAATAGCAACATGTTTTTCTTTTTTAAAAAAAATTAACTTGAGATATTCAACATCTCCAAAGATTGTCTCAAATGGGACACCGCAAGTGTGGAAACCCCGAGATGTGCGAGATATGTACGTTTATATTGGTATCCACCTTCCCCGGTTCCATGTGCTATTAACCGCCAGCCTCCTGGGCTTTTATCAACCAAGATATCCATAGTTACACAATGTTTCCATATTAGGCAGTTAATATTACGGGCACCAATTACGAGCTATGCCGTCCGGCCCCACAGTTGAATGCCGCCAATCGGAGTGGCCCCCAATCTTGCACCTCCGAGATAGGCGCTCGTTTACTCGTTCATTCCCATCTAAATTGAAAACTAGACATGAGATAAGAATATCAAATTAAATGAGTCAAAGTGGAGGTCGCCGTAGAAGTCGAGAAGACCTTGCTGCTTTCTGTTTAAATTGAAGGTGTCCCAGTCCTAGACGAATTGAGTCCTAGTCATTTTATTGAGTTTTCGAACACTGATCTAGTCACAATGAAGAGCGAATCTGTGGTAATTATTGGGTGTGTGCTCGAAAAATGGAAACCCCACTGCAACTGACAGATCAAAACTAACTTTGTTTTCCTTTTACAGTGCTGGCATCATTGGGCTAAATGTTGCCCTGGTCCTTGCTGAGCAAGGCTATGCTAGTCAAACAACCATCATAGCTGAACATCTCCCTGGTGATACATCTATAAACTATACTTCGCCATGGTAAGCTTGCTTGACCTTGATACTAACTGTAAATATATTATTGGGTTTCAATGATACTAAGGCGCTGTAGGGCCGGAGCGAACTTCTCTGCTCTTTCTGCAAGTGATAAGAATGCCTTGCGATGGGATCAACTCGGATACAAGCACCTCCTCACACTTGCCGCACAAGACGGGATGAAGGCATTTATTCGGGAGACCCCGTCTACCGAGTACTGGGATGAAATGCCATCGCGCACTAAGCTTGATTCCATGGCTAGCTATCTGAAGGATGTGAGTTGATTACCAAGGGCGCTCCGAGTTAACGTGCTGATATGAGGGAAATAGTACAAAGAAATTCCTCAACAAGATCTACCAGAAGGTGTTGCATGTGGCGTTAAATTCACCACAGTAACACTCAATGCCCCGATGCATATTCGCTATCTCCTTCAAAGACTCAGACAGCAGTACGGAGTGCGGGTCATCCGCAAAAAGGTCTCAGATGTCACATCAGGCTTCCTCAGCAAAGACACAAGGATCGTCTTTAACTGCACCGGTAACGCTGCTCGTACCCTAAAGGGAGTCGAGGACCCTAAGTGCTATCCCACCAGAGGCCAAATTTTGCTCGCCAAGGCAACACACATCAACCAGAATATGATGCGTCACGGGAAGGACTATGAGACATACATTATCCCACGACCCCACTCCAAGGGTAATGTCATTCTGGGTGGATATATGCAGAAGGGAGTTGGGTGAGTCAAACTGATCCAACATTTTCTGTTATTTTCCAACGTGGTTCAAGGACTGACTGTTATAGCTTGGCTGATACACTTGGAGATGAAACCGAGTCTATATTGTCCCGGACGAAGGCGATGCTACCTGAGCTCGAGTCGCCTGAAACGGAGATCCTAGCAGCATTCGCAGGCTTGCGCCCATCACGAGAGGGAGGCGCGCGAGTTGCTAGTGAGGTCGTACAAGTCGATGGCTCGGAACGAAAGGGTCTCGTTGTTCACAATTATGGCGCTGGAGGAACAGGATTCCAGGCGGGGTATGGAATGGCGGTCGATGCGGTTGGATGTGCATTGGGTGAACTTCAAAAACTTCAGGTCAAATCATCTATCTAGAGCTGATCTCTCGAAGCTGATAAAAGTGGTTTTTGTACGATCATGAGAACTATTCGCCCGTACCATGTACTATATTACAGTTTAAGCCTTACATCTTTGAGATCCGATCGACAGGTTGATTTTCGGATTATAATTGTGTGTGGGATTTATAGTCCCATAGTTTGATGATATTCCAGGTAAACTACCCTATAGCAAGCGTAATTTTTGGTTTCAACGGGTCACATTACAGAAATATATACCTCGATCTGACTCGGTCGTCTACAACAGATTGGATCTTGTCAGAACAACCATTCTATAACATTTCAGCAAAAGAAGATACTCACCAGGAGAAAAAGTTCTTCATTGCATTCCATCCAAAATAGGTATCCGGACCACCAGGCCTATGATTCATAAAGGTATGATCTTCACTCGCACAAGTCGGCTCTCCTTGGGCATTCATGGGTCTAATATCGTTATCGACCATGCTCTGACGCTGATAGAACTTATTTTGCCCGCTCGTCTTCTGTTCATGCAAAGCAAGAAAGTCGCCCATTGTTGATCTGGGATTGGTAGCCTGCCATAAGAGTTAGGGCTGGTTAGTGTATGCTACGAAGCCGTCAAAAAGCAGAATTCACTTACATATGCGTGACCCTTTCCCTCTTCTTTGCCACCTAGCCAGAGCCTGTCGCCCCATCCTGATCCGCCGCCGACATTGTTAGCGGGTGTAGGTTCGGCACTGCTACCGCCGTAGACGGCAGTCGTTTGTCGGTTGAAGCTACTATCGCTGCCCATTTCGATATCGGGGTTAGTTTTACCTGTATGTGAAGTTAGCAGAAATATTGTCTCTAAGTGGGTAGATTTATTAGACGAGAGGGTGGATGGTAGAAAGCGGTTCTGTATCGAGAATCTTGTACACTCACGATTTATGGGCTGAGAACGTTATGATTGAATTTGGTTATAGTTGTTGAATTTGTACAGATAGTGGGGACTAGAGATAAATTGAAGTTCATTTGGATTTATATATGCTCTATGGCCTTCATTGCCACGACCCCTGATGAAGTCATAATGAGTATACATCGCCTTTGTGATTGGCGCATTGGAAAGGCACATAATTACATATATCGTAGTATATCGAATATTATTCTACAAATAGGTAACTGTTTGATATGCCTGCCGTTCTCTGTATCATTGTGCTGAGATATTTGGCTGAGGTATTTGGCTGTGAAATTTGGTGCTTTTAGCGACACAAAAGCCACACCAGTGCACCGGCTGGCCCCAAATGAAAACCAACCGCTTCTGCAGCATCTTGAATCAGCTCCGTTTAGTTGGGGCCAATGGAGTTTATGCGCGAAGTTCGATACTCCAGACCAAGGTACCGAGATTGATCCTCTCGATTGCGACTGTGAAGCGTATCGATTAGGTAACGCAAAGAAGATCACTTTTGATGAGCAGGATCATGAGAGGGTATTACCTGCTTATCCGGCAAATTGACGGGGGATTAGAATTCTTGAGATTCAAAGAATAGGCTGAATCAGTGGATATGATTGTTGAAGTCACTCTCCGTATACGCCTCAGCGGAATGGTATATTCGAGACTATGGATGGTTATGACAGTTAAATCCTTAAGTAGAATTGGGCTTTGATTACTCTTAACATCCTTGGTTGAGTCCAATCATCGCTGCTAGCTTACTATGTATCTAGGTAGGTATTCGTTACTCCGTTCAGCTACACCCTCGGCCCCGTGGACCGGTCTTTGGAAGGCTGAAAATGTTGGAAATGGACATTTCTAAGTATAATATTTGATATTTGAACTTCAAGCATGTTCATCTAACTTGTATTAATTTCGAAAACCAAATATTTCCTTCCAGTTTCTTAGATCACTCATTTCTTGCGAGGATGCTCTAAATCATAACGAACCACCCTGAAAGTAGGCCAAGCCTGCAACAACACAGCCCCAACCATCATACACCCGGCAAAGACCTGAGCTTTCCAAAACTCCCCAGTCTCAAGATCTACTAAAGCACCCGCAATGGGAGTTCCAGCCAGCGACCCAAACGACGATATCCCCCACATCATACCCAAGCGAGTCCCCAAAAAGGTCGAATCGGGACAGAAAATCGGATGACCCACGATGGAAGTTGGCGCCGTAACCAAGACACCACTAAGAGCTCCCCAGTAGCACGCCCAGACCAAAAAGCCAGCCGTACCAGTAGCCGCAATCCAAGTGAACATCGCAATCGCCGACGCTACCACGGAGAATAACAGGATCCCAATGGGCTTGATATATGCAACAAGCAGATACGGAACGACACGGCCAATAACCGAGGTGCCGTTGACAATCGCAACCATATAAAAGCTAAGATCGGTCGTGGTATGCACGACCGTGCGGGCATAGGAGGCAACATAGAAAATGGGCACGTAGAAGGCGAGCATGACACACGTCAGCGAGAGCGAGAACATCATGAACGAGGGTTCACGGAAGGCCCTCCAGTCGATAAGACTTCTTGCGTGGGTTCTTTGGCCTGGTTGACGACATAGGATTATACATGATACAACAGCGAGGAACAGACTGATGAAGCCGATACTGCGAACTGCCCATGGGAACCCGATCTTGGGCTGTAGTTGGCGGAACATTACTGGGAAAATGACGGCCCCCACGCTAGACCCGATTGATGCGCAGCCGATGGCGATGGGACGTTTTGTGGTGAAACTCGTGGAGATCACCACCAGGGCTGGGATGTAGGATATTCCGCCTCCCATTCCGACGCAGAATCCTTGTGCGAGTAATACCTGTTCTCATTAGAAATTGAAATGAAAATGAAGTGTTAGATTGGAGATTTACCTGATAGTATGAGGTGGCGAGACTCGTCATCATCATGCCGAATACGGTCAGGAAACTTCCGGCTAGAATTAGAGGGCGGACGTATCCGACATCAACTAATGGTCCTGTTGCAAGACCGACTAGTGGGATTAATGTGCCTTGGATACTGCCCACCCATGAGATTGTCGATGGTGTCTCATTTGATAGAAGGTCTGTCTGATAATACTCTTGGAACGCCCCGTAGGTTGTTAAAAGACCCCTGAAGTATAGATTAGCTTGATGTAAGTAGAGTAATGATAATAATGTACACTAACCAAGAGTTCACGAAAACACAGAAACCCGCAAGGACATTTAACCATGCATCAAGGCCGCCGTTGACTCTTTTTTCGGGGAGTGCATGTTCATTCTCATGTTGGTTCTCATGTTCGGGCGCCAAATTTCCGGGTGATTGGGCGCCTTTCTTCTCCTTTGAACCCATGTCGATATATATTTGCCATTATCAAAAGAAGAATATGAGAACCCTTTCATCACTCTCCACTTGTGGGGAAATTACAACGGGGGGTTTTCATTAGTCAACTTCGGTTCAAGCGGCACTGAGTAGCCGAACTCTACCGATCTAACAGGCATCTATGCAGCTTATATGCACTTCAATTTAGGGATCCCCGGATTTCAATGGTAGTTCGATGATTTTCACTATATCAACTTAAACAACTTTGATCACTTATCCGGATATATCGCGTCCCTCCCCACGGCTCAGTACAACATATATTTCTATGCCATTATCTTATGGGATATTTGTTTTCCCATTTGTCTTATATTTATCCAATATAACCGTTTCGTTCTCGGGGAATTTCTTGGCTGCATGCATCTACACCAGTTGACTCGAGATTGCACCAATCACATCCACTTCGGAGAAATGGTCTTCCATATGAGCTATCAAAATCGGAGATTTTATTGAGTATTTCTACCTTTGAGACCATTTCACTGATTCAACATGACATTTGCCCAATGATTCAAAAAGTGTCGCTCAATATAACTATGTGAAGATCCCTTGCGGAATGTCCATGGAAAGTCCGCAATTAGGGCTACTCCGTGCCCAACATTATGTGATTTATTGCTTAATCACGTCAGCGCATGTCATCTCACCTGTATACGAATGATGCGAGATGCGAAACGGTACTTAAATCAACAGAGCAAGAATATAACCAATGTCACATTTCGAGAAAGCATCGTATGCTATGAACGGCAATGTACGTATAACTATGTAAGGCTGGAGGACGTTTGCATCGGAGCCATCTCAGCCACCATTAAAGGCTTATGACAAGCGGGATATCAAATTCCAAGTAAAGTAATCTTTTCATGTCGTGAAGGCAAAAAGAAAATCGTAAAACCAATGAGAACATAAACAAAAAACGTACTGTCCAATAAGACATTTCATCACTCATCGTCAAACTGGTCTGCCCAAGTTCCAGTGATGGGTGAAAACGTCGAATCCAATTTATCCATAGCTGTTTGTGACTTGGAGGATGTAGAAGTTTTTGCCTCGGCTTTAGTCTCGGCCTTAGCCTTGGTCTCAGGTTTAGCCTGAGGCTCAGCCTTAGCCTTAGTCTCCGTAGACACAGGTTTAGTTTCAGTCTTAGGTCCCTCAGGCAGAGCCGGGAATGCACTCTTATCATCCAACTCCGGCGCAGCAGGGGTCGGTGCAAATATACTGTCAGATAGGCCCTTGCGTGGCCGATCTCCCTGCGGGGCACGCGGGGAACGCGGAGATCCACGATCACGGCCACCTCGACCGCGTCCACGACCCCGACCACCAGAATGATCCGCATCTTCTGAACGGGGTTCTTCAAAGTCTCGTCGCACAGCGCCAGACACGCCACCATGCATACCGCGTCGGAACTGACTACCCCCACCGCGGGGATCATAATCTTCCTCCCGTTTCTGCGAGTCCCACTCACGTCCCGTCTGAGCCTTGAGCTTCCGCTGTCTGTTTTTCTCACGTTCGGAATCCATCACGCGGCGGTGCGCGAGTTCCTCGCGACGTTTCTTCGCCGCCTCCTGCTCGCGCTCCATGAATGATGCCTGATCGGCTTCGGCACGAGCATGCGCCGCAGCCTTCTTTACTGCGTTCTCCTTGGCTGTAGCAATGCGTTTGGATAATTCCTCCTCCGTGAGTTTGGGCTAGGAAACAATAATTAGCCGTATACTCTCGCTATAGTAGTAAGAGAAAGACTACACACCTTTCTCAGACCACCAGTGGCACTCCGATCGCCACGAACAGCTGGCACACGTTGGGCGTCGGCGCCGTTGGTCACATCTTCACCATTACCCTCTTCGACAGGACTGGTCTGCTCTTTAGGCTCAACGGGCTTCTCAGGCTTCGAAGCAACCTCGCGCGCATCCGCAGGCGCATTGGCGGTCTTCTTGCGCGGAGAGCTTTCTGACCGTTTTTGCTCTTCCCGTCCACCGCGCCCTTTGCCCCGACGTCGTCGGCCTCGTTCTCCGCGGCCCCGCTGAGGAGTCTCCCCACGTGCACTTGGCTGCTCCGGAGCTCGCTTCTCGGGTACCTGTGTCTCCTGTGTCTCCTGTGGCTCGGGCTCTGGTTCTGGCTCTGGCTTGGGGGTGGCGATCTCTGTCTGTTCTTGCTGCTGTTCCGTGGAGATAGGGATAATCTCATCGTCGAATAGGTCGTCGGCGCCGCGGGTTTGTGCGAACTCGTCCATATCTGGGTCTGCCATTGTGACTGGGCGGGAGAAATGTGCTAATAGGTCGGGCGGCTAGGCTGTGAACTGGAAACACGAGGTACACGGGATTGTCGCCGGTATATACGCGATTCGAGGGGTAGCTTCGGTGGGGGGCGTCAAATGATGATTCGTGTGTGGGATAGTGGATGGCGTATGTATTGTTGTCTTTCAAAATTTGCAATGATTCATAAAAAAGACATACATAAAGGAGAAACGATTAGCTGGTATAGTGGTCACACAGCTCAACTGATCTGCACCCCAGCCGGGGCAGCCTATTAGGCGGTGTGCCATTGCTGCGGAGCGTGTTGTTTTGCCGTTGAGTCCAGTCTGTTTTCTGCCGATATGACGTCCGAGGTTCCAGATTGTTTACATCTTTATGAACGAAATCGGATTAATCAAATCTGACAACCCTCCAATGGCATTTCAGGTAATTGGAAGAAGAGCTATACAAAAAAAAAAAAGCGGTAGGCAAGCCTAAATACACTGCCAAGCGTTCTCATCGGTGTAGTTTCCAGGACCCCTGAATACATTACGTCGAGGCCAGCGACAGTGCTTACGCTTGTACTCGACCTTAGAGCCAGCGCCGGCAGAGAACTTGGCCCCGCGAACAGTCTCTGGTGCTTTGCCTTCCTCAACCCACTGAACCATGGCCATAAGCACATTGTCCTCGGGATTTGTCCCATCGTAACTACGGAATCCCTGACCAATGCCATAGGCACCATCACCGCCACCGCAATGACCCATACCGCTGATTGGGAAGAAGCGGTAAAACTCATCCAACTTGGAGGGAGGGAGTTGCATGGTGTTTGAAACGTGGGCGTAGTACATCTTAGAGTCCTCGGAGCTAATCAGTTCGTCTTGGAGACCGTGGTAGTGCAGGATTTTGCCGCCGGCCTTTTTGAATGGAGAGATATCGCCGTCCCAGGTTTGAATGTTGTAAGGGTTCTGGGCCAGAGCGGCGGCAGCATCTTTCACTGTGAAGTTGGCCCCGCTCCAGGACGGATCGTCGTAGACGACGTAACGGAACCAGTCTTCGCCGTATGGGAATGGTTGGCCATTGTACATTATAGGTGCGGCGAGCATCTCGGAGCCAGGTTGCATGCGTGGGTATAGCAGAGTCCCATCAATGCCATAGAATGGTGATAACACTTTATTGGCGGTGTTGACTTGGGTGCTTGTGAGACATCCTGTTTTCTTTGAGGCGCTGGAGTCGCAGGTCAATGTTTCCAAGATAGGGCGGCAGAGATCGGGATCTTCGATGATTCCGTCTTTGGCGCCATCAATGGTATCACATTGGCGGATGATCTCTTCGTGGACGATCTTCCATTCAGCCGTGGAGAGAAATGTGTCGGAAGTTGGCGAGCCAGTAACAGAATAGAAGTTTGAGCTCCATGAAAATAGGTTGATCAGGTTGATCGCAGGGGCACCAGCAACCACCCCGTCAAAGTCATTGGGGTATTTCTGAACAGACTTCCAACCTTGGCGGCCACCAGTTGAACATCCGAGGTAGTAGCTCTTTTTGTAGCCCTCCTCGTAGAATTGTTTGGTGAGCTCCTTGCCTACTACAACTCCAGTGTGAACAGAACGGTATGCATAATCTTTGACTACCTCAGGGCTGTGGTAGAAAGGCTTTCCGGAGGTACCATTATGTCCATTGTTGGCTCCAACGGTAGCAAACCCTAGATGTGCGGTGTATGCGAGGTCATAGTATTGAATACCTGAAAGCAGTTTAGCAGGACTCAAGATCCGAGATTTAGGGACGAGACTTACATCCCGAGATACCGCCATTGCCGGTGCTCAAGAAACGGCCCTTATATTCACGAGGGAACCAAGCCTCGAGCGTGATCTCGCTGCTGTCCGAGGTCGACACGGCCATGGCGATTCGGCACAGGTCTACCGAGACAGCCTGATCCGATGTACCGCAGCTAGGCGGGTTATCTGCCAAGGACAGATTGGTACCCCCCTGCACAAACTCGGCAAAGTTGACTTTGACATTGGGAATGTCGATTTGATCACCGAACTTGACACATTTTGACTGGAATGCATCCTCGCTGGCCAGAGCAAGCGAACCGCCCAGGGCCGCAAACAAGGGCAATGCATAAAGACGAGTCATATTGGGGAGAGACCCTCAGAATATTAATCAGATCCTGTATAAAGTGTATAGATTCGAGGACAATGTGACGGCTGCAGGCCAATGGCCTTTAATAGCTGAGTATTTACTCCGAGGTATGGTTCTTGATCTCATGGCGGTATCAAACACGTATTATTATGGCACATGAAACGGCAAATCGATTTGCCGTAGAATGAGTCCTGCAGATCTGTGACGAAAAGGCTAGAATGTCCGAAGTTTGGCCGGATACTAGTAGTGGGGTTCCAATAGAAGGAGGGCGAATAGGCAACACCATGATGCGGAGATGATCGTAAAAGAGACAAGTGGCCGAGTGTTGCAAAGCTTAGAAGGAAAAGGAGAAATGAGTGGGGGAGGGAAAGTCGAAATTGACTGGAATTCCCCCATTTCCTCGAGTCAGAGGGAAATCCGGGGATCTCCACAGTTCCACATTCTGGCTGTTAGAATCGGCACTTGGTGTATTTGAAGTATTAAAGGTGTAATGGATTAACCCTGGAGATATTCCCATCTTGTGCTTTTAAATTTATAGTATTGTTGTACATTTCAGCTCTTCAATGTTTAAAGCTCCACATAGAGACTCCTCCCGATCTGCGTCCGATCGTAGCTATAACCCCACCGGAGCTATGTGATCCCTAACGGCTATTAAGGCTTAATACATATGACGCCAGTGACAATAATACGCTCCGATTGTTGTGATCTTTTCCAAGTTCAATTAAATCTTCTTATGTGATCACGCCGGTGAGCCTTCCTTGGAAGGTTCACTCGTAGCCTCGTAGGCAGCGTAGGCAGGCCTGAATCACTGTATGTGTTACAGACTCAACGCAAACCCGCCATCAGGTGATGAATTGTCATTAATTACTTAATATGGAGCTTCCAAGGTTGCTAGGACAGGCTGGAAGTAAGAACACATAATCATGAGTCGAAATGAGCCATCTCCCGGAGAGATCAAGTCTCCGTCTGGGTTGATTACGGGGCAAGATCTACCCCGATTGGCCAAACATCCCCACTTAGCATCTAAATCGGATGAACAAAGGACGTGATATTATCAATCTGCTGCAATATGTCCGAAAGTAAACATTTAAATAGCGTGGGTAATGCACTTGTAGTATATACTTCACTCCTATCCTTCTATCTGTCTCCCATTCCCTTGTTACCCCAAAAAGACCATCTTCCACACAATGTCCTCCTCAGACAGCCTCCTGAAAATCGCAAACCAAGTTCGCGCACATGCTTTGAAAACATTCAGCGTGACTGCCCACCCTGACGAGGTCCTCCAAATCCCCTCACGAGAAGAAGGGCGGTTCATTCGAATTCACGCCTACAACACGCTCCACAGGAGTACCCCAGCCCCCGTTCTCGTCAACTTCCACGGAAGCGGCTTCGTGAACCCTTTACACGGGAGTGACGATGAGTTTTGCAAATTCATCGCCAAGAAAACCGGATTCGCGGTGTTAGACTGCGCCTATCGGCTAGCACCGGAGAATAAATTCCCAGCTGCAGTCCACGACGCCGAAGATGCGGTGCAATGGATTCTTTCGCAGCCAGAAAAGTTCGATGCATCCCAGCTATCAACTTCTGGATTTAGTGCTGGAGGAATTTTGTCTCTAGTTCTTAGCTCGGTGGTCTTTCCACATGGGACATTCAAAAATGTCCTCGCCGCATATCCTCCAACAGATGCGGCCCAAAGTGCCGTAGAGAAGATTGCACCTGATATGTCGAGGGATCTTGCCCCTGTCGAGCTGCTGGATACATTTATCCAATGCTATTTTTCAGCACCCGAGGAAGCGAGGAACGTGCTTGCTTCACCGGCGTTTATACCGGCTGAAATGTTCTCCGATAGGACTTTTCTTGCTACTGCAGCTTGTGATCGGCTCTGCCTTGAGGGAGAGGCGCTTGGGAATAAGATCAAAGGTGCGAACAAACATGTTGAGATGCATCGGTACGATGGTTGTGAACATGCGTTCGACAAAGCGTACGAGAAAGGCTCTGTCCAGGAACGAGCGAAGGATGACCTCTACAAAAGGATGGCCTTGTTCCTAACGGAATGATTTGTTTGTCTGTTTGCATTACACACCTAAAGCTGGCATATTTTGACTCTCCATAACGAGGACCGTTCGAATATATATTTTATCCTTCACTGCCAGTCAATCATTCTTTTAGATGTAGTGCCATAATTACAACAGGAATTATGCGCAGAAATCGCCAGTCAATAAAGATCATCAACTTTTCTGGTACTAGTGTATACATAATATTTTCGACGAATTGGCGCTAGACAAGAATCCGCAATTTCTTCCGAATGGAATTGGATTTCCTCGAGACATAATCAAACCAGACAGTTCACAAATGGCAGGCTAATTTTCTCTTGGATCTCTTTGAATGCCTGAAGTAACTTTTCCTCCTCAAACTTCTTAGCAACCAGCTGCAAAGAAACAGGTGCATCCGTTTGCTTTACTGGGTCATAATGCTCATATGCCCAGCTATCGAATTCGTTTTTCGGAGTGTAAGTAGTGTCCTTGGCATCTCTATCAGGATCCACCTTGGTGACGGGGAACACAAGCGCTGGATAATCAAGAAGATTGAATAACGAAGTGTAACCCCAGTATCTCGAAGTGTCGTGAAGGGGGGCGGGCGTGGGGAATGCGGGACAGAGTATAACATCCATTTCGGGCGCAACATTATTCCACTCTGTAGTTGAGCCAAGTTAGATTACATTCAGAAATCTATAATGAATGATCGATATACTAACCTTGCAAATAACCATAGCGGAACGCCTCCCGTTTTCCAGTCCAATCCCACAAGCCCTGATGGGTAAGTTCTTCAATGCCAGGGGTATCCCGCAAAGTCCAAGCAGTGAGCGGCGTAAATGGTTCACCAGAGGCCTCGACATTCCTGGCAAATGCCTTTCCGCCATCTGGAGCATAAAGTCGGGTCTATATATTTTCATTGGTTAGTTCAGGTCATATGATCATTGAAGTGATACCACTTACAAGAATCTCGAGAGCCTCCTTTTGTTGATACGCTTTCCATTCAATAACCTCGATATTATCCACCAATTTAAGACGCTCAACCACTTCCTTCAATGCTCTTGTCACTGCCGGTGCGGGAGTAACGACATCATCTGTCCACATCACACCGACTGTTAACTTCTTGTTATCCACGTGAATGTGCTTCTCCTGGTCTCTCCAGGGAATTGGAAGCATCATGGAGTCTGTGGTCCAAGGCTTTGATTCGATTATCGTCTTCATGAAGAGTTCAATACCGCCAATTGTTGGTGAAAGAGGCCCAAGCGTTCCCATAATTGCCTCACATCCGAGAAGATAGGAAGCGCATCCGATTAGTGGTAGTCGACCAGTTGATGGCTTCAGGCCGTAAAGGCCACAATTGGCGGCGGGGGAGCGAATACTACCACCTGGTTCCATTGTCAGCAACGAGAAAATCAATTCAGAGAATCTGGCAACATACCAATGTCGGAGCCAATTCCAAGAGGGCTGCCATAGAGGGCTTGTAAAGCTGACTCTCCACCAGAAGAACCACCTGCTGTAAGAGCGGTGTTATGTGGGTTGGTGGTGGTACCGGTGATATTGCTGCGAGTTTCAAGAGCCATCTACCCCGAAACAAAGTCATTAGTTATGAATCACCATAGGAAATTCAGATGTTCTAACCAGTCCTTGTGGCTCGGTTGTTCTTGCATAAACAACTGCACCAGCATCCAAGAGGATTTTCACAATGTTCGCATCATCTTTGCCGACCTGGTCGAGGCAAGCGACGAATCCAGCAGCCAGGTCTCGTCCCTTGAGGCCTACATGTGCCTTGACGCTAATTGGTAAACCGTGAAGCGGACCAGAAGGCTTTCCGTGCTTTGCAAGATAATCATCGAGCTCTTTGGCTCGGGCAATGGCACGGTCGGGGAGAAGCTCGTAAATGCAGTTGGTCTAAACAGAGAGGTAATTAGAATCCAAAATTATAGGTATTGGCAGCCTGTCGCATTACTTACTAGCTTCTGGGCGATCGCGGCCCGCCGAAGAAAGGCATTTGTTACCGCGATTGCAGTTAGTTTACCCGTTGCAAGGGAAGCCACCAATGTCTCAGCGGAGCTCTCTGTGATCGTGATCTCTGTCTGCGACAGATGCTTTCTGGGGAAATCGATCACCCGGCCAGTATGTGTATCGCGAAGAGCAGCGATGGCGGGGTCAACCTGCTTTATGGAACGATCCCGCACAGCCTGGACCTGGAGGGCCGACTCTTGCCAGGAGGGTTTCTGCTCAGTTACGGTCATTTCTCAGCTGAGGTTAGGTGGATTCAGGTACGGGTTGAATGAAGTTCTGTGGAATGCAGCGCTGTGTCTAAAGTAGCCGGGAATCGGTCCATAATCTCTCACGCAAGCTACTCGATCTGCGAAAGGGAATCCATTTATTGGCCCCAATGTTGCACTTTGAGTTGCACGGCTGCAGTAGTCTCGAGCGGTCTATGTATCCACCATGCGGCACAGAGACAACCCTGTAAACCCCTTTATAACGAGTTAAAATATAATAATATAGTAGCCAAGTCCAATACATTATATATGTGCAGTATATCTGACTTACAGATTCGCACTCTACAAGAGGTCCTAATATCAGTCTGTTTCAATAATTATACCTTTATCGCCAAGAGTATTATATAGGAGGATTAATGAATGAACTAATTGCTAATGGGAAATGTTCACGATAAATTAATTGGGGGACCACTTTTGAACAGGCTAAGTAGTACATACTCGTGCTTAGTATAGACGGGGTTTATTGTACTCCGTACTCCGTACTTTCGATTGCTATTGTCTCTGCACTAACAAAAGAATCGTCAGACTAAATTAGCGCCATCCCGTCAAAGGCCCGAATAGCGGGCCGCGGATCTGCGAGCGCCACCTTGAGAGTTTCAAGTCAGCACTATTTCATGCAATCGATTCCTTTTATACTAGTGCCAATAGAACATGACAGGGATTCCTTTTAATGGCCCCATTCTGCAGGTTTCGATCCGAACATCCCTAAAAATTGACTTTGTCGATGGCTACTATCGAAAATGTTAGCAACATATTTATCCAGAAGCAGGGGTAGTGGTCTTCATATAACCAGTTGGTGTCTTGACGCGTGAGAAGGAGGGGTTCTAATTCCTGCCACCCATGACCGACCTTCACGAAGATTTCGGACCAGCACTATGGGTGGTGAACACAATTTTCATTATACTGGCCACTCTGGCCGTTGTTGCCCGCTTTGCCGCTCGACGACTGCGGAAGTTGTCTCTCGGCGCAGATGACTGGATTATCTGCGTAGCCCTTTTCTGGGACTGGATACTATACGGGATATTCGTGGGATGTTCGTGTACCGCCATCAGGACTTTCCTGCCAAACAAATTACAGTTCTAATACTAATGAGCTCACAGGTCGAATTAATGGCCTCGGCAAACACCGAGCAACACTCTCACAAGAAAACATCGCTATATTCTCGGAACTTCTCTACTTCTTCCAGATTTTCTACGTTCTTGGTCCCCCGAGTGTGAAGCTAGCACTGCTTTTTCTATACCGACGGATTTTTGAGCATTCGACCTTCCTGCGAATCATCGACGGCACGATCGTTCTCATTTCTATATGGGCAATTGTTATGGTTTTCCTAGCCATTTTCAATTGTCATCCGATCAGCGCCTTCTGGACAATGCAAGGCACTTGCTTTAATTTCAAGCAATTTGCCATCGGCTACGCAATCGTAAATATCATCACTGATTTTGCGGTTTGGTTGATGCCGATTCCCAGAGTGTGGAAGATCCAGCTTCCGAGACCACAGAAGATTGCTCTATCCCTGATTTTCGCTTTGGGTCTTTTGTATGGATATCTTTTCGTTTCTGTCACACGTACAGATAAATACCAATATCATGTCCTGCTAACACATCATTCTCTCTCAGTGATTGCGCTGCAGCTATGGCCCGTCTCCTACTTTCAATGCTTGTCTTGGGCGAGTACGACTCCACATGGTACTACGCGAAGGGATACATGTGGTCCATTATTGAAGTCTCAACGGGCATTGTCTGTACATGTCTACCAACGATGCGGGTACTCTTGAAGACAGCTTTCGGTGGCGCCTTTTCAAGAATGTTCGGCATGTCCAGCGGGAAGGCCAGCCATCCGCCGTCAAGCAACACGCCATGGTCTAGAACAAAAGAGTACTATAACAATGTTGGGGAGTCAAACGCGGTGGAGGTGGTTTCCTATCCCCACCATACAAACAATGTTTCGGAATTGCATGATACAGACTGGGATGCGAGCTCACAGCGGATTTTGGTGACCGAGGAAGTAAACATTGAGCTTCAGCCAGTCAAACAGAGGGCACCTGTCAAGGTAACTCAATCCACTGACTTGAATAGAGTATAGAACAATATATCCTACTCCAATATCTTGCTGGTGGGATAGATTTGCTTGGAAACTTTTGCCATACATTCATGACTATGATGGTCGGGGTGGATCGAACGTGCATTTCAACGATCGATAAACAAGGATGAACACATGATTCACAAGACGTCAACGTCAAGTGGTACAAGAATTGTAGTTGTGAGAACACGAAACGAAAAGCCAACAAATGGCAGATGAGATCTGGAACGTAGATGCAGACAGTACGCGAAATGGCCGTATAGTCGAGTTGCGACAAGCCAACAGGCATGTAGAATTGATAATCCTTAACGCCTATGGATGATGATCAGTAACAAGCAAGTGAAATGTGTGAACAGTGGTATTTCTCAACATTTCTAACATCCATCGATGTTGCATTTCCTCAAGGCGTTTCATCATTTCCATTACTTTCTCTTTCATCGAGTCAACAGTCTCTCTCTCCTTCAATAAAATCAATCCACTTTCTCGCAACTGGCGGCTCCTGTTGTCCAGCTTCTTTGCCTCGTCACGATAAAGCTTGGCTCGCGCTGGGGTGGACAGGTCTCGTTGAATCGCGCGTAGTCGGCGTTGCAAAGCCGGTGCTATCGCGTTTTCGATTTCTACCCGCTGTTTCCAATCTTTAAACTGGCTCTCCCAGATGGTGGATCTGGCGTTTACGATTTCCATCTGCTCTCTAATGACAGCGAGTGCTCGGCGGACCACCCATAGACGGTACTGGAAACGAATGTTTTTTAACCACGCAATCACGCCCCACATAATAGGAATGTCAATCATCGGTAAGAGAAGAAAGAAAACGATGCCGTTCATGATGGGCAGTTCGAAATTTGAAGTAACAGAGATGGGAAAGTGGGAAAGTGAGAAAGTGAGAAACTCGATGTAAATAAGAGACACCGTGAATGTCGAACCGTGGTTGGGAACTTTGACGCCTGGCAACATAAATGGAAAGAGCTCCTGGTCTCTTTCCTGTTCAAGTATTTAATTTTGTCGCACTGATGTCGACACTTGATCCATGCTGGCTAGGCAACTACGGGTGTCAACCGTTTGTTTTTGTGCAAGAACACCGACGGTATGCTTATAGCCCTGACTCTTGAACGCGTCTTGCCTAGAGTTGGCCCTGGTGGGTTCAAATTATAGGATCTTAACAACAGAGCCGCACTCTAAAACGGGTGTTTCGGCCCGAGACACGGCCCGAGACACGGCATGCACAGATAGGGGACTCGAGGGGCTTCCATGCCAACGAAGCTATCGAGTCTTAACAAGGGATTGCAAAACCTATCACTATCACATTGTTTCTGAATATCTACTATTCGGGGGCCAAGCTCTTAATAGAGAGCGATGTATACAAGCCCATTGACCAATAAGACACCCGCCCCATAGAGCAGACCCCACAATCTCCACAGCCCCTTCGGAGATTCCTCCGAAATCCCCGAGCACGTCAGCACGTCAGTCAACAATTTCTCTAAAAACCTCAGATCATTTCTCGACATTACACTATGTCTGCAGATGAGACTGTGAGAGAACCTGTATCTGAGCAGACGCCCCTCCTTGGGGATGTACCCGATGGGGATGCCAATGGGAACACCCCACTACCCCAGGAACACAGTACCAAGGAGCTAATTTGGATTCTCGGGAGTATCTGGCTCGGTGTCTTCCTGGCTGCTCTCGGTATGCACTCCGTTGACGATGCCCGAGAACAAGATTAACATTAACTTCCGTTATAGATACAACAATCGTCGCGACGCTCTCCGCGCCCATCTCTTCGTCTTTCAACTCATTCTCACTGCTCTCGTGGCTAGCAACTTCTTATCTGATCTCCAATGCCGCCTGCCAGCCTCTCAGTGGCCGACTGACTGATATTTACTCTCGTCGCTGGGGCCTTGTGTTCTCCAACGTTGTTTTCGCCCTTGGAAACTTGATCTGTGGCCTGGCAAACGCGCAATGGGTTATCATCCTTGGTCGCGTTGTGGCAGGTATCGGAGGAGGCGGTCTTACCGCGATCTCGACCTTCGTCACTTCAGACCTGATCCCTCTCCGGAAGCGAGGCATCTGGCAGGGTATCGGAAATATCTGCTACGGTGCTGGCATGGGACTTGGAGGCGTGTTTGGCGGGTGGATCAACGACACTATGGGATGGAGATGGGCGTTTTTGCTCCAGGTTCCCTTCCTGGTCATCTCGTGCATTCTAGTCGCAGTTAAAGTCGACATTCCCGTGAAAGAGTCGGATACCGCACGCATCAAGCGCGTCGACTTCCTCGGCGCTATCACTTTGGTACTGACACTGGTCACATTGTTGCTTGGCCTCAACACCGGTGGAAACCAGGTGCCCTGGAATCACCCACTGGTGATAGCATCGCTAGCTGCGTCCGTTATCTTCCTGGGTCTGTTTATCTATGTGGAAGCTGAGATTGCTTCTGAGCCTGTCATTCCCGTGCGCCTTCTCCTGGACCGCACCGTCGCAGCTGCTTGTCTGACCAATTGGTTCAGCACCATGGCCGTATTCGGCCTCCTCTTCTACCTGCCGGTATACTTCCAGGTGCAGGGACTGTCTTCGACTGCTGCCGGTGCACGATTAATTCCGCAGGCGATCGGCACCTCGATCGGCTCTTTGGGATCGGGCTTCATCATGCGCGCCAGCGGCCGGTATGCACCTCTCAATTATGTTGTCATAACAATTCAGGTTCTCTCCGCTGGGCTTATCTGCACCTTGAATCTCTACACGCCCGTGGGACTACCGTTCCTCTATTTCTTCCTGGGCGGTGCATCCTACGGTAGCATGCTAACCATCACCTTGGTGGCGCTCATTTCTGCTGTCGACCACCAGCACCATGCGGTTGTGACATCTGCCTCGTATGCTTTCCGCAGTACAGGAAGTACTCTTGGTATCACGATCGCTTCGGCTGTCTTCCAGAACACCCTGAAGCTCGGGCTTTGGTCTCGATTGGGTGAACGCGATGATGCCAAGGAACTGATCGGACGGCTTCGAGATAGCTTGGATGAGATTTGGAAGCTACCTGCAGACTTGACGACCGGAGTGCTCGATGCATACATGGACTCCTTGCGGGCTGTGTTCGTGACATTGTTGGGCGTGGCTGTGCTGGGGGCATTCACGAGCCTTGCCATGAGAGAGCACAAGCTGCACAACAACCTGGCCCGACGATAGATTGGGTATTCAATTCGGGCATGTAAAAATGTTGGAGTATTCGTTGTATAGATCGGCATATGTATATACACAGAGCCTAGGCAGGAGCCCACCTAAGTCGCGGAGGCGTGGGATTCTCATTTCAATCTTGAACTGGCATAAATTGAGCGACCTAGCAGGAATTGATGTACATGATCAAATCAATGGCCATGGTACAAGTATATGAAGTTATACGAAGCGTACGTATGTTGGACGATCTTAGGCATTGACCGCCTCCAGCTAAGAACGGAAGTGCCCAAAACACTCGCCAATCAACCTGAGCTCTTCCTGTACGGACCCGTCTTTAACCGCCATAGACCCTCGAAATAGCATTTGCTTCTCTGTCATTGGTGGATGTCCCACACGAGAGGATCCAAAATGGATCTCGGCATTTTTTCGCTGTTCAGCAACTTGTTCATTTGGTTCATTTAACGGGTGTGGCAAAGACGTGGCAACGGATCCAGACAGCTCAACGACCTCACCGCTCGAAACCGGTTGATCGCCGTTGCACGAAATAAAGCGACCTCGATTTCAATCCCGAGTTGCATGATTGGATTCTGATCAGGCCACTATCAGATAACTTATCTCTACAGGAGTACGAAAGTCCCCAATTGATCTTGTTATATCGCCTCTCGACCTCGATTCTTTCCTATACCTTTTCCTACCAAATTCCATCCATTCGATCACTTTATCCTCATACATTTTAGCCTGTCTTATTGGTTGCATTGGCATGGCAGTTGAATCTCCATCTAATATCTCACCAGTTATTAAAGGCTGTGGCATTACAAAGGGAACATCGTCAAGTGACATGGAGATAGATGGAGTCTGTGATGAGACGGTGATTGGAAACAAAGCGGTGGAAAATGCGACACCATCGCAACTTCGGCGCCGCCGTTTGCTCTTGTCGACAGATAGCGCTTTCGCCAGCACCGTCCTCCCGTCCCTCGTTCAGAACCCATACGTCGAACTCCGTCTGATCACAGACGAACCCTCCGCTTTGCTCACGGGCACCAACAAAATCCCGCATTATATGGACACGGTCGACAGCCAAACATTCGATAAGAAAACCTGCGCGCGGAAATGGCTTAAGGCAAAGACGGCGGAGCTATGCGAATGGGCCGATATGCTCTTGGTTGCGCCCATCGATGCTGGAACGTTGGGAGCAATGTTGGCCGGCTTGACGAATACCTTGACGTTGGCGCTCCTTCGTGGCTGGGTCTCAGATAAACCTGTGGTTCTAATTCCAGGAATGACAGTATCGGAATGGGAACACCCACTCAGCACCCGACAACTCGATGAAATCAGTCGTCATTGGCCTTGGATTCGCACTGTAAAGCCTGTGCTCTGGAAGTCAAACGGGCCCGAAGACCTGACGATACTACCATGGGATGGTCTGAAGGAGTTACACCAGACACTGGAGACAACATTAAAATTACCGCCGTGGGCAGCTACACTGTCCAACACAGCGACCACTCACGGGGCCACCGTCCCAGCTAAGACTACGTCGAAATCTACATCTGGAAGTGCCACCGGCTCCACGCCACAAACGAAACATACAGGCAATGCCGATTTTTTACCACTGGAAATTTGGCTGAATGTCTTTGAGGATCAACTGAGAGACTGGGAAACAGCGAAAGCCGTGGGTATTCCAACTCATCTTCCTGTCCCTCAAGAATGGCAGAGTCATCTACCGAAAATGTCCACTACAGCCTCGCTCGAGTATACCATATTGCGAGGATCCTTTGCTGCAATCAAAAAGCGTATTGATGCGCTACCTCGTTGGAAACCTCTTTCCGATCTCGCTTGCCACCTCATTGTCAAATTCTCTCGCACCGACATCCTTTCCTATCTCACCGAAAACCACCTTGACCTCCTCTGGACAACCTCTCGACTCACAAATATTCCATACCGAGCATCCGCAATCTACGGTAACCCGAAAGTATTGACATGGTGGCGTGATGCACCCGCTCTCCCAAACAAAGAGTACATGGCCGATGCCATGGATGGCGCATCCCGAGCCGGTTTCGTCGACGTACTAGATTGGTGGCTCCACTCGGGTCTCCCACTACGATACAGCGAGCGTGCTCTGGAAGCCGCCAGCGCTGAAGGTCGAGTCGCTGTACTCGATTGGTGGAAAACCGCCTCGGACAACGCCCCAAAGTCCAACCCCTTACCCCTTAAAGTCGGCAAATCCGTACTGCTCGCCGCGCAATCGGGCCGCACAGCGTCCCTTGCTTGGTGGGATGCCTCTGGAATTCCTTATAGCCACGCCGAGAACGTTGCCCGCATCGCGAGCACACATGGTCATGTCCATGTCCTTGAGTTCTGGTATAAACTCAAGGGCCCAAAGATGATCTTCGATAACCAGGTACTGGTGGGTCCTACGAAGAATGGCCACGACCACGTTCTGCAGTGGTGGAAAAGCTGCGGTCTGCGGGTTGAATTTAAGACCTGTGATATTGAGGAAGCGCTTGAAGACGCTGATCCGAGCTCTGGCGCTGAGGGTCGTGTTCGACGTTGGTGGGAACGGAATGGGCTCAATCTTGGAGTTGGTACGAGTGAGTGGATGAGATCGAAGGTTCTGTGAGAATTCATTTTGCATGACTGCATGGTTGGCTTGCGGTTTTGGTCTTTTGGCGTCTTGGGAAGGGATCTTTCCTTTCTGTTCGGTTGCGTTTTGTTCTTTTTCATATCATGACTCCAGATGACCACTCACAATACCCATTTGAATATTCACAATATCATTTTCATCGCGCGTTAGAGCTTCGAAGAAGCTCTACAAGGAATATATCTTGTCTGCGTGATTCAAATTGAATCCACTTTGTACATATCTTTTGGTGCCAGGAATCAATTTTAACTTAATTATCGAGAGAAATATATGTTGAAGTGCGAAAATACTTGCTCCATATCCAGACCTTAGAACCTAAAGATCTTGGATTGGCCCCCGGAATTGCTGAGTCAAGGGCCGTAGCTCTCCACCCAGTAAATCGCAACCATCCGACCTCCAACCTAACCAAATATTTGCCAAACAATTCTGCCGATGCTGGCACGCTGGGCGCTACGACGCACCCTGCGCGATTCAAAGCCAAGAGCAATATCAACCTACACGCGACAGCCATCGAGTTTTTATAACAACATCCCGTCAAATGACATCAATGGCCTTCACAGGATCACAAGAAAGAGACCGAACATCAATCAAAATGTACGATCAAATATTCAATCACGAAGTATAATGATGGATTCTATTCCAACCTTTGCTATACCACCTCTCATGTTCATCGGGCTCCTACTTGGTCTATGGACCTGGAAATGCTTCTGGATCATTGTCATGCAAAACAAGCTCCTCTACCTATCTTGGTTACCTCCATTCACGAGGTCTGATGCCATTTCAGACCACGAGGCCGAGTGCAGACCAGTGCGGTGGGAGGAGAAGCAAATTCGCAGTTTAGATGGGACCAAATTGGCTGTTTGTGAGGGCCACATTCCGGTTCCTCATATGGACGATGGCCTTTGGAAAACTAAAGATCAGGGGAAACTGACCCTCAAACGCAAAAAGTCCATTGTGATCTGCTACTTCCAGGGCAATGGTGGATCAACCCCTATGCGATTGCCTCTTCTTTCTCACGTCTTGCGCGCAATTGCGGAGACGTCACAATCAACTTCATCTCCTATATCTGAATCCCAAGTCTCTCAATATACCATCGCTGCTCTATCATACCGCGGCTACTGGACATCGTCTGGTCGCGCCACACAGTCCGGCATTGAGATGGATGCTCAGGCATTCTTGAATTGGGTTTCGGAAACATATGCGACCCCAGAAAACGATCTTGAGATTGTAATTTGGGGACACAGTCTGGGTGCTGCTATTGCAAGCTCAGCAGTATGTACCTATATTGCCCGCCAACACGAGGGACAAACCTCAAACACAAGCAGTCACAAGCCCCTGGCGCCTATTACCAGGCTCATTTTGGAAGCGCCAACATCCAGCATTAAAGATATGCTCATCAGCCTATATCCTCAGAAATGGCTCCCCTACAGGTATCTTTGGCCGTTCTCCTGGAATACCTGGGATATCAAGGCGAAGATGAAACAAATGACTACATGGAGAGACCAGCCTGGATCTCAAATCGCCGACTCTGGCGCTACGCCAACACCTCGCTCACTTCCGCCGATTTTCCTTATATCTGCCGAGAAAGATGAAGTCATCCCATCATATGTACCAGACCAATTAGAACAACACGCCAAATCCCTCGGCTTGCAGATGGAGCGAAAAGATGTTCTAGGCGCTATGCATATAGAAGCACCACTAAAACTGGATGGCAGGAAGGCACTGGTGCAATTTATCCTGAACGGCGCAACCGCGCCCAGGACATAAACTAATAAAATAGGTACATAGATGAAATATAATTTACTCCCATTTCTCAATACGTACATGCTTAACCTCAGCACCCTTCATCAAAGCCTGAGTCTTCCTAAACTCCTTCGAAACCTCCGACCCAGCAAAATCAAAATGATCCTGCACTTGATTCCACCCACTGAAAAGAACAAACTCCTCATCATCACCCTCTTTATCGATACGCCACGCACCACACGAAGTAAACGGCGCCGTGGAGGCATTCAAATCAGCCACTCCGGCCTTGAAAACAGCGTCGAATTCATCCTTCTTGTTCGCCTCGACAAAGCATCGCGTTATAGCGATAACAGGTGCATCCAGTGGGATTTTGGATGTAGATGGCTGTTCATTGGGTTAGACTATTTTCAGTAACACAACGAATTACCAAGTTCATTATCAAGAAAAACTCACATCAAGATCCAAGTGGAACATCCAGCTATTAGCAAAATTCTCTTTCACGCTCGCGTACAGGTTCTTATTTTCTTCGGATGACCACTGGCCTCCGTCATGTTTGTCGATAGAGTCCCACCCGCCCAGTAGATAGAAGAATTCTGGGTCTTCAATTTGGCGGAGGTATGTGACTTTATGGCCTGAGTATTCTGATATTGTCTTCTGGACTTGTAGGGCAGTGCTTTTGGCGGATGGGGAGGGGTCTTGCGCTTTTTGGCGGAGGAGGGCGAGTTCGGTTACCGGCATTTTATGTTTTTGAATAGATGATCTATTTTGGTGTAAGGAATATGTACAGATTGCCTGAAATTATTGGGGTACGTTGTTTTATAGGTCTCCTTGTCTAGTCCGTCGGGGTTCCCGCGAAAGAGGCCGAAAAGAGAGCGAGGGGGCGGGGGCGCTTAGCTAGCAGGCGTCTTCGAGTTAGTTCTCGGCGGTATTTGACTAATCATTAATTTCATGTGTTTCATGTGTTTCATAGAAAGGGTGCTGTTGGATTTATCAATGGATTGGAATGTTGGGGTTTAGGGTTACAAGTTAGGGATTCTTTCATACGAAGCCAGTATATATCTTTGCCCCGGATGTTAAGGAAGGGATCACCGAATTGCGTGCAATAAATTGAATTTCCAATTGATTTAAGAATATACACCCAAGACGCCAATGATCAAAATGGATATTCACCTTTCAGTAACACGATAGCCAATAGCTTTGGGTATACCGATCAAGCACCAGACCAGACAATGTACGAGAACCAAAACCGCAAAACGCAAGAGTACAAAACATCCGAAATTCATCTTTGTAATCGCATGGATCAAACCTCTTTCCTGTGGGGACATTAATAAGATGAGACGTGATAAGAGGGTGGGGAGTGACGTACCAGGTATGTTCGGTCTTCTCAATGCCCGGGGTCTTAATAGCATTCTTGTCTCCAAAAGGATTATCTTCATCATCCTCTTCTTCCGACTCACTCTCGCTCTCAAAGATTTGGCGTGAGTGTTGCGACGAAGATGCAAGAGGCAGACTATCAGGACGATTTGGCCGTGGCGGCTTTGGAGGATTGATATTAAGCCCCGCAAGGCCGTCATGCAGGTCGTCGTCAAGTCCAAGTCCATGTCTTTGCTTCCAATTGCCATCCAAAATCTCGTCCTCACTATCACTGTCATAATCCACGCTCTTGTCTAGCACCTCGAATGCCATCAATGCATCTACCAGCTCATCGTTTGCATGGATCAAGCCACCCAGGAACTCTTCGGTTTCTATGTACTGAATATATCGAAGAATCCCATGACGAAGCTGCTTGCATGTCTCGAATCGGTGGATACATTCCGCATCCTCACTCACTCGGTGCGTCTCGCGATTGACAAGTTTAAGGGCATTTAACAGGTTGGTGCTAGCAACGGAGGAGGCAGCAAGTGCCTGCAAGATCTCCGGGCGCTCCTTTTCCAAATCAAACCTCTTGCTGCTAATTGATAGTTTCTTATCCTTCTTGACTTTCTTGGGCTTCTGTTTGGGGCTGGTCAGCAAAGTGGCTGGTCCACTGCCTCCTGACACAGATACAACATGACCCATCGGGGGCTCGTTTGCATGTGCAGCCGATCCCTCGCGGAGAACCTTGGCTTTTGCCTGCGTCGCAGGCTGCTTTCGCTTGGGAACTTGTTTGTATAGTGCTGTGACCTTCGCCATACCAGGGGTATCCTTATAAGTTGTCGCCCATTGTCCAAAAATCTGTTTGCATTTCTGTTTCACGAGTGGATCTGAAACGGAATCAGTAGCTGCGATTCGCAGACGTTCGAGCAATGCCTCGTCGGCGAAATCGCGGAGGAAGCGCTCTCCTGCATTTTGAACCAGGAAGTCGAGAATAGTAAGCGCGCGAAGTTGTCGATGGATGTTTCCATATTTTCTGGACTGGTCAGGCGGATTTTTCAGCTCGTTAATAGTCGTAGACTCACAGCTTCTTGCGAAGAGCCCGACTTGCTTCCATCGGGCCACTGGCCTGGATGCGAACTACTTCCACCAGATCGACAATACCGCTGGAGTCTTCCACCTCATATTGTTCGCTCGTAAGGACTTCGATTTGTACGGTCACTGCCGAATATGGTTTCTATTGAAAGCCCCATCAGTCGGGGCCGGAAGGTGTATGATCTAAACGCAATAACTTACGGAGGATTGGAACATTCTGGCCTAGTCAAAAGGATAACCTCTGTAGTAGTGTGTACTTGGTCTGAGTAGGAAACGGTGTTGGGAGTTGAAGATTTCGTTCCTGGAATCGAACAGCCCACAATCACCCCGCGTTGCGATGTCGGTATAGAGATAACCCCGCACGGCGTTTACACAAAGGTTTCGCAATAATTTGGTTATATATGGAGTATCGGTAGTGATGGGATACAGATTGATTCGCTAGAAAAATAGGAAAAGAGATTAACCGAGTGAAATCCAACATAAGGTTTCAAAGAGCTTTCGCGATACCTTCACGTGGTGTCGGTGACGTCGGAGGCCCCAGGGGTGTCTTGGCGTTAATCTGATAAGCGCAATGAAGGTGCGGCGAGCGCAGAAAGAATATGTAGTCAGCTCCTAATTTGTTTAAGGGTCTAAATTTCAAATGGGCCTTGTTACAGGGGAAGAGAAGAGCCGAAACAATGAGACAGTTTAAGCTTATCGGCTCCTCGTGACCATTTCGGCCCAAAGGGGATTAGGGCGGGGGAATTTTGCCTGAGGCCAACTATGAGAAGGAGGCCGCGAATGACGACTTCAGCAAACCAATCTATTAGCCAATAAGACCTCGAGAAAGAGTAGTCAATTCTGGCTACATTTCTTGCCAGTTGATTTCGGATGAAGCTTTCTGCACACCGAGCAGATCCATCTCCACGTTCCTATTTGTTACGCGTACTGTCCCGCTTCGTGGTCTGCTCCACCCTCATTCTCGTCGTCAGCGTGGCTCTGAAATCCCGCTCTCGTCTCTCCCTCCTTCTCCCCCACTTCTCCTCCAACCATCCTACAGCCATGTCTTACCAACAGGAACGTTATATTGCCGAATTGGCCGTCCAGCGGGCATGCCTCCTCACACAGAAGGTCTTCTTCGAGAAGGCTAAGGGCACAGTCTCCAAGGACGACAAGTCCCCCGTTACCATTGGCGACTTCGGTGCTCAAGCCCTGATCATCTCAGCCATCCGCAAGAACTTCCCTAATGATGAGATCGTTGCCGAAGAGGAGGCCAGCACCCTACGTGAGGACAAGGACCTCAGCGCTGAGATCTGGCGCTTGGTCAAGGACATCAAGCTGGATGATGCAGAGAGTGACAATATTCTGGGTGGACCCCTCACCAGTGAGCAGAGCATGCTGGACATTATTGATAGCGGCAACAGTGCCGGTGGACCTAAGGGCCGCATCTGGGCCCTTGATCCCATCGACGGCACCAAGGGCTTCCTCCGTGGCGGCCAGTACGCCGTCTGTCTTGGTCTGATGGTTGACGGTGACGTTAAGGTCGGTGCTATTGGTACTCCTAACCTTCCCGTCGATGATGCTGCCCCCATTGATGCCAGCACCGGTGTCCAGCAGTCTGCGACTGCCGGCAACGGTGTCCTGTTCTCCGCTATCCTGGGTGAGGGTGCCACCAGCCGTCCTCTGACCAGTGGTACTCTTGCTGCCAGCAAGCCCATCTCCATGCGCCCCGTATCCAAGATCTCCGACGCTGTCTTCTGTGAAGGTGTTGAGGCTGCTCACTCCGCCCAGGGTGATAACGCTGCCGTTGCTCAGCTTCTTGGCATTACCGCCCCTAGCGTGCGACTGGACTCGCAGGCCAAGTACTGCTCCATTGCCCGTGGTGCCGGTGACGTCTACCTACGTCTCCCCGTCAAGAAGGACTACCAGGAGAAGATCTGGGATCACGCCGCTGGTGACTTGATTGTGCGCGAGGCTGGTGGCCAGGTGACTGACATCTACGGAAACCGCTTGGATTTCAGCAAGGGCCGGACCTTGGCTGTCAACAAGGGTGTCGTTGCTGCTCCCAAGGCCCACCAGGACCAGGTCATTGATGCCGTCAAGACCGTTCTGAAGTTGTAATTGGGTTATGATTTTTAATTTCGTCGCCTCTTCCACTGCACCTGAGCTCCCGGGGAGCAGAATCAGTTTGAAGTAGATTTGTGATACCATCGCTTGTGAGAGGAATAAAAAAAATACATATATGACGATAAGAGTACAAACCACGGAACCAAACACAAAATGTCCCGCGTAGTTGAAAAGAAATGCGCCTCCAGTCTATTTGATCTTCTTCGCCTTGAGCTTGATAGTCTCTCCGTTGACGAAGATACCCTTGCCCTTGTATGGCTCGGGGCGTCTCCATTCTCTGATCTCGGCTGCGAATTGGGTCACAACCCGCTTATCGACACCCTCCAACAGGATTCTGGTAGGCTGCGGTGTGCTCGCGGTAACGCCCTGGGGGATACCTAGTTCAATTGGGTGGGAGAAGCCGACCTTAAGGGAAACGAACTTTTGGCCGGGGTAGGTGGCTTTGACAGTGGATGCCTTGTCCTCGATGGTCGCCCTGTAACCGACACCAACCATACTCAAGACACAGACGTGGCCTTCGGAGACACCGAGGATGTGATTCTGGAGGAGCGCGCGAATGGTTCCTGGATAGAAAAACAAACTGTTAGACAATGCCTTGCTGTGACTGGACCGCCGCGGAGAAAAGTCAGGAGAACATACCCCACATAGCACGCTGGTGAGGGACCTCCTGGTCCAGGATTGACAAGGTAGCCTTCTGGCCTGTCTCATCGGTGGTGATGTTGACGAACGAGGGAATGCTCAGGCTCATCTCGCCTGTGGATCGGAGTAGTTAGCGTCCATTGACCGGACGACATCTCAGGAACGGCAAATTACCTTTAGGCCCCTTAATCTCAGCAATAAACTTGGGGATGTCCTTTCCTCGTGTCCGGGTCACAGTCGCCGGAAGATCGATAAGCTTAAATGACACCTCCGGGGGGATGGAGAGTGCGGCACCTCCGACTCGGGACTGCGCTGGGGATGTGGTTGAGAAGCATTGTGTGCGGGGGGAGAAGGCGGGAGCGAGGAAGACGGGTAGGGAGCCGCGCTGGAAGGGCTCTCGAAGAAGCTGGCGGGCGCAGCGTTGGGGTATGGAGCACGACATTTTGATTTGCGCGTGTTCGTCGGATGCTGAGTTGCGGACTTTGGATTTTGTTCGCAAATGGGTTACCTCAATGGGTTTAGCGTGCACGTGACTATCTATATAATTTGCTCCTTTTTGTGTATTTCGAACATCATGATCTCAATATCATCAAATATGCTCTCGACTGCGGAGATGATCAAATATTCGAGTTTATTGCGTCCAGAAATTGACTTTATATTAGACACTTCTTGTTGTTAGATGCCTCTACTGTCAAAAGTTGCTAAACTCGGGACCAGTAAATTCAGCTCTCGACGCCTATTCCGATTCTTTCTTGCACCACCAAGTCAAGGAAAACAACGAAGAAACACAATTCATCCAAATACAAGCAGCTACGCCTTTTGACACTGGCATTCTTCGAATTCACATCGACCAGGCTCCATAACTCTAGCCACACCACCAACTCAACAACATCAACGTCCAACTCGTTCCCAATGGACTCTTCCTCGGTGTTCAATCAAGTTATCCTTCCGATTGAAAGACATGGCGCATGCAGGGCAATCGAATGACCGCGGATTCACATGCTGCGTATCGATATGACGCATCAACGCTGGTTTTCCGGAGAACGGATTGGGGTATGTACAGTCCTTCCAATGGCATTCAAAGGATCTTTGTGGTTTCCTAAAATAAATGGAATGGTATTAGTGACTATTAGATTCTGATGGTGGATCAGAAGGTTGCTCACTCTTGTTTCTGCTGCCGTCCTCGGTTACGACCAGAATATCCCTTCCCCTTGGTAGAGCTATCGCTGGTAGCTCTGACCTTGGATGTCAATTGACCAGACGAAGTAGATGCTGGTGAAGTGGCACCGGCAATGACGTGCCTAGGGCCAGCATGGCCTGCTGGGGCCATGGTTGCACACCCATCATTAGATCGAGATTGGTGCATGACATTGTGAGTGAAGCGACACCGATCGGAACAAGAAGACAAAGTCGAAGATGCAGGGAAGCTAGATGTAACGGATTCATTGGGGTCTGTATATAGATGGGGATTCTCAGATACCAGAGATGGCTCCGCCAGTATGGAGGTCGATGATTGATAGGCAAGAGGGACATGGGGGGAACAGTTGATGCGACTTATGGCCCAGTCAATGCAGTCATAAACATCTGACGCCTGCAAATGATCAACGTGGGTGAAAGAAGGCGATGCCATACTAGAAGACTATAGAAGAAATAGAATCAAATGTTTTGAGCATTCTAGTGTGGAGGAAAAGGTTTATATAACACTCTCTGCGTCTATTACTAACTAGCAGTCATTCTCTAACTATAGTCAGTCAAAACCCCCCAAAGGGCCTTGGCTACCCAAGTAGTTTAGTAGTTATGCAAGATGGCGCTTAACTTCTCACCTGGCATTTATATTGGACTAATAATTCCTTGGCAATGCAAGGCCGACCTAGGATATGCCCGGGTGAATGTAACCCTTCATCACGTGGTAGCCCTTTTTATAGATGACCTACATATATGTATACAACTGTACGTAGCCGGAGAGCTCGCTTAATAGTACGATTACTACCCACTACTATGAACTTCACCCCGCAACCTTGAAATGACGATCAAGGTCCCTAGTCTGGCCCATATGTAGATTCGCTTTTGCTGGTCCGTCTTCCCATAGGGCTGCTTCAGGAGATGATAATGATAATGTTGTCCGTGATTACGACTGTTGCTTGTCGCATTTCTTACACGTGTTGCATCTGCTATCTATCATTTACAACATATTCGTATATACATTTTTCGTATAGTATCGCTATAGTGCATTCAATACAAAGTATGTAAACAACAATAATATCATTCTCTCAAACGCAAGGAACCCGGTCTACCAGTTGCCCTGTGTCTAAGCATATGGAATCCCTGAGTAAAAAGAAAAAGTCATTGCGCAGATTGACCAGCGATCAGAACGGCACGCCGGGTCTACACAATATGGAAGGCAGGCAACACGAAGGCAAGCAGGTTGAGGGATAAGAGATACACCGCAGACTATCAACCCGCTAGACTAACATGTCCACCGTACCTTGTAGGAATAAAGCAGTCAACAATCTATTAGACATCAATAGTGGATGAATTTGTGTAGTTTTATCTCGTATAGTGATGAAACGGCTAGTTGGTAATGGAGAGTCCATATAAATCCTATATTAAATCACCCTCTAACTCTTAACCATTTAGTAACGACTGTTTCACTATTTGAAGAGAAAAATCAGAATACAAGAAATCAACCAGCCCTGAGTGTTGAGGGGTTATTCTCTAAAAGTAAGGGCAGAGTGAGGGCGCGGACGAAATAAATTTGTTGTCAAGTCTCACTTTCTAAACAAGTCATCTTTCTATCCTTTACCACTCTCCCCACATCTTCCTCTATCACTCTCCCCATATCTTCCTACACCCATTCATCTCATACACTATACACGAGCGATAATATTACAGGCTAGATCTCTCACTATGAGACCAATCGATAGCTTCCAAATCCTTTTCTATACCATTCTCGCACTTGCACACCTCAGTCGAGCAAGTGTCCCTCTTCACAGCAAGTCATTCGAGCATGTCTCACAAGAAGATGCGCCAATTCATGCGCGCAAGTCGCCAGACATCGACGCAATCTCTTTCCTCAGTTCCCGATCGCAAGACGAAGACAGCATCTTCAATGAAGCCGTCAAGATTATAGACTCGATGAAGTCTTCACCTTCATGCAACAGACTTGCTGCAACTAAACTAGTGGACTCGTGTCAAACATTTAGCGACGGGAAAGACGACGCGCAGACTGATACCTCAGACACCCTCGACCTTCTTCGATCTGTTTATGCCGCACGCCTGGCGTTGTGTGAGATCGACGGTGCTGGCACCCAAATGCCTCCCTCATGCCTTCCAATCACTGTGTCTCCGCCTCCACAGAAGAATCGATTCGGCTTTCTGAGTCGGCACGGGAAATCTGACCCTGTCTCGGATGAACCCCGGAAAGAATTATTGGAGCAATGCCTCAGGACGCTTGAGTCGCGACCCCAGTGGTGGACTTCTTACAGCAACAGTCGACAGAATGCCCTTGTGATCTGCCATGCCTCGCGAATGGAGACGGAAAAAGAGGAGCTTATTGAGCTGCACCGATCCATTGCCAAGAGCAGTCTCAAGCTCAACAACGGGCTTCAAGAGGCTCTTCAAGATGCAGCTGCACGGTCTGCGCAGCAGCAAGCGTTTATACAAGCTGTGCAATCTCTACAAGAGAAGATTGTGGCCGATATGGAAGAGACAGGGTCTGTGTTCAAAGGAACATTCGGCAAATTTCTTCGAGAAATGGAAGCTAGAATACGGTCCCTCCAAGATTCTATATCTGTGGCATTGTCAAATGTGCGGACTGGAACAGGGATCCTTGAGAAGGTAAAATTGGAACAAAGCCAATCGAAGATGAAACAGGTACTGAATTTCAACTAGGATATCCGGAATGCATCAGCCCAGGTGGTAGAACTTCAAGATGCTCTACAGAATGCACACCAAGACGCAATGTCTAGAAGCCAAGAGATGTCGCAAGTGCAAGAAACCAATGCCGTCGCTCAGAAAGATCTCGCCTCAGATATGGACAGAGTGTACCGGGGCATGCAGCAATTCGATGCTGCTATGGTGTGCTAAATATGGATTTACCCTTTGGTCTATACTGTCAGACTAACCTTTTACCCCTTTTCATAGGAATGGTTGACCAGTCGAATGAACATGATTCTGGAACAAGAAACCAGGATGGCAGAGGTTAGAATAGCTTTACACATATCGACACTCTCACTGACTTTCAAAGCGACTTCAAAACATGGAAAACTTTATACAGCAATCTGAATTAAAAGCAAGCGAGCTGCAAAAGGCTCAGAACCAACAAACAGAGGCACTATCGGCACAATCGCGGGCCCAAGAGGCCATTCAATTCCACGCGCAAATATCACAGGCTTTGCTGGCCAAAACTAGCGTTGCCGCTGCCAATTTGCAATCTGTCATCGACGATGCAGCCTACAAGTCCAAACATCTCCCGAGTTTTGGTATCGGAGGATCCTCCGCGTGGTCTCTCTGTGCTCTCCTACTTATCGTTATTGCGGCCCAGAACATTAAGATTGCAGTGGCATTATTTTTTCTTATATTAGGTATGTGTGTATCCTTCAGGATGAAGACTGATTGGTGCTAATACAATGTGGCTTAGGGCATTCTATTGCCATTACTATCTTCAAATTTCTCTAGTTATACACCCCTTACGTGGTTTACGAACCTGATTTCATTGATACCCCAGCGTTATTTCCTTTTTGCATTTCTACTTTCTTTTCTATTTTTCTATCCCTGACCTTTATGCTTGAATCGCTTATGCTTGGAATCTCGGAATTCAGTCATTACATATCTATAGCAAACAATTTGATTTATTCGGAACTATGTATCTCCCCTTTCCGCTAATGGTCTAAAAGGGGTGTTTTAGACAGATAAAATGTGTAAATTAGCATAGCCACAATAGCTGTTAAGAGGCCAAGATAAGCTGCGGGATAGGCCCCCCAGTTATACCACCAACAACCAATAGAAGTTAATCCTTCAGACATCGGAAACGAAGTACGAAATGAATTTAAAAAAACAAAAATAAAATAAAAAGCATAGATGGGGGTCACGTGGGACTAACTAGATCGACTGAGCGCTTCTCCTCCTTTTCGATTCGCAACACGTTCCTACATCTATCAAATACCCCTTAAACCCGACATCGTTGATCAAAATGCCTGGTGTTCGTGAGTGATCCCAACTATTCCCCTATACTCCCGACCCAACATTTGGCGTTCCTCGGAACCACAAGTACACAGCGCTAACAACCCCTTAGCACCCGACGCGCTCGAGCAAGTCAAGAAGGGCTTCAGGCGCTTCTTCAGCAGCCGCAAGAAGTCTAAGAAGCAACCCGCCCAACAGGCCGAGCCTGCTCCTGCTGCGACAACTGCTGCCCCCGTCGCTGCTGCTGCTGCGGCCAGTGAGACAGCTCCCGCGAAACCCACCGCCCCCACTGCCACTCCGGACTCTGCCCCAGGTATGACTCTTATCGCATATTTGCTTTGTTTGCTTTTTGACAGCCAACTAACTTGTTCATCTGTTATAGATGCTACCAAGGCGCCCGAGGCACAGGATGCGGCCGCTGCGGCCCCTGTCGCCCCTGAGATGACCGCTACTGCCGGCCCCGTCGAGACTCATTACGAGCCCGAGCCTGCTGCTTCTGCTGCTGCTGCTCCTGCCCCTGCCGCCGCCGCCGCCGCCGCCGCTGCTCCTGCACCTGCTGCGCAGCCCGAGGCCGCTGTTACTAAGCCCGAGGAGCCTGCTGCTCAGAGCGAGACCCCTGCTGCTAAGCCCGAAGAACCTGTCAAGCCCGAGGAACCTGTCGCTAAGCCTGAGGAGGCTGCTGTGAAGCCCGAGGAGCCCGTCGCTAAGCCCGTGGAATCCGCTGTTAAGCCCGAGGAACCAGTCGCTAAGACCGAGGCCCCTGCAACCGAGGAACCCGCTGCCGTACCCGAGGCCACTGCCGCTGCACCTGTGGAACCTGCCAAGACCGGTAAGTCAATTGTCCTAACGAGGTACAGGATAATGCTAATAGCGATGCTAGATGCACCCGCTAAATAGAAGTGTGAGTATCCACTCAATTGGCGAGAATAGGTCCTTTCTTTGCGAGTCTGATCTAACTTGCGAGTGCTTTTTTTCCCGCTCTCTATTTCGTTTCATACCCTCAGCGTTGTACATTATTCATTTCAGCGATGCTTTGCATGCTTTTTCCATATCGGTTTCGATCAGACGGCTCAATATCATGCAAATCATCCATTTAATACTCCTTGCGACAGTAAAACTCCCCGCTTAATTCAACATATTATGCTATTGTTGCTAACAGGAAAGGTGAAAATCAACACTCCCACGGGTATCATATTAAATCTATCATGATGCTAGATTTCATTCCTCCCCGCCAGAGGAATGATCATCGCCATCCGCCATGACAACATCTTCAACGCTGACACCCGCCGCTGCAGCCTTCTGCTCTCTGGCTTTTTGTCTGCGCTTAAGTTTCCTCTCGCGGTTCTTCCGAGTCCTCTTCTCAGCTTCATTTTCCTTAGCAGCCTGTGCGGCTGCAGCCCGCTTGCGCAGCTGTACTCGGCGCTTCTTGCCTGGCTTCTTGCGTGTAAGTGGGCTCTTCGAGAGAGGTACACCTTCTACCACGTAGACAGGAAGGCTGTTGGCCGGCCGTGGCATTTTGGTCTGATGTCGCTTGAGATGAATGACTCGCCAGGGGAGATGGCAGCCGGGCTAGACGTCAAATTAGCAGATATAAAACTAGTCATATAGATATTCACTTACCCAGACAAGCGAGTTGGCCCATGTCAGCATGTGCTCACCGCTAACAGCCATATCCTCAAATTGTTTCTTCTTTTCCGCTATCCGACTCTCGTCTTCGGCGGTAAGTTCGCCACTCCTTGTGCCTTGTAGAGAAGGTGTAGAGAAGTAATAATCCCACCCGCGGGAGGCTTTCACAAATCGTCCCTCGCCGCCTCCAGAGCCCGGTGTAGGTGAATGCAGTCGAATCCTCAATTTTTGAGTAGTGGGCACTAGTTTTTCCTCTGTACTTTTCTCATCTGTCTTGGCCGCATCTTCCGTTGATTTGGCGGGGGCGCTGAATAGCCGGAACTCGAATTCTTGTTCCTCATCCTCGTCCTCCGCGGGTTGGTTGTCCTGACTAGTTGTCTGCTGTGCATTATCCAGTTGATCGAGATTGAGTAGTTTTCCTAGCCGGGCGTATGCATCCTGGGCGACCGCGTCGTCTGGTGCTGGTGACGGCGATCGGGATGACGCTGGAGAACGCATCTCATCGCGGCGAACACTGTATAGATCAGATTAGTTGGTATATTAAGAAAGACCTGTATATATTGCTTGACATACCGCTTAGCATCTGGTAGATCAAACATGGTGTGTGTGGTGTGGAGAGGGAACAGATCAGATCAAAATGCCCAAGAAAAACGATGTTTCCACGGCTGCGGCCACGGCCTAATGACATGGCACGGGCCGCCCAGCCTCAACCTCCGACTTCGACGAAGTCCTTTTGTCTACAGTGTGACTCTCTACTGCGCCATTTGTTTCATTTCATATTCGTTTTCTGCATATTCCACATTCTTTACCTTCCGATAATCCCCTCTTCTCCAAAGGATACTCACACCTCAACTATTGGGGTTAATGCCTGTATCCATCTAGCGCAAACGTGCAAGACCATCCCCGGTTCTGAATTCCCGATCCCACTCATAAATGGGTATCTGTGCCTCCTGTCTCGGCGGAAATCGCCATGAATCTCCTGAGGTAAGTCCCAAGTCTGGAGCTAGGTTCACTGTCACCATGTCGCATGACCTCAGTCTGATGCGTGATGCGCAATACATGAGATGCTTATCAGCGAATGCAACGTCTAACCTTCTTCCTTCCAGCCTGAATCCGCCCGTCTACTCGAAGAAGATCCTTATCAAGCCGGCTATGGCTACGGAGCACTGAACCATGCCCATCAGGCCAGCCAGCCGGATTCAGAATACGTGAGACGTGAGAGGGAAGCGCTGGAATCCATTTGCCAGCGGACATCTGAGTGAGTAGAATACAATACTTTCATGGCAAAGACACGATCGCAATTTATACTGATTTCTCAGCTCCGTCATTGATATCTGGTCCCTCCAACCACAACCACACCTTCAACCCCAAGCAACCCTCCACACCCCGATATCAGCATCTCCAGTTCCATCACAAAGAACCGATAGAATAACACATGCGGTATCTACCCCGCGCACATCACCACCAAGTCGTCCCACATCAGGCACATCAGGCACCGTCCCGAAACACTGGGGTGAAGTTGTCGTGAACCCGAATAAGAAACGGTCTCGGGCTGATATCAAAACGGATGCGAATGTCAGCCATGATGTGTTTGGCGTTCTGAACGTCACCTAAAATGCTGGGGTATGCATCGCTGCACATTGACGATGACGCTGTACACGACAAAAAAAGGCGTGAGGATTACAAGCGATGCAGATAAGGGTACTGGAAGACCCGTTTTCATTATGTTCTTGCGCTGAGTGATTTTTTTGCATTGATCGCAGGTCGACTGGTTTTTCGCACATACATAGCCATTCCTTCTTTTCCCTCCATTCTTGGTCTGATAATACCCAATGGCGCAGACTTTTTCTTTTGTTATCAGATTTTCTTTGACATACCATGCTCTTTTTTCTACTGGCGTGTTTTGAGTTTCTTTGTCATATCATCTTGTCAGTTATGCACTGTCTGTATATTGTTTTTTAAGTACTGGACTTGATCATTTGTTTTTGCATAGACACCAATTCCAATTCATTATCGAATTACTCGTAAATTATGACTATGTACGTAGGTGCTGAAAGTGCCAATCCTTCTAGGGGGGTATATCGTAGAGTCAATTCATATAGAAGTTCAACTTTGGATGGGATGGTTTTTGTAGGCATCCTATTTGAAATTTACTATACACTCGATAGTTCATGGTTTGAAGAACCATCCCCATAACTATGAGAGATTTGGCATCAATTATTCAACCCATCACTCCACCAGTAACTACCGCAAATGCCTGGGTGGACCGAAATCGATAATAATAAGCGAGGAAAAAGAAAAAAAAATAGTCATTGATAGGGTAAAAAGAAATGGATACATGACAACTCCCCTATGATAGAAAAGAAAACGCCCGCTGATACCCAGCACCGTGATGGATATTGAAGAGAGGATGCAATATGTTCGTGTCGGGTCGATCCCGAGCCCGGAAACCTTCGCACTGCAAACTATCAGACATCGTCCATTGTGCCCGCAGGCTCTTCGCCGCCAGATTCATAGCTTCCCGCCGAGCTGAGCTCATCTTCAGACTCGGTGTCCTCGCCTGCTTCATCCACGGCTTCTTTGCTGGCGTATTTGGCAACATATTCTAATGGATTGTCAGTATGGCATAATACTGAACATGGTATTTTATTGTAACACACCTTTGACCTTCGCTTCGTATGCCTTGGGCTCACGCATCATCAGCGCTGCTGCCTCCCCGTTGAGTGGATCCGAAGGGTTGGGGTAACGGAGGAGCTGAGGAAGGAACACTTCGAAAATGTTGTGCATGTCGTACATTGGCGACCAGGTTTGGTTGATCACATCGAGGCAGACCGAGCCAGATCTATGTCAGAAAATGGTATTAACTCTGACACTCCACACTTCTCGAACCAACATTAACTCACAGCTCATCGATGTTTGGGTGGAAGATTCTGTTGACAAATCCGATGCTAGGGCTCTTGTATGGGTATTGATCAGGCAATTCGACGTGGATTTTCCAGTGGCCTCCGGTGAATGGTGCTAATAAGATTAGTATGATGTAATGTCGGTTGATTATGAGCGGCACATACTCTCTTCCGGGCCCTTAAATCGAACGTAGAATTCTTGCCTGTTGATAGTAATTGGTATCGGAGGCGTTCAAATGGTTCAAATGTGGATGGTAGGGATAAAATACATACACTAGATAACCAAAGTTAGCGTATAGATCCATAGCTGACAGAGAGCCACAACTTACTGTTATCATTGACCAGAGTCACCTCATAGTCACTCATCAGCCTAGATATACCGTCAGATTATTGTCCAACAGCTAAGTATGCCCGCCGAGGCCGACTAAAAAGGTGGGGAAAAGCGGCGCAAAGGGGATGGGGATTGTCGGTCGTACATCCTAGCTCAAGGTTAGTGGCTGTATATTTGGGATATCTTTGGACTTATAAAGCATACTTCATGACCTGTAGAATGAAAAACAAGCGTTATTAGTATCTCCGGCAACGCTGGGGGCTTATCGGACTATCCGCAACATTACTCACATCAGTCTCGATTCTGCGCTTTGGGCTACTCATGTTGGCGGTTTGAATAGCAATAGCAAATTCTTCGGAGATATTATCGGCTGTGGGCTTTCACAGCGAAAGCAGACCAGGAGCGTTAAAGTGCCGTGATCACTGGAGCAGATATTCGGAGTCGGAGCGGGGAAGTAAAGGGCGGGGCAGGTAGCGGACTTTGAAGTAGAAGTAGAGTAGTTAAATGGTGAACAGGGACTAGAAAACGGACAGAAATATCAAATCTCAGAGAAAGTTTCACTTCTCAGACCTAGGTAAACGAGACAAGGAGAAGAGAATCTTGGATGAATGATTTAGATCGGGCATGATGAGTCGATGACTCAGCGGCCGCCATGACGATGACTGGTATAGGTGGATCCATCAATGGATGTAGGTCCATGCCTCTAATACTTGCTTTATATTCACTCTAATAGTATTGCCGAGGGAATAACCATACCAATCATCGGTTAGTTATACGCCTGTAGGTTGCTAATTGCGGCTATTCAACATGCTAACGGTATCTGTGATGCAGAATCACAACCAGAACAGTACGGAAGCCGTAAAAGTCAGTCTGCGCGATTGAACGCTTTTCTTTTACAACATATATCATCTGGTCGAATCACAGTAATCTATGTTTGGCCAGAGAATCTATATGAAATCAAAATGGATAAGCTATACTTGCATGCTTTATTATCCTCTAGTTAAGTTAGATATAGTCACGTGGTGCCACGTGACAGGCTGCCCCAATGCCATCTTCTTCAGCCGAACATTTTTGGCTCTATTAGGACTCCTATAGGGGCTGGGTTATCCGTCATTGGGTTCATTGAGATGTACTCTAGATTACTCTCAGCAATTTTTCAATTATAGTCAAACATTTCTCAATTACTGCCACAATAGGAAGCTCCACTGCCTCAAGTGGACTACGTGGAATCAATATATTCAGACACCTACAACAGGACAACTAGCGTACAATGAAAGAGGGTGGGGTTAAAAAACCCCCTATCCATGTATTCCGTGGGATCTGTCAGTGACTACTGAACTCCAAGAGTCCAGTCACCAACTTATCAGGACTCGCACGAGAACTGGCAGTTGGATTTGTATTCGGACCTTCGAAGGCCTCAACAACTTGCTGTTGATGATATCGATATAGGACTTGAATAATCTGAATATCAGTTGATTTAAGACAATATTACAAACACTTCAACCAAGATTCCACTGCAGTGTCATTTGATATGTCTTCTTTAATATCCTTTAGGGTAACTAGTCGCAAATTATAGAACAGGGCAAAAGGCACAGGCCTGACAAGTCGACTTGTCCATACGAAGGTTTACTATCCATATGACTAAGAAACAAATGAACAGTAAAATATGACTAGGATATGTTGAAATAAGACCATTGAGTATAAGCAAAAGTGCTCAAAACTACCAACGAGAATACATGTCATACATGCTTCCCCATCCTTCAGGATCATCATTATGACCTGTAGGCTTGTTATAATTTCCAGCACCCCGAACAGTCCGTCCCATTGCCACCAATCTCTTAGAAACCTCATTCGCCTCAAACAAACTGACAAGTCTTCTCTTTCCAGGCCGTTCCCGAGCCCGTTCCTGACACACCCGAAGCATAACCTTTTCTTTGTCGTACTTGACCCTGGCACCGGGAATGAAGAATTGAGGATCACGCTGAACGGCATGTTGCCACTCAGGGTGTGTGGCCGAAGATGCCGGAGGACTGACAGGCGGCGCAGCGGTACACTTATTGACCCAGGCGTCAACTACCATCTCCATGGGAGTCGTACCAGTGGCATTCTCCCGGTACAGCATATCAGGACGACGATCGAGGAGTAGTCCAAGAACTTGCGGGAATTGTTTCCTGGCAGCATTATGCAGTGGTGTGTTTCCACCTGCGTCAAAGAGTTCGAGATGCTTTTGGCTGGAGTCAGCCAGGTCCAGAATAACGTTTGTCATAGATGTGAGTATTTCATCCTCAGTCTGAGGACTGTTAGGGGGCCGAGGGATGACCGGATCCTCTGGCGTAAACTGGGTTTGGGCCTGAAGCCAGGCCATAAATGGTGTTCGTAGGCCTCCACTGGCGCGTTGCATGAACATTGTCTGCAGGAGTTGCTTATCCAGCAGGTCTGTGAGTCTAGTGAAGCGGTTGGAGTTCTTGCAGGGTCGATAAGTGTCTGAAAAGAGGATTAGGTGGAGAAGATTGCGCGCCTCTTTGTCGCGCGCTGCTTGATTGGCGCCGGCTTTGATCAAAATGCGCGCGAAGCGGACCTTATGGAGGGACATGGCCCAGGCCAGGGGCGTCAGTCCTTCTGTTGAGCGAGCCTCCATGCATTCGGGGTGTTGATCCACAAGATACTGAACCAGACGGACTGTTTCGTCGCTTGGTTCGGACATAATTGCGAAGTGAAGGACGAGGTTGTCTTTTATATGGTCAGCTGGGTTTGTCAAATTTGCTGAATAGATTGAACACTTACTTTTTGCTTGTAACCAGGTTAAGAGTGTGCCTTCGAGTCCGAGCTTGGACTGGGTCAATCGTTTAACTCTCTCATCATTCTTCTTCGAATTGAGATACTCCATGTAATAACGAGCAGGCGCGGTACCAAGGAAGAACTCTGTAGCTGCCAGGTTACCCTGACGAGCCGCAGTCAGAAGGGGCGGACGTTGTGACTGGGCTTTCATCGGTTGGTCTCGGCCAGCGTTAGCCCAATCGGCACGCTTGGCGCCACGAATTGACAGCCCAGGGTAGTATTGAGGCTCTTTCTTGTCCTCAACGCCACAATCATCACTCAATTTTGCGAGTGGGAGGCCAGCTCCAGTCATTTGAATCAGTTTCGCAAGGCACTCGGTACGTCCAAGTGACATTGCAAGCTCGAAGTCCTTAGACCTTACTGAAAACTCGATCTCTCCGGATGGATTGGTGCTAGCGAGGTCCAGTCCAGTCTTCAAGAGGAATTCCAAAAGAGGAATGTTGTTTTTGTAGACAGCATATCTCAATAAGCTGTCAATATTGGGAGATTTGTCTCTCTTATCCCAAGATTCTTCGTCCTGATATTCGTCCAAAAATAGGAAGGCATTGAACTGCGCCTGAAAAGCAGAAAGGGGGGAGGTATTGCTCTCAACCTGACTGGTAACTTCACCGATGTTTTCGTATGTGAAGGTATCATCAACAACATCACTGACTATGTTAAGGCTATCGTTCTCTCCATCTGAGTCGTCGTCAGAGGCATTAGAGTATTCATCGGTATCGATCTCAAAGCGCTTCCGACCGTGTGAAACCTTCACCTTGTACTGAACGTGGAGAATTTGAAGGATAGCCCTAGCGACGGCGAGATGCCCGCGCATGATGGAGATTAAAAGGGCAGACAGGCCTTGATTGTCGCTCACAGCGATCTCAAGGGGTTCTTGGTCATTGAGAGATCCCCACTTGCCCAGTGTCAAGGTTTTGATGGTATCAATGTCGCCATTCCAGGCCGCTTCGAAGCTGTTATATTATGGTCAGCAGAATGATCTTAGACTGTGGGGACAAGGAGGGGATACGTACAGTTGCAGGTATCCATCACGAGCATTCTCAGTGATGGCTGGTACATTGAAGTTAAAGGTGACTTCCCAAGGCTTAGGAGGGGGCAGTTTAGTTTCAGTTGAGACGTAGGCTGGGGCCGGCACGGGAACCTCCTCCTGGGGGTGAAGCTCGTCCCATGTCTTTGCACCTTTTTTAAGCAAAATGAACTCCAGCTTCTCGTAGTCGCGAATCAACTCCGCAATTACCGCCTTCTTCTCGAATAAGCCAGGAGGATCATGCTTTTCGGATTCAGCCTTGTCGTTTGCCTCGATCTCTCGGTTTGTCTTGCGTACGCTGCGGAGCAGGTCCTTTGCGGCGAACATTTTGTAGCTACCAGACTGGAACTCCGACAAATATGTCTCGTCATTTGGATCAAGTGGTGTCTTAAGATCATGGGAAGGGTATTTGCGCCCGACAAGGTATTCACGGAGCGTTTGCAAAATCTGACGCGTGACGTCCAATACTGTACGGCCCTTGTCTTGATATCTCTCCTTGATGGAAGTGCTATCGCTGTTAGGGTCGACCCCCCGATTAAGCAAATCAATGGCGACTAAAGGAAGATCATTGTCAATTGCCAGCAAGATTGGCTGCTTCACACTGGCCTTTGCTTCGTCTTCGATTGTGCCGCCGTAGTAGGCGTGCGGTCCTTTAGCTGCCTTCACAGCCTTCACAAGCTCCCCTAGGTCAATCTCCGGGTGGGCACCTGCGTTCAGCATCTTGGCTGCTGCCGGGGCACTCTTCGCACTTATTGCAGCCATCAATGCCGAGGAAAATTCTGGTGTCCACTTCGAGCCCTTGAGTACCAAGTGATTGATTGCCCGCTTTACAGCCGGCTCATCATGCTGCATGTAGATATCCATAATGTCAAACTTGTTGGAATGGGCAAGGTAGTATAGCGGTGTCTTCTGCTTGAGATCTGCTTGGGCTGGTGAAGCGCCGAGATTTAGAAGGGTGTGGGACATTTCCTTTGCTTTCTCAGATGAGAGGCAATGGACGAGAACAAGATTGAGAATTGCAGCCTCGGGTGTTCTGTAATGCTCATTCATAATTTTGATTGGCAGCAAAATATCGGCCCCAAAGGACGCGACTAGCTCTTTCACGGCCTCCGTGTGACCATGGAGAATGGCGAGATGCAAAGGAGCAGCACGGCTATCCCATGCAACAACATTCACGTCGTAGACATCCGGTTCGAGATCATTCTCCTCGAGCGTATCGTACGTGCGCAGATCCTCGTTCTCCTCGCTATCGACCTTGACGTAAGAGGCAGAGGTGTGAGACATGGCATCAGTTTGGTCAATCATCTCAATATCTTCATCCTCGTCTGTGCTAGGCTTGGTCTCTGACTTGTCGTTCTTTTTCAGCGATTCCTGCTTCGTGGCTTCCTCTTCTTCATTCTCGTTGCTCTTTTTGAGTAGAATTCGGATGATCTCAACGTGTCCCCGGGCAGCGGCAAGATGGAGCGCAGTCTTTCCATCCGCCATACGGGGAATCATGCGAGCACCGCCATCAATAAGACATTGGACAACTTCAGGTGTCGAGCACATGCACGCGAGTTGTAGCGGTGTCCGCCCAGTGTAGTCGCGACGATCTGGGTTGGTGCCCTCCTCCGCAAGGAAAGCTTTGACAGAGTCTACATCGTTTGCCACGATTGCCTGGCAAAGTTTCTCGGTTTGGCCAACGTAAGCCATTTCTATCATGTCTGCATTAGCGCATAATCCAGGAATAAATGAGCATGTCGGACAATTCACTCACCGGTCCAATCAGTTTCAGTGATGGGATTAAAACTTCCAATTTCCTGGCGACCTGGATCATCTTTGATGAAAGTAATATTACCAGAGATATAAATTTTGGCCTCCTCTTCGGCAAGCTTAACTTCCTCCTCGGTAACAGCCTTGGGGCAGAAGCCACAGCAGTCACCAATGACATGCTCTGCCTCGCCGAAGAATGCCGGATGACGATGAAGATAAACAGCACGGTCTTTGGGCTGGTTCCATTGGGCGTTCAACAACAGATCCTTGGTGTAAAGTAGCTTCTCAATGCTCCTGGCATTGAATCTCCGGCCATAAGGAATAGTCTAGAAAGTCAGTAAGAGTTAGGAGGAAATTCGCAGTCGCAGTAGATGTACGAACAAAAGTATGATAGTCAGAAACTTGATCTTGCTCTTGCCATTCAGGCACCTCATCTTCCCAGTCGTCCTTAAGATTACCATGCAGTGCTTTACCATGACGACGTCGCAGATACAAATCTAGAGGTGGACGACCTCGTTCCTCACGCCTCTTTTGGAGATAGTTGTCCCGGTCATCAGACCGAGGAAGCTTTTCCAATACCAGAAGTCGTGCAAGTCCTTCAGTTCTGGTAAAGCTTCTCTCGAATATAGTCTATCAGGAATTAGTTTTCCTGGCATCTTATCCACCTAATCAAAGGATTGAATTCTCACCGGGTCAATCTTTGATCTATCAAGAGCAGGCCAGAAAACCTCGAATCCTCGGTGCGAATACTTGGAAAGACGGTTCTCATATGATGGTGATCGTCGAGATAGATCAATCTGATTCACTTGCGTGATGTATGCGGCGATTGCACGTGGGGAGGCGTAGACCTGACTACCATCATAAGCCGCGCACGAAGCATCGACGTCAAAGCCAGTGAGAATCTCAGCGACTGAGCGGTAGATGCGAAGCACGATTTGCACATGGCGATTCGGATACTGAGAAGCAATGGTAATCGTATTCTTGGTCCGAATGGTCGTGGTCTCATAGAGGATAGTGTTTTTGATCTTATCCTCGATGTGCATGATCTTCTCGAGAGCTTGCTCCTCGTTCAGGCCATACAAGAAGAGGTCCACATCTGACGCCGGAGCAAACTCATCATGATAGTACTTGCGAAGACCACGCTTGGAATTGCGGTACTTTTCCGGCACAGGCAAAAGTGAGGTCACGACAGCGCTACCAGCAGCGACCACATTGGACCAATCAATATCACTCAATGAGCCCTCTGTGAAGAGTGCAAAGTTGTTCTGGAACTCATTCAAAGATAATACAACTGCCGCAGAGCCATGTGGTTTCCGGTCCTCTGCACTTAGTGGCAAAAGATACTTCTCCGTTTGCTCTGGTGTTTCCGAGGCAAGGTCCCGAGATCGAATAGAAAGATCTGTGGAACCTTTCTGGTCATACAGCGGCACAATGTTGACATAGTTACCTTGGATTGATGTATGAGATGGGTCTTGAGCAAATTTCTTGCGCAAAATAGCATCAAACTCGTTGTATGGCTGAAGCAAGTCTCTCATGGGCTTCTCTGGGTTGGAGTTGACATACTTCACGAAGTCATTGTGCGTCACTGGGAGGGAGGGCAAAGAAGTCATTTTGTGTAGTTGCAATAACTAATAAGAATGCTGAGGTGAATACATGGCAAAAGCTAGGAGCCCATGAAGTATAAATACGAAGGCCAATGTTGATCGATATTGATGATCTTATCAAATCCTTTCCACTTTGCGTTAGCGTCCAGGCATCCTTAGGCAACCTTAGGCAACAGATCCACTATTGCCACTTTTTCAACCAATCGCTTCCCTCTCCGTACAACCACCAAATCTCAACACAATTCTACTTCGTATTCAAACCCCTGAATTTTCATTCATGAGACACCAATTCACCTGTAGAGTCATACATCTCGGTTGGAAGCCTAGTTGCAGGCCCTACGTACATGCAAACAACAAGTCGGTATGCACGATGCACCAAGTATTCTTTATTATCCCTCAGCGGTTTGTGGAAAGGAGGTGAGGAAATAGTATGCTGATTGATTTACTCGGGAACTCTATGCGTGAGCAATTGAATATGGGGTAAACATAGCTCTCCTGTTCTTGCTATCGTGTACTCTATGGTGGTATGAGGCCAACAATACATACATATATTTTTGCTTCATTGCCATTTCCAGAAATGTTACTTGGTCATTAATCATGGGGTGTTCTTAGGGCCCATTTCAAGTATGTAGACTAGAGGAAGGGAAGTAAATATAGAAAGCCTTCAGGGGTTACTGTGGAAAACTAAGAAACATATATATTCAACAGGGGCAGACTATACCGCTTGCGAAAAAGCATTCTGTTTGTCAAATTTATATCTAGGCTACTATGTGATAACTAGACATATATATAATAGTGACCTTTAGTGCCTAGGTAGAACATGAGCCATGCTAACACCTGTACTACTCACACAAATTCTTGCGAACTAAACAGGGGAGCCAAACAAGAGAGAAGAAACATTGAAAGATAACACCGTAACAGACGCGACTTCATTCATGAGGCCGTATCCAAGATGATCAAGATAGGGATGATGGGAAGTCAATTTAAATCGGATAAGAGAATGAAAAATAAACCTATACCATGAATTGAACCAATCCAGTCTTGTCTAGTCCTCAGTGCTGCTCCTCGGCCGGCAGTTGAATCTTTACTGCACCCTCCGCCAGAGCTTTATTCTGGCTATTCTTGCTAGCGATATAGGAATTAATATACTCAGGCACTTCAGCGACCTTACTATCACCGCTTGGAATCGGGGTTCCAAAAGTTTCCCAGACCGGAACAACACCAGTCCAGACACTGCTGGTGACCTGCTCATTGGCCGAGTCCTTACGCTCATCCGAAACACCACCATCACGGATCTTGCCGCTACCATCCACAATCTTTACCTTCAGGATGACAGTCGACTGCATCTCAGCACGGTCCGGCGGCACACGCGAGTGATCCCAGCGGTCCGCAAGGACAGAGTTTGTGATCATTTTCATGGCCCAAAGTTTCTCTTCCTCATCTGTGACGAGGGTCGCGTAGCCGTGTAGGATGGCAGAGCGGTAGTTGTAGCTGTGCGAGTTGGGCGTGAGCGACAGGATGAGACCGTCTATTTTGCTTGCTGCCACGCAGATGGGAAGTCCCTCGCCATCGCTGCAGCTGCGGGCTAGGTTCATAATACGCGAGCTGACGTAGCCATGGAGATAGCACTCTAGAGGCTCGTCGATGCCTGCGGAGGGAAACTCGAATGATCCCATTTGTCCAATCATTGGGAGGATTGCCGGGAATGGGTCATCTGGGCCTGGGTTGAAGGATACATGGAGAACCTGGGAGTCATTGATGATTGAATGGATTGGACCCAGGTCATATGTGGCTAGAATGTAGTGTTAGTTGATTTCAATGTATTTCTACATATATTTTGTACCTCGATGCTTGTACCGGTTGGCGGTGTTGGAAACCCTCTTGGGGTAGGTCAAGGTTCGTCCCATAATGTGTATGATAGTCTGTAGAATGCGTTTGGCAGTTAAGAGAAGCAAGTAAATGACGAACTAAGCATTTAAGTAAATAAATGGTGAGTCAATACAGGTAATCCGATAAGCTAGGGCGCGCCTTTGAACACCCTTTTTGGCAGGTCCATCCGTGTAATATTTCCCCGCAAAGGCTAGACTGGCCCCGGGGGCCATGATGGATGACAGGTGCACAGATCTATTGAAGTAAGAATGATACAGGGGACGTGGACAGCAGAAACTCCGATGCGAAACGCACCCGTGGTGATTGGCCCACACCGCCGACTGGATCGTCCACGGGGGTATCTGGCGATAACAACTCCAACAATTTACTCTTATCACTTACTTTTTGGGACCTTGAAGCATGGCGGCATGCAGGTCTATTGTTCGCCAATGCGCTGTACATTTGCGCTCAGCGAGGCCTTTGAGCCATTCATTACGCCAATTGCCTAGATGCAACCCTCTTCCTCGCAGTTACGCTACCTCCGTGGCCGCCGCGGAACTCAAATTCGGCCAGCCGTTGCATGAGACACACCCCCATATGCTTAGCCCGGGCGAACGTGCGTCATTATCTGTTCTATTGACTTGTTTTTTTTTAAATATATATTTATTTACCTGATTATCTTTCGTTTAGTGACGCCTGGAATCACCGCCCTTGAATATGCGCAACGTCGATCGAAGCTCGCCAACAAGCTACCTAAAGGCGCAATTGCGGTGCTAGCTGCCTCGGAGGTCAAGTACCGTGCGCAAGGTATCTTCAATGAGTACCGCCAGGACTCTAATTTCTTTTACCTAACGGGTAAGTTTGCTCGCAGGCTGGTGATGCTGCGGAGGACACCTGCTAAACGTTTGCACGTTGGATAGGATTCAACGAACCGAATGCACTGGCGATTATCGGCAACGACGGCTCTGGCGATAACCATATCTTCCATTTATACGTGCAGGAAAAGGATCCTAAGGCAGAACTCTGGGACGGGGCGCGCTCCGGCACCCAGGCTGCTGTGGATGTCTTCAATGCCGATGAGGTGCGAAGTATTGGTGGAAGGATCAAACGAATTGTTGAGCTGATACCGAGAACAGACAGGAAATATTGAACGCATTGGAGATATTTTGCCGAGCATTATCCAGGGAGCAACGGAGGTTTACTCGGATATCCCCACATTTGATGGCTCTAGGTCATCTTTGAATCGGTACCTGTATGGGCCAACAGTCGCATCAGAAAAGTTGAAGAAGGTCATCGATGGCCGCAGGGTCAAGCCGTTGAAGCATATGCTCAATGAAATGAGGGTGTTCAAGAGTGAGAATGAGGTTGTACAGATGCGCCGACTGGGACAAGCGGCAGGGAGAGCTTTCACCGAGTCTATGCGACAGGGCTTTACTCGCGAAAAAGACCTCTATTCCTTCCTCGAGTACCAATTCAAGGTCAATGGTTGTGATGGGAACGCATTTGTCCCGGTTGTTGCGGGTGGGCAGGTAAGTTTTTCGACATTCTTTAAGCTGGATTTGATACTCACAGACCTAGAATGCCTTGGCTATTCATTACACCCGAAATGACGATATATTGAAGTTCGTATGCCTTTTCTAAACCATTCGGAGACTCTGCTTACACTTAATTTTAGGGATGGCGATTTGGTTCTCGTTGATGGCGGTGGTGTAAGTTGAGCTGAACTCAATATTTACAATTTCAGGTCACTGACCAAACTGCAGGAATGGGGAACCTATATTTCCGACATCACTAGAACGTGGCCTGTCAATGGCAAGTTCTCTGATCCCCAGCGGGATCTGTACAATGCTGTGCTCAACGTGCACCGGCGCTGTCTCGCTTTATGCCGCGAGACCTCCAATCTTTCTCTAGACAAACTTCATGGCATCGCCGAGACTGGATTGAAAGACGAGCTCAAGTCGCTTGGCTTTGATCTTTCCGGCAATGTATGCATCCAAGCTCCTTCCACGTGGAGTATATTGCTGACTCTGACTAGGCACTCAATGTTCTCTTTCCGCACCATCTAGGCCACTACATTGGTCTGGATGTTCATGACTGCCCTGGGTATTCTAGAGGCTACGACCTGAAAGCAGGTCAATGTATAACAATTGAACCGTTCGTCCCTAACCTTCTTCCCCGCAGATCTGAAACATGCTAATCCATGCTAGGGGTATTTATGTTCCTGACGATGAAAGATGGCCTGCCCACTTCCGCGGGATCGGAATTCGTATTGAGGATAGTGTTTGTGTCGGAGACGAACACCCGATTGTTTTAACCCCAGAGGCTGTCAAGGAGGTATGTTCTTTTAACATTATAGTATTACCTATATTTACCCATCACTAACTTGTACTAGGTTGAGGACATTGAGGCACTGCGTAGTTAGATGTGATGTATAGGGTAGCTCGTCAGATCCCTCAAATTCCCATGTACAATAGCATAATGGTCTAGAAAGATTATATACGAGCCCCTTTATTTTCCTTTAGTTTGTTTCCTCCGAAGTATAATCTATATGTCTGAATTATCCTTGCCTAGTTCAGATACTTTGTGGGTGGCTGGTCTGTTGTTTGGGGGCTGTTTGGAAGGCTGGTCTTTGAGGAGGTTGGAAATGATATATCCGTTTTATCAATTTGTTAAGAAGAGAAACATTAGACAAAATAACAGAAAAGTCGAAAATGAACTAGTAAAGAAACGAAAAAAAAAAAAAAAACAAAATTGTCGCGGTCAAAGAATGCAATGTTGATGTTCATGCTTCGCGCTCTGCCGTTGGTTGTCAGGCCTCCGCCCAAAACAAACTGAGCTCCACACCACACGACCTGCTTTGCTCTTCTTTCTTTCCTCCAGGTCTTCCACCTCGACTTTCTCTTCTCCCACCTTCGAGTACTTCGATCTCTTCTACTCTCTTTTGGCTACTTGCTGTTGTCTCTTAGGATACAATGTTAACTCTCTGATCTCCTCTAACCCTGAAAAGACGTGTTAGTAACGCGTACTCTTCACCGAGTACCCCTCTTTGATATTTGACTATTTGTCACTCTACAACATCTGCACGCGTTCTCAGCCCTGGGAACCTGTTTTCAAATGGCAACTGTCTTCGTATCTCCCTCGCCACGAACCTCCATGACCATGGCTACTCGCCGTCCACTCGCAAACGTCCCGAATGCAACCAATTCTCCACGCAGGGCCGAGCTAGTGCTTAAACGAGCTCGACCTACTAAAGTGGAGATGCCATACGGACAACCACCACCGAAAAGACAAGCGATGGAGAATATGGAATACGAACCTCGCTCTACCACCTGCCAGACCACGACCACGGACTCGAAACTCTTCGCGAGACGATCGAACAATGGCAATCCTAGTGCATTTGAGAAGAAGCTTGTCGCAGCTAGGGAGAAGGAACGTCAACCGGTGGTGAAGAATGTCAGAGTTGAGAAGGCTCCGGCAGATACCATGGACTCCATTCGCCAATGGCAGCGGCACTATCGGAAGGCGTTCCCCCAGTTTGTGTTTTACTTCGATAGCATCCCAGAGGATGTCAGACGGCGATTCTCTCGCCAAGTCAGTGCTCTTGGAGCTGTAAGTCATACTTGCCCCACAGAACATTCAGTTGGCCTTGGTTGCACCTTTTGTCCCCGATCTTCAGTAATTGAACACCTCCCATTAGTATATTGTCTAACCAACTTCAATACAGCGTGAGGAGAAGTTTTTCTCGCGTTTAGTGACCCACGTTGTGACTTCGCGTACTATCCCTCCGGAATCAGCCACCCCAACGGAGCCCGAATCTACTGAAAACGCTACCAACGGCGATGGTAACGTCCAAACTGTCAACCCTTCTCTTTTGGAGAGAAACGGCGAGACTCACCTGCATGCTTCATTGAAAACCGAAACGCGTCGTGACCAAGCCACTATGGACATTCTGCAAAGGGCTCGGCAGATGGGCATGAAAATCTGGGCGCTGGAAAAGCTTCAGCGTATGATCACTACCATCAATGACAGTGACATTGGTGCCCAATATGAACAAGCCGCTCGGAACAAGGCCGCCGGTGGTAACGCCGCTAACGGCAGGGGCGAAAATGACCTTTCGAGGGTTCTGCGGCAAGAACTACTCAACGGACCGTCGGATCGTGATCCGTTGACCTCAATGGAAATGATCATTTTCAAAGGACCATTCGTGTACATTCATGACATGAACGAGAAGACCAAACCGGTGATGGTTCGAGAATACTCCCGAGTCGCTAGACGGCAGGATGGGTCTTGGCCACAGTTCCGAAGCGCCCCCCTCGGAAAGTGTCCTTTCATAGATGAGCCCCCAAGTAGAAAGGAATATGACCGACACCGATTGCGTCAACTCCACAAAGAGAAGAAGGCTGCTTCTCAAAAGGCTGATGGAACTCGTGATGCTAAGACAAAAGCAGCTGTGCCAGTTCAAGTCCCTGAATCTGTGACTACAACAGAGATCGCACACTCCCAGCCATCGGTGAAACAAGAGGAGCGGGTTTCGCCTCCAATCCAAAATGACATTCAGAGGCCATCACTTGAAGAAACTCATGAACGAAAGAGTTCTGAAAGCTTTATTCCTCCTCACTTCCCTCGGACTGGACCCTTTTATGCCGGTCATGAGCCAGCTGCCTCAGGTGTTCAGCCGTCTAACATGACATCCGCAATTCGCTCACAGATGATCTCATCTACTGCAGCAGCACCTGGTGCGAAAGCCGGCCTTAGCAAGGAAGTTCATGGGCTCAAGCGAAAGGTTCTTGAGAAGGGAACAGGCGGGTTCGCAGTAGGATCGATGGCTGCTCCTCAACGCCGCGGGGACGTGACTATGACAGTTCCGACGAAGAACAACATTAACCCTGCTGGAAAGTCCAACATTCCCCACAATGAGGATGAACTAAAGCAAGCTGAGGTGGCTGGCTCAAAGCGACAAAGGGATGACAAAGATGAACAAAAGAAGCCCGAACGTCGCAGAGATCCCAAACCCGGCTATTGCGAGAACTGCAGGGACAAGTTTGATGATTTTGAAGAGGTATGATCCAAGTTGTCCCGTTGCTTGTATTTATGAATACTGACCAATCTTCTAGCACACTCTGACTCGCAAACATCGCCGATTTGCCACGAACTCGACGAACTGGGCTGAGCTCGATGCGTTGCTCGCCGAAATTCAGCGTCCCCTCAAGGGCGACTATGAATATGATGAATAGATCTGCTGTTCCTCACAGCATTCCATGATTTCCTTTGGACCTCGATCTTCTCTTGTTTGCAATCTTGCATCCTAATGCAGGTCGAGCTTTTACTTTCAAGTTAGCTTTCTCCTGCCACGTTGAAATTTTTATTTCCGTCGTGCCCGATTTGAACCTCAAACTCGCATAACCATACCCTCGGCATCGACACATGCATGGTGGCGTTTTCTTTTTTCTTTTTTAAAATATTCCTTTCTCTTTTCATGCATCAGCGGTACCAGTCTCTCAGACGGTCTGGTCTCGTCTGCTTATCTTGACCTCGATGGAGGTCGTCCACTCCTTTACAGCATCTTCACTTCTTTCATTGTATTGAATATCCGATTTTAAACCTGCATCGCATCACCTTCGATGTCGTGAACCGACCTCCATCAACCGCCGACGGCAATTTTGGATAATTGCATTTCCCATGTCGCCCCATCGTCGACGCTGTTTGCCTCTCATGCAATCAGCATGTGCTTTACGGTCTTCCATAGTGGCCGGTTACGATATACCGAAGGTATAATGAACGATTTAGCATGAACTGAAGGGTTCCGAACCTTGCACTGCACTTCATTCTGACACATCGTTATCCCCATTTTGGTCCTACGGGGCCATGTTTTCTATCTTCATCAGCTTTTCCTTGTGTCTTTTCACTGGTGGTGTCTTGCTTCCCGATGGCTGTGGTTTCTTACCCAGCGTAGACGGCCGAGTCTGTTGAGACGTTTCCTTTCTCGTGACATTACTTACCTGAATAAGCATTTATTTCACTCTATGATCTGTATGCAGTTTGTATCGTGCTAATTGAAATTGTCTGCTATCAATGAATTCTTGAGTAAACAAACATCACCCCATAGAAGGCCCCTCACCTAGCCAAATGCGGTAATCACCTCGGCGAGCCATAAACTGCAGGCGGTAAGATTACAGCTAGGCGGTGAGATTGAAGTAAAATCATCCTCATGCTTCTTAAGTTCCAAGATGTCAACATAATAAACGCTACATATTGGACATTATTTTAATAAAGGGACAATTATCATACTCACACATATCTACTAACATCAGACCTGAGGCATTGCGCTGTTCCTAAGTCCTAACAATGAGTAGCCCCGCAAAACATCTCGGTACCCGGCCCCGTAATCAGCGGCAGTAAAAGAAGATCTTCAACTTCGAGAATTTTTGATGCTCCCATCTACGCCGCATAACCCAGCACGTTAGGTCCGGACAGAAGGATATCTGAACAAAGCCGCAACTCCGGAAATACTCCTCGATATAAGATATCATGACCTCTTTTTGCCTTTCCCACTCGCGCACCTGAAAGACTTCAATTCGCCGCTGAGGTCATCGCCATTCCTTTGTTATCGCCACTACAGCTCGGACAATTACAACTACTGCATACAGCATTGCATACTGTGACATATTGAAACATATACTCACTGCAGATAGTCTATTCTGATATCGTGCAGCACCAGGTGCATCGCACCATTCCATTTTGCAAAATCATACCACTCAATGGCTGCGCCAGGCTATGCGCTGCGGCGCACAGCACTGGCTTCTTCGTCGTTGTTAAGGATGGGAGTGATCACCGCTACCCGAACACAAGCTATACACTTCCTCCGCGCCGGCCGTTGTCTTGCTTTGTCCTCCCATGTACCGACACCATACTCCCTCTCGCAAACCCGACATAGTTCCTACTCTGGGCCGGCATCGAGTGAGAATGGAAAGGCGCGGAAGAAGGTTACTATCCAGACGCTTCAGAACATGTACAAAAAGGGGGAGCCAATCACGATGCTCACGGCGCATGATTTTCCCAGTGCTCATGTGGCTGATGCGTCGGGAATGGATATGGTCTTGGTAGGGGATAGCTTAGGGATGGTAGCTCTTGGACTGGAAAACACGACGGAGGTTGTTATGGAAGAGATGATTCTCCATTGTCGGAGCGTGGCGCGGGCAACCAAAGCCGCCTTCATTGTGAGTTGCCAGATTCTTTGACGGGTGAGCGCCAGAGTACCACGGACTAACAGCCATACTTCAATTCTAGATCGGAGATCTACCGATGGGGTCGTACGAAGTGTGCGCAGAGCAAGCTATTGAGTCATCTCTGCGCCTGGTCAAGGAAGGCCGCGTGCACGGCGTCAAGCTAGAAGGTAGCGAGGAGCTCGCGCCCACAATCAAGCGCATCACACAAGCTGGTGTTCCGGTGGTGGGCCATGTCGGTCTCACGCCACAGCGTCAGAATGCCCTCGGCGGCTTCCGCGTGCAGGGCAAGACAGCTGTTAGCGCAATGAAATTACTGCGCGATGCACTCGCGATGCAAGAGGCTGGCGCATTCATGCTTGTGCTTGAGGCGATGCCGTCAGAGGTTGCATCGATCATCACGCAGAAGCTGCGAATCCCGACTATCGGTATTGGCGCTGGGAATGGCTGCTCTGGGCAGGTTCTGGTCCAGGTCGACATGACTGGAAATTTCCAGCCTGGTCGGTTCGTGCCGAAGTTTGTTAAGCAGTATGCGGATGTTTGGGACGAGGCTGCTCGTGGCATTTCGCTGTATCGTGACGAAGTTAAGAGTCGAGCGTTCCCTTCGGCCGAATATACATATCCCATTTCGAAGGATGAGCTCGCTGGGTTCCAGACAAAGGTGGACGAGGCCTTCCGGGAATCATGATGCGTCTTGCTGTCATCTTTTTGTGTGGCCATTTCTTGCATCTTCTGTATTAAGCATCATCATCATTTGTACATATCATCATTCAGCGGTTCTCGCTGGTTGTTTATAGCGTGCTTAGCCAAATGCTGGCGTCATTGAATAAGCGACAATCAATTGATCGTCCGTCTTGAAACACTATCACAAAGTTAGCTTTCAAATTATCGAGTATGCGGGAACAGTAGAACAGTGGAGCCCAAACTCACCCTCCACAGTCCACCCATGCCTTCATCTAGCCCGGGCGCAAACACACTATTAACATAGCAAAAGACAGAATCGGTTTCTTTGCAGTCCAACTTCTTGCGTAGAAACTTGACAACCGTTTCGAATTTCTGCGAAGCGCTAACCTTGAATACCCGATTTTTTAGAATGGGCGCCGACGGTAGAGGCTGAAATCGAACAGTAACTGGATACCCCGTTAGTTGAATTCTGCCATATGTTGACATCGCAGTCATCTGATCCAAAAGATCGCCGGAGAAGAGGGGTGCTACCTTTGCCCGCATCAATACTCTCCACGTCCGCGAGTGCCTGGTGCGCATCACGAGGTAAATTGGTCAGCATGACCGATGCAGACATATTCATCGGTAGATCGGCGCCATGTTCGTCATCTGGAATCGGGGCGTTGGCTGAGCTGTTGGGCGGTGTGCCTGAGCTCTGGGGCTGGCGCGGGCTTGGACGATAGCCGAGTGTGCTTTGTGCGGTCGGACTAGGGGATTTCTGTGGAGAGCGTGGAGGAGAAGATGGATCCATGATGTATGATGTATAAAGAGCAAGATGGGGCAAGATGGGATGGAGTGAAGTTAGGAGTTGAGGGGAGATCCTTAACGCGCTTAAAGTTCGGGCTGTGGAACGTGGAACGTGGGGCTACGCTTAAATGTAAACAATGACGATTCTAATGTTATTTACTCCATATATAAATAGTATATTTTATTAGCACAAAAATGAGTATTTAGCATATATAGCTATCTATATAAATACATCTAACAGAGGATGCTGTTGGTGGATTCTTCAACTCTAAGCAGTGGATTATGTGCAACTTGATCCTAGTTCAAATACCTGAATAGAAAGCTACTATGTAGGATCTACAGAAGAAATGATATCCGTTGTATTGAGGGTCTACATAAACAATAACTACCAAATGAAGTGGAGCGCTCTATAGTATGTATATCCCATAGTAAGGCGGAGTAGCTTTCAGTCTAATCTTAGACTCGGGCTTGTCAGTGTCACATCATAGATCAATAATATCCAATGACCTAGAATTCAGAAGCACATATTTACCCTGCATCAGGATAAGTTGAATGTCAGGGTCAATCAGCGTATATTACTGTATTTCTATAGACCCTCGGCGCCAGGTCAAGTGACATCCATGATTCATTATTATGTCATAACTATACGACAAACAGCTCTTCGAGCTCATGCACTTTGTGAATGCATTGGGATTTCATCGAGTTTTACAACAAAACAACCATACTATCCGAATAAAGCTCAAATGCAAAAGGAGATATCGCAAGAAAGCCATCCACATAATCCCTTCGCCCATGTCCCATCACCCCCACGCTCCTTGTCATCTCATATTCACCATATCAAGAGGGATAGTGACAGTGAAAGGGATCCTGAGGGCCCTCACATCCTAGATGGACTAACTAATATCTTGCCTTGGTGGAGAAAGTCGACACCTGAATGTGAGGGCAGTTCTCATCCACAAGAAACGACTACAGACTCCGACCAGTCAGATCACACCCAAGGAATTACAGGCAACAAAAAGGCAGATAGAGCATCGCAGATCTTATTCACAAAGAATTATGGGAAATTTAACAAAGTCATCCATTACAATGACACCAACACCGTTGAACTATACAAAAAGAAAGTCCCGGTACTTGATCCGACATCCCCAGAGAAATTCTCGCAAAGCCATCTGCTGGGAATACCGAGACGTAATTCTGCATCCAATACAATTAAGGAACTCTATGCAGTCAAAGTGTTTCGCCACACCAAAACCACCCTCCCCCTGGGTCTTCAAAATCAAGGTCCAAATATTTCCCTATGCCACCCAAATATCGTCCCTATCGTCAACATTCTCTACAATAGGCAAGGAAATCTGTGCCTTGTCATGCCATACTATGCTGGGGGCGATCTACACTCTTTCCTTTCACGAATGGAACCGAGAGAGCACCCGTCTACTGAAGAGTTGGACTGTTTAGCAATTCAAATACTGCGCGCAGTGGCTTTTTTACATGGAAAGAATATTGCCCATGGCGACATAAGACCAGAGCATATACTCCTAACGGCCCGGGGGGCAGTGAAAGTGGGTGGCTTTGGTCAAGATGAAAACGCAATTCGTGAACTAGCCACACTGTCCCAAAGTGGTGATCTTACATCGTCCTTTTCGGAAACAGACCCTCACTCAGCTCCAGATTCTGAATATAAGCCGATTCTATGCATTCGAAGAACGGTCTCAGATCCGAGTATTCCATATCTTCCCCCCGAGAGGTTTCCTGGTCGTGGCTCTCGCCCGCAAATCTATGCATATCAGGATATCTCCAATTTTAGAGCCGGAGATATATGGGCATGCGGCATAATCTGCATGCTACTTCGATCGGGACAGCTCCCCTGGCACAGTGCCCAGACAGTTGATCTTGATGAATCATTTGCTGATTACCTCCACTATCGTAAGGAGACAAATGGCTATCGTCCCATCCAGACTCTTGAGGAGGTAAGTTACATCTATTATTTCCTTGAGCATGAGCAAGTATCTGATATCTCGGAACTTGAAAGCATTACCGAAATGTGGTCTACGCAATGTTACATCCCGATATGGAGGCGAGGATTACTGCAGCAGAAGTCTTAAGATCTGAGTGGGCCCTTGAAGTTGCAACTTGTGAGGTTGGGGAAATGGGGCTGTGACAAAAAGTCGACTCCAGGGCTTCTAAGACTTGTGCATGCAATTGACATGAAATACCAAGGCTTCGTGTAAATTGAGTCAACGCCCTCAAGGACATAATACACAGTTTAATATATTGAAAGGCGACAAGGTCCTGGCATTCAAATGGAAGGGAAAAGGCAAGAATTAGCAGAAGAAATTGCGTACGTAGGTTGATATTCACACCAAATAACTACTACCTACAGTAGAAGTTACTAGTTTGGGACATATAGGAGAGCCCTTTAGGGACAATATACTAACCCATTTAGCCCCATTTAACCCACGTTCTTTTATATCTTGGTCCAAAGATGAAAGGCAAAGTAGAGAGGGTGCTATGGAGAGCACTTGCCAAATTTGGGGTTGGGAATGCCCTTTTATGGCACAATGTATGTTTGGGGAAGGTGCGTTGGACACTTGCCACAATTTGCACATGGCGTACCTGCTAAGATAGGAAGTGTATACAGCGCGACAATCTGATATCTTCAAATCGACATGTGATTCTCAGTGATTGCTGATATGGTATTTGGGGATTCCATCTTCATTCCATCTTCATCTCATCTTCACTTCAATTTTCATCTCCCACTCCTTTACCACACAACCCACCATGGCGCCTGTCTATCACGGCAGGTGGGTCTACAACATAGACACTCTCTACGTCACTACCTCTTGCGGTGCCGTACACGCACGCGCCTCATATGCCGAACTGGATGACATATTCAGCACACCATTGGGAGCCATCAGGACCAGACCGGACAATCCCGGCCATTGGTGGGAAGCCCAGCTTTTCCATTATGGGCTCGCGCCGACAACAAACAAAGCCGCAGCCAAGATGAGATTGATGGACGCCTATCAGGATGGCAGGTTGAAAGTCCCGGATGAAGTATTTCAAATTGAGGACACCCTGCACAGGAACTGGATTAACCAAGGCTTGGGTTACCGTGTTCTAGGTCCCGCCATGCAACTTTCACGCGGCGCTGGGGTTGTGAACGAACCCCGGGATATTGACATGATTGATTCCGACGCTACACAGGGACAGTCTGGTGGTGAGCATGGAAATATATTTGCTGCAGGCTTGAATGCAGGCGCAGGCATGCAAGGCAATTTGCGACACGAACGAAACGAGATGCAGCCACCCCACCCTGAGACAAACAAAAGGAAAGATGCCAACGGAGATCCTTGCACCCGCCCTTTTAAGACACCCCGATGCCGTAGTGACAATGGTACATCCGACTTGCAGACTCAGATCGACAGCCCGGATGCTGACACCCTTTATGAAAGATCACCGACTCCAGAACCACTTGGAAACGGACGCGGACGGCTGATTCCAGGCATGGTATTGCAGAATATTCAATACCGAGCTGTGCCTGTATTGCGCGACGGTACCTCTGAATCGGTGAGCATATCCTTTCGTGTACAACAAACGCCATATTTATAGCCATCTCTGACCATCATATATAGGGCACACAACTACCTTTATTCGGACTAATGGACCTGAACGATGTGAATTAGTATTGTGGGTAATGCTACAAGCTATCGATGGACTCGAGTGGATCTGGATGGAGTTCTAGGGACAGAGATCCAGTGGCCAAGGTATGAGTGACCTTCAATGTTTGCGATTTGCATTGGGTGGAATACCTTGGGAGTATGAGAGTCTACACAAGAAGCGTTGCTCGGAGGAGATGAGGATAGCGGAATGTGTGGAGCCTAAACTTGATTTTAAGGCTATGTATGGCTAATCATGGGGAAATATGCAATGCGAAACATTTGCTCTCTGAAATGTAGAACATGAACCCAGTGTATCAAACTCGACGCCTTGGCAAGTCTGTGTTCATGAATCGTGTCTACTCCATAGTTTTCGAAAAGCTACGCCTCTCCACATCAGCAATGGCAAATTGGAAAGGTGCATCAACAAGGCCAGCGGACTTTTCCCACTGTGGGTCCAGATACCACGGTTTGATGAGCAAAACATTGAATACCGTGGGTTGTTGAATCTGACGCAGCGGTATAATCCAATCATCCAGGTGGTTTGTGACGTGAGGATACAAGTGGATGGTCAAGTTCTTCAGGCCTGGGATCTTCGTAGCGAGAACCTTACAGCACATATTCCAACTTAAGCCACCGGGATCTGGAAAGCTGAGCTGTAAAGTGCGAATCATGCCCAGTCGCTGTGGTAGAAGTGAATGCGAAAAGTCAATAAGTGTTTCTGTGTGGTTAAAGAGGAAAGTGTTCTTTTGAAAGATCATATCAATGGTCTCGGAATATCTGCCGCGCTATTAGCTAATTATATTTGAATATCCATTAAAGGTACTCAAATTCTTCGGCAGGTTTGTAAAAGTGGCACAAAGTCAACCCTTCTTGTTTCAAATCTCCACTCGGAGTTCTCATGGTAATATGACCCGTACTCCATGGGGGTAGTGCAGTTTGCCACGGGTCGACGAGCAAGCAATCCCCAACAATGATGACTGCATGGACAGAAATCACGAGGTTCGCTGCATAAAATTCCAACGATCTTCGTGTCGGATCGTTTCCATTTACGCTGGTTCGGCCGAAGAATATGTAGCATTTGGCTACAGAGATAGTGCTCCCAAATGAGAAGCCGGACTTCGGCGGGTAGAATTGCAAATAGAGGAGACTGGCTTTGGTTGAAGGTAGATGGTTGCTCCCGTCGCCTTGAAAGTGAAAGCCGCCACCCACGATTGGTTGATGGGACTTGCGATTTGAGGCTTTTATTCTCCGGAAATGGTGGAGTGAGTGCCCTGGGGCGGGGGTTTTGAAACAAACTGGAGTGTTTTGAATCGTCATCTCGAAGTCGATTCTTCTTTGCCAACCCAGATTCCTGCCCATCTGGCTCGTTTTCTGGGCTGAGAGGTGCCATATTCGGACTGACAAAGAGTGAAGTAAAAGTAAAGCTCGACAGGGTAACGTTTGGCAAGGTTGAGCCTACACCACCAAAACAAAGTATCGGGCTCTTAGTTTGGGGGCCAAGACTCAAACAATCCAAACAAAGATAGCAAGTAAAGCTGATAAGAAAAGCTAGCCTCTGTCATCCAAAGCTGAAACAGATATATAGTAGAGAGGTATTTATAACTATGTTCAATAAGCTGTTGCTCGAGAGCTAAGTCGATAAATATGATCAACAACCGTAATGACCACAACGAAAAAGGAAGAGAGCAAAGCCGTACGAGTCTACAGTCTTCTAGACCTTCACTTGTTTGTTTTATGAGCTATATATATCTAATCTATCGTAAAGGCAGAGATCTCCTTCGAACAAGCTCTGAACTTCACGGCCCAGGTATATATACTGACCCTCATATACCCGTAACCAATCGGTCAACTGGCAGGCAATTTGGCCGTTAAAACCCCCACTTTGGCGAGGGGAACTCTGTGAAGTTCTGTTCATATTCAAAAGCAAGGGATAAGCACTATATCAATAAGATAAGTTAAAAAATAGTGCCTGTAGGTGGCCGTGGCCTATTGCATTTGCATAGCGCACGCTCCGGTAGGAAGTTGATCAGTGAAAAACGCCTGCGGGTGATCGTCGATTGACCCTGCGCGCCAGACTTCTTATTTATAGGCATAATATTTGGAACCACCCCTCCTAGAAGATTTTCCTTTTTTTATTGAATTTTTATTATTGAAATTAGTTTGTCATGGAACAGTAGCACAGAGCTGTAAACCCGACAGAAAAGACTTGTGGCAGTCATCTAGTCATCTATGTAGACTTTGAGTAGTGTATTGTATATTGGATCGGCAGATCTACGGAAATTATACTTGACCTGCAGCATGACAGAAGATCTCTCAGCTTTTATGTTCCTTTTCTTTAAGACAAGAAATGCAATATTTCTAATAATAGATGTTCGACCAGCCATTGTTCTGGCGCCTTATCGATTAGGTGTTGATGCCTAGGTGGGTGCCCAGATGGGCTATAAATTCCCCGCAATCTCCACTTCAGCTCCCTTCGATAAGCCTCACCTCTTCCAAATATTGTGACTCGGAAAGGCCATGGCTTCAAGAATCGTGCCAGCTGCTGAACTTCAATCGTTTGCTGAATATTTAAAAGGCTGCAAACGCATTGTTGCTCTTCTTGGTGCTGGAATCTCAGCATCCTCAGGCCTACCCACCTTCCGTGGCGCAGGTGGAATTTGGCGCTCCCATGATGCAACCTCCCTTGCGACTCCAGAAGCCTTTGACAGGACTCCTGATCTCGTCTGGCAGTTCTACAGCTATCGGCGACATATGGCCTTACAGGCCGACCCCAACAAAGCACACTACGCCTTAGCTGAGCTGTCGCGAAGGAATGAAGATTTCATCACATTGAGCCAAAATGTAGATGGTATGAGGGTGTCGAGATGTTTTCTTTTTCTGGTTTCTCTCTTTTTTTTCTTGACTAATAAATCTATCACGTTTTTTAAGGCCTCTCGCAGCGAGCGAACCATCCATCGAAGCAGCTACATCTTCTTCATGGGAATCTGTTTACTGTCAAATGCACCAATTTCTATTGCACCCACACCGAAGAAAACTACATCGACCCCATCGTTCCGGCCCTCGAGATCCCCAAAAAGAGTTCAGGCCTTAATCCTTCTGCGACCGACAAGACTGGCCAGGAAGCATCCCAGGCGCTTGTAGATGCGCTGGAGGGCATAACCAACGAGGTCGACATATCCGACGCCAGCAATCCTATCCCTACAATCCCCGATAAGGACTTACCTCAATGCCCGAAATGCAAGAATGGCTTGCTCCGACCGGGAGTCGTATGGTTCGGAGAGCCCCTACCGGAGAAGACACTCAAGGCTGTCGATAAGTGGATGGCGGCGGGTCCAATTGACCTGTGCTTGGTCATTGGCACCAGTGCGAGGGTCTGGCCAGCTGCAGGGTACGTCGATGAGGCGCGTTCGCAGGGTGCCCGAGTTGCAGTGTGCAATATGGACCCCGATGATGTACCTGGTGAACTTGATTACGATGACTGGTTCTTCCAGGGAGATGCGGGTGTCATTGTCCCTGAGATACTCAAGAGTGTTATTGGCGAGATTTGAATTTTATGGGACATGAGAACGGCGAATTTTATTAACCGTTCGATGAACTGGCGCATGAGCGTTATGGTGATAGGAATGGGGTTTCATGAAAGTTGATATTCCAAGGAGAATGGAGTTGTATCAATCATATCAATAGGCCAATCACAGAGATTTCGACCAATTTGCCGGTAAAAATGCCGATCATCGGGTGCTCCTTTAGACTGCGGAAACAATTTACTCCATAAATAGCGGAATTCTCAGCTGATGGGGCTACTGTACTATGCGGGGTACCACATATATAGAGCTGCTGCCCTGACCTCCATTAAAACTCCCTTCTTACAACTCAATTCATCACAATGAAGTCGAATACTGTACCCCAGAAACGAAAGAATGTAGAGAGCGACGATGAAGGCGAAATTGTCAAAGATGGCAGCCTCACATCTGCCGCTGAGAATTTCTTCGAGGCGCTGTGTATGTGATCAGACCTCCACAAAATACATTAGAGAAGCTAACAATTCTCCCAGCTGAGGCCGGCATCACTCACTGTTTTGTTAACCTGTGAGCCCCTATAATAACAAGAGATTTGTTATGTTCTGACCGGTCCGACAGAGGGAGCGACCATCCCGCGATGTTGGAAGCAATGATCAAGGCCAAGCAAGGTGAGCACTAGAAATATTAATTCAATAACACCAGGGCTAAATTACAATAGAAAACAATACCAATTTCCCAAACATCATTACTTGTCCTTCGGAGCTAGTCGCGCTGTCAGCTGCACTGGGATATGCTCAAGCTACGGGAGTTCCGGTGATTATGCCTATCATCTCAATTGATTCTCACTAACTTCAATATTCTTACTAGCAATGTGTAATTGTGCACGTCGACTGCGGCACTCTTGCCATGGGACAATCCATACATAATGCTTCCGTCAGCAGGGTTCCTGTCCTATGCTTTGCTGGCTTGAGTCCTTTTACTCAGAATGGCGAAATGTTGGGTTCCAGAACAGAGTTAGCAAGCCCCAAAGAGAAGATCTACATTTAGCCTACTAATACTACTACAGGTTCATCCATTGGCTGCAAGACGTACCTGATCAAGCAGCGATTGTCCGACAGTACTGCAGATACACAGGCGAAATAAAGACCGGACGCAATATCAAGCAGATGGTCTCGCGAGCTTTGCAGTTTGCTACATCTGACCCCAAAGGCCCGGTATATCTAATGGCTGCGAGAGAGGTACTTGAGGAAGTAAGTATTTGCAGTCGCCAAAATAAACTAAAATACTACTAACCAAAACTGCTATACAGCGTGTTGGAAAGGAATGCGAAGACGGAGAAATTCTCAGTTCAATCGCTCCAAGTGCATTGCCAGAGCAAGGTAGAGTAATATTCTTTTCAAGCTATAACTTCACGTCGCTAACAACGGCAGAGGTGGAATTAATTGCCAAATCCCTTATGGGCGCAAAACGACCGCTTGTCATCACAGGTTATCTTGGTCGGAATCTCAAAGCACCAGCGCTCTTAGCCGAGCTTTGTGACAAACTTCCAATCACAGTCGTGGAGATGGTCGGTTCTGACGTTTCCATGCGAAGCGACCATGAAGCTTATCGCGGCGTTACCGTTACTACTCACCCGGAGGTTCTTGAAGCCGACGTTATCCTTATTCTCGATTGTGATGTGCCTTGGATTCCTACTGCTGGAAAACCTCGGAGCGGTAAAAATTCCCAGGAAGAAGTGTTCGAATATTGTTCTAACAAATATTGCAGGCACGAAGGTATTCCATCTAGATGTGGATCCACTGAAGCAACAAATGCCGCGTAAGTTCACATATCAACTCTAGGACGAGCCCTTTTCTGCTTCCTTGCTAATGACTTTGTATTAGTCTTTTCAATCAATGCCACTCGCAAGCTCAAGGTTGGCTGTGGAATTGCACTTGAACAAATCAATGCTTTCCTGGATAAACAAAGCATTGATCGTGCTACGTATACTCTGGAGTTCGAGGAGCGATCAAAGAACTATAAGTCTTGGAGGGAATCTCTACGGGAAATTGAATCGCCATCAAAAGATGGCGTAGTCAGCGTGCCATACCTGGCATCAAGACTACGAGATTCTCTCCCCCAAGACACTATTTATGTTTTGGAGGCTGTAACCAATGCAGGAAACCTCATCCACCATTTGAACCTAACCAAGGTATGTAATTCTTCCAATTTGCTGACTCGGTACTAATCAAATTCCAGCCCGGAAGTCTGATTGCTAGCGGTGCAGGTGGTCTGGGATGGGGAGGTGGTGCGGCACTTGGCGTCAAGCTAGGCAAGCCTGGTTCATTCATATGTGCAATGTAAGTACTCACTAACGTGCACGAACTTCTACGATATCTAATGAACACAGCGTCGGTGACGGTGTGTATCTGTTCTCACAGATGGAAAGCGTCTATTGGATCGCCAGGCGCTACGATGTTCCCTTCCTCCTTGTTGTGCTCAACAACGGCGGATGGAACGCACCAAAGGTGTCTGCACTTCTAGTCCACAAGGACGGGCTATCGTCGAAGTCCAATAGACGAGGTCAGCTAAATCTAAACTAGCTTTCCTGTTCACAATCGCTGAATTACTCCAGATCTCAATATCTCGTTTGACCCTTCTGCCGATTACCCCGGAATCGCAGCTGCAGCTGGTAAGGCGTGGGGTGCGACGGTTACCACGCAAAGCGAGCTAGATCCTGCTATCAAACAGGCGACTGGTGTTGTCCAGGGTGGAAGATGTGCTGTGATTGAGGTTTCGTAAGTAGGAATAGGAGCTTTTATCTGATCGTCAGCTGACTTTGATCTACAGTGTGCCGTCTATGTGGAAGGAGAACTAGAATAAATTGCCAGAGGGGAAATAGGACTGTTATTAGAGCAGTAAAGTCCTTGGGATTTGGAGGGCTAGAAGCAGTTGCACGCTAGAAACTATCATTAGATGGCTTTATGTGGAATTCTGTTTTAGTGGAGATTATGCTGAATTTCAGTTCCGAGTCACCCACGCAATGCCGGGTAGGTGTCTCGTCGAAAGTGTAAGATATCAGATGGCAAGGCCGAATGGCCGCAGATTTGATGATTTTGATAGAGGAATCCGCTTTCTAGAAGATATATATATAGGGATTGGCTAATAGATGGTTTTTTTTAGGATTAAATGACCTAGGCCGCAGCCCCAAAAACGCTAGTAGAGCCACAGCCTCCCGATTTCAACACCTGAAAAGTACAAGTTTATTGGTCTAGATGTATGGGTTGCAACAACTAGAAGTGATGCTTGATATAGGAAGAGATGTTGACGATTTCTGCCTGAGGTTGTAATTATGCCTGAGGCGCCATCCGTTGCTAGGCCGACCCAAAACAAATCGATAACCTTTGTGATCGATAACGACGCTTTTCCCTTTGATGTTTGCCAACCCCACCATCGACAAAACACTCCAGGGCTTCGGATTCAAGGCATCATCAAAGGGTTAGTTTATCCTAGGTTCGCTTCGAATTTCTTGAACTCGTACCGCAAACCACCCAAAGTCGTCGAGCCCACACAAAGAACAAGACTAACGTCAAACTTCAGTGCTCCGAGATTCCTCTTCGCGTGGAATTGATGCCCAAAGATCGGATCATCTCAGACTTGCCCACCCAGTACATTCAGCGAGCCAATATATTCATCAATCTAACAAAAGATCCTTCGAACCACACCGCTCGTTAAAACACCATGGCTAGAGAAAGCAACGCGCCATTGGAACCCCTCACTCCAGGGGGAAAACCGAACTCTCAGCCTCACCCTGCCCATATCCAGGAACCTGAATTCGGAAAACCCTCGCCGATCGGCCCCCCACAACACAGATCGAACCATCTTTTCAACATTCCCAAGCCGAATCAATCTCGTGCCGAGCATCATCGACCTGCACCTCGACCGCAGCCGCAACATCAACCACAATCACGCCACCAAGGTCAATCAAGTGCTACACCTCACGCTTACCGCCCACAGGGCACGTCGGGTGGCCCATTTGCTACGCCGTCGGTGAAGCGAAGCGAGCCATGGGATCCATTCAAGCCGGTGGCACCATCGGCCTACAATAACCCTCGTGGAGGATTCCAACATGGTGCAGTGAGCATCAAGCGCCCTGAAAATGTCACTTGGTCAACACCTCGGGCCCCTAGACCTATATACCAGTCTAAGCCTCTTCCGCCGATGGCAGGCGCGTCGAAGAACATACAGAAATTTATCGATCTCACGCGCGATGACACTGATCCTGTTCCAAGGGCGTCAGCCTATGCGACGCAGGGCTTCGGTGCCATGGATATGAATGGCTACGTGGATACGGCTATGGCGCAAGAAAACATCAAAGCCTTGCTTGAAGGTGCGTTCGAGGACGAGGAGGACAAGCCTAAGCCGAAACGTAAGGGGAAGAAAAAGAAGGGTGGGAAGAAGAAGTCCAAGAACACATCAGAGAAGGAGAAAGATGAAGTTGTTGTGGATAAGAAGAAGGAAGAAGCGATTGACGACCTTGATGATCTTGCCGCTCAACTGCAAGGGGTCACGGTTAATGATCCGAAAGAAGATAGTGCCAAGTCTGAAAATGATTCATCTGCCAAGGTTGGGCAAGACGAAGGAGACGATGAGGCAGCAGAGGAGGAAGAAGAGGAGGACGAGGAGGATTCCGACGAAGAAGAAGATGGAGTCGTCGAAGGTCTCAAAGTGACACTCCTTCCCCATCAAATCGACGGTGTAAGATGGATGTGTGACAAAGAGACTGGTCGAAAGACGTCCAAAGGAATTTTTCCCAAGGGCGGAATCCTTGCAGATGATATGGGTTTGGGCAAAACAGTGCAAGCGATCGCTTTGTTGCTCAAAAACCGTAAATCCGATCACGAACACGATAGCGATGCCGAATCCGAGGGTAAGACGACCAAGCTGCCCCCGAATTGCATTTCTTCCACCTTGGTAATTGCGCCCCTTGCACTCATCAAGCAATGGGAGGCAGAAATCAAGGACAAGGTTGAGCCATCCCACAAGCTGCGTGTTTGCGTCTATCACGGTGCAAACCGAACAAAGACATCGACGACATTGGACAAATACGACGTTGTGATCACAACATATGGAACTCTTACCTCCGAATTCAACTCGTCAGCATCAGACAAGGCCAAAAAAGCAGGAATTTTTGCTGTTCATTGGTACCGTATCATCCTTGATGAAGCACACACAATCAAGAATCGCAATGCCAAAGCCACACAATCAGCATATGCATTGGATGCTCAATACCGCTGGTGCTTGACAGGAACGCCTTTGCAAAACAACCTGGATGAGTTGCAGAGTCTAATCAAATTCCTTCGAGTGAAGCCCTATGATGACTTGGCTGCTTGGAGAGACCAAATCAGTCGGCCTTTGAACAATGGCCGCGGGGGCCTGGCTATTCAGCGACTACAGGTCTATCTGAAGGCCTTCATGAAACGGCGCACCAAGGATGTCCTCAGGCAGAACGACAATGTGAAGCCTGGTGAAGAAGGACCAGACGGCAAGCCAAAGAAGTCCGCGAATGGATTCCACATCGCCAAGCGTGAGGTCATCAAGGTAGATGCCGAATTCATGCCTGGTGAATTAAACTTCTACAAACGTCTCGAGCAGAGGACGGAGAATAGCCTTGAAAAAATGATGGGTAGTGATAAGGTCGATTATGCTGGAGCTTTGGTTCTGCTGCTACGTCTTCGTCAGGCTTGTAACCACCCCGACTTGGTCAAGGGTGATTTGGCCAAGGACAAGGATATTCTCTTGCAGAATGGCAGTGCGAGCAGCCAACAAACACAGTCAAAGCCAGATGACCTTGACAGCATCGCCGATCTTTTCGGGGCAATGAGCGTTATTGCAAAGAAATGCGATGTTTGCCAGACGGACCTGAGTCCAAACGAAATCAAGGCTGGTGGCAGTCGATGCGGTGAATGTGAAGCCGATTTGAATACCAATGTTATCGGGACAGACAAAAAGAAAAAGAAGTCGAAGAAGAGCCACAAGAAACTTGATGTTCTGGACTCTCCGACAGCCCGCAAATCTGATGCACAACTTTCTCGTTCCCGCAAAAATCGACCAATCATTATTGACAGCGACGATGAAGAGGAAGAAGAAGGCGACTGGGTTGTACCTGAACATCAGCGCAATATTCCCAGCCTCGGGAAAGCAGGTGGATCAGACGATGAAAACGCCGAAGGAGGTGGTGAATGGCTTGTTTCGGATGACGACGATGAAAGCGATGATGAGATCGAATCACCCTCCCGAAGGAAGAGCAAACCTATAGTTTTGAGCGATTCCGAGGATGAAAGCGATTCCGAAACGGAGGATATCTACAATGATGAAGGAGCAAACGGAGAGCTTCCATCCACCAAGATCCGCCACCTTATGCGGATTCTCAATCGCGAGGCACCGGACTTCAAGTTCATTGTTTTCTCCGTCTTTACGTCTATGCTTGATAAGGTCGAGCCCTTCTTGAAGAGTGCTAATATTGGCTTCGCCCGCTACGACGGTGGAATGGCAAATAACCACCGCGAGGCCAGTCTCGAAAAGCTTCGAAACAACAGTGGCACTCGTGTGTTGCTCTGCAGTCTGCGTGCCGGTGCATTAGGCCTCAATCTTACAGCTGCTAGCCGTGTCGTCATCTTAGAGCCCTTCTGGAATCCCGTAAGTTGCGATTTTCTGTAATCTATTGCGCATTGTGCTAACCCTGAACCTAGTTTGTGGAAGAGCAAGCCATCGATCGTGTCCATCGCCTGAACCAAACCGTCGACGTCAAGATCTACAAGATGGTCATCAAGGGTAGCGTGGAAGAACGCATTGTCGCCCTACAGGACCGCAAGCGCGAACTGGCCAATGCCACTATTGAGGGCAAGACCGGCGCTGGCAAGCTCACCATGCGCGACATGATGGCGCTCTTCGGTCGTGATGCAGAATCCAAATTCACGGATAACCAGACCACCCTGGATTTCAACCAGCCTACTCGACTGCTAAATACTGGAGATGAGACGGAGCCTGCTCAATCCTCTCGGGAGTCATCACAGTCTGCCCCACGCAGCCAGGGAAGCCAGGGCCAGCCTAACCGGGAGCGACATGAACACTCCGTTTATGGTCGACGCTGGTAATCAGCCTAGTAGCTGTGGACGAAATTATGAAATGATATTTGGATAGAACTTTTTGGGGAGTCCCGGCTGGCGCGAGGAACGTGTTTGAATTACTTCTACTAGGTTTATCTCATTTCGTGGTTGATGTTATATTTTATTGGTTCATCTCGTACATCTATTGAACTTCTTGCTACTATATCAAAACATGCGTCGACATGTCCTCCACTCCCTATACTCCGCTTAGGGTTGTTTGAGGCGAAAGCGTGGAACCTTGGTTATTTGCTGACTTGGCCTCACGCCTCCCATGTATCCGGAACCAATGCCCGCGAGTCAGATTCCTGCTCATTTTTAGATATGGCGATTTCACAGTGGGCTCGGCATTGTGGTCCGACTGGGACACCTAGGTACGATCCTGGGTGATCATTGCCGCCGCTATCGATAGAGGTCTCTCGCGCCTCATTGAAATGGTGCGATACGTCTCTATCTGATGCTTATAGGTAGACTAGCTCAACCTCTAACGTCCATTCTACCTTTGTCTCGATACTTGATACCTCCGAACAGAAACTAATTGAGGGTATAGTTGTCAAATCCAAGCCGTTTGTCACACACTGAGCAGACCACTCATTTTTCGTGGAATGTGTGGGGTATCCCCATTCGAGATGAGCTGATTCTCGATGGGCCGGAACAGGTACCTCCTTGTCATGTTCTATGGTTCTGGTCCGGTCCCCCCGAGTCTCGCCTTCCGACGGTCTAGCTTGATTGCGAGTAATGCCCAATATATCTTTGATTCCATTGCACTGGGATCACATGGAATTGACCAGTACGCCAAATGCCTTACATTTTGACAGCGGACGAGCCTCAATGTAAAAGTTCGAACTCCTTGGAGGGTTTGGAATACCAGGACCAGACCGAACCTCATACCATGGATTTGAGAGTCTGGTCCAAAGGATTGCGAGTGAATTCCTCATGGTAGTTTCCGGCGAACCGGACAAGGGAACCGAGGACATGCTCCCAGGGTGGAAGCTTGTTTCCGGTGGTTGATCTTTTGATAGGTTGAAAGCTCAGGAGAAAGCTTGAGCTGGGGGAGAGACTCCCTTGCTAACCCCGGTTGAAGTATGCCAATTCGTGGAGATCCTTCAACAGGCGACATATACTGTTCAAAGTTCATTCGATTTTCTTCACAAACTCCGTGTGCTGCATATCATTGATACACGATGACTCTGATGTTGCTAGTCCTTGCTTAACTGCGTTGATACGTCACTGTCTTTCCGTGAGCTGCTTCCTGTCAAATTCGCTGCCTGGATCAAATCTAACGCTGGCGGTATTCTTAGCTCGAATACCTCTCAACTGTTCGCTCTGCCGATAATTGAACATTGAAATATGTCTTCGCCATCCGACATTAAAGACAACCGCGATTGGACGGTCATTTACGATGACCCGAATGAAGATGAACGAAATGGCAAGAAAGAAGAAAATCGTGCCGGAAGGAGGCAGTCTCTCGCGCGAACGTTGTCTATACCAAATACCATGCGCATCATGTCTGACAACAAGACTGAGATATCAACGGTAGCCGAGCTTCTATCCTCAAAGTTGAAATTGCCCCAGCTAGGCACTGAATCAGCGGAACGAGTCTTTCCTGTTCGCTCTGTTGTCTCGCTTGATTCCACGCCTTCATCTGCCCTACAGACTCCTTCCCTCGATAAGCTCGAAACGCCAATATCTCCTTTTACGGACACATGGAATGCAGGCCTCGCCAATGAACAGGCAGGCGGCCAACAGAAGAACCCGCCCGGGAAGAGCATGAATGCTGAGGATGGTGTCCCAAAGACAACCGACAATATCGCTCGAGTGCATCGAAAGAGTGGTGGTGGGAGCGAGATTTCATCGGCGTTCAATGGACAATCTTCCGCCAGTGATAATCTCGACGTTTTGGCACAATTGAAAAACACTGTGCAGAACGGTGGCGAGGTCCTTGACTTCCACAAAACAACAAAGGGTATATGCTACACGCGCGAAGATGAAGAAGACATTCTCATTCAGTCGTTCGGTGCACTCGTTGTGGTGACAGAGTCCGACGGTAACTTTGAAGTGCAAATAGCGAGCGATAACTCGGAGGAAATCATTGGATATTCTCCTGCTAAACTATTTGAATTTCTATCATTTTGTGATATCTTGCCACCTTCGCAACAGAGCAACTTTCTTACTCATGCTCGATTCGTCTTGAGTGATGATTACTCTGTCGAGGACTCTGGGCCTGAGGTTTTCTTCCTTTCTATGTTGTCACCTGATGGATATACCCAGGGTCTCTGGTGTACCATGCATACAAGCACAGTATATAAAAACTATGTGATTTGTGAGCTCCAGCCTGAGGCTCAAGCGAGAAACGATCACCCTTCTTTGGAGAAAACCGAGAGTCAGACAACGGCAGGGGATAGCCGGACCTTGGACATGACTTCTGGGGCATTTTTCGAGGATTCTAGTCCTCCGGGGAAAGACCACGATACAAGAAACAGAAAAGTGCCGGAATCATCTGAGCTTCTCAATACCATCCCTCGAATTCTCCAACGGCTAGCAAATGCTCAAGGGTTAGAAGCGCTCGTCCAACATAGCATCAGCACTTTGAAAAGTCTTGTTCAGTTTCATAGAACAACCATGTATCATTTTGATAGTGATCGCAACGGAATCGTGGTCGCCGATGCGGTTGATACTTCGTTAGGGTTAACTTCATACGAAGGAATGCATTTCCCAGAATCAACCTTCCCCGATGGACTGAAGAAATTATATACGCGCAATACTGTGTGCTCCTCTTGTTCTGGAAGACGGGGCACTTCGATACTTGTGTATCGCGCTTCAACAAACAAGAGCCCCCTCGACATGTCGCACACCTATCTCTCTACACCACCAGCGTTCTCAGCGCCGCATACCGACAATCCCGTCGAGGCTTGTTTGTCAATTCAAATCAATGTCTTTGGCAAGCTTTGGGGTATCATATCATGTCAGTCCTATGATAGCAGCCAAAGCCTCCATCCGCTCATCCATAAAGTTTCTTGGTTTATTGCAGAGGCGGTGTCGAGTAACATTGAGCGTCTGTCCTATACCTTACCCTTTCAATTTCGAGAACCAGACATCTCCCTAGATAAAACCAGCACGTCTCAGGCTATCAAGACTCCGCCTGGTGACCTTCTCAGTCTGTTCGGGGCAGATTACGCTGCAGCGTCCATTATGGGCGAGTCTAAGATCTTGGGAAAACCAGCGGACTCACAGGAAGTTCTGGCATTGTTCGAATACATGAAAGCTAAAGAAAACGACACTGTATTTTGGTCCGTAGATATCGCTGCCGATTTCCAGGACCTTAACTACTCCCGCGGCTTTCATCATCTTTCTGGTTTGCTTTACGTTCCTCTTTCGGTCGACGGTCGTGATTTTATTATCTTCTTCCGGGCTGATTTGGAAAGCCACAACTTCGCGATTGATTCAGAGCGATCGAGTCGGCAACATGAGTGGTCATCCGGAGAGTTTGGAAAGGCATCCGTTCTATCTTTGCTATATCGTACTTTCACCGATATATGGCAAGAGAAGGAGGCTACGTTACAGAACAACCAGTTGATGAGGCTTTTACTCGCCAATTCTGCGCACGAGTTTAGAACACCTCTCAACGCCATCATCAACTATCTGGAAATTGTGCTGGATGGATCTCTTGATCAAGAAACACGAGATCACATTTCCAGATCTCATTCGGCTTCCAAGTCACTTGTATACATTATCAATGACCTTCTAGACCTCACAAATGCGGAAAACGGACAGCGGTTGATAAAGGATGAGATATTCGATCTCGCAGAGACCCTTATGGAAGCAACAGATATATTTTGGGAAGAGGCAAGACAGAAGAATCTCGACCTGCAGGTAATTCAACACGCAGCCCTACCTCCTGTCCTCGGAGATCAACGACGGGTACGCCAGGTAATCACAAACTTGATAAGCAACGCTATACAACACACGTCCACTGGAGCAGTAACAATCGAGTCTTGTGTCGTACCAGAGGTCCTGGAGCCAGATCATATCTGTGTCGAGGTAGCAATACACGATACTGGATCTGGCATGTCTCAAGAGACGGTTGAAACATTGTTCTGTGAGCTGGAACAAGTCTCCAACAAGGGCTATATGCAGAATCCCAATTCATACGAAGGCGCTTCAAGTGGTCCTGTATTCGAAACTGAAAATGTGCTTGGTCTTGGTCTTGCGCTGGTCGCCCGAATCGTACGCAATATGAATGGGCAGTTAAGCCTGAAGTCTGAAGAGGACAAAGGAAGTTGCTTCAAGATCAGACTAGTGTTTCCTCTTCCAGATGAAGATAGTCAAAAGAAGAATCTTCATGCAAACGAACATCAGGAAGATGAAAGAAAACAAGACACAAAGCGAGACACTTCATCCTCGCCTTGCATAACAAATCAGACAGGGGGTATTCCGTGTGAATGTGGCCAAATTCAAGAATTGGAGTCAGGATCCATCGTGAACGTCGATGTAAACTTGAAAACTGGTGAATCAAGAAACCTCTCCCTTTCTGGTCAACAGCTCGAACAGAGAGACCGACCGTATAAATCGACTTCCCGTCAAACTCAGGATCTCAAGAAGTTAGAGACATCTAAAGATCGCATCAAAGAGACTATCTCAACCGCACCAACTACAAAACCCCCAACCGAGCCACAATTCCAACCAACTCCCTCACCCACAATGGACTGGAACCTCCACGTCCTCGTCGCAGAAGACGACCCAATAAACAGCTCGATTGTCCAAAAGCGGCTGGAGAAATTTGGCCACACGGTACACATGACAAGCAACGGGAAAGAATGCGCTTCTGCCTACAAAACGAATCCTACCCGATTCGACGCTGTGCTAATGGATCTACAAGTACGTTCGCCAAAGAAGTAATAATTCCCAACTCAATCTATATATAAACTAACAGTCAAATCCCTTGCAGATGCCTATCGTCGATGGCCTCGGTGCAACACAGATGATACGCGAATACGAGCAGCAAGAGCTGGCTAACGAGAACACGCCTGCGCCTCGCATTCCCATATTTGCTGTATCTGCTTCCTTGCTCGAGGAGAATCGGATGATGTATATGGATTCCGGCTTTGACGGGTGGATTATGAAGCCAATTGATTTCCAAAGGGTTGATCGGTTGCTTGGGGGTGTTAGGCTTCAGTGGGTACGGGAGGAGGTTGTTTATCGGGCTAGTGTGTGGGAGGCTGGGGGTTGGTTTGAGGCATAGCTGACATGTGGACTTAAAGAGACTTTGAAGAACCAGCTGAGATGGGCATATCCAATATCAAGGGTCATGGGAATCATATGCAAGAAAGAAATCTAGACCTTATCCATGGTATCTATGCAATGAATGAAACGCAAAATGCAAATGCAACAAGTAAATGACAGGAAATGTAATGAAAGCATCAGAAGCTCTCCGATGCGTCGGAAAAGTCCGGTACTGTATCTCCGCACTTGAAAGAAGGGCTGTATGCCTTGCTGGGCATATATCCATTTTTCCATGCTGTGCGGTAGCTCCATTGGGCAGCTGACTCCGTCCGCCAGGTCCAGTAGAACCATCCCATCGCTGTTTCGAAGGCTGACATCTGAGCCTCGGCATATGTTTGTAGGTACTTCTTGTAATGGGCTGAATACTGGGATGGGTCCATGTTGGCATCTGCACAACTGCAGGTTCCTTGGTCGGCTGTTGGGCAATAAGCTGTTGTGGAACTGGTATCGTAGGTTCCTTCCCATCGCGCGCCTCGTCCAACGTTGTTCACATATTGCGCGCAGTCGGTGTCTGCCTGTGACCATTCGCCGCAAATGGTCGGACCCCATCTGATTGTATGTTAGCGTGGGAAATTAGAAAGAAGGGAGCTCGATTTACCCAGAGGTTGTCGTGTTGATCTCCTTGATCATGGAGTGCCAATTATTGCAGATAACGTCGAGTTTGGCCGTGTGGTTCAGAACGATCTCACCCGTGTTGAAGGTAGTGTATTGATGAGTGTCAAGGTACATGTTGTCTGGACGAGATTTGAACATAGTATCCCACTTGGCGAGATTCAAAAACCCATCATGAAGGACAAGAGTTGCAGTAACACCATTCTTGCGAACGAGTTCCGCAGCCTCCTTGGTCCAATCTAGGACCTTTTCGACGGGAAGCTTTAACATCAATGGTTCGTTTGCGAGACCGTAGATTGTCACCACGTTCTTATACCGATCTTGGGCAAAGAACTTGGAGAGTTGGTCGTGAATCTCAAGGGACCGCTTACGGTTGAGATCGCCGTCTGAGCCCTCCAGCCAGTTGACGCTGCCCTGCCGGCCGCTGTGGTTCCAGCCGTTTTGACTGCCAGGGAGTCCGTGGAGGTCGAGCTTTACTCGCAGTCCATGCTTGCGACACCACTCGATTACACGCAGAAGATAGCGCCACGCAATCTTAGGGACGTATGGGTCGTCGTCGTATGTAGTCACGGCCCAGTATGAGTATGGGATGCGAACGTGATCGAGTCCGGCTTCTGCGATTTCTTTCAGATCTGACTCGGAGATGAATTCGGCATAATGTTTCTCCAACGTGCGCGCCGCAGAGGTTCCAAGTTTTTTAGTCAAGGTATACTCGTCAATGATACCGGCGCTGGATGGCCACTTGCTGAACAAGGACGGGACAATAAAGGGCTCGATAGAAAGCCATCCGCCAAGATTGACTCCGCGGATCGGCTGCGTGCCGTAGGGAAATGGCTTGTTAAGAGGAGGCACATTGTCGTTCGGCCGGGCAGAGTCATCCCACTTCGAGTCGATGCCCATGACGGAAAGGCCGCCAACAGTGGCATTTGTGAAAGTGAGGTTGAAACCTTTGGTCTCGTACCACGTAAATGGATCCAAGACGGTGCCCTTGGCGTAACTCTGAAGTACTGTTGTCAGCGAATTCCATCAAGCTGGTACACCCAAGTCTTACAGGTATGCTGTCACGGCTGATACTGTCCAAGTTAGAAGTAGGAGAACTGTCATCGGAATCCGATGAACTCGGTTTTGAATCCGAGCCTTTCTTTTTTGACACAACAAGTGCTACCGGGATAATGATGGCGAGCAAGAGGATCACCGCCAGCAGACATCCAACCCATATACGTTTCTTCCTGGACCAATTAGACCAAAATTTCCAAGCCGGTGGTCTGCTCTCCAAGCTCCCCTCCCAGCTATCTTCATCTTTCCAATGCTCTTCCATAGCAGGTCCACCACCGCCACGACGACGAACCCGGGCATCAGAGCTATGTCCTTCTTCTAAATAAGCACCAGACACAACTCGCGCACCCGCTTTATGGCGTGAGCGACCCGGCGCAACGTCGGCACCATCATAGTCATCCAACGCAGCTCGCTTCCGCTGTCGTCGATTCTCCCGTTCTCGACGCGTATCATCTCGTCCACGAGTCTGCTCCATGCGATCTGCATACTCATGCTCAGCGGCAAGACGCGCCATAGCATCCACACTCAAAAGATGCGCAGCACTACTAGACGACTCAGTACTGCGATGTTTCCTCGGTGCCGCAGCAGCATCGATTTCCCGCTGGCGCTCCCTTTCCCTTTCCCTTTCTCTTTCACGCCGTCTCCGTCTGCGTGCCTCAGCCTCAGCATCAACATCAACCTCCCTCCGCCTCTCCCTAGCGGGACTCGCACTCGCACTCTCCTCCCTGCGATACCTCCTCTCTCGATCCCGTTTAGGCGCAGACGACTCCTTCACCCTAGAATTCCCCCTCTCCCGTTCACGTCTCCTCTCCCCAGACTCAACAAGTCGCTCTTCCTCCTCCCTCCGTCTGCGTCTCCGTTCCCTGCGCCGCTCACGCTCCTCGTCGTAATCATCGCGCTCGTTATGTGAATTCGACTCGTAGCCTAGTTCCCCGCGGAAACGGTATTTCCCGGCGCGCCCGTTGGGGCTGGATGTTGCGCCTTCATCTTCGTAGCGGCCGCGGATGTACTCGCGGTCTCGATCTTGGTCTCGGCGGCGTGAGCGTTCTTCGCGTGCGCGATCGCGATCACGCTCCCGTCTGTCGCGGGATTCGCTTGGCATGCCAGATAGGTGGGGTTGTATTATGTGCTGATCGGTGGGATGGAATGTGGAATTGGTTTCAATGGGGATGGGTTGGTGTTAGGAAGGGGGAGAATGAAGAGTAACACGTGGGAAAAAGGCTGTAATTAGAATCTATATCGGGGCTTTGTTTTGCTTTTTCCCCACATGGAAGATCCTCTACATATCAATGCAGATTTGTATTGTTGCCTTAAATCCCTTTGTATATTATTTCATCCTAATTATATATACTTTAATTCTGCAGTTCTACTATATCTATATTATGAGTACAATGCAATGGTTGCATAGCAACGAATATTCAACTTTGTACGAAGCACTATGTACTATTGAGATTCAAGTACCAAGTTTATATATATTGAAATGCAAAATTAAATACACCCATCCCAGTCCAGACATGCAAGCTCCAGCCAATTCTAACCAAAATAAACAGGTTCATATCAAGGGTATGCAAACAATACAAGTTGAAAGACATCATTGCAGGGAAACAAAGTGAAAAAAGCCTACCGAAAAGAGGAGTGAAAAGAAAAAAGAAAAAGATTCAGAACGCGGTGTCTGCCGTGAGTATATATGTACAGCTGTGAGGGGGGAGGATGGAGACATATCGAGGGAGGATGATATATAGATAAGATAAATGAATTCTCGCTGTGTCCGGGTTATCTAATGGAATAAAAGAGAGATGGTGCCTCGAGCACTGCATCTCTTGCAAATATCAACGGAGATGCATAGTTGATGTGCAGAATATCAGACAGGGTCAAGGCCGTCTCCCTCCGGCCCCCAATGGAGCGGGAGCCGGAACGTTTCGAAGTGGCAACCCGGCCAAGGAGTTCGAGCTAACATTCACCTCCTTGGGTGCTAAACTGGTAGCACTGGTCTCCGGGTCGAGGTTTTGTACTCGAATGTGAGCAGAAACCACGTGGGTTGGCATAATAGCCCATATGGCGCGGGTATATATTGTTGGCGAGAGCGTTACCCGCATGAGCGCCAATTGGTTTTCACCAAAGGTGAGCCTTTCAGCTAATGATTTGTCTGGCTCCCTCTTTGCCGAGAACGCCTGGCTCAGTCGGCTTGGGACTGCGGTCACGGCCCTTTTTCCGACTAAAGAATGAGAGCATACCAGTGGCTTGTTTACCCTTATCATCACCACTGTCCATTCCATCAGCGGGGAGGGAATTATGGGCCAGTTCACTCCAGCTGCCATGTTCGTTGAGCACCATTTGTACGCCTCCACTTTTGCTCATTTGCCGGGTGGCACCGCGGTGTCGGCCGCTGTGGTTGGGGGGTAGGGGTCTGTGGAAGGACGGGGCAGGCGGTGGTGAAGGTGACAGACGGGTTGAGGGGGAAGAAGGAGCCTGAACAGTTGCGGGGTCATTGGGGTCGGCTGTTTCGCTGAGTGTAGTCATGGTTTCACTCGGCGGGGCACGGTAGTGCGAGCCGTCGGCTTGGGTGGGACATGTATTTTTAGAAGAGTCGGGCTGTGAGTATTGACGAGCATGTACGGTTGGATTCGCTGGGGATGTGGTGTTTCCTTGGGTTGTTGTGGCCATAGGGAAGCACTCCTCGGGATTTCTGGAAGACACTGTTAGCAGGGGAGAATGATCTAGATAGGAAGGGAAACCCACGTCACAGCGGCAATAGCTTCCGCGGCATTGCCTTGGTAGCTAGTCAGAGTGTAGTCAAACGGTTCGAACATTGTTTCAATGAGACGATGAAGCTCATCATCTCGAATTTCTTTCGCGGTGGCATCATCCCTTAATTCAGCGCGGGGCTTTTGTCTGCGTGCTCTGGCCTCCAAGGGCGCTTCTTCAAGAAGTAACTCCTCCAGATCATAAGTCGCGTCGAAATTGGTTTTGTCACTTGATGGGACGAATACTGGGGGGATCTGTTTGCGCTCTAGCGCGTCGAAGTCGATTTCGCTGAAGAACATGTGTGAGGTGTATGTTTCAAACCCGATAGCGCCGATTCGTTGACTCCGATCTTTTTGCATCAATGATCCCAACGCCCGTAAACAAGCCACTGATACTGCAGGATTGGTGACATAGTATTTTGGCTGCGCCTTTTTGATGTTTTCGCTCAGTGTTTCTTGGCTTCGGCCTTCAAATGGTCGCTGGGTTGAAAGTTAGACAGGGCAACAGATGAGGAATCGATCTCTCGTACCTTATTGTAAATGCACTCGTAAAAAGTGACACCTAATGACCACCAATCGACCTCAAAGGTATAACCAGTTCCTTCGTAAACTTCCGGAGCTAAGTAGGCTAGGGTTCCTGACTTGCTTGTAAGAGGCTTCCCCGGTCGGTAATCTGATGCCACGTTCTGCAGATTCAAGTTAGCTGAAATTCACGTAAATGCGATCCACGATAGAACGTACAAAATCAGCCAAGTGAACATGTCCTTCAGAATCCAACAAGACATTGTCTGGTTTTAAATCTCGATGAATGATACCCTGCGAATGGATATACTTCAGAGCACAGCCCAGTTCTGCCATCCAAAATCGCACCGCATCCTCTGTGAAGCATTTTCGGGAGATATGGAATCGAAGATCGCCGCCGTTCATTAAATCAACCACAATATAGCTTCCACTCGGTCAGCTCGGGGTCATAAGAGTCAATTTGGGGATACTCACATGTACTCCATATCCTGGAAACTGTATCTCAAGTTGCAAAGGAATGGATGGTTCAAGTGCTCGAGCATTCTCCGTTCACGGATTATATTGCGTACGCTTTCCGAGCGGACCACTTCCTCTTTGCGAATATATTTTAGGGCGAATGTAAGACCTGTATCTTTCCTTTCGACGATTCGTACTTTTCCAAATGCACCCTTTCCAACAACTCGTAGGAGCCGGAAATGATTGAGGTTGACTAGTAGAGAAAAGCGATTAGTATATTATTCACCGCGGTCAGGAAGTCCCAATTTATGTCCAGTACACATACCTGCATCGTTGCAATTCACTGGTTTTCCCTGGGTATTTCCCATATTGTGAAGTTAGACCGACGGTCGAAGTAATTCTAGTTGACTAGTATCTTTCTAGCAACATCACACTTATGCCAAAAGTCCTCCGGTTGAATGGTGATCGCTTCAAAAGCGATATTCGGAGTGGATAAAGTAAACGGATTTCGGCGAATATCGAGCTTAAATGGCAATCTCCATGGAAGTTGAACTCCGAAGGTAAAACGGATGAGGGGTCGACTGTTTCAAGAAATGAAAGATCATCAACGTCTAGATGTAAATTTTGGAGGTTCTAGACAAGAAGATGAAACAGAGAAATAAAGATCCAAGATTCCCTGCAGGCTGTATATCGAGACCGGGTCCGGGAGCGCGCGAAACACACAAGTTTCGGAGATAGGGAACCACCAAAAGAGGCTTTAGAAAAAGATATAAGTCAACACCAAGGATTTCATGAAGTTGAAGCAGATGAAAGGGGATGAAGTGAGCGGTCAAGGGAATGGCAGTAATTGCGGGCCAATCACGCGTACCGCGCAAAAAAATGGGGAATGAAAGAAAAATGGCCTTTAGTTTGCCTTTAGTTTTTGCTCCTATGCTTATTCTGGTCTTGAATGCCCGTGTGATCTACACGGTGCAGCTACTATTTAGGACTAGTTGGGTTATGGAAAGATATGTGTTTTGAATCTAGGCCGGAATGTGAATGACGAGCTTACCGGATATACATCTCCCCCCCGAATATCGGGTTCTTTTAAAGGAGGTGGAGAGCATATACGGAGTCGACCTGGCCTAGAGGGGCCCGCTTAGATGGAGAGGCTATATATCCGCTAAATGCACAGACTTTTTCGACTTGTCTATTATTCCTAGACGAACATGGCCATCAAAGTTCAATTTTGAAACGGGGTGTTCTTTACTGATTTAGGGGGCTAATCCTACGCGAGATATAATATGTAGATCACTATTTACTTGCCCTACGAGATTCCTCGTGAGACTTTGTGCAACTTCAATTGATCAAGTTTTTTTATAGTTTTTTTCCTTCTGTCTGATTCCTTTTGAGTTTAAATTTGGAATATTCAAGTGATCGCATATACGAATGTACCTTGTACTCCGTTGTTTGACCCTAGAACCAGCCTAGAATCATATGCAGTCGACTGATCATCGCGTGTGAGACGTACATATTTCTTCCGATTTCTCGTGGACGCCACGTTATTTAGCCCCAAACGCATTGTCTCGGGAACACTCATAGAACGACCCTGGAATGTCTGTAGAATATTCGACTGATACCTCACATGCAGGGCTTTGGATCAGAACTTGGCTAGGCGGGTCTTTTTCGTTTTTCGCTCCACTAATTATGCTGAACACGTACTCTTCGTTTGTCTAACACATTGACTCAATCTGAGTCTTATTGGTTCCACCAAATTTGACATGTGCATGTGGGCGCAGTCAGATAGTTAGTCCAGGGTTCTATATCCCTGTCAAATTGAGAGACAAGAAGCCTTAACTAGGGGGGCGCCCTAAGGCGCCCGCTAAGCTTATAAAAATGGTGGAGATTCAATGATCCTTGCCTCGGTTAGTAAAATATTAAGGGTTTCGGCTATTTTGACTCTCAAGGAACCATGCTTTTTATACTATTTGTATTATATTATATTAATATATGCACGAGTGGGAGATTAATACGATATATCATATCATTGCATGATAATTACAGTCTAGTCTCTATGTACGGAGTACTCCGTACGTGGCCTATTCATCTCAGTTTCAAGTCTCAGCACAGACAGATTTGAAGGATATATGCATTCTATTGATGTGATGTGTTACCTAGACTTGATATGAGAGTCAATCGATGGCTTGTTCATACAAAATTCCATGCAAAATGCAGCATTGAGAAGTATGAGTTTACCGAATGTATGTTTCTACATATGTTGTGTGGAACAATCATAACTCGCCAAATAAACAATTGTTTAACACAGACATGGACTCATATTTCTCGAAATGGAGTTGAAGTCTTCATATCCAGCCCTAGATGAGCTTCAGCTAAACGAGTGACCGGCCAAAAATTGGCGGTACTTGCCATTTCGTGTTTAGATGAACTATTTTTAATCCCTTTCGCTTTTCCTGTTATCCTAATTTGACTATTTCACGTCTTCAATGTAGATATGTATTTCCCAGGTGTAGACCTATGAGAATAGAAGTGTAGTGATGGGTAGGTCACGGGGTAGCTCCTTCCCATGTCTGGCTTCCTCAACGTGGATGCCATTGCTCTTTAGACCTCACTATTTCTTCATCTGTACTACCTCCTCCATCACCTTCAATCAATATTCATTATGAACAGCTCTGAAAAGCCCCGGCCGCTGCTCCAGCGCCCAGAAAGTTCTGGCATTGATGTTATAGATTTTTCCTTCAGCAAGCCCGCCTCCCACAAGCCCTTGTACTCGCGGAATCCGGCCAAGCAAGCACATGTACCCCATCCTGCAATTAATAGTGCCCGACCTTCAAGGGAAACAATAGGGGAGGATGCAGGTCGCAGCCATCAACTAGCCAGGCCAGACACGTATGTAGATAACTTAGGCTGGTCTCACATGACACCACTGTTCACGATGAACTAACATGTTTTCTTGGGGTCAGCCCTCTCGGCCTCCGCAGCGTTGGGAAAGAAGGGATTCCCAAGGTACCAATCTCCGCGGGACAACCTGTGTTTTCTCAGTCACAAAGACGACCATCGACGGCAGATGTCCCCAACAAAGACAGCGGCAGTCGGTCTACACCTGGGGATCTAGGTAACTCGAGTTTTCAACCAAGGCAGGAGGTCATCATTTACAAGCCAGATAAATCCACCGGGGCTGATACCCCCAGAGAGACTATTGGCACTGCAGGAAGGGCTGTCGAGCCGAGTCAAGGGCGTGTTGTCGATAACAACAGGACAGGTGAAGTTGAATTTGCCTTGCCCGAGCCACCCCAGGTACAACCGCCTCACAGAGAGAGACAAGAGATTCCAGAGAACCCATGCTCTCGCGTGCCTCTTAAGCCTGTAAACAAGCAGCTTCGGGCGTCTACACGACGTCGTGCGCCCGAGAAGGAAGCATCCTCCAAGAAGGAACAGGTTCCGCTCGTGGATGGCAAGAACATCCAGCTCAGCGAGGATGACCTATTTGAACTTCTCATCACGAAAATGAAACAGCGAGAGGAAAGCGAGCAAGCGGCTGCAGCTATTCAACGGCAACTCACGAATGAGAACATGAGCTTGAAGGAAGATAATCTTAATTTGCAGGACCGCCTCAAGAAATGCCAAGGACAACTCGCCAAGTCATCATCCGAGTCAAGATCTCAGCGCGCGCAAATAGACCAGTGGAAGGCGAGACTTAGCACATTCAAAGGTGTCCTCAACGAACTTGGCCGTGAATATGGTGCAGTCCGGGAGCAAGCCAAAGAATTGAAAGAAGCAACTATGTCTCTTGATAGAGAGAAGCGTGAGATCCAATGTAGTTTGGACGAGATCAAGTTGAAGATTTCGAACAGTGAAGAAACCATTCGGGACCAACGCGAGAGAATTTCAGTTTCCGAGGGAACAGTTGCCAGTTTGAGGGAAGCCTTGGACCATTCAGAGAAAAGAGGGGATTTGATCAAGCAGCAGCTGTCCAACGAGAACAAGCGAATCGCGACTCTAGAAGCGTATATCCAAAATGAGTCTCAGAGCCAGTCGCGACACTTGGCTCTTGTTAGAGACGGCCAGCGCAGGATGGCTGAAAAGTTTGACTCGGCCTGCGAGCTGTTCACCACATCCTGTGCCAAATCCCAGGATAATATCCTGTCGAAACTGAATCCTGCGATTGAACATTGTCTCACTTCGGTTCAGGGGTTAAAAGAGCAGTGCTCTGCCGAGACTATGAATGTCCAAGACTTCGCCAGTTGCGTTCAGGAGGCAGCCTCTCGGTAGGTTATTTGGGAGCATAACAAAGAACAACACCTGTTATAGACTGACTATACCTCTAGTTTCAACTCCTTGGCTGGGCAGGTTGAAAGCAACGTTGATCGAAGCACAGAAATAAGCAAAAGTTTGTTTCAAGCCCTCCAAGAAGCCCTTCAAGCACTTGAAGCCAACCTCGGTCCGTATTCGTCGATTTTCAAACAGCTTGCTAATAGCGAGAGTTGCTACGGAAATTTGCAACAACAGCTTCAGGTCATTGAGCCAATGCTCGGTAGTCTCGATGCTTCTATCAAGGGCGTGGGGATAACAGAAGCAGACCTTGTGCGCGGGTTAGAAACGTTCGGTCAAAAGCTTTCTGAAGCTCAAATTCCCGCAGGAAACCCTGTTCTGGAGATGGAAGTTTCCAAGAAATTCGCTGAGAATACGCAGTTGCAGCTTCAGCAGCAAGAAATATCGCTTGAGCTTGAGTCTCTCAGGAAGCAACTTGCGAGCAAATCATCTGAGAATCAACATCTCCAGCATGCTTTGACTGACGCTGTTACTAATGAACAAGCATCCAAGAGTCAAAATTCCCGGCTGGAAATTGAGAAGGCCGCCTTGCGGGGCGAGCTTGAATTGCTCGAGCAAAGAATGCGAGAAGAGTTGGGCGCCGCAAGCACCAAATTGCAAGGTCAGATTAAAGCTAGATTCGAAGAACAAGTCCAAGGTCTCGAGACAGAAAAGGCGAGACTAGAGAGAGACTTCAGCAACCTCCAGGCACAGCTTGCAAATGTCCAAAGATCATTGGTAAGCCTGACCGTGTCTAATGAGATAGCGGTTCACTAATAGTGTGGAGACCGAAACCGAAAAGATAGCCGAGAACGAGCGACTGGAAAAGGCCACCATGGTAAGGTGCGAAGCATCGTCTTGATTTGCTTTACTGATGAGCGCAGCACCAGGAATTACAGAAACGAATTGAGGAGCTGAATGTTTCTTGCTCAAAATACATCACGGAGGCCGAGGCCATTAAGTCTCAGTCGCAATTGTTGAAAAGCTCCGAAGCCGCTCTCCACGCCGAAAAGGAGAGGCTTCTTGAACAGCTCGAGCAAGCGAAAAGAAAGACAATTGAGCTTGAAGCGAACCTGAGGCAGAATACTGAGTCTGTAACTCTGAAAGAGAAAGCGGTAGAGGAAGCAGAAAAGAGGGCCGAGGTACTTGGGCTGGAGACGGTCGAGAAGACTAAAGAGCTTGCAGCAATGAAAGAAAACCTCGCCATGCTTAAATCACGGTCATCGGCCTTGGAGAAGGTCGGGGAGGAAGCTGATGCCGAAATCATTTCCCTCCTCCGCCGGGCCCAAGAGGCTGAAAGTTGGCAAGCGACTATAAGGGAGGGGGTTGCGAAGGTGATCGTGGTACATCCCGACGAGCCTTTCGACCAAACATGGCAGAAACTGGAAGATATCATTCGATCCTCTCTTGCTCGGCCGCCCATAACTGATGATACGTCTTGCATCAAGCCTCACGGCACGGAGAATATGGGGGCGACGGAAGGCAGCAATCTTCCACTGGAGCCAAGAGAGAACAGACACGATAATCTCTTGAAGGCTAATGAATCTAACAGTGAGGCTCGCACGCCTACTAAGAATATGCAGACAGATGAACCTCTTGCACCAAATACTTTTGGTCCCCCGAAGGCTTTCGAACATGGTGATTGCGCTGAGTCTCTGCCAAAATTCCCTACTGGTCACGGTCATATCGTTCCCTTCTCAGCACTCCATGACAGACTTTCACGGGAAAACAGCCTGTCACTTTTCAATGACCCAGCTGAGCTCGAAATGCTCTTTATGTCAACTCCGGATCTCCAGGGTGCCGCGATGCCAGATGACACCTCCAAGAAAGCTCAACAAGATCAAAAAGTACCAGCTGAGCCTCTGAAAATGAGTCGAGATCCCAATGAAACTGATCCGGTTCTCGGGATGCAGCCTCCCTGCGCCGGTGACAGCACGATCGAAAGACCCCAGTCGGCTCATGAAAATATCGACAGTTCATTTGTTAACAGAACTACCAGTGATGAACAGCCCAACACCAAGCGTAAAGTAGTCAGTTTCGAGGGGACGAGATTTTTCACCAAAACAGAGGTTGGCAAAGCTAGACGAATGTCAGACGCAACCGACAACAGCTCTGGAAGAGAGTCCGAAAGCAAGGAAGTAAAAAGAACGCAGAAACGAACCTATAGCCGTCTTCGCCAGTCTGTGGCACAGGAGGAAACATCGATTGAAACAACTACAGAGGTACAGCCTACCAACAAAGGTTTGGTGGAAAACGGTCAACAGGGCTCAGCGGGCAAGACTGAGCACTCTTCACACGCGAACCCAAGGCCGGCGAAGAGATCTCGAAATGCAGCTGATGGCCCGGAACGACGCCTGAGTCCGAAGAGTTTGGCTTCAGGTAGCAGCAGGGGAAACACAGCCGGCCAAGCCAGCATTACGCGGTGCCGCGGTAAACGCCGCACTCGAGGTAAGATGCCTGATGCTTTTCCAAGGCGTGCGGCTAATGCCTAGAAGGAGACCGCTATAATGAGCGCTTCAGCCAAGACACGGGTTGAGCAGCTCAACATTATTATACTCAATCTTGTTGAGCAAATTCCCCGTATTAACTTCAAAATCAAAAGGTGTGTGGGAAAGTTCATGGATATTCAATATTGATTTAGGAAAATGTGTTGTCATGAAGGCGAAAAGAGGCCCCGAGCATGGCTCATGCTTCGGAAGGCGATAAGTGGAGTGTGGGATATTTATTTTAGTTTTAGAGGTACCCAAAGCTGTATTGCTCTTAACGCCAAACACAATGCTCCAACAAAAGGAGGTTTCACCGCAGAAGATCCGAGAAACCGGGGAAACCGGGGAAATCACAATTTCCCGGTTGCATCCAGTAAAATAATGTACATACAGGGGGTTCATCCCCTGACACCCTTATCGCATTCCCCTAGATCCGCACAAATGTACGAGATATTCGACCGCGTATCAGGATATCGATCGAGACGAGGCGAAGTTGGAAGAAAAGATATCGAGATCGAAGTCGACATCACGGCGAGGCGGATATCTCCCAAGGCGCACAACGATCAAATTGAAAAAGACGTTCCAAATCGAGGAGCTTATTTGTTCTTTCCTCCCTTGGTCGCCTCAAGGAAGAGCACCTGCTTCTTAACGACAGGATCGTACTTCATCATGCTCAGAGGTCGGTGGACACGCGGCCGGATCATCGTGCGGTAGTAACCCGTCATGGCCATAGAGATCAGCCGGACGGCAATGGTACGGGACTTCGCTGTGTAGGGAAAACGATGTTAGCAATCGCAAAAGAATCCGGGGGGTTCGCGGTTTCGTTGTCGACCCGTTTCGCCTTCCAATTGCGGAAGTGTGGGTGTATCGTAGGATTGGATATTCGGACTTCGTAGTTTTACATACCTTTTTTGGCCATCTTGGGCGGCGTCAAGGGTGTGCTTGGTCGAGTTGTCGATTCGGAACAATTTCGAGGTCGGAGATGAGCATTTGCTGTGGTCACGTGGAGATTGCTTAGTCACTTTTAGGGGCCCACCCGTGGATCTCCCAGGGGACGTGGGCGGACATCCCTGGAGACTACCCGCCCACCGGCCTGTGATCCCGGGCGGTTGTTAGGGCGTCTCGTATATATACCACTGCGGCTACAATTGGACATTGTGATTGTTGCTGTAGTCTTTTAGCCGAGTGGTAAAATGCATTTCATGTAATCATTTAGGTGTACCTAGGTACCTACTACCTAGGTACCTAAGCCTGAGTTAGTGCGAGAATCACAGGCCGGGTTCTGTAACACCCCTCTAGCCGGGGATCAATGTGGATTTCTCGTTGGACTATTTAGATGTTCTCGGCTTTTGAATATTATTTTGAACTTGCTAGGCTGCTCGGCATAAGTACGTGCATGGATTAATCGTCCCATGTCCCTAGGTACTTGTTTAGTGTGGCCCCACTGGATAGCAGTTGTGAAAATGGCAGGTTTCTTTTATATGGAGTTTCCATATAAAAGGTACATGAACAAATTTCATTACCTATGTGGTGTTTGTGTACCTTTTGTATAGGATTGCTATACAAAAACTACATAATCCTTCCAATCTGCTATCCAGTGGGGTACAGGATTTATTATAATAATTGAAGCCTTACGAAGGATCAACCTTCTTCGCAATCCGTATATCCTCTAGCCTATGGATAGTACAGGACCTCCCACGCGCTATCTTGCGAGTTATTTCTTTTGGGGCATTTCCTCTTTTCGGTCATCAATTAATGTTGAGCATCCTCGTGGACCTCGCCAATTCAGTATAAGCTTTAATAAGAGCGTAGGTAAATATTATGATATTGATTATTGGTTGCCTTGACTTTCCTTATGCGAACTGAATAGAATTTGCTGATCTTTTACATCCTAGCAATTCCTTAATACGGAGCAAGTCGGAAGCTTGATAATTTATTTTAACTGCAGCTAAGAAAGTTGTAGTTAGCTTCTACATCGTATACATCGCGGTACCGATGTGACGCTACGCAGGGCCTGAAACTCCGTCCCCCGCAGTAATCCTAGTTCAGGCACAATCTCCTGAGGTCCCCCCCTATAGTTCCCAATTCGGCCTTATTAGTGCCCTGCAACTATAATTGTGGCTGAATAACGTAGTATTTCAACCCTTATGGGTTAGTATGTCTCACACTTTGCAGACTGAAGGATCGACTGCATAACCGAAGGTGAGGTGATATGAACAATGCAGGAGAAAACGGCCATTCGGTGGCAATTTGCCGTCTAGTTTGCCGGAGTAGTATTTAGTAGCTACTAAATGCCTAGGGAATGAGAAGTATTCATAAAGCACCACTTGCCCCGGCGTCAAGAAACAAGAATCATCTTTCTCTCACATCACAAAGCTTCAATCAAAATGACCTACACCCGCTCAATCCCCTTCGCCCTTTTCACCTTGTTCGGCACAGGCTTGTCGCAAGTCGTGAAGGGCCCTGAGTTCGATAAGCCTAATGGCGGCCCCCCAGGAAGCTACTTCGCTGCTGGATCGTCTATCCCTGTCGCTGCTTTGAAGAGCGCTGCTGCTAAGGCTAGCACTCCTGCAAAGGCTGCAACCTACCCCATCAATGGCGATGGCGGTGCTAAGAAGGTGACCATCCATAGCGATTGGTCCAACTTCAGCGAGGTATCTTTTTCCATCAGTTTTTAAGAACAAGAACTAGTAACTAATCCATAATAGGGTGCGGCATTTGTTTGGACCGCGGATATGGACGTCGACTGCGATGGCCTTGACTACAAGTGTGTTGTATGTTGAATTGTCACCGTTTGACTGGGAGGTTATTAACGTAATCTGCAGGGAAACCCTGATGGCCAGCCACAGACCAACTTCGGTGCTCTGGCTGCCTATGAAGTGCCATTTATTGTGATCCCAGACACCTTCGGAAACACCTATGAGAAGGTCCTTGAGGGAAACAACATCGGTGCTGTTATTTGGTATGATTTTCCCCTTTGTCGATTCTCAAACTCCATTTCTAACTAGAAACTAGTGATGGAAAGATGTTCTACGGTATCTACGGAGATACCGATGGCGATGACCCCGAGGTTATCGGTGAGGCCTCGTGGCTGATGGCCCGGACCTGCTTCCCCGATGATGACTTGAATGGAAACAGTGGCCATGAGCAGGCTGATGTGACCTGTAAGTCTGCAACATCCTTTTATTTTGATAGTGGCTAATTCAAGAAGACATCCTCTTCACTGGTTCCGACTCGGTGCTGCCCAGCAGTGCTCTCAACAAGAACTACATCACTAACTTCACCACTCTGCGCTCTATGGGTGATAAGCTCATGACTGCCCTTGCGAAGAACCTGAAGCTCGGAGGCGGTGGTGGCACCCCTACTACCACATTGAAGCCCACAACTACCTCTGGCCCCGGACCTACTGGAGAGCCTTGCGAATGGGAAGGACACTGCGCCGGTAAGAATCCTTTTGATATTTCTTTTGGTAGTTACTAAGTGATTTTCTAGGTGATGCTTGCTCCGATGAGAATGACTGCTCGGGTCAACTTGTCTGCAAGAGTGGAAAGTGTGCCGCTGAATGATTGAAACGTGCTATGTTGGACTTGATCTAAGGGGCAGGTTTTTGGAGTTGCACCTATAAATAGCTATAAACACAATCTTCTAGTCATGTACGGAGTACTGAGAATAAGATTTGAATGTGGAGTGAAAGGATTGGCCCCATTTTGATACACAGGATCAGCATTGGCACTAGCACCTGTAAACGCCCTATAAGCAGCTTTAATAGGAAAGTGGATCTGGATCTTCCTAGGCTGCCGCATAAAATTCCTACAACATATCCTTTTCCTTGAATGACTCGCCAATTAAGCAATTATAATGACTTCTTACTTGAGAGATTGATACTTAGCGACTACAACCTCCAATGGCCCCAATTTAGTAAATATCTGCTCTGGTGCTTACACTTGTCATAATTACAAGCAATCCACTATATAATACACAACATGGCCTGCTGTCGAAGATTTTTAATAGGTGGACCTGTAGACTTATCAATAAAATCAAGCTTTGATCTTGAAAGAAATGGTATAATGCGGGAGAGGGTTTGGGGCCTGGAATGTCAGGAAGTACGGAGTACGGATATGGCCAATATTAAGGGATATGATGCACAATAGATTAGTCTGATTTAAAATAAATATCCGAATGCAAACGGAGATAGATATAAGATTTCTCCTGTGAGACCTATCTGAAATAGGAACCTATGTCAAAGGTAAGCGCCCTTAGCAACGTGCCCCAACCGGAGATATTTCTTAACACCTTTGAGTCCTTTTCCTTTCACTCTTTGCAAAAGGGCCAGAATACATGGGGCCAATGGTTTTATATAGCTGGCCCCGTACCCATCTTCGTGTTTGACGCTAATACCGTTGAAATCGGGCTGTTTGTATGTGGAAATTGAGTTCGGTACTTCATAGATCTCATTATGTCTCTAATGACGGGTAGAAGACCTACCGCACTCCCCAATTGGAACATACTTACGCTAAACGCTTGCATCTGGGACTAGGTCAAGTCAGATTATCTTGATCCCAAGGAGAATATCAGCAAATGAACGGATTACATCTACCGCGAGGCGTTTCTTGGCAGTTTCATCTTTCCCATCTTCCGGACTGATCCCATTTGACATTTACTATAAGCTATCACTTTTAATGGCCCGATCTGCAATATAATCGGAGTTTGATTTTGCTTGGCGTCGTTTAACGTCCCCCGCTAGTGGTTCGATCATCTTAGATTACTCCAACCCTATACCTTCAATTCTACTACAACATATATGTGGAAATATGAAACACCTTGATGCAGGGTATACACCAAACACTTCTGACTGGCATAATAGGACTATAAGTACTCCATACTGGGCATCTACTCACGATACCCATCATTCTATTTTCAACCGTCATTCCTTTTTCCTGACACTTGCTGGTTTCAAGTAGTCTATTCATTCTTTTAACAAATACATTCATTTCTTACATTCCTTTCAACTTTTACCAAAATGCCTAACTCCCCTCAGATGTCATGCTGGCAGGTCCTAGCAACCAAGAAAAAGCTCCTGATATCCTGCGTTTTGGGCCTCTTCTTCCTTGCCATCGGGACGGACCTCCGAGCAGAGCTCAGAGCTGGACAAAACCAGAAGATATCCAAGCGCAACACCACCAGCAATACCAACATCTGGCAGCCGACAGCTGGAGTAAAATGGCAAATCCAACTCATCAACGCCGTCTCAGACACCACCGTCAACGCCGACATCTGGGACATCGACCTCTTCGACAACACCGCCGACACAATAACCACTCTCAAGTCCAAAGGCCACAAAGTCATCTGCTATTTCTCAGCCGGTACATACGAAGACTGGCGTCCAGACATCAGCAAATTCGACACAGCAGATCTCGGTAACAACCTCGACGAATGGCCCGGTGAACGCTGGCTGAATATCAAATCGGACAAGGTCCGAGCTATCATGACCTCGCGACTCGATATGGCAAAGGCTAAGGGCTGCGATGGGGTTGACCCGGATAATATTGATGCGTATGGGAATTCGAACGGTCTTGGTTTGACTGAGGGTGATTCGATTGATTTTTTGAAATTTCTGGCGAGGGAGTCGCATTCCAGGGGTATGGCAATTGGTTTGAAGAATGGGGGTGATATTATTGGATCTGTCATTGAGATTATGCAGTGGTCGGTTAATGAGCAGTGTGCGGAGTTTAAGGAGTGTGGGGTTTATGCTGCTTTTACGGAGGTTGATAAGCCGGTTTTTCATATTGAGTATTCGAAGGAGATTATTGAGGTTGAGGGGTCTGGTGGTAGTGGCACGGATATCGAGGATATCGACACTGGCTCTGTTGCAACCAGTGTAGATGTCGATGTTACCAAGATTGATAGTTCCGCCGACACGGGCATTGACACCAATGTTGATAATGAAGACAAGGACGACGAAGCTGATGAGGAGGATGATAAAGAAGACGAATACGACGCTACCGCCGCTGTCACAAGAAGAAAACCCCACCGATACGGGCATGGTCACCAGAAACTCCGTGCCAGAGCTGTTCTCTCCTCCACCCTGAAGACATCAGCATGCAATGCCGCCAACGCTGACAAGTTCTCGACTGTCATCAAGAACATGAACCTTGATGCCTGGGTTGAATATTGCTAGATGACTCAATATATTGTGATATTGACTCCTACAGCAAGCAATCATTTTGCACGCCACTTGGCGGGGGGTTCTACGAGAAGATGCATGCCTCATCTTGATTCCTACTTACCTCCTATAGAGAATAAAAGTACAAGTGAGAGAACGATTTGATTTAATCACACAATTTATTATTTTTTTTTTCCTATTTTTTTCAGCTAAAATTTCATCTTGTTAACCCACTAGTTGACGCAGAATAGATCTCATCACACCCCCTCCAGAGAAAAAGTCTCAGAAACCATAAACTTCTCATCCCTGGCAATCGTTCCTTTGGGAATCACATTAGCATCCTGGACCTCACATCCCTTCAGCACAGATTCACGACCAATCTGAGCTCGTCGACCAATCACGCACCCGGTCAATTGAGCCCTGGACTCGACGACAACACCATCCATCAAAACGCACCGAATAATGCGCGCAGAAGCAGCAATATGGCAGTTTGCACCAATCACGCTCTCCTTAATAACAGCAGCCGATTCGACAATGACGTTCTCACCGAGCAGGCAATCCTTCTTCGTAATATTACTAGGCGAAGTCACTCCTTCGGGGTAAGCAACCTTGTGAGCATGCGCAAAAGGCGAAGCTGCCTGGCGGCCAACTTCCTCGATAGACGGCAATTTTGCCAGGAAAAGGGAAGTCGAAAGAAGAACGCCTGTGCTATCGACTCGTCGGATGAACGGGGTCGGGCCTCGGTGGACATATGCTAGCATTAGTGGCAGTTCAGTAGCAGCAAATGGATGAAGCTGATCCGCCTGCATTTGGGAGGTCAAGCGATTTCTGGTAGTACTCATCTCGCGGAGGTCGATTACTTTGTCGACGAATGCGCCAGTATGGCTACTTTCGAGGCTGGACCATCCCTGGTCGTTGATGTCTTGGTTGAAGTCAGTGGTCAATCCTAGTTTGTCGCCGAGACCCTTTTGCCATGCTGATTTAGCCCAGGCGCCGACTAGATCCTCGCTGACGGATTCCAGTTTGTTTTGGTGGTGGACCAGGTCTTTGACCCAGTATGGGAAGACGTAGATATGGGCGTCGCGGGAGGTAGTGAGCATCCGGATGCGTGGAAAATTCTGGACGAGAGAATGACGAATGAGTAGCCCTTTGTCGTGTTCCATTCTCTCCTTAATTGTATCCATCGGCATTGTCAAGAGGAGCTTGGATAGACCGAACCGTGGGGCTGGCGAGCCCTCGGGGGGTGGGATCATGGGTCCTTCGTCTCGCTCGAGCGGTGCAATGGCTACAAAGTCAGTTGCTTCTTCTTGGATGCTCTCCTCTCGGTTTTCGGTTTGGTAGTACACGGCGAGGCCGCCGGAGCGAGGTTCTAGCTGACGATCGAAGAATGACTTGGTTGGAGGAGGGCGTTGGCGGGCGCTTTTGGAATCGTTGTTGTCGCCTTCGCCGACGACACATTGTGTGGCCATCCATGCCTCGAGGATTAACTCACCCGGGATTTCGCAAATGATATCGCAGGGGAGAAGAAGAAAATTGGTGGTGATACATCTCTGGACTTCTAGGAGACGGAGCAGGTCGGCTGTTCCCATTGTCATCTCGAGGCCTTTTGGTGCGACGATCGAGACTGGAGGTGAGTAGAATGATGTAAGGTATGGGTTTTGGTCCAAAGCGGCCCGAAGGGGAGGGTAGGACAGTGGAGGAGTGATCAATGTGATGTCTAAATAGTATCAGCTATGGCTCTAGGTTAAGAGGGCGAGGAGATTTGGACTTACCAGTGATACCTGATCGTCTGCAGAAGTCAATTGCATAGAATACCATGGGTCTGTTGGCGACTTGGATGAGACACTTTGGGTACTCCTCGGGTTTGGAGGTGAATGTATTGAGTGAACCTCCAGGACCACACAGGATCAGGGCCTGAAAGTCCATGGGACCCCCGGGAGGCATGATTGTCAAAGTGGGTGGATGGTAGATCAAGTTGGATTAGCAAGCCTTTAATATGGAACTTGATTTGAGATGAGGGACTGTTTGTGTGGGATACGTGAGATAAAATGGTGGAGAGAGAATACAGGAGAAAGGTGTTGAAGGAAAGATCTGGGGACAATCTGTTTGCTAGGCAGGTCAAATAGTTGAGACCAACTGGTCACGGGTTTGCTTGGACTTCGTATAATATCATATTAGAAGCTCATATAGGGACGCATTCCCCAATATCACAATGTTTTACTACCAGGACTATAGTATGAGATTATTAAGATACACGAGGTTTGAGCTTGCCAATGAGCTGGCATGACAGCTTATCATAGGAGAGCTCCATGTTTTAAAAGGACATATTGGATCAGTTCGACATGATTTGCTCCAAGCATATTCAAGAGAAAAGAACCCCTTCAATTTTCTATTCGAACACTAGCTTTATATGCGTTGAATAAATAATACAAGATGGTATCTCTGTGCCTCAAACTAGAGTAAGGATTGTCTCCCAAACCATCATGCATCCTCCTCAAGCCCAGTGTCTAATTCGGCCTTCCGATCCTTCCTCCAGACAAGCCACCACGAAGCCAGTATTCCAGAGATAGCCGCACACAAGAAGCAAAGACAAATAACATAGGATATTCGATACGTCGGTCCAAACACCGTACTGTATACATGAGGCCCAGCAATTCCACTAAACTGAGCCATTGCATTCGTCAACCCGATACCAATCCCCACAGCCACTGTGCCCTCGAGTGCACGAATACGTTCTGGCCAGATAACGGGGTATGCAGATCCTGCACAAGCAGTGGCCACAATCAAGGCAAGGTACTTGACAATTGAGTTTGGAACTGTGATCAGGATGATATAGCAGATGATTATCGTGCTTTCAACTGTTTCTGATATTAATAGGAACCCCATGCGCAATTTGAAGATTGATGCTTACTTGCGACAGCGGTGGTCCACGGTCTAATCCATCCTTTGTGTAGTAAATATCCAAGAGTATTCAAGAAGAAAAAACATGCGACGTAGGGAGGCTATTGATCACGACCCTGTTAGCGATGTCCTGCGAATTGGTGCATTTCCCTAGATCGAACCCAACTCACAATATTCATCAGCTGTGATAAAGCAGTCGAAGTAAATCCAAGCTCGTAGATAACAGTAGGCAAAGCGTAATTCACTCCAAACCCTCCAATACCATGTCCAATCCAGTACACCGTGAATGTGTACAATGTTGGACTTGAAAGGAGTGCTTTTACGTCTCCCCAGTTCCAGCTTTTGTCTTTTCCAGAGGGTGCTGCAGAGGATAGACGACCTTTGAGAAATGTCCTCTCCTCCTCCGTCAACATGCGGGCGTTCTCGGGGTAGTCCGGAAGACCAAATAACGCTACCACAGACAACACGATCGCCGGAAGACCTTCGATAATAAACAACCATCGCCAGCCTGACAGCCCACCAAGTCCATCCATAAAGCTGATGGCGTATGCCAGCAGTCCACTTAATGCGCCAGATACCTGGCCAAGAGAGTAGAACAGAGCTATTCTCCAACGCAGCTCGGATGGCTTATACCAGAATGCCATGTGGTAAAGCACCGAAGGATAGAACCCGGCTTCGGCCATTCCAATTGCGAACCGCACACACATCATGCCCGGGAAGTCCTGTGCAGCACCGGCAGCGCAGGCGCAGATACCCCAGGACAAAATCAGGACGAACATCCATCTCGAGGGCGTGACTCTTTTGAGAAGGATGGTGTTGGTCGGCTCGAAAAGAAGGTAGCTGTAGGAAAATATGGACTGCGTCCAAGCCCATTGCGAGGAGTTGAAATTGAGCTCTTTCTTAATTCCAGTGCCGGCTTCTAGGTTGATGATCGCGGCGTTGGAGTAGTTGTTGGAATCAATGACTCGAAAGATATATACAATCGAGTAAAACCCAACGAGCCAGAAATCTATCTTTCGCATTACTCTTTTCTCGAGTTTGGTGTTATATTCATTTTCTGAGTCCTTGCGATTAAGCTCATTAGGTGGAGTTGAAGGTATACTGGAAGTAATGACTTCCAGTTCGTCATGCTTATCCAGCGACATATTGTTGGTTTTCGAAGTCCGTTCGATGCAGGAATTGCTTCGAGTAATCTCACCTCATCTAAAGCAAATTCCAACTTATTTTCCTTGTAATGCTTTTATTCTTAAGTGTTATTCGAATCCCTCTAGTCTTGGCGAGACGGGATGTTAGGGCAAGGTGCCATGATAGTTTGGATCACGACATATCACCCCGAAATGTGCATATCCCGAACACATATATGAACTTGTTTAATTGAACCATTATTACTCATTGTTCCTTCATATGGCGGCATGCATGATCTAAACTCCTACAAGTGTGGGGAATCAATGAATGATATACCCAAGGATAATTACATGCTAGACCAATTTCGCTTTCACAATATAGAAACAGACCTAGGGATGAGAATGCCTGAAGATAGTCTATGTTGCCACCTCGGCAACCTTTTCTCTATCTAATTCTTCACTAAAACAGTATATTTGATGTGCACAGATAAATTGCTAGGGTTCATTTAAGCTTCTGCAATGTACATATAACTACAATGTCCATCTTTCCGTTTACATATCAAACTAGGCAGTCTACTGGGCGGACTTGGGTGACAATCCTCAGAAGTTGAAACCCTACCTACTCATCAATTGTCCAATCGCCGAGGATGCTATTATTTCTGCGGCACATTGGCCGCTTCTCTAAGTTCCATGCTAGTTGTTTGGATAAGCGGTAGTGATCCAATCGAAACTGTAATTTTGACTATATTAAACTCCATTTGACGGCAAAATAATGCCGTTCATATAACGCCATCATAGCGAGCATGATACCATACACCCCGCATCTATGGGATAACAGGTGTACACGGAATATTCCCGACAAGAGTATATTGTAGATCCCAATCAGAGTTTTATTTTGAAATAAATATAAAAGTCCAGACTTTTTTCCTAGAAGATTTTTCTGTTTTATCATTGCCGCTATCTGCCATCGAACAGATATGGCTCCTTCCGCTATAGATGAACAAATCCCAACCGAAAAGATCGCTATTAAGCCATGGAGCCGACCTGCGCCTACTAATGAAAAGCTTGATTGGGCACCCCTAGTTGAGATCGATCTTTCTCGTTTCGACGAACCGGGTGGAAAGGAAGAGCTCGCAAAGCAATTATACGATGCTGTGACCCGAGTCGGATTTTGGGTAGTCATCGGACACGGACTCGACGACGAGCGTATCCTCCGCCAATTCAGTATCGGCAATGCATTTTTCAAAGAGAATCTCGAGGAAAAGCGAAGCTTCGAATGCAATTTTGCCGCAGGCGAGTATTTCGGCTACCGTGAAAACTCAAGATGGATTGGAGAAACGGGTGTGAAAGACAATATAGAAATGGTACATACCTATCAACATTACCATTGAATCTAGTTAACACGTACAGCTCAATGTTCCCAAAGCCATCCCCGCATGGAAAGATGTTCCTAAACACAGAATCGTCCGTCAGCACTACGATGAGATTTCCAGCTTCCATCGTGATCTTTTCGACAAGGTTATCCGCAAGCTATTTGTCTTGATGGCTATCATCCTAGAATTACCAGAAGACCACTTAGTCCAGGCCCACGCCTATGACAAGCGCTCTGATGATCACTTGCGATACATGATCTACAACACTCGCACTCAAGAGGAATGGGACAAGGCGCAGGCGTACACTAAGGGCGGTCACACGGACTTTGGTAGTTTGACTCTGCTCTTCTCGCAACATGTTGCTGGCTTGCAGATCCGGACGTCAGATGGGGAATGGAAATACGTCAAGCCTGTTGATGGTGGGATTACGTGTAATATTGCTGACACATTATCGTTCCTTACCAATGGTAAGTGGTTATATCCGTTATGATGGTATTTCGCTAACTATGGACGATAGGCTTTCTCAAATCGACGATCCATCGTGTTGTTACACCTCCCAGAGATCAGATCGATATCCCCCGTCTGGGGTTGCTCTATTTCTGTAGACCGGGTGATCATACCGTGATGAGAACTGTGCCCTCGCCTTTGCTTGATCGTCTTGGTCTTCTAACTGAAGAAGATAAAAACCAAAGTACCCCTGCCCCCACAGGAACTGAGTATGTTCGAGCGAGGGTTCGAGATGTTCATCATAAGACTGTGATTGATCGCCGAGAGAATACTTCATTCGAGTTCAAAGGACTGAAAGTGCCGAATTATTATCAGTGATAGGTTTCTGATGATAGGTATAGCGAACTATATTTCTGGGTCTATATATGATGATTAGTAGTAAGTGATAATGTCAGGGTTCACAAACAATCAAAAGATGTAGCTGGTGATAGCTTTTATTAATTCTTCTAGGTCATCAAAGACTCTCACGTGGCATCATTTGTAAAGTTATGCCTTCTCGCCTGAGGCATATGACACCTCAGCCACAAGTGAGTCATGTATGGAATTGTAACAAAACCTTCATATAGTAATTTAATGAGAGTGGGGAACACAGTGGGTATGATCGTCGCACCTGGGCAATTCTGACGTGGGGTAGCCTCATGACTAGACTATGAAGATATCACAATGTCTCAGTATGTAGGATTTGTTCTACAATTATTATCTTTATAGTGATAGTCAAGTTTTCCAATAAGACATTCAATATTTCATAACACGTGCAAAGTAACTAATCCCGAGGGGGTTGTCGAAAGAGTGTGAGGCTGACAGCCTTGTCCCAAAAGGGTACATGTCAATATCAAAGACAAAGGAAAATCTCGGCCAAAAAGAAACATTGGAGACAAGCTTCTCCACATAAAAAAATGAGTCAGAGTAACAACAGCCAATAAAGCGTGCAGTAAAACCGAACAAAAAAACATGAACATCGTCGACTTTCCGCTTCTGTCATTGGCCAATGTCCCCCGCACCTGCATGCTCCTTCTGGGAGCACACCAGTAACGAGGCTAAGCCAAGCCTGCAGATAAGTGCAACCAAAATAATCGAGTCACCAAATCGGGGTTTGGAAATGGGAAGTCCCGCAAATCCAGAACCCCGAAGTGCACTCGGGTCAGAGAATCAAAGCTGGAAAACAGAAAGGTGAATTTCCGAGGGCGCATCCAGGCAGGCCCTATCAATCCAGATCATCCAAGACTGGGGTATGGGGGTGTTTGTATGCTCGTAATGTGCTAATCACATTACGGGATACGACCGTCTTGCGGTCAAAAGGGGGGTGGGCAATCAATGCCCATCGCGAGTGAATTGGGGCTTGTCCAAAGCGATTGGGGTGGGGTGGGTGTAATCGTAACCAGATAAACCATAGTCGAAATCCCTTGCCAGGTACGTTGCCAGGTATACGTTCACCTGTGCTTGGGGAAACGATCGACGTACCGGCGAGTCTCAGAGTGACGTCCCACACGCTCCAATTGGTCGACGCTGTACAAGGACCCGCGGCTGGAGGATGGGCGTTCGGGAGAGCCAGAGCCACCAGGTGAGCGGTACACGATGGAAGTGGGAGAGCCAGAAAGACGAGGGGACCTCTCGATGACCTGGTAAGCCTCGGGGGACATGGAGCGAGGGCGAACCTGCTTGCCGCTGACCTTGCGAGCTGGGACGTTGTAGGTCTGGTCATAGCTCAAGGACTTGCCATGCTGAATGGATTGCGCGGGCTTGGTAGGCTTCTGGATGACGACAGCCTTCTCGCGGATGTGCATGCCTTGCTCGATAGCTGTGAGAAGCTCACGAGTAGCGTAGGCATCCCGGGGCAGCTTCACTCGAGTTGACTTGCCACTCTCCAAGTCCACGGAAGAGTAGTGCTTTCCGCTTTGGCTGTAGAGGTAGTTGCGGAGAGTGCGAGCGCGGGTGTTGCCCGACTCACACAGTGCATGTCCATCCTTGTGTGTCTGAACAGCATGGGAGCAGGGGCTGCAGTGGCCGGCGTGACGCTCGAAGTCGTCGACAACCAGCTTCTCGTCGTCGTGGAGATCACGCACCACGGCTAACGGATCTATTATCTCGATGGGAGCAGGCATTGTGTTGGTACGGCGAAGGCCAAGTAGGCGTCTTGTCAGACTAGGACGAGGAGGAGATCTCTCCTTGGTAGTTAAAGTCGTTGGGTCGACCGTGTATGAGGTTGTGCGGTGGGGCGACAGCGTGGCTGATTTATTGGGGGGTCACGCGAAGATGGTAGATGATCACCGTATATAGATGATAGGATGTGAAACCCAAGTGTCACAATGGATGTGTAAGGTGAATGTCAAATGTATGTAGATTGAGGCAGATATTCAAGTGGAATATGGGTGGGGGGGGAGGCTATTATATAGATGTCATGCAGGTATAGATCGGACCCTGTAGCCTGGAGCGTATGGTGTCCGCTGGAGCCTTAGAGATCTGCAATACCTCCACGGTACTTAGCGCCTCACGCTAAAGACACGGGAAATGCAGGTGCTATTCTTGTACCTCACATCTCTATGAACTGTGGCTGTTGAGGCTGTGCGTTTTGGCTTCCAATACCGCCGTATTTGCACTTGTCATTCACCTGATTGGCCCAACTCTCATAATTCACGGTCAACTTTCTATTCCCACTATCTCCCTTTCGGTACCCCGACTTGATTTCCAAGGCAATTATTATTTTCCACCTTATTCTTATGACATAAACTGTCATATTTGATTTTACTATCTTACTTGGGTTTTATTACGCATGTCATACACCTTGACAAGGGTCCCGTGCCCCCCTGGTCCCCCCTGAAAACAGGCCTTAGGTTGGCGTCATTTACAACCTTTGACTTGACAATCGGAAATAGAACCCTCAAAATATTCAATTAGATCCAGTACATTCACAAGGGTATGTTTGATCGCAGGGATCTTTCCAGCCTATTCCCCGCCCTGATAGGCTCCCACAACCGCCGCGTTGCGATGAGCGTCTACCGAGACAACTTTGGCACTCCTCAAACCACCTAGCTGGGATTTCGAGCACTGTTCTCTTGTTCCATAATTGGAGATACTGAAGCGTTTCAGACTATCTAAGAATAGTGTTCGACCCTGGATTGTTTATTTTGGACCCCACGTTTGATTATCACTAGCCTCAACAACCCCCTCTTAGCCACAAGCCACAAGGTATATGGTGAGCTCTCATCCAGTGCTTTTTTCCCTCTATCGCCAATGTAGAAAGACTGCTCAGCCTCAGCCTCAATTGCACTATCTCTGATTCATGATTCGATGCACCAGCCACTGATGTTTTCTTTCTCAGAAACTGCTTACTCCCAATTTCTTGCTTGCTGCGCCGCTGGGCGCTCCAGCCAAGGATCCTTATACGATCATGATCTTGTTTTTGGTTCTTGCTCTTCCTTTCTGTCTCTTTCTGTGTCTTTCAGCTTATGTCGCTTGACGAGGACTCCAGGCTACCATTTCTTCAGTACGTTCTTTCCCTACCTTTCCATGCACAAGAAGCCACATTGTTTATTCCAGGGGGTACAATTCCACATGACCTCGAAAGGCCAGATTGTTCTTTTTTCGTCGTGCTCTGTTTCATCACACGCCAACTGTCTATTCATGGATCATCATGATATATCTCGTATCAAGACATACCCCCGGACATTTATTCCCTGTTCCCATACTAATCGCCGACCAAATCATGGCCAAAGCTAACCCTACCGTACTGCCAATATCAATTGTATTATTGCAACCTCTTTCAACAGCCCGGCCGGGCTAGCTCAATCGGTAGAGCGTAAGACTCTTAATCTTAAGGCTGCGGGTTCGACCCCCGCGTTCGGCTATTCCTAAAAACCAAACCTGAGATTTCTTTTTTTTTCGGTTGCAGAAAATTCTGCTTGAGCCTCCTCGCTCATACTCGAAGTTGACTGGCTGATATGGCCATTTTGATCCACTAGTGGGTCGGGCCGATTGGAATTGCCCGAGAAAATCAACGGGGCAATGACAGTCATGTACGGAGTATGATTTGCATATTCGCATGAACAAACGAATAGTAGATTACAAACATTCAGGCATGTAATTGTTCTTCACCGAGTATGAGTAGCAAGGTATCATCCAGACCATTTGTGGCTTACCAGGCCCGTGCGCAAGGCAGAGAGCGCCTTATGACAAAGGCATGACAAGGTTTGTCCTTCAGCTGGACAAGGATCATTGGAGATTATAGTGTTTAGACATTGACTGATATTACCAGGCAGTAACCGTGTTATTGGTAGTATAATTTGTTATCACAGGCTTTATGTTGACGATCCTGCACGGCAATCACCAAGCCTCCATGTTAATATATATCGCTCAGCTGAATACATATAGTGCTTGCATTAATATACCGGTTTTATATCGCGATCCTGGACCTACCTGCATATGATATCCAATTCTAACTCCTCTATATGGAATATATCCAATGTCTACCGGGTGCTCTGAGAGATCTAGGTGGAGAAGAACAGGGTTACTCCTAGTATACCAGACTAGCAATGCCGGCTATAACGGACGACAATCATAGGTTGGAAGAAGATAAAATTTGCCACCTAGGCAGATTCCCTTATTCCAAGGTTCATTACCCCTCAATATGGTCGTCCGCCTGAAGTTGTAGTAACCAGTCATGGGCATTATGGACATGTATCTTCTAGGCAACCTTTGCCTATGCTTCCCCTCTTTCGTCTATCATCGTAGCATTGGTTGAATGAAATTACATGTAGGTACGTGTAGATTAATACTCGTATTGTGGCTAGGCAAATTGGTATATGTAGGTACCGTATAAGCCACAGCTCTATATCCAACGATGACCGCCAATCTAAAGATCAATACGTAATGAGTAACTACAGCGAGAGCGTTCTAATTACTTTCCTTTAGTATGCGACGAGGTTTGTCTTCGACGGGAGGCGAGAAGCTTAAATGATATAGATTCACGACTGATACGAGAAAATATGCCGAGGGTTGACTTGGTCCATAACTACCTCCTCGACGTTAACAAAGATTATACTTGTAAAAGCCCATTCGACAAATAAAGCAGCTATCAACTAATATAAAGGGGCACCGGCTGTTCGCTATAATGGTCATTTCGCTTCTATGTGTCAAAGAGATCAGGCTCATCAACTTTTCACGCAGTCTGTGTTTCGTTTCAACTTCTGTACGTAACATCATGCTGTTGTTCGTATGCTCCAATGAAGTTCGTAAGGTTGGCGTTATTGTTCTCGGCCTCGTCTTTGCCTTCGATAAGCATGACCTGGCCCTTCGAGCTTGTGTCAAACTCATCCACGTATACTTGGAACTGCTGTATGAGTTTGACAAGCAGTGACTATATTGATTGTTTATATATATCGGTCCAGTCAGTTGCTTTAGCTCGGCGAATTATTTGCTGGGTGTATTCTCTCGGCTCATTGCCGGTTTGGACATCTTCCCAGGTGTATCTTGTTTATCCACTCCAGGAAGCGCTTCTGCCATTGGGGTCAGGGATAACCATTGAACAGTCCATCTCACAAATTAAGCCCTTTTCCGGCCTTCTTTTGCTGTTGACCTATAGAACTGACAAGGCATCTGTTGAGTATATAGTGTGAGAGAGATGATGGAAGAGAGATCTGTATTGTGAAATCTATGAAGGGGGGTCACTGGTGTTTATACCCCTGTAAAATAGCAAACGTACTAGCAAACAAAGGGGGCCGGGTGCCCGGAATGGTGATTACCAAACTTCCCAAGGTTGCTTCATCTATCTCTACTTGTTGGTATGATTCAATATTTGAAAGTTTCTCTCCTTCTACAATTATCTTTCATCACCTGCACAACGCACCCTGTCTATCGTTCTTGATATGCAACGGAACGGAATATTCTGCCCTTCAAAATGAACACGATTGACCAAGAAGCAACGAAGGGTCAAGAAATGGTGGACACGCAAGAAGGAACGGTACTTCATTCGCTGTCTGGTCGCACCGTTTTCCGACTTGGCGACAACCTCGTGGTGAAGTCGGGTCATATCCGACCCCAGGAAGGAGAAGCACTTCGTTTTGTTGCAGCAAATACGACGATACCTGTACCTAAACTCCATGATATTCGCTGGGAAGACGGCAAGATCATCGCTATCGTGATGGATTACATGCCTGGTAAGCGACTTGATAAAGTATGGAAGACTTTAGAGTTCAACCAGAAGCTCTCCATTGCCGATGAGTTACACTCCTACATGAACCAACTTCGTGAACTAAAAGGTGATTACATTGGGGGTGTTAGTCGCAGCAAAGCTATCATGAAAATATCTCGCAATCGAAGGAGGACCATTTGATACCGAGCAGGAATTCAACGAATTCATCCTAGGAGATATGGTCGACATAGCGCCAGATATGCTACGACACTATGCCAAATTCGCACTTACGGATGACCATGAGATTGCTTTTACACATGCTGATTTCGCCCCGCGGAATATTCTTGTTGAAGACGGCCGTGTCACAGCTATTCTTGACTGGGAATATGCTGGCTGGTATCCGGCATACTGGGAATATTGTCAGTCGTTTCGGCATCTGAGACCGATGTATGACTGGCCAGAATACCTGGCCCGTATTCTTCCACCCAAATTTGAGAGAGAATATATCGGCATGACTTTCTTAGCTCGTGTGTTGAATCACTAGCTAGTGACACTGTGGATATTACCCATGCAATTATGAACCTAGCTAGACTAGGGATGGCATAAACCATGCTCTCGCCTGCCTAACTTAGCTTCGGTTATGCAGTTATTCCTCAATTCGACAAGTTGAAACATACATAATTCTACTCCAGACATGATCCGACATCGAATTGGCATCGCCGTAGGGACATCGTGCTCTGGCTGTGGGGCACAATCTCCTTTGTACATTAGTCACAGTTGGTGCATATTTGGGGGCAGTAAAGAGGATCTCTATACTGTTAGCTAATAGATGATCTTTCTATAATAGTTTAGAATGTCAAACAAGGCTTACGCTAAGCTCTTGGAGTATGCGAAATCTAAATAAGGCCCACGCCACGTGTAAGATGGGGGCCAATTGATTGGAGAATTCATCCACTCGGTACTATACCAAAGCCC